GAGCACAACTGTGTGGACGCATTTCCTGCGGAATCGGATCAGTTAAATCATACAATTGGTGATTAATACTACACACCCACTGTCCGCTCTTTGATGTGTCGCCAAAAGCAACCACATTGATCAATATTCAGATTTTTCTAGGTCAAATTACAGGCCCGTGGGTGTAGCAGAATGAATGGAAATTAGGTGAGTCAATGTTAAAATTCCCTTCATTTCAACTGAAACTATGAAAGTGAAAAGAATTTTGAGTTTTAAGTGTTTTGCTGTTTGGCTTGTCGTAGTTTCGATGAATCATTACAAGTCGTTTTTTGACAGGAACATGGAAGCACAAAAGTGAAACAGCCTATTTCACGGGTCCTGTGGGGTGAAAACACCCCTAATTTTTGATCCACAGTTGAACCAACAGTTTCATGGGAACAGCTATGAAGAGGTGAAAGAGAGAAGAAAAATTTCCACCCAGCCTAGATCGGGTCTCGCTGTTTGCAACTGTTCACCTGCTGTGAGGTGAGTTTGGTACAGTGACCGACAAAGGACCAACGATCTTCTTAGTAAACATATGTATGTGTGCTCTTAAAGGTTTGAGGTCTTCTTTTGATCAGCATAATTTCTATTTTATTGGTAAGTGTTCTATTTGGTGTTAATAGACAATGAATTTCGAGTATGCTTAAGAGCTTAGCTACCTTGCTGTTGACATGTTGCCTCCAATGCAGTTTGTAAAAAGTTTCTCGGGCAGTGAATGAACAAAAAGATGCTGTTCATTCACTGCAGCAAGCTGCCACAAGTTTTCCCTCCCCACAGCAAGAAAATTTGAGGTTTTGTCGACTTTGGTTTCCACTGTAGACAAAGTTAAGTGACTCATTTCTTTATTAGTTTTGCCTTGTGTAAGTGTCTTGAGTGTTTTATGACAGAAGACGTCACCCTTCTTTTTCAATTACTAACCTGCAATTTAAAATAAATCCTTGGCAGTGAATTTTTAATAGACGAGTCAACCTCCCCTGTAACAATTTTGCTAAAGTTTTAAAACTACTGCAACTGCTCAAGTTATTTCACTGCATGAAATACATTGTGCAAACTAGAATCCCCACAGAGTGAGACAAAACTCCAATACAGAGCCTACCCTCTTGGGATTATAATCTACATAACCTGTTCCCCCTGGTTGCGATGTTGACATGTAGTTACTATAAGACTGGTTTGTGCTCAAGTCCTCTTTTTTCTGTACAGTTCCATTTTTAAAAGTTATTAGGGGTTCATGTTTTCTATGATTGACACTGAAGCAGTCTATGGGCGTGCAAAGATTGCATAGATCATCCGGTGGATACGCTGTTTGAACCACGCGTCATCACAGCAACTGTCCTGCTGAACACTATGGTACATATGCCAGTTTCAGGAAATGGAAAAAAACCCCGAAATACCAAGAACAATTTGGCTTTGAAATTGGCACAGTGATGGGAGGCTTTAAGCTCAATTTAAAGCACAATCACCTGCCATGTCCAGAAAAAGGCATTATTTCAAGATACTACACACATAAATTAACTTGTGCATAATGGGATTAAAAACAAATATTTCACAGGAAAACAAAAATTTACGTCTTGAGTTTCTTGAATAAAAATGTTAAATTTCTTGAAACAATAAAATGTCTCATTTAAAACAATTGAAAGTCTTTTTTCCCTCCTTTATTAGTGGTTGTTTTTAATCATAGTAAATAAGGTCTTGTTTTTGGCATGTAATATTTTTAAATGAGATTATTCTGGACTAAATTAAGCCGAATAAGACATTTTAGCAAAAAACATTTTAAACAAAAAAACTTGGTGCAACCTGAGTGTTTAGCTGTCAGCAATTTATAGGCACTTTCACCAGCTCTGCTGTCAGTGTGTGGATTGCAGGACAGGATGTTGCTCTACTTCTCCATCCATGATGATTGGAGTCCAGAAGCTCTAACACTTGTGCAGCTAACCTTCATTATTTTCCCACTCTAACATTTCTGCGAATAGACAGAAGGGAAATGTGCCTGTCACCTCTGTGATCTGGTTGTTTGTGGCCCTTCCTTTTGACCGTTGAGAAGTAATCACAAATGTTACCGTTTGATAACCAGAATCTAGAATTTGACACAGCCATGTAATTACTTTTTCCAACACTCTGTAACCATCAGCTTCATTCATTTGTTCAAATGTGGCCACAGGCTTTAACACTCTAACCTCACAGCAGGAGATTTTCTGTCTCATATGAATTTGTGGTTGGTTATTTGTGTTCCCACAAGCCTTCCTCCAGGACAATGCCTGGAAATTTTCAGGAGTGCACTGCTTGTGTGACAAGGGGCTTAAGGCTGATTTACTCCAGGAGAAGAGGGGTTGTGTGAAGCGTTTTGCAGAGTCCAGCTTCCAGCAGAGCAGACATCTGTTGATGTATAAATCCTCGCCACACAAACACACACAACTGACCGGCCGTGAGGAGGGCAGTGATCCAGGCCATACTGTGAAGCTTTTCATGTCACCATCACTGCCACATGTTCCTCTGACCTCAGTTAACTCCAGCACAGGAGGCTGCAGACACAGATCTGAGTAAACAGCGTGACTGTCGTTAAAGTACACAGAACACTACCGCAGCTCATTCATTACCAGGATTAAGAGTTTCACAGCGGTAAGAAGAAAGAGAGACTTGAAACTCATCATCATTTTTTCATTTCTTTGTCATAAAAACTTGACTTTAAACCATAAAAACATCAAGTTTCACTCCCTGTAGGATTCTTGATTTTCATTCTTGAAAGTAAAACCAGATTATAGATAAAGCATTTTTTAAGGACATGGCTTTGCAAATTACTAGGGATCCTTTTCATATCAATAGAACAGCATAAAGGGAAAAATAAACCTCTTCAAAAGCAACAGAGCAGCATTTTCATATACCTGTGAGACAAAAAGATCAATATCTCCTGTGTTTTTTTTGATACTGAGCCGGAGGATGTGGTGAGCACTTCAAAATGGAAGTCATGCCTCTTATGCATGTGCAAAGCCTTGGTCATTAATTCACATGACAATGGCATTAAACATGCAGAGGTTTGGTGGCATTGCAGTTGTGTTTTATGCAAAAGCACGTTGCAGTAACCAGAGATAAGAACTTGTGACTTTGTGAAAAGATCTTGTAATTATGAGTTTTTGTGGCTCAGGCTTTTATTCCTTGATGAACACGCTATAGGTTACCAGAGTTTTGTCTCACTACAGGGTTCTTATAACTTTTACACACCCATGCATTTCAGACAGATTAATACAGTCATAAAAATAAATAAAAAACTACAGTAATGCAAGAAGCTCTTTTAGGCTGTACTCAGAGACAGTGGCACTGAGCTAATACAGCAATAACCATTTGATATACTTACACGATAACAACTGCAACATTTTCCTATCAGCTTCAGCTGGAGTTTGTAGCTGAGGTATGTATGAACATCAAAGGTTATGCAGATATTTGACCCTAAAGTCTAAGTTCAAAGAAAATTCAGAGAATTACTGAGGATATCAAAGCTCACCCTAAGGCGTATGAATGGAACATTTTTGTTGACATGTTTTATTAAAGAGCTAAAAATGTTGACCTCATTTTTCTGCAATAGGACAGGTCAGACCATCACCAAAATCCAGAGTACATCACTTGATACAAGAGCCGGGCCAAGGCATAAGCAAACTAAGCACCTGCTTAGGGCCCCACGGCCAATAGGGGGCCCCCAAGAGCAATTAAAAAAAAAGAAGAAAAAAAAAACATTTTAAATCTTTTTCTTTTTTGCATGTATGAGTGATGCTTTCTGTATGATCAAGTATATATTATTGTAAAAATAAAATACATTAAAAAACATTTTGTAGGCCTATGATTCTTACTGCCGATAAGTCAAAGCTCCACTACCGCTATGTGCCTTCTGTGCAATGTGCACTGAGCATCCAAAGCGCAGGTGGTTGTAGGGCAAAACAATGTCGCAAAAAAGGACATATCCTTCAGGAGCAGAGAAAAGAAAGAGGAAGAATAGAAAAAACGCCAAGAGAAAGGTATGTCTGCATGTCATAAATGTTAATCAAAGAGATTTGTAAAGGTGTGTGAATGCTTAAAAATCAATATTATGGGCAGAAATAGAGGGCCCCAAAATCAAATTTTGCTTAGGGCCCCATTGAGGCTTGGGCCAGCTTGGGACTCATAATTTTGTCACTAAGTGGCACACATTACAACTGAAAAATTCTCTAAAGTAGAGACAGGCTGATTAATCAGTCGGTCGATCAATTGAACCGATTTTAGGTACTTTGATATAATTAGCATGATATCAGCATTGGCCCTTCCAAGGCTGATAGCTCCATTATCTTTTCTAAAGGAAAACACATCCATTCCCATCTGTATTGGCAGCAAACCAAGTCAGAACAACAGTCACTGGCTGGTGTTTCATGGTATGATCTGTGCAATACAGTTTTACATTGCTTCTCACATATTTATCAGCCATTTTCTGGAATCTATAGTAAGATCAATTTATTAAAAAACCTATCCGTCAAATACAGGTGGGGAAATACAACAGTGATATCCGTATCACATATCAGCCATTGGCCAACCTGCCGTCTCATTATCAGTAATGAGACCAGCCGTTGAGGAAGTGATGTCGATCATCCTCAAAGATAAACTTCTATGTAACTGTCTTTCACTCTGTCAGAATTTATTGTTTAGAATTACAGAAAAACACCAACAGTGTTGAGCTGCTCTTGTCCTTTTGAGTTAAATGCCTGAAATAACAGATTTACTAAAGATCACATTTATATCTCAGTTTAAAGACCTATTTTTTCTATAAATTTAAAGAAATGATCATTACAGCCATCCTTTACATTAATCAAGTCTGATTTGAAGAGCTAAACTGATAGATGTGTGTAGTTTGTTTTCATTTTGGAGAGATTCACATTGTGGCTGATGTTTTTCACTGAAACACTGCGCAAAACCTATTTTTCCTGATTATTCAAATGTTTTGTTTTGTTTTGTTTTTCCACACAAAGATCTGATCGTGCACACACATTTCCAGCAGAAAACAGAAAGAGTCCTCGATCCTAGGAAATAAAATGTCATATTTTTGTCGTATTGTCATTTCTAAAATGAAAGCTTTTCTGCAGGACCTTCTAGGAGCATGAAACACGAACTAAATTAATCAAAACTATTCTATTTAAAGCAAATAAAATTATCTGTACAAGAGGAGCTTGTTCTTCTAAATGTGTACTGCCTACATCCACAGTGAGCTCTGAATCCATGGAAAAAAAATTGTTGCTGGGGCTCCCTGGTGTTTGTGGTGGGTATCAGGTGCAGCCCACACAAACCTACAGACCGCCCCTGTCCATGGACCATTCAGACGGGATTAAAATCACTGCCGATAACAGCAGCAGTTGCCTCTCCTGACGCCTGGATACTGCGCTTATTCCCGAAACCTGCCCAGCTCTATCTGCCCAGCTCTATAAGTCCACCCGGCAGCGACAGCAACGATCCAGGCATCTCATACGGGATATTTCCATCCTCGGTGTTGATCCTCAGACCCGCTCTCTGCTGCTGAGATGCCCGGCTGGCCGCTGACGGGCTGCGGGACAGAATGAGGATCGGCCTCGGTGTCATCCCGCAGCCCGAACCCGCCTGCACGGGACTTCCTAGCCTTAACAACCTGATCCGTTTCTGACCAGGAGACATGGCTGAGGATGTTTCGGCATGCTTGAGGATTTACTGACCAACAGAGATGAGGTTTCCTTGGGATTGACTGGAACAATGCGAAAGGAAGTGCGGCGGAGGATCGACAACAGGGTTTCCGAAAACCGTGAGCAGGAGATGCTCCACAGGGCGTCTGCTGGAGTCTGTCAGCTGCAGGGAGTCATGAATTTACACTTTCTGCTGTAGGATATCACACTGTCAAGGCTGGAGCTGATATACTTATTAAATAAACAGCATCTGAACGGTGATGAACCCACATCCAGAGCTGTCACTGGGACTGGGATTTACTGGAAACCGGCACGAGTGTCTGTGGAAAACACGGAGACATGACATGCACAAGAAAAAAGAGGAAACGCAGCTTTGGCTTCTTTAAACCTTTTGTTTGTTAAAGGGGGTCCACGACAGCCTTCTCAGATCACCTTTTAGACAGACTGGGGCCATTGACACTGCTGTATTTCTTATTTACTGTTTGTTTCCAGCCTGTCATTTTTAGTGGGGACAGCCAGGTGGATCGCTGTAGCCTGTATTTCATGTAGACTGCAACACACGGCCTGCCTGCCTTCCTGCCTGCCATAGAGTGGAGGACAAGCAGCCCACAGCAGGTAAGCAGCACAACATAACTACCATTTTGTTCAGCCCACAGGTCCCTGATCTGCAAAATGTCATGCTGCCTGCCTCTGCATCCCTGCATGACATTCATTTCAGAGCTTGCTACCGTCTTCCTGGCTGCCTCTTGCAGGCCCAGACTGCCCCAGCTCTCTGGGACTGGTGTCTTTTGTCTGCCTCAGCCTCTACAGAGACAGACTGATCATCCAATGCGGGGCAAATCCTCATATTACATGCATGCTTCACATCAGCAGTGACGCTGTGTTGTGTTGATGATAAATAATACAGGATTTCCTCCAGCTGTAGGGCCTGGCTCTGCACTGGGACAGCCAAATGATTTAATACCATTTGGTGTAATGTACCCCTCTGAGAGCATAGCGCCACCTCCTGAAGAAAAAACAGGCTCAGTGCTGTGTTTTCACGTTGGACTGCAGCAGCTGGTGGCTCTCCAGTCCTTTTCAGACCTGTAGGCGCTACATGAGGAGGCCTGATGCTGGGCCCTGCTGTCAAAGACCAACTCTGTCTACATCTCATCCAGTGAGCTTTGTCGCCTCCTCCCACCAACATCAAGCCAGAGGTATTGGGCTGCTGTTGCTACCCAGTTCCTGACAGTGACTCTGCCCTCCGCCGCCAACCAACTTCCAGCTTTGCAAAGCCCCTCCTTCAAGACACACAGCCTCTCTCACAGTTCCCCTCAGCTACATACACTTGTCCTTTTAAAGAAGCAAAAATGATTTTGATTTGTCAAATGATATATTCTAGAAGGCTCTTCTTAATTTTTATAACAGCTGCAGTGAAACTCCTCTTTCACTGACCTCAGCCAAATGGTCGATTCATATGTATTCAGACATTTGTTGTCATAAAGTCACAGGTTTTTATCGTCAAAAGGCAACACCAAAATTCACCGTTGTTTAATTTTTGCCTTTCCTGTGAGACCACCTTTGGTTAAACCATAATTTACAGCCCTGCTGTAGGGGCTGCACCTTTGCACAACACAGCCCTTACCTAAATGCTAACCTGGTAGTGCTAACATGCATTTAGGGACCCTAAGTATCCTAGTTATTAGCCTTATCCCATTTTTGATCGTGTTTGGGATTTGGTGATTGCATGCACACAAAAATCTGGTTAGTTTATCTCTCAGTACTTTCCAAAGTGACCAGAATTTGGATACCAGATCAGCATTTTGATGCTTTTTCTATCACAACAATTTTTCAGTTCTTTTATCACAAAAGGACAAAACTCAGTGTGTATGGTCCAGAAAAAAGACACTCATCATCACTACTGCCATGTTTGTTTTGTTAATACGTCACTTTGTTGCAGATGGTCAGCAGCTGTCAGAAACCAAGATAAGGTGCCCCAACGCCACAGTGCCCAATTTGCTTTTAGAGGTCTCTAAGTAGCAAAACCAGAACCCAAAAATCAGGATAAGGGCTACAGGAGACATTGGGATATGATGTTTGCATGTACAAATACAAAAAAAGGAATACTTAGAGACTTGGATCAAAACCAAGATGTTGAAATCAATGTGAAAACATGCTATTTAGGGTTCCGGGTTTTGATCATTTTCAGGATGCGATGTTTGCGTGAAACATGTAGAAACCTGTTCTACCTTTTTCAGGTGAAATATATCAATCTATAAATGTTACACTGCTTTTTTAGCTGAATACCTGCTTTCAAAATTCTTATTTATGCCACGTTCTCACCTTTGCAAGTGCTATTAGCTGTTGTTTTTACCCATGACATGCCTGCGTTAGAGACTTGGTTCTGATTGGTCAAAACCCATTAACAGCAATGATAAATTTGCAAAAGCAAAGGAGATGTTGGTGACAAAAACCCTTTATTTGAAGAGCGTAAAAGTCTACATCATTGGTCAATAGCTGACGAGTCAACAGCAGCGAAAACAGCCCAAGAGATGACCAGAAACAAGGAATGATTAACAACTGAGCTGAGTCAAAGAGACGTCAAATAAATTGAAGAAAACAGACACAAAACAACAGCCTTTGACAGGGTATGGGCTTTTTCAGTGTGACAGGACTGGTATATTTAGAGTAAAATGCCAAAAATAAGTTATAGGGGTATTTTTTTTTACTTTATCCTGGATGAATCTGATGAAATAAAGTGCAGCTGATTCGACCCATAAATTGGCTAAGTAAGAGCACATTTGCCATGGAAATGCCACAGACTGAGGGACTATTTCTCAGCTGTATAAATAAATCATTCTCAGATTTATAAATCACATTTAGATTGATACTCAGTGTGAACTTTTTCATATATTTATATTGGAAGATTATAAGCATGATAATGTATAGCAAGCCTCTGCTTCATATTGGGTCGTGATTCAATTTGGTGAAACCACCAGCAACAAACTCTACATTATAGTTTACCTATAAACTTATTTTTTATCAAGGCTGCACTCTTTGATTGTCTAATCATTGATTACTGAAAAAAAGTAGTCACCTAGTTAGTGAATTGCACAATCACTGAAGAGCAAAGTGTGCTTTGCAAATTTGCCCCCCCCCCCAAAAGGCTTGAGAGTTCTTGGGCCAAAATCTGGTGTATAAGACCTAAAAAGAAGGATTAAATAATCAAAGACAAACTAAATTATTTATTAAGCTGTGGGTGTCTTTGAGATTGGCATTTCTAAAAGGTAAAGTGTGTCAAAATGGGAATATTTAGTGATATTTAGCTGTCAAATTCTCCATTGAAATGCTCCCTTGCTCATCATCTCTATTTGTGAAACGATATTAGCCTTTGAGGTCAAGAGGCTCCTGTGATGTATGATAAATATGATCCTCTATTAGTCAAGTTTTTACCATCAAAAACATCAATCAGTACAACAACTATGCTTTGCTTCATCTTCCACCTCTCAGAAAATAGAGCAACTAATTTGTCCATTCTGAACTACCGTAGAGACCCCACAGTATAAGATGCTGGTCTTTGTGGAGACTTGCTCCATATGTAGATTTGAAATGCTCAATCTATGTTAATTATAAGAAAATTGTTCTCATTTATAATCTAAATTTATTTATGAATTTTATATTTAATCTCTACCAAAGCTGTTTGGCCAAACGCTGATAAATATTACACACGGCACCTTAAAAGGTTGTTCAGTTTAAAAGTAATGACAAATGCAGAGGGGTGAACAATAGATGTGATTTTGTTGTTTGTTGAGAGACTGATCTAGTGATAGTCGCAGAGTGTATCTCATAATCATTTGAAAAATGAAAATGAAAAGTAAAGACCCTGTCTGTCAAAATGACAGACAGCAAGGAAGTCTGACGCAACCTCTTGCTCACAGTGAAGCCCACACTGGCAGCTCTGTTATTATCTGAAAATCACTTGAGACTCAATTTACACAAAACAGAGACCATGGTGTTCCTGTCTTATCATTGTAGTTATTGAAGTCAATCCCTGTGATGCCAACCACCCATCGAATGGTGTGAATGAAAAAGAAGCCACCGAGAGATGCAGCGTGCTGGCAAGAAACTCAAAAAGAGTCCCAAGAACTGCTTGGTCTAAAATTGCCCCTTGTTAAAAACTACTTAAACTTGGTTAGACATCAGGGAGGTGATTCATACTTTCTGGCACCTTTGGCCAGTTAAAAAAAACAACACTTGCATATTAAATAAGGCCCGAACTACACGTATATGGATATTTATTTATCAGGATATTTTTGTACCCCCGTCTAAATAAATGTATCTGTCCACACGTGTTAGTTCTCAAAAATATCTGCGTCCACACGTAGCCTTCAAACTTAATCCTATCTGTTGCCGCTTAAAAAAAATTCAGGAACAAAGCTACCTGATTGGCCGATGAATCGTAACAGCGTGATGCGTCATGCATTGTTTGTGGAAGCTACGCTAGTGCGTCGGGTCCATGTGACGGACCATGTGACCAATAAAAGTATTGGCCGCAGCAGACGCGTCTGTGAGCTGGCTGACTGGTGGATGTAATTGTATAAAACAAGGTTCACTTGAAAGGCTGAAATTAGCCCCAAAAGGGCAAAACAAATGTAAAGAATACCCTGTCTGTCCGCCATCGTTGTTGTTGTTTTTCTTTGTAATTCGCATGCGCGAGCTGCGGTTTGACGTCATCGATCCGTAAAAGTCCAACCACACGAATCCACTACAGATACGGGATACGGATATTTTTTTATTTCTCCACTTGTTTTTCCGGATTCAGATTTATCCGGTTTGAGTGCTCCAAACTCCCGTTTTGGTGTGGTAGGGAGGCCTAATCGGACATAAATATTTTGAAATATATCCACATTCGTGTAGTTCGGGCCTAAGTCTGCTGATGACCATGTTTCCTTCATAGTTCAAACATTTTTCTCATTTTCTAAAGCCTGCTATGTGAGGTTGCTCTGATTGGCAATAGTTTATTTTTCCTGCCTCTATTATTCTTGTATATTCCTTTTTACTGGTTTTACTGCCTCAGCTTGAACTTCTTATTTATGGCTACATCCAGCTCTAGTAACGGATAACTATTCAATATGTAGCACAAAAAAATCATGGATTGATACACAAGTCTAGCATAAAATATTACCCTCCCATCAATATTCTTTCTTATTTTGATACTCTGCAACATTTGATGGTGAAGTTCAGAAGTCCACATTCCCTCTGAACTTTATGTGGCTCTTTTAATCTATTGAGTCAGACTGAGTTCAACATGATATAAATGTTAGTAGAAATTGCATCAGCTGTCAAAAGTACTAATGCATGTATATACAGGGCAAACAGGTCTGGTATTTGGATGGTTACTATATGCTTGCTACATTTAATGTGTTTTAGCTGTTTTTTAAAAGGAAACTCACATCACCCTTCTGTTTTAACTAACCAAAACCCCTTTTATAAAATCTTGATTTGACATAAGAATTACTTTAAAAACTCAACATATTGTTGTAAAGAACTCCCATAAACCACCAAAAATGTAATCTCTGAAGTATTTGTTTGCAAAAAAGTTCAAAGATTTCCTCATTGGAGTGTAAGAAGTCCATTGTTTATGTTTCATCCTGTTAGTTACTTCATTGGATGATTAAAACTAATTCTTTGTCTCTTCACTTAGGGTTCAGGAGGTGTGACGACGTATCGCAGAGGGACCCTGCTCAAAATGGAGCGATGTGGACTGATGTGTTCCTACTCCTTGTGAACTGCGTAAAGGAAGCAACCACGAGGACGAAGGATCAATCAGCAGGCGGAGGAGGTGGTGGGGGAGTGGTGTCAAGAGAAAAGGTGGTATGGCTGGGGGTTCATTTGGAATGGCGAATGGAAACGAAAGCAGCGAGGGGCCTGCTGGGCCCATGGCGGCAGTGGTGGCAACTGCAGGAGGTGTTGTAGCAGATAGTTCTTCTTCAGCTGTCTCCACCTATATTAAGCTGGTGCTGCTGGGGCTGATCATCTGCATCAGCCTCGTAGGTAACCTGGTGGTGTCTCTGCTTGTACTGCGGGATCGGGCCCTGCACAAAGCACCTTACTACTTCCTGCTGGACCTGTGTCTGGCGGACACCATCCGCTCAGCCATCTGCTTCCCTTTTGTCTTGGTGTCCATTAAGAACGGTTCAGCCTGGACTTACAGCGTGTTGAGCTGCAAGGTGGTGGCATTCATGGCAGTGCTTTTCTGCTTCCACGCTGCCTTCATGCTGTTCTGCATCAGTGTAACGCGCTACATGGCCATCGCACACCACCGCTTTTACTCCAAGCGTATGACGTTTTGGACATGTGTGGCAGTGGTGTGCATGGTCTGGACACTGTCAGTTGCAATGGCTTTTCCCCCTGTTTTTGATGTGGGCACCTACAAATTCATCCGAGAAGAGGACCAGTGCATCTTTGAGCACAGGTACTTCAAGGCTAATGATACTCTAGGCTTCATGCTAATGCTGGCCGTACTCATCCTAGCCACACATGTTGTGTACATGAAGTTACTCCTCTTTGAGTACAAGCACCGCAAGATGAAGCCAGTCCAGATGGTGCCGGCCATCAGTCAGAACTGGACCTTTCATGGGCCGGGTGCCACTGGCCAAGCAGCAGCAAACTGGATCGCAGGCTTTGGCAGGGGCCCGATGCCGCCAACTCTGCTGGGAATCCGGCAGAACTTGCACAACCAGAACCGGCGCCTGTTGGGCATGGAGGAGTTCAAAGCAGAGAAGCAGCTTGGCAGGATGTTTTACGTGATCACCCTGCTGTTCCTGGTGCTCTGGTCTCCCTACATAGTGGCTTGTTACTGGAGGGTTTTTGTCAAGGCTTGCACAATACCACACCGGTACCTCTCCACCACAGTGTGGATGAGTTTTGCCCAAGCCGGGGTCAACCCTATCGTCTGTTTCTTCCTGAACAAAGACTTGAAGAAAGGGCTCCTTTCCCACCTACCAGCCTGCTGCAGGACTAAACCTCATCTGCCACGAGAGCCTTATTGTGTCATGTAAACAGAGATGATCTTAAAATTGAGGAAAACCAAGGGGCAGCCAGTAGAGGGAGTGTTTAGGGAGTGTTTGCTGGAGTTATTTTGGAGATTGATTCAATGCGAGCCACATTTAGATGAGGGTGTAAACTGTGTAGTCTCATGGTAAAAACTCTGTAATGGTTAGCATGTTTTCATCTACCAAACCATTTGTCACACAAGCAACAGTGTAAATGGAGTCAGACCCTTACTTTTCATAAGAAATAACTTAACAGCAAATCAGAGAAGTATTAATGCAGTCATAGTGGAAACCAAACCAGACAAACAACCTACAACAACTTATATATTTACAAAAAATGTCAAAAATGGCCCATAGGGGAAAGGATAGAAACGATGGGTCTTTTTTGTTGGTTTGGCGAGGAGTCTTTTAAATCGAAACTTTTGAATATGGTGCATTCGTTCAGTAACCCAAATGAAAATTACTTTAGTGAGAGACTTAAATCAGCAGTCCAGTCAAATTCAAACATGACATATTGCCTTTTGTGGTCAACATATTTAGTGCCCGACAAGTTATTTAAGCCTTCATGAAAACGTAATTTAGATTTTCCAATGCAACATAATATCCAGATGTTATGTCTGTCTTTCATAATCAATAACTCTTTCATAATCAATAATTGCACTGCAGCAAGAAATTTCTTTTAAATCCAAATTCATGTAATACAAAGGCTCCCTGTACAGTGACTACTGTTTTTTTTTTTCAAGGATTATTTGTTTGGGAGTAAGGGAGATGTTTCAAACCATTTCAGAGAAACACAGACTCTTTACAAACACTCGCCAAATAAAGAAAAAACTTGCTGTTCGTGTGTCTGGCATTGACACATCAGTCACAAACACACCAGCTTTTATGTTCATGAACGTGTATTTTCCATGGTTTCATCTGGGCTCAAAAAGTATCCTCACCTTTTCCTTTTTTTCTAATTTACATCAATGTTAAACACAGACCAGTACTTTACAGTGCTTGCAGAATATTTATCACTAAAATATGTTTGTATTTCTGTGCATCCTTTAATGATGTAAAACACTTTTAGATGTAGTTGTGGAGATTTCTGGTTCACAGTTATTTGAGCTCAAGCTCAGTGCCCAGTTACATAAAATATTTCTTCCGCTCCACACCCCATGTACTAAGGCCGTAGCCACTGTAGATGCAGGAAATGCCCATTTGCTGTATGTTATTTTTCTACTCACTGCTCCCCATATTTCCTGTTTCACATTAGTTGCCCCAAAAATACCCAAAATGTGCTCTAAAAAGCTGAGTATACTTCTTTCCTGAGTGCTGAAAGTTCAAGTTGTTGGGAGTAAAGATCCCCAGTGGTGAGGATAAAATACTTGACATCACTTCTCTGTGGCTTTTTAGTAAATTTTCATTCCAGTATCAGACTATTTAGGAGATTCAAATAGATACACAAAGTTGTGCTCAAAAACAACCATAAGGAAATAAACAAGCGGAATTTTTAGGTAATTTGACAACATCATCCTCGATGTCCACAAGGCATTTCTCATTAGCAGACGCCAAATGCAACCTGCTGTGATGTTCAGACATCTCTTCGTGCCCAGTCTTTTTCTAACAGACCACCTTGCTTTTCTGGAGCATGAAATTCCCTTTTGAATGTATGTAAATGGCTGCATTTGTTAAATGTTGAATTTCAGATTCATATTTAATGAGTCATTTTAATTTTTAACGCACTCTGTGTAAAAACTACAAAATTAGCTTTTCTTGTTTGAAGCCTCTGGAGTAAAAGAAGAAATGCTCTGAATTTACTCCTGCTGCTATACAAACTTCAGTAGTGTCAAAACCAGTGAAATCTATCAGAAATGCAGTTGCCAATTTGACACCACCCTTTTTATGCCTCTAGTTTTGCACTTTTGGACTCAGGAGGCACCCAGAACCTACAGCAAACTCTGCTTTTTGCTATTTTCTGGGACTAAAATTCACAAAACAAATGTGGTGATTAAAAAAATGACTAGAAACCAGAGATTGAGACTTACAAGCAAATAAAAAATTATGAAGCCGAAGTAGGCTCAGTTACTCATTGACTACACTCCCATCTGATGTCTTATGACCACTGGAAACCAACAAGTCTGAGGCACTTGTGTGTCTCTTTTGAAGCCATTTGATTGAGTCTACTTTGAATATGGTGTTAAAAACCTCTGACATTTCATTTGGAGGTGTTGGCATATCTTTTAGAAGTATTTATCTCTAGCCAGCTACTTAAAGTGGGGATGAAGTATTTCTAGATAAAATTCAGAAAGTCAGTGCAGGAGCTTCTTGGCAGATTGTCATTCTGTTTGTCAAAGATGCAAACTTCCATCTGTGCCAGTCATGGTTCCCTATGTCTCTGCTCGCTTGTACAACAGAAAACAAACATTAAGACACTGAATAAGACTTTGAGTACATTTACAAATACTCAAAAGTAATACCTGAATACATGCTTTACAAAGCAAAGCTGTTCAAGTATTTATTCTCTCGAGACTTTGTAACTGGGCACTGACAACACATCATCTCTCAATCTTTAAAGCCAAATCTGCTCCATGTTTGTTAAGAGAAGTATCAACCAAAGCACAGGTCAGACTGTCTCCTCTTTAGTAGGACAGAAGCTTTAGATCAAGATTGCTAACATCCATAATCTCAGTTCAGAGTCAAGCAGTTTTATCTGACGTCTCCTGGGCTTGATCATACACTTTGGTGTTATTGCTGGAAAACAAGCCTTAATAAGTTTTCACCCTTTTCAAAATGCTGAAGTTAATGGATACAAACAGTAAGCTAAATTTATTTATGAAATAAAAATGGCGAGATACAGAGTTGAAATATGCCCAAGGTGATTACTGGATATACTATGGTCAAAATTATGAGATAACTTAAACATTTTAACAGCTTTAGTTTCATTAAAAAAATGTCAAACTAGTGACTTGTATAAAATATTCCCTAAGATTTATGAAAGGATAAATTCCTAAAATGGAGAGTTGTGGCAGTAACTTGTTTTGTCATGACTAAGGATGTACACGTTTAGTGATAACTAAACAACACCAGATTTACTGGTAGGTTAACTGAATCAGTATTTTTGTCATTGAGGGTTTGAAATGTCAAATGCTGCGTTTAAGCTAAAGTGCAGCCACCTACCATCGACTGGCCTGGTCTGTAGCTTAAAAAAATTCCATAATCCTTTCCTACCTGGATGTAAACAAGCACAGATGACATCTCATAGCGCGATATGGTTTGACAACATTTAAGGCTAGAGAATAGAGATAAAATCATGTAGGCGGTGTCTGCTTAAACTGACATTTAACCATCTGACTAAATCAATCTGTAACCAGCTCAGGCATGTGGACGTTAACCTGTAAGAAGAAATGAAAGCTGGTGGTGCTAGCTCTGCTAATGTTAGCCACACTCTATAGTCCAATTTGGTATGGTTTACCCGGTTACTGTTTTGCAGAGTTGAAAATTGCTCTGTTTGACTGTTTTCTAATTTGTTTTCTTACATTAAACAAGCTTGAATTTAATTTTCTGTTTAAATGACATAGAAATTAGTCACTTTAGAATATCCCTAGTCATGACACTGCAAAAACCTATGTAGTTTTATTGTGAAAGAGAGTTGGGTTGTTGGACACAAAATCCTACTAAACTCTTTGAACCAGACTTCAACATTATGAGGTAAATCAGATGTTCATTTGAACTAGACATGATCCAGTACATTTAAGTCATCATCCTCACTTAACACTGAGTACTGAAGGTATGAGATTGCAGTAGAAGGAAGATCTGCTGCTTTATTTTTGCACAAATCATGATAAATCGATTACCTGTGCATCTATCTTGCTACCCTGTGGGAATGAACTGTAACTTGAAGTGGAATTTAGGCGGAAGGAAAGGGCAGGGCACAGAGATTGTAATTTGTCAGTGAATGTCTGAAAGGATGACAAAGTCAGTGCTTCAGATGAAGGTGAAATGAGCGAGTGTGTTTGCAGAGTTTGAGGTGCCCCTGTGCAGTGGCATATTTGAAACACCCGACGACAGCATGCCACAGAGAATCTTGTTTTTGATTTTAAGAATTATGGCCTTACTCCATGAAAAACCAATGCAACAAAGAGTAGACAAATGTGTCTCTTCTGTGTGCGCTGAAGTTACAGGAGGAAACTGAACACTGTGGACACTTGTGACATTTTGGAAGACTTGTTGCTCTTCCCATCAAAACCTGGAAGAACTGAGGTCATGGACAGATAAGGGAATATGAAGTGGACTTTTCTACCGCAGACTGATGATGGGGGCAAAAACCGCTGTAGGTTTTTGTTGGATTGTTTTTGTGTTTTAATATTTTCTCTTGGAAATCAACGTGAACATGAAGGAAAAATGACCAGTCTTTCCATTTTCATTTGTGGGACAAAGCCAGAGAACTGTTTGGATCCCAAGTCGATGCTGGAGAGGCCTGACCATGCTTTTTTAGTTGCCTCAGGCAGATTATCTTTTGTAAATTAACTGTGACCTCTGTACTATTTAGTGTGTATAATATTGACAGCAAACCAACTTTGAAATGCAACGGAAGAGATCCTCATCATCGTATTTTTACTATGTGTGTGTGTGTGTGCAAGAGGATGAGTGTGTGAGTGAGTGTTTCTATTGGCAGGTTTGACTGTGTGAATGTGGAGGATGTTGGTAACATGAATGAACCAGGAGGGAAAATACTGATCAAACACATTTTGCATCTTGAAGAAATCATTCCTGCAAATGCTTCCTCAGTATTTCTCATGTCAGCCCTTTTCCTCACACAGAGATCTGAATGTGTTTCCAAACCAATGACGTTTACTCAAAGTCCCTTTTGTACAACATGTGGATAAGAGTTTGTTGACTGGGTTCTCCTTTTTTAAAAATAGGTTGATGGAGGTTAAAAAAAGCTTGATATAAAGCTTCAGCTACCTTCTGAATGTTTCTTTGAAGAGTTGATGCAAAGTAAGTGTAAAAGTTTGAATTTTCATTGCAAAAAAAAAAAAGAAAAATAGCGGTTTCACCTTATTTCACCTGGAAGTTTCACTGTAATACTAAATCAGCCCTGGATTTATGAAACGCCCCAGATTAGTCAGTTTGGGTTGTCTCCATCAGTCATTTTTACATCCTGAGCAGTCATGTGGCCAGACAAGTTGGAAACAAAGTTGCTTGCTGGAAATCAAATGTGTGTCGGAAACGTCTGCTTTGAATCGCAAGCTCATGGTAACGCCGTGCAGAGCTGTGTACAGCTGTGCTCAAGAGGTGTGAAGTAAAGCTGTAAGACTCAGCTGTATGTCCGTTTACAGTTTCTCCATAAGAGAGCAGAATCTAAAGAATAGACTGATTTTTTTAGACAAACACTCTAGTTTCTCTTTTAAATTGTAGTTTATTTTTAACTGGTTCTGTTTTGAAGGTATGCACGACAGTCACCCTAATAAAACAGAAAAAAATGGGGTTTTCGTTATCCAGAATGGAACCACAGAACCTCCTTTAACACCATCTGCAAAATATGGCAATCTCCTCTCATTATACGTCTGCTTTTGAATGCAGATTACATCTGATGGTAGATTCCTTATACCAAGTCCAGTGCTAGTTTTCTCGCCTCTCACATCACTGCTGTTGGACTTGGATTAACAGGCACTGCACAAAGGGGACTTCTTGACCCAGATACCATGTTGCTATTACTGCTAGTCATTTACTTGTTGGTTTTACCAAAGCTAGAGAAGGTTGTCCACAAAATAACTTGAACTGCCATCAGATCAAGCCAATGGGCTCCAAGAGCAAACTGGTCAAGCTTTTATCTTCGTTTCCAAAAGGATAAAAATGATTAGTTGCAATTTCGGAAGCTTCAAATTCAAAATTGTTGAAGTTGAAATAAATTGAATTTGTTGGCTTTGCACTCCTGCAAAAAAGAGCCACAAACCAGTTTTATGAGTTAATGTATAAATCAGTTCTTGGTTGTTTCAGCCTGAAAGTCACAAAAATTTGACTTTATATGCTGACTCTGAATTTTTGTTGACAGTGTCTTAAGTGCAGCAAACTGTCTATAGAGGTTGTTTTTTAGATTCATTGCTGTTCTTGAAACAGTGTCCATGAAATGAGAGAGGAATGATTGGTCAAGATATCAAGTGAATAATGTCTACACAAAGAATCAGGGTTTTCCAAAAAATATTAAAAATAAGTTAAAAAAAAATAGTCAGTGTGACTTCAAGTGTAATGTATTCACATCTTCCTTTATGGCATCAACCATTAGCAATTGTCTTGACTGAAGAACTCAAGGATTACAGACATCTATCTTGAACTTTTGAAGTTCATGAACGCACCAAAAAGAGCACATACAAAATCTGCATCATTTTGCATATGGTCAGTGTAGTTTACAAACCCACTTACAGCCTGGATTTCTTTACCTAGCTGATGTTTGTGGATGTTTATTTAGTACAATAAAGATATCGCGTTTTTGGTCCACCTGTCCAGGAAACATCAGGAGAAGCTGTTGTTGATGTTCACTCCTTGTTTCCAGCCTGTCTGATCACTGTACTGCCAGTTAAAATTACAAAGACATAAAAACCCAATCTGAAATCGAGTCACACCAAAAATGAATGGAGTCTTCATAGAGATGATTACAGCATTTATAGACAACATTCAGTCATATTATTGAATTTCCCTTTGGGCGTCAATAAAGTTTTTCTTATCTTATGACAAGCTAATTTGTGTCAGAATACCAAGACGTTTTTCCCTCTGCAGGTTTTATTTTACCGATAAATTTGATTAAACAAAGGCTTAGACAAGTGAATGTCCAATTCAGTCTTTGGTGAGAGTAAAAAGAGGTCACATTCATCACAGCAGTGATCATCAGCATAGCTGTAGGGGAAACTCAAAATATTATGTTGTCTGAGAGAGGTTGAACTTTTCAGGTTTATTATTATTCATTTGAATTTAAAAGTAAAATATAAAATGTTGAAGGTTTCAAAGAAAAATCTCATCTCAGTGCATCCTGTCCAAGTCAAAAGATAAATACCAAAAGGTTTGAAGTTTGGAAGGACGTGAAGGGGATTTTCTTCTGACTGCTGAAAATCATAGAGATGAGTCAGATGCTGCGGTTTCCCTTTGATCTGTATTATTAAAAAAAAGTGGTTGAGCTATTACGCATGTCTGGCGATTTCTGATTTCTGTTGTTGGTTTTGTAATGAAAATAAATTTCAATTGAAATGATCAGGACATTATTATGACTAGAAGAGTCTCTCCAGGTTTCCTGAGCATGGTGTGCACACAGACTATTAAAAAAATATTCCTCTGAGCAGTGATGGTTCAGCAGATTATGGATGGGTATATTAAGGGTTAGCAGTAAGACAGGCCGAGTGCAGATCTCAATAATGTTTGAAAATAAATGCAGACCCCCACAGAAGATTGAACTTATCCAAAAATGTAACAATTTCCTTGTACGGTCAGCAACAAACTCCAAGAAAATCTAGGTCAAGAAGTTTTGAAGCTCCTCATTTTATTCACTTAACCCTCTGGGATTGAAGTTTGTGCGGCACCGAAACAGACTGTAACACTTAAAAACTGTAACATGGATTTAAATAATTGAGACAGCTTAAAACTCACACTACCTTCAGCTGAAGTCTTGGCATGAATTTTTACACAGAACAGGAACAGAGAATTTTACTCCCATCTTTCATTAAAAATGCACTCAGTTCATCCAGACAGGAAATGGCAGTTTCTAATTTTGAACTTTAAAATATCAAGGTTTTGAGACAAGGAAGACACTTCAAAGTAAAACCAATAGAAAATGCTTAAAGTGAGTGTTCATCTTAATAATCGTCACTGTTGCAAAACAGAAATGTTTCTTAACATTAAGTTGTTTGAGCCTTTCCCTCATTGTCACAAATCAAATGATGGGCGATGCTGGAGTGATGGCTATGGGCATAAAGAAGGAAGGAAACCTTTTCTGCTCTGCTTTTGTTTTATGAAGACAGCCATCTCCATTATTTTTAAGTATGAAACAATACTATCATTCAATTTTCTTAGATACACGTTTCACACACGTCACATCACATCTATCTGCAGAGAGAAATTCAGCACATGTAATATCAACCTGTTGAAACTGTGGCATAAACAGCCTTTGAGAGTGGGGTGATAATGATTGTTAACTGAGGAGTTACTGGACCTCAACCACCTAATTTGGAAAAATGGAGCAACGCCCTGTTCTGCAATCCGTGCACCAGCAGCAGAGCTGGTGAGAGCATCTGAGTGTCTGATCTCTACAAGGTAGCGCAAACCATAAGTGGCAATGATAAAAGCAGTAGTGTTAAAGTTGACATTTGCCTCATTAATGTTTAAAGACTTGCTCTATTACGTCCCATCTTGAGGTGGTCCTGTGGCATGAACAACCATTCACGAAACAACCCATATGAAATACAAAAGAAACATTTGGCCAACCAAACAATTAAAAAATGATCAACTACACACTAAATTAACAAAATGAAGGCATGAGGACAAAACTGCTGACTGAGAGGCAGCAGAGTAGCCGTCCATAATCTGTAATGCGTAACAACGACATGTAGCACTTGGGCTTTCAAACACCCAAGACAAGGATGTTATTTAAAACTGTCAGGCTGTAGATTTGCCTGCACAACAAGAGCAGGAAATGGAAAAGGCAAACCTTAAAACTAACGAGATTCAAAAAACAGATAGAATGAGGACAGATGTGTCGACAAAAACATCCCTGTAGAGCTTCTGCTCACCATGTCTGAAGTAACTTCAATTCAAATGCTCATTTTTTTTATGATTTAAAACAAATTACTCTTAAAGCAATACATTTTTCTTCAAATCATTATTAGTTATGAGCTTGTTGAATACTTAAAGGGAATTAAAGGGCGTAAAATTAATTTAGGGTCAAACACACCGTAACACTGAGTTAGACACCCCCTCGAGTGATGAATGTTGCTGACCTCTTGCTTCTCTAGTTATACCAACTTTAGTTATGACCACAGGATAGCAATTCATAGCGGTCTCCTTCATGAAAATGCAATCAGACTGAGACACTACGGCAGAAGAACCACTGCATCTGCAGTGCAAAATTATTAATATGGTGATTATTACTAAAAGGAAATGATAAAGAAATGATCATAAATGTTCCTCCTCGAGCTGCGTCACCCTGTTGCAGTCCGTAATGGACTGGCCTGAGGTCTCGCTACAAACAAGCAGCTGCTGGAAGAGAGTGGGTGAGTTGTGTTTAGTCTCTTTGCTAAAGAAATCAGGAAAAGCTAAAAAGATGTTTGGTGGCTAGTGCTAGTGGTTAGGACCCTATATGTACTGTTGATGAAGTTAGATGCTGTTCTGAGCATTATTTGTGGCAATAGAGTGGGGTTTTGGTTGAGGTTTGTTGGCTCCTCAGATCGCTGTGTATTGCTATCCTGCAGTCGTTACTAAAGTTGGTATAACTAGAGAACCAAGCAGTCAGCAACATTCATCTCTAAAGGGGGTGTCTAACTCGATGCTACAGTGTGTTTGACCCCAACTTAATTTTACGCCAGAATATCCCTTTAATAATGAAGTGAAAAGTGAAAGTGGTGAGCAGGACCTATTAAAGCAAAGCCCTGGGGTCCTGCTCACCTTGTCAAGATTCTAATTCACTAAACCACCTTATAGCTACACGTTATCCAGGATATAGTTACTGTGTGATTAGGCCTTCCACAGTCTAGACATTGGTTGGACACCTTAAGATTTTTTAAGGGCTTGACTTTCACTATCAAAAGTCTGAACCAGGGAAATAAGCAGCAGGAGATATGGTTAATTAAGTCAAATATAACTGTGACGTGGTGAACGCATCAATGATCCAGATATAAGCTGTCTGACTGATGTGACCTTTCCCCTTTCTGCGACATCTAACCACCTGTGTCCACCACACATGGAGCTCCTGATCCACCACAAATCCAGCAAATCCAGAGCAATCCCTGCCACACGGCATGAGATAGACACCCCCAGGTTAGAGGGTAGCCTTCGCTGAGGACACAGTGCTGGCCTACATTTCCATCTGAGGAGTTTCAGGCAGCAAAGACACGACCAAACACGGAGCTGATCGACAGAATTAGGCCAGACTTCGGTGTCTTAATCCTTCTACTTTCATTACTGCTTACATTACTGTTAATTACTCCAGACCAAACAAATACAAGCTGTACTAAGACAGCAGGTTCACTTCAGGTAAAGACAGAATTTCTGCCTCACTGTTATATCACTGCTTGAAACTGCAAACTACATCCATCAGTGATTCCCACAGCCTGATGGTGAATCTGTGGTCCGGTTTTGATTTAGCAAATATTTTGGGGGGTACATCAAGTCGCAGCAGATGGCTAATTGACAAATCTGTTCAGGGTCTCTGCCTGTTCAAGATGATCCCATCAATGTTTCCAAACGTTGCCAAGTGTTTCTCATGATGAGTTACTCTTACATAAAGCAAAAAGAAACGTTCAGACGTGCTTTCTGTCAAGTACCCACTGATACGCTTGGTTATGTTTCGGGACTATATTTTTAAAAACAGGGATTTATGATGGATGACTCTAAATTAAAAACATAAGATAGCTACACCTAGTTGAAAACAGAGAGGTGGCACCACAATCTTTAAAAATAATTGTCTTTGCGTATTTTTCTGAAGGGAATAATATTTTCAGCAGAGCAAACACAAACCTGAGGGGGTGACTCAGATGAGTAAAATATAGATAAAAATGCACAACATTGGATTTTTGCCGATATCCGATAGTTTTTAACTCATTATTGACAAAACTGATATAGTATTTACTTCTTTTTTCCATTGAGAAGAGTGCAAAGTTTCTCCTGTAACAGTATTAACCTGTTACTGTAATTGTGACAGTTTGCCATACTAACAGACATATAGTAAGACAGCTTTTGATTTCACCTAAGATGACTTATTTATTAAGATATCCATGAATGCATCTGCTGTCTGTTTCCATCCATCATACTTCTTTACATGTATGCTGGTATTATACTGTATGATGCATGCAATACATTTTTAGTGATAAATATTTCTGCAGAAATGTTCTTCTCTGCTGACAAACAACAATATACTTTTTAAGCTATTAACTGCCAAAACCAACGTCATGCTGATAATGTTGTGCTTCCTAAAGTAAAAGTATAATATTTATTTTATTCTCAAAGAATTTAATGCACAAGGAGGATTTTGTCTAAACAGACACAAAAACCCCCCCATTGTGTGTGGGTTTTATGTCTGAACATGAAAGAACATTTCTTTCCTATTGTGTCTCCCTGTAGAGCATGTGACTGACATTTGGCCTCTCTCATAAGTGCAGAACAAACAGCAGTGCAATGAGCAGAGGCAGGAGATTGTTCACTAATCGCAAGCTGACTGTTGGACACTTAAATCAAAACAAAGCAGGTGAAAAAATGAATTCCCTTAAGTTGCTCTGAAAAAATTGCCAAAATTAATTTTACCATTACAGGGTATTGTCAAAGCAAAATTGAGCCTAGATGTTATGTGCAAAACAGCTCATTTTGGCAATGTGCCTCATGAGCTATATCTGTGTACAGTTCTATCATATGCAGTTTGAATTTTTTCACCATGTTCTTTGTGTTGAGGGGGGAAAGACAGATGGACAGACAGATGATTAAAAATCATATTTTCCTTTGACTTAAGCTGCTGCCAGTAAATATATTGCACTATACAACAACAAATAAGAGGAGGAAGCTTTTTCATACAAGAAAAACATGCTTAAGCTAATGACTTTTAAAATGCATGTAAATTAAATTCATGCATTTTCATTCTTTTGTTTTTAAAACTGGGTTAACGTTGGTATATATATTTTTTCCAATATAAAACTGGCATTTTAATTGCTAAGAATATGACTATAATGTGACTACAGAGAGATACTGTGTGAGGGATGAGGGAAAATAACAACAGAAGGTGGATTTTTTTTCACAGTGCACTTCAAGAAAGTCAGTTTGGAGGATAAATCTAGGGTTTCCCTCTCGATATTTTTTCTCATCCTTAATACTGGTCAGTACCTGAACACTCTTGCTTTAAAATAAGAAAATAAACCCAGAAAGCATTGTATTAAGATACTGAAAGATTAAGTTAGGCACAAGCGCTATCTAGTGGAGACATGTAGTCATTAAATGTTTAAATTAAATTAAAATCCTCTGTCCTGCACAATTCAAGTAAGTAAAACTGCAACAATGACGACATGAAGCAATAGTTTTTTTATTTTAAGAATTTATTTACATTGTTTTGTTTTCAGCCTATAATAAACTCACCCTCAGATGCTCTATAAAACTAAAATATTTAAATATATACAAAATATCTTCTGAGCACATCACAGGCATTGTACAGACATAAATGAAAAGAGGTGACGGTCCTTTTTGTCAAACATCCACCAAATAAAGTGATCTTTGACCATGCAAATGTATTTCTCATGGGTTTCTTATTAAAATATGAAAGTTTATATCTCTGGTTGAGTGGAAATAAAGTAGAAAAATAACTTTGAGTCGTTCTCAAGTTGAACTGAGCTTTTAACAAAACTCTACAACAGTGAGACTAAATAGTGAGAAAAATGAGCAGCAGTGTTGTCTGAGATGAGTGTAACTGCAGAGTGTTTGCAGGCTCAAGTTTATTGCATAGTCATTGATGTATTTGAGAGATGTGTGGCTGTACTATGTGCTAGATAGCCTCTGTAAAACAAAAAACAACTACTAAAAATATACATACTATTCTTTTAGGTATTGAACATGCCACTCACATTGTCTTTTGTGCATGTAAAAAAATAGAAGATTTCGCGTTGACTGGCCTTTGCTCTTGAAACTTATAGAGACATCTGTGTTAACATCAGTGTGATTCATAATCCAAAAACTTTAAAAATTTCAGAACCTTTTTTTGTAATAAAAAATTGTAAAACAAGCAATATTTTTTACACAAACCTACCTGACATTGTCTCAGACTTGATCTGATAAGCTGCACAAATGTGCATTTGTAAGTAGACTTTCAAGATCATGGAAAAAGATCATTATGCAATAAGAGGGAGAACTTTATCTTCTTGTGTTGACATTTGAGGAAGACTTGGAACAAACTCTTATAACTCTTAAATATTTAAAAATCAAAAAGAAACTCCAATAAACTGGTACTGAATAAAAAGCATTCTGATGCAGAGAACATTGATTATTGGATCTCAAACAAGTGAGTTACCAAAACCCTTATTTTCTGTTACAGCAAAATACAACATGGCACTGTTTTTAAATTCTTACTGCATTTCATTGGAGAAAGTTAGGCTCAGAGTTTTTGTGAACAATTGTCATTTAAAAAGGGACAGAGAAACATCTTAAAACAAAAGAATGAAGCAATAAAACAATCTGCTGGCGGAGTCTGCAGTTTCTCTGCAAACCTAAAGTTTCTGCGTTCATTTGACACTTCTTTGACTTTGGATTGAGGTTTTCAAGATAGGCAAGCTTATTTTGTTTACAGATATAAGATGAAGGACACTTTCAGCTTCAGAGTTCATAAAAAATAAAAATCTGTTGACAAACCTGTACAAAGTTGCACATTTTTACAGATAACAGTGTGTTTTGTTCCCGGCAGTCTCTCGTCAAAACAGGTACTTTCGACAAGAGTCCGAGCCACACCGACACTCCACTCGAATCCTCTTTTTGGGAGAGCTGGGGAGCCCAGCTAGACTGAAACTCGAGTCCATTTTGGTGCTTTCTGTGTCCACAGGATCAACTGGAAAAACCAACAGGAGAAGGTGATGAGGGATCTCTGAAGAAGTCAGCTTTTATCAACCGTTAAAAAATGTAAAACGCCAGAATACAAATGACTGTTAACAGGATACCGAACATGATGTAACCTATAGAATACATCAAAATGACTAAAGCATTAGCAGGCCTATTGTGCATATATATGACTTAAAGTCCACCTATTTTAAAACAAAGTCAAATGCATTTTCAACAGATTATATTCAGCCCATAAATAGAAGGTAAGGCAGAAGGTGGACCTCAAATATCATGTCCATTCCTGCAGATGTTTTTTCGGCTTTCCTACATGACCATGCTTTCTCTGGTTTATGTTTTATCCGAAAGGAGTTTTATCTGCTCAACTGATGACACTTACTCTGCATCTTGTAGTCAAAGGTGAGTTCCTCTCCTGCCCGAATGGCTCGTGTTGAAAACAGAGCGATTCTGGGAAGCCTCTCATCAATGTTGTCAATAAACACGTTAAATACCTGCAGGTTGGGGTTACACTGCAAAAACAATGGAACAGGTGTCAGAGGCTTTGCATGCACACTCAAAATTTAAAGATATCAAACAAAATAAAAGGCACCTTTCAAGGGTATATGCTCAGACGAAGAAAATACACATCTTAATACTCAATACTCAACCTTTTCCTTTATATGACATGTTCATGAGAAAGACACTCACGCTGTGGTTGACAAAGTGGGAGATGTTTCCTTGATGAGCTGCATCTACTGTGTAAACATCCTCCACATAGTCCAGGTCAAACAGGTAGGTAGAGCCTTGGCGGTCGTATACATGACCTCTCCTCTCTGCTTCGTCTGTTGTGATGATCTGAAAGAAACACATCAGGATATTACTCGCACTAACACCTCTGGGATTTCAGTAAGCAAACTGTCAGAAAAATCTGATAGTTTTTACAAAGGAAAACTTAAACCAAGCGTTTGTGATATAGAGAGCTTCATAATCTTAATACCTATGGTATGCTACCCTTCACCTTTGTACTTTAATGTCACAAAAAAACAAAACAATTCTGGAGTTGTTCTCTTTTATCTCATACTTTAGTTTTCTATATTATTTTTTTTACCATCATAAGACAGGGCAGTGGATGGAGGAGGAAATAGGACAGAGAACAGGGAGTGACATGAGAGAAAGACTAAGTGCCAATCTCATTTTTATACATTTTCAGGTTTATATATGGCATCAATGTTAAGTGATTAAAATCAACCTCATCTAAACATTCCTGAATTCAACTACCAAAAAAAAAAAAAAAAACTTAATGTTTAATCAATGAAAATCAAGTGTATGAAAATACCTCTCCTTAAAATGTGTTTATCTTTTAAGGAAACGTTTCCTTTGACAGTAACCTCAAGTGTTTGATGCTTTACAAAACCCTTATTTAGTACCTTAAATGAAAAGCTTCTAGTCTGGCGCCCCCTGTGGACAAAGCAGTCTTTGCTTATGTAGTCCTCTATATAATTGCGTACTGTCTTCTGACAAAAGCGGTCACCATGCTGACTTTGACAGCTATATAAATCATTTACTGCAAACATTTTATGCGGACATTGTAAAAACAGTGCAGTTTCTCCAGATGCTTAGCTGACAACCCCCCACCCCATACTCGTATTAAGTATTAAAAACTACAATTCAAAACTCTCAACCTTGTCACCAATGGTCTTGTTTGCTTTTGTATGCTATACAAAGGCACCAGTATGAATTCTTGTGTATTTTATAAAGCTCAAAAAAAAACCTCACAGGAGCTTTAATTGTAATACCAGAGTGTTGATCTGCCCTGTGCCAGTTCCAGATCAGATGATCTCTCTGATCACATAGTTGCATCGAGTCTTCAAAATTAAAATTAAGGGTTGGAATGCTTTCACTGATGATTATTGAAAATCAGGTTTTACCTCTCCCACATATTCCATGACAAAGGTGTTCTTCCTGATGTGCTGCAGCGTGCGGACGCCCCATCCTCGCCCATTTTCTGTCTTAAAGATGCACATGTCGAACTGGATCCCCCTCTGCACTACTCTATTTGGACAATCAGGGCCACAGCTACACCGAGAGTTACATTCGTATATCGGCTTCCCAGCTCGGATCCGCAGCTGCCCCTTTTCATTGTAGGCCATCCGATGCAGCGAGGCTCCAGGGCAGCAGCCGTTCACTGGATCCTCAAAGCAGTTCTTACAGTCACAGCCCACTGCCATCTCATCCAGCACGATGCCCTGGCCTACTTGGTAGTTGTTGATGTAGGTGAAGTTTTTTGGAGGGCCCTCAAAGTCTACATCATTAATCACAAAAATTCGACCTGGGCTGTTGCGGGTCTGGTTCAATTGGGCTTCCCAGCGCTGCAAGCACTGACGCGCTTTAGCTTTCTGGACAAGGAACCGGGAAACTTCCTCATCCAGCTTGTTAGGAATGCTGCGTCTGTTGTGGCGCTTAAGCTCCTTCTCAAGATCCAGGTGGAACTGTTTTATCAGTTTGGCGCATTTGAGGTTCTTCTTCGGTTCCCATGTGTTGTCTGACTCTGGGAAGCCCCTCCACTTCACAAAGTAGAACTCCTTCTCCTCCTTAAACACGCAACAACTTCAGTTAGGCACAGGTGAGTAATTCTTTCACATACATACAAAAGCTTTTTTGTTTACTTGCACCTAAAGATTTTCAAAGCCATGAATTAGTTCAACAATTTGCAGCATCACAGACTTGATTACACTGAGTTGGACTGTTTCTTTTGGATGTTATATAGTTATTCATTATTTTATGAATTCTATCTGAGTCACGCCTCCATTTTTTTAACTGAATAGCTTATCAGCATTTTTTTTCCTCAGTCTGTCAATCCACAATGAAAGCAGGTGACAGATCCAAACTATACTAGTGGCTTTAAAACCTCAGAAGTCAAACTACCTTCATGTTTTATAGATGTTTTTCAAACTGACATTTAAAATGATCAATGTTACAGAGATTAAAAGGCACAGCAAAAAAAAATTTCCTCAAAATAATGATAAAATATGTCTGCTGCAATCATTTTTATCAGTAGCTGACCAACGTGACTAAAAATAATCAGGAAGTGACGCAACAGTATGACCAAATCGGCAAAATCTCAGATGTTTTGAGAAATATCTGACTAATATCAGTCTGAAGAAAACAGTATGGGAATGAGGTAGACAAAAATTTTCAGGCACTCATAAGAGTTTAACATCTTATGAAAACTGCATTTTGCTGGACTTTGTTATGGGGCTGTATCCCTTGCGCAGAAAATAACATTTATCTTATAAGAAACATTTATGTGGGCATCAAACTAGAGAGCATATTAGCCAAATTCAATCATCTCTGTTGCTTATGTAGACATAACACCAATCCATCTTTACAAGCTGAGGTTTTTCTTGCAATATATGTCAAACTTAATAATAATCTTTAACTTCTTTGTTTCTTCATTGAGTCTGTTTTTATCTTGAGACCAGGGGACACGACTATCTTGTGACAATCTTTGATTATTACATGAATCATTTTCAAGATTAGTTCTGCTCTCTGAAAGCCTCTCTCTGAAAACTGTTTTATTTTCTATTTATTCTGATTTTTTATCTTTACATTGATGTGTATTTATACTTATAAAAGCAAAAAGGGCAAATGCATCTACGTACCTCTCAGCGCCTGCACAAATGCATGGCTCATGTAGGTCTATTGGCTACAACTGAAGCCTTGCTTCATTTGCTTTAGTTAATTGACGCTTATAAGACAAAATGACCTTTGTTTCTTTCTTACTAGTGTAATTAATGTGATTTTTTGGTTTGTTTTTGTTTTTCCAAAAAACAATTTGAATTATTTTTGCACTTTCATACTTTTTATTTAGATCTCATGCATGAGGCCTCTTAACTTTAGGTGTGATGTCATACGTTGTCATAACACAACAGAGCAAAGAAGGGGCACCAGATAAGAAAGGGAGGAGGCTTTAGCAAAAGCAAAAAGGAGAGATATTGACATGGCATGAGTGCTAAATTATACTGATGTTGATGATGCAACAATACAATAGAAACTTTACATGGGTTACCATAAGCTTATTTGGCTGTAGAAGGATTTTCTCAATAGAAATAATAGCAGTATAAAGGTGAATAAATGCATACTTCTTAACATTTGACATATGCTATAGCAGACGAGGGAAGCTAGTGACATGAGTAAAAACTTAAAATGCATGTTTGGCACTGATTTCTTACCTTCGTCTTCTTGTAGTCACACAGGAATTCCACTTCAAACTCATTGACATTAGCTTTGTTCACCCCCAGGTCTTCGCAGTGGAGCCCCGCAGACCGACAGGGGGCTTCCAGCTCATTCCAGGGCAGCTTGCAGGGCACACTGCAGCCTAACAAATAATAGTTACAATAAATCATAATTTTGTAGCACTTCTCATGGCAGAGGCACCAAAAACTTTCCACCGAAAGTGCCAAGAGACCAACACGGACGTAGACTGAAAGATGAGACCCTTTACGTTAGTGTCAGATGAGGCCACAGCAAACTCCACCCAGAAACCATGCTATTTAAACAACCCTTGCTAACTGTTGAAATGTGCAAAGCAATAGCACAAGGCTTTGACGCTTATTTTTATTATCGTAAGTCATCCGTTACTTCGGCATACATGTTACAAAATAAAAGACACTTTGTCACATGAAGAGCTCACTTTCAGTCTAAATTGACCGCTTTCAACCGCAGTGCAGAACTAAACCGAGAGCACACTGAAACAGACAGTTTCCCACACTAAGTATTGCATAACTCAAAAACATCCGAGCTAACCGAACCAATAACTATTTAAGGAAATTTAAAACTAGGTTGATTTTCACTAATAAGTGGACAATTACAAGACAAAACAGCAACGTTTAAAAACACACGTATTTCATTTGTGCAAACTTCGCCTCCTGGAGTCAAAGTGATAAACAGCCACAACACCCCGTCAAGCGTATGAGTCCTCATTAATTAACACGTTTGTATCTTAAGTTTTCAAGGAATTCACACTTCAACTGAAGTTGACAACAGCAATAAATACGGTCTTATATATAAAAATAAATAAGTCTTTCTGGGTTACCTTTCAAATTTTCCGCCATGTTTCTTGCTCTACCGCCAAAATAACAGAAGGCACAAAGGTAGGGAGGGCTGTGACGCAGAAAGACCGAGGCGGCTACTGATTGGACGAAGATCAGCTAACAGCTTTTTGATTGGTTCAGCGGTAGTCGACAACAGATGGCGTAGACGGCATAGATAATATACAGACGCCATATTACATGCTGGTGCGTTACCCGGCGTCGCCGCCATATTGGAGGGGTCACCTTGTTTGAAGCTCGCAATAGAGCCAAACTGAGCCAACAGAGAACGAGCAACTACGCCTGTCTTCTGTGCACCATACAGTTGCAAAAACAAACTCAGCACTGAAAATCATGTCACGTAAGACTGAGATATACAAGGATTGAAAAACAATGTTATTTTTAATACGTGACAGCGTCCTGTATCATAGCTACATCTCTGCCGTCTGTAACAAACCAAACCGTGTGAAAATCAGGTAAAATTCGGGTAAGAATAAGAATAACTCCATTAATCCCCGAAGGAAAATTACACTTGGACATGGGCATGTCAACCGTCCTCTGCAGAAATAAATAGGCTGGTGGACATCCAAGATGGCGGCCGCGCTATACGTGGGCTTCAATGGGTAGCGTCCACAGACTGTATATAGGTCTTATATACAGTCTATGGTAGCGTCAGTCTATGAAGCGTCTACGTAAATATGTCTATGGTAGAGAGACGGCGGTTCAGTTCAGTCGGTCGTGGTCGGCTTCTGAACTTTTCTGTGAATTGATGGTGTTTCCTTGAATTTAAAAGGAAATAGAGAAAACGCTCTTTTAATTTCAAAAGTCCGCCCTATAAGTACAAAACTGCTATGAAGCGTGCAAGCAGAAAGCAGCATCCTTTTCTGTGAATACAATTGTGAAGGAATAATGTGTGTTTCTCTTTAACATTTCCACTAATAAACTGTTTTATAAATATTCTCCAGTATGGAGCGAATTATGTTCACCCTCTTCTCACAGGTAGGAAGCAGATGTTGTGCAACTACCCTGTGATTACAGAATAAAATTCCACACATTTTGAGTGTTAATATTAAAAATAAACACGGTCAGTAACCCAAAATAGAATGAACAAATAAGAACTTATACCTGAGGTGAAGTTGGATGAATTAAATGAATTAACAATTATTCAAATTTTCAACAAAAAGTGCACTGTAAAATGTGTTCTTTCCCCACCATAGGATTTAGAATTAAAAACAAAGATGTGCTTTTTAACGGCTGCATTTTGCGTATATAACTACAGCCCAAACAAGAGAGAAGAGCTGAAGCTTGTATATATGGCATAAATAACAAACAGACAAAGAAAATAAATACTCAAGAGTTTGAGGCTGAGACATATCCGAAGACTTTTACAATAAGAAGTCCATCCATGAATGTTTCCTCATGCTGCAGTTGCTTGTTGCAGAATTGTACAGTTCAAACCTTTGAAACATAAGCCATCAAGGTTTGGAGACTACGCAGAACATTTAAAACTGAGAATTTATGGCTTGAAAAAGAGATAAATCCATCTGTTTTGACTTTACTTTTGGACATGCCTGAAGGCCAAGCCATTGTGACCTCCAGTGTTTATGCATGAACTCCTTTAGTCTTGTATTAAAGGTCTATCTTTGTTTGTCAAACCACAGTGACATCCTTAGAGTCCTGATAGTTAATATCAGCCCTCACAGTAATGCGAGTCACATCCGCATCAGGCTCCACTGCAGATCTGAACTCCTCTGGCTCTGGTCTGTGTGACCTCTGACTTCTGGTTGGAGGGAAAGGGAATTCCTCCAGAGGAGCGTGCTCTATCCGGCACAGACTCTCTTCCATGTTACTGTCGCTGGAAACACAGCGGCCGGGCCAGACCTCCTCAGACTGCTGGTCTGGCTGAGGACAAGTCCTTTGAAGGTCGTCTGTTTGAACAGCTTTGTCCATCACACTGAGTGGCATCTCCAAATCCCCCACTATGATCGGCTCCTCCTTTCGGAAAGTGTGGCGGGCGTATAAGCCGATACAGAACATCTCAACAATCACACAGTAGTGGTAGATCACTGAGGTGGGGCAAAAAAAACAACATCTTAGACTCTGCACAAATGAAAGTGGCATTTCCAAGCATGTGAATAAGAAAACTAAAATTGAAAAAAAGATAACTTTGCAACAAATCTTTCATTGTGTACATGATTGGGACTTACACTGGGACCTGGTGAGGGTGGAGAAGGGCGGAGTGCAGGGGATCACCTCCAGAGCACCCATGGTCTCCAAGATGCCACTCTGGAGGCCGCACAGCACCAACACCACGATGATGCAGATGAACTTGGCTCTCAGTCCGTAGCCATGTAGAGCACCTTTGGTGGCTTTGTAGAACAGAAGGTGGCCATAAAAGGACACAAAGGTGGACACACATATGATTCCATTCACATACAAGTTTGGGTCGACAGAATCCACCTGGTGAACAAGAACAAAGTGGTCTTCAACTTAGTCTGCTGTATATAATCATTAGACTTTTTTTCTTTTAATAGGAAGCACATCACAGCTTCAGATGTGAGCTTGCAGTTTTTCTATGTTCAGTTGTATGTTTGCCTCCACTCACTTTGAGTCTCTAGTTCTTATGCTTTCTCTTAACGCTGTGAGTTCTGGCAAAATGCAAGACTTTATCAGAGTAATCCTACCACCATCATGATCTCGTCCTGAAGATAAAAATCTTGCACTTTTGATCACCTCAGAAGCTCTCCATTTAAAGTGTACTGACACCTATAGGACTGTTGTGTTTATCAGTTCCCATGTGAAAAACTCTAAAAACTTCTAAACCACCAATCTGTACATAAAAAGAAAAATTCTCACTAGCTCATATAATAAAAGCAAATTTGATATATCAGTTCGTGCAAGGCCATGACAGGCTTTAAAAACCAGTAAAAGAGTCTTAAAGTAGTTTTAAAAGATACTGAAAGCCCATGCAGAGGCTTTGAAATAGGTGTAATGTGGGCTCTCTTTCTGGTCTTCATGAGCATTCTTGAGGCTGACTTTTGAAGCAGCTGAAACTAGTGATGCTATTTTAATGGAGAGCAGAAAAAAGAGGGTTATTATTGTCAGTTTTGCATGTGATGAAAGCACAAATGTGTGTCTTTGCATTGGCTTGAGAGAAAGTCTGTCACACTGTCAATGTTTTAAAGGTGATAAAATGCCTTTTTTTGAATATCCCTGATATGTAGCTGAAAGGAAAGGTCTGAATCAAACGTCTCTCCTAGATTTTAGCCAGTAAATAAAGGTGAAGAACATACACAAGTTACCATTCCCTCTGTTTTCCAGCTTCTGTTTTTATTGAACCTTTTATTTATACTTTTTTTCAAGGTGCTTATTTGATTTCATTATTCATTTTTGTTTATGTCCAGCACTTTATGTTACATTAGGGTTGTAAGAAACATGCAAATAAACTGAGATTGATTGTCTGATTGATGTCTTTACATCTTTAAGCATTTTGGCGTAACACTGATTTAGTCAAGAACTTTCCTTTAACCGAAGAATCAAGAAGAAGAGCTGAGAGATGGTGAATAGTGTTCATGTAAGAATAAACACAGACTGAAGTCTGGATAAATGACTCACATCTCCATAGTCGTACTGTTCATCTGTCCACAGAACAAGAGTGACAAAGAACAAAATACTGCGGACCACAGAGAGCTGCAGCACAGCGGCCATCATCCAACCACGGCTGCTGCTGCAAACAAGAAGAGGGGTGAAGGTTAAACATGTTAGCAGCAGGAACAGTAATGTTGCCAATACACAGTTTGTAATATTAGACAATAACCAGACTCTTCTCTCCTGCCATCCCTCTGAGGTGGAATGAAATACCAAACTCTATCAGACCCAGAGAGTCCCTTTTCTACCTCTAAGATAAAGCCTCCATTCTCTAGGGAACACTGATGCACTGAAGCTCAGCTCTTCCCCTCTACTGTCCTCATAGGTGGAATGACTGAAACACTTGTTGACCTTTGTGAACAGCACAACACTTGGTTGCTTGGCACTTCTGGTGATGGTGTTGCGTATGTTGTCAATGATATAAAGATTAGTGTAATTAAAACCATCAGTCCTAAAAGTTCATTAAAGATCCAGTACACCTGGTTACAGAAAGCTGCTATTCTTAACATTTCTGTCTGTTTCTCAGACTTGTGTATAATGTGTACCTGTTGATGGACACCATAGGGAGGCAGCAGCAGCAGCAGCAGGGGAACGGGTCAGGAGGTACCTGCTGTCCAGACAGAGCCGAGAGCATTCGAGCTTTTCCTCCAAAGAAGTCTGTGATCAGCCCCATGAACTTCAGCAAGGTGATGGAGTGATACCTGCACAGTGATGTTTATAGAAGAGCAGCCATGTGAAGGTGTGACGACTGTCCTACAAAAATGTAGACTTTTTACTTACAGAGAGGCGATGAAGTTACACAGGGAGGAGGAGCGGGGCACGTACAGGGCTATGAGAGAGGTGGTGATAAATACCTGGAATAAAAAGGCCGTCAGACAGATCAGATGCGAATTGGTTTCCTAACTTTCATGTTAAGAGGTTGTTAGTGTATACAAAGCTGTTGAATTTACCGGGTACATCCCTAATATCCACAGGTAGAGCCGTTTCCGTCTGGAGGAGTGGATGTGGCGCAGAAAGAAGCCCACCTCCTCCAGGAACACCCCAATTATAATGAGAGCAAGGCCAGCCGGGATGAGGAAGAGCCACAGCTCATCTTCGATAGCTGATCACACAGCAAGACAAGAAAAAACACACACTATGGCCTGTGAGTTTTATAAATAGTATGTCCAGCTAAGTGTGCCTGGATATGAAAACTAACAAAGACATAAAATCTGTCCAAATTTTAGCAGGATTAACGATAGCTTGAAACTGTGATTTTCTTCCTGCCTTTTCATTGATCCCGTTAAAAAAGTAAATAAAACTTCCTTACCACTGAAGAACTGTGATGACAGAGGGATCTCAGGCCCAATCCAGCTGCAGTTTGTCGTCCTCCCCATTTTGAATATAATCCTATTTCACACCTTGGTTTACCTGTCACACAACAGGAACAGACTAATCACCATCAGCTACAAAAACCTGCTTTTCATAAATGTACCAAATCACATCAGTAACTAACCTTAAATCTTACCTCGATCAGAGATGAGCTGCAGAAGCTGCTTTACGTCCCGTCATTTCTGTGTGGATATGAACGCTTCCTCTCGGACGGCAGGGATTAATGATTTACTAAAGACAGGTAAGAGCAGAGGTGGGGGATCCAAGTCCATCCTGCAAACTGCAGGAACTTCACCTGAGGAGATTTCTCTTGAAAAACACACACCTGTGTAGGTTAATGGAAGCTCCACTTAATGCTAAAAACAGGAGGGAAAGTGTCCTCAGAGATTTTGAATATTTTATATCATTACATAAAATACTGATCTGTAAAGAGATAGCTAGTCAATTTTATTATAATATGTAGGTCAAGTTATTATTCACATTCAGTGGTGGCTGGTTTGGGGACTAACAAATGCATTATACTTATAAATGATCAATGCAGGACTATAGCCACAATGCAATGGTGCTCTACTATCTGTATGCAAACAAGCACAGATGACAGATACATTATCATGTGGTTTGACAGTATTTTAAAATAGAAGGAGTAGGTAAGGCTAAACTGGCATAAAATAAGTCGACTAGACTAGTGTGCAGCCAGCGCTGGCATGTGGATGTTAACCTGCAGGAAGGATCAAAAGCTGGTGGTGCTAGCTCTGCTAATATTAGCCAACCACTTCCACATCATTTACCCATAGACTTTAATATTGTGTTTAATTGTGTTGAATAAATTAGGCTCAAATTTTTTTTAGAGTGTTTCCTCATCTTTCGATGAGTCAGTACAACACTCATGACAAGGTTAATGAAAATACAATTCATACTTTAGTGTGATTTAACTGTGCTAAAACAATATTGGGGTTTTATATTCAATCTCTTCAAGCAGATGTCCCGAGCGTCTCCACTCCACAGCTTACCACCCCAACATTGAAGTCTACAGCCAGCCCTCTGAGAGAGTTGAGGTGTGCATAAACCTCAGCACCACAACAGCAAACTCCACTTAAAGGAAACTCTTTATTGCAGGTGTTCATGTCAGTATAACTCACTTTCTTTGAATGAAAACAGGACAAAATGAATATTCAGTTATATTCCTCCCACTCATTTTTTAATAGACAAAAAATATATAGAAAAAAAATAGCAGTACAAAAGATACTCAGCTGTAACAGTATAAAATGTGAACAATTACAGTAATGGACCCTTAAATACTTATATAATGACGTACCTTTACTTTAGTGTGTTGGACTGAAATGTGCTGGACATGGACCTCATTTTATCCTGAATTTGCAGCTCAGTGCTAAAGTGACACAGTTAACCTCACCTGTTTTCAATGTGCAGGTTGAGATCATTTAGTTCCTTTAAGGTTTAATTTGAGTCTTTGCATGCAGACCTCTGTTTCCTCTGGTTATATTTTTAATGCAGCCATATAATCGGAGTGATGCTTTCTGCAGTCGATCTTAAAATGTCCCAAAATGATCCTTTAACCCCAAGATATATTGGGCTCACACACTCCACTGTAGGTGTGAGAGACTTTGTCTTTTTACTCCACCTGAAACTCCAAAGCAGCGACTGAGTCCTCCACTTGTACAGCAGATCTCCTGCTGTTCTCTGGGTGACACAAACCCCCTGTGCAATGGTGTATTTGGTCTTTCTAAGCCTCTGTGCCATCACTGAATCAACCGATAGAAGACCCAGCAGAAGAAAACGACCCAGTGACTGGCCCAGTTCAGTTCAGACCACCTCTGGATGGTGTGAATGGCTGCATAACCCTGCAAACACAGGCGACAAATTCACACATAACCTTCCATTAGTCACATGTGATGGGTGTGGTGCATAATAAAATTCTTCAGTAACCGACTGAAATGCTCAGAAAAAATGGTTACAGCAAGACAAGCCTTTGTAAACACTGTGCTGCTGCTCCCTCCCTTTCATGACAGACATTTTCTTTAAAAGTGCAGCTTTGGTATCCTGCTCTAAATCTGGTTACTAAAGATGTGTATCATCAGTATGTATCAGTATGTCTTTAGAAGATTTTACCTCTTCTACTTCTTGTTCGTCAACTCCAGGATCAAACATCGAGCCCAGGTAGGTGAGATGAAAGATGGCTAAGAGGCTGAAGAGCAGATTTAGTAACATCACCCAGCATCCCTGCAAACCAAAGTCAAAAGACAAGTAACCAATAAGCAGCTGCAAACATTCAATATGTCAAAAGTTAAAATGTGACAGAGAATTTTTACTCATAAGGTCAAACAATCTGGGGTTTTCATCCAAAAAGTGCAAAACATCAATAATCACATATGAATAGTCAATAATGAGCTGCAGTTGTACCTTCTTGTGCTGATGGCTGCAGTCAGAGGTGCAGGGCCGAGACAGGACACAGGCACTAAAGATGGATGCAAGCCTCTGTCTCAGGACTGAGGATGAGTGAAAATACAGTTACAGTTTGAGAGATGAAATGACTTTTATTTGTTCAGTTTTTATAAACTCTACCACCACATTAAGTACTATGTGACTTTAAAAGAGATAAATCTACCTTGGAGGGTTAATCCTGCACAGTTAAAGTATAAAATTTATCAAATGGTGAAAAATGACTCATACCATGTTCCACATATGTGATAAAGCCCAGAGACAGCAGAACAGCTCCCAGGTGGAAACTCAAACCCTGAGGAACAAAATAAAACAGAAATATTAAGCAGTAATAGATTATCATGCACATACTGCCCAAGTTTAACTCCAACCAAATCCATTTACAAAAATACCACAAACAGGTGCAACAATGAGGGCGTTTCAATAAAAAAAAAAAGATCAAGTCAGCAGTTGTGGAATTCTGCACATTTAAGTGGTCTCTTTTGCATTAAATGGTTAAATGTGCGCATAATGTTACTTACATGCAGTAAAGCGCTGGCTGTGTAGGTCACCAGGATGGCAGGGAAAGTTCCCAGTTTCATGGCATTTTTAAACACATCTGAGTAACAAAGAGGACAGAAGACAGTAAAACACAGTTATATCAAATAAATACAGCTTTATTGCATATCTTTTTCTTTGATTCTTTGACCTTTAATGGGCCAAAAAAGATCTTACTTCAACCAGAGGGCCAGCAAAACTCTGCCATACTAAGAGATCGCCAAATCTGTCCATCAAATATATGGTCTGTGCAAAAATTGGAGTCATATGGAGTTATTTTCAAAAACATGCGAATGTAACCGGTATATATTCAGCAGTTTTATTTTGAAAGGCAACAACATTTCAAAATTTCTTCCATACTATTTCTTCTAAAATTCGTCAGAAAAAGACTCAATGGGTAACAGACTGTTTTTCCTGTAGTCTTCTGACCACTTTAAAGACTTTTTAAAGTCACATTAACACATTATACACTGATGGCAGAGGCAGCTGCCTGAAGCAACCATCAGTATGAATTCATCCCACTGCTACACTAACAGCACATCACCAGGGGGGTCCATTAGGGATGAAGTGTCTTGCATCCAGCATGCCGAGCAGAGGACCCTGAACTAAATCTTCAGCCTTCTGAAGAGAGAGGACTGACCTTATCACTAAAACACAGTCGCCATAACTTAAGCATGTAATAAGCAAGGGCAATAAGCAGTTAAATACACTCAAGATTGCATTTTGAACAAACGTTGCTTTTTCTGCTCTCTGGTCTCTTTTCAGGCACAGATTAGTTCTTTCTCCTGCACTGGTTTATAGTGATGAACCAGTCTTGTGTCCTTTCTCGTGTCTTTCTCTGTGATACTCCTCTCACCTGCCACATTTTCACATGAGTGATATATGCATGAACTTCTATTTATTTAGAGTTAATTAATCCTCTTGTTTCTGCACTATTCTTGTGCATTTTTCCTCCCATAACTGTATACAAGTAACTTAAGTTTTGTTTATAGAAAGCTTCATATGACATTATTGTGTTACTGTTTTTACACACTTGTAAGAATTTCAAGTAATGCCTAAAAGTTAGAAATTGATCAAAGTAAAATAACAATTTAGAGTGTGCTCTCTGTGTTGCAAGCTGTTGCTTCACATGTTGCCAGTGGACTAAGTATGAATAAATAAGTGAAAACTAATAAAGTTTTAGTAAAAAATTAATTTATAAATAAATAACAACAAAAAAAGTTGTTGCTCCTGCAGTGTGTACTGATGCAGGACTGTTGCTAAGAAAAAATGGAGGTTTGGACTCACAGGTTTTCAACCATCGGGACATGGGGATGTTCCAGGATGTCACCACTAGCACCATGGAGCGAGGCATTTCCACACTGAGAGGCTTCACCACACTCATATCCCTGAACAATAAAGCACAGAGACACATTAATACAAAAAAAAAGGATATTTGTATCCCTTTATCTTGTCCATATTTCCAGGAAATGTGAACTGCATGCCATTAATCTTAATTTTTAGGTCTGTTTGCGACTGATGGAGGGCATACACAACCTTTTCTGTGGTATATAATGATGACGCATGATACAGTTTTTGCAACTGTGGTTTGACTAACAAGGTTGACTTGTTTACAAAGAGCATTATGTGTCAGTTCCAGATAAAAACATGCTGTAAAAACATTAAAAAGCCAATAATTTCTGAACAAATAACTTCCTTTAAATGTCTTTAATTCCTACAGGATCTTTGTCAGATCACAGCAGTTAAACTACCGCTGATCTCACCATCTGATGTTGTCTTTCTCTTCAGTAAATCCAGCTCCAGCCAGCATGCAGGTTCCTTCACTGAGGTGACCCACAAAGTAGTTACTGAAGTGGAAGGATACTGCGTTCTCGTAGGCATGCATCCACCTGAGAAACACACAGTAAACATATCATAACACACACTTTTTGTTTTGTTTACCCTGCACTAAAGAAAAACTTTTTTAAGTTCCCACTTAAACTCCTGCAAAAAACAGGAACTAGCCAAGCACGTCAGGAGCCTCAATCCAGTATTTTCCCCCTATTTGATGCAGAGAGATAGTGATTTGAACGAAAAAATGGGATTTACTTCTGTGTGAATGCGTTTCCTTCGATGGGGATGAACAGTGTAAAGAGGTAGGGGGCAATGCAGGTGGAGACCAGCAGACAAATCTGACTCTTCAGGAGGCTGAAGGAGCAACTCTGCAGCCATGAGAAGCTCTGAGGAACAAACCACATCATTACCAACACAGTTAAAAATACATGAAGAGCAGCATACAAACGGATGGAAACATGAATTACTGACCAGTTTTCTGCCCTCTGCTGCGTTCTTATAACTGGAGAAGCTGATCCAGGGGCCGAATACGGCAGAGCCCACAAAAAGGACGTAACCCAGAAACTCAGCAGGGGAGGGCAGGGAGGTCACAGAGCCTCTGTCCAGGTCAAAAGCCAGAGAGATGGCCTTCATCGCCACCACCATCTGAGAACCTGAAATACACCCACACATGTCAGTATCAGCTTTGAATGAGACATTTATCATCAACCAGACAAACAAAGTATTGTCATTCAAGCTTGACACAAGAAAATGTACAGATATGCAGACAGTCTTTAAGCATCCCTGAAACAAAGCAGCAGCTGTGGGAAACCCTCTGCTAATCCAAAAACTTTCATTAAGATCATATTTTTTTAAATTAAACCATGAAACACTTACCTCTTATTTTATGCCAGGTTACCATGTCAATTAAATGTAACTCCCTGAAATGAAAGGGTAGAAAAATACAGCAAACTTAATTCTGCTTCACAAAGTTAAAGATTTTCAAGTGAGGAAACTTGGTTAAATCACACAGGAAGTCTAAGAGCTGTACCCAATCATTAATTCAGTAATGCTGAGATTTCAGCACAAAAAAGATCAAACAAAAACTCCCATCACACAAACTACGTAACCTTTTTTATCTGAAGTTGATCACTGTGGTCTAAATACTTTTTTGGGACTAATTCACAAACATATCCTGATCAAAACCAAATTTAGTCAAATCTCAGGTCACAGATAAATAAATGAAAAGTCAGTTTTAACATTTAAAAGGATTTAATATTACTGCTCTAATTCTGAAGAGCAAAACCTCACAATCAAAAATGAAAGAATCTGTTTCCTTTTAAAAACAAGACAAGTTTAAAAGGTTTACCCACCCAACAAGGAGAAAGACAAGGATGATAACTGAGAGAAAGACACCTCTGCTGCTGGAGTGTCTGCCCAGGACAAGGACGAGGTAACAGAGTATGCTGAGCAGCACCACCCACAGCATGTGCAACTCGAAGAACAGAAAGAGGGCGTACATCCCTGTCAGAGCTGAGGCTACGTGCTTCAATGTGGACACACCCTCTGAAAAACACAACACAATGGTCTCTTTAATAATGTGATTAAAAACTGCTTGGAAGGTGTCATGACATCTTAATGGTGTGATTTACTGCCTAACGCAAAGAAAAAGAATCACAATCATAGAATTTTTATCTCTTGTTGTCTTGCATTCAATAAATCTTCTCACCCAGTCTGAAGCAGATTCTGCTGATGAGACAGAGCAGCAAAAGTCTCCAGACCTGTTGCAGACCCTGCTGGACCGTACTGAGACCACAGCTCTCTGCCAGCTGCTGCCACAGTGCCAGCCGGGTGGACATGTCCATCCTGCTGCTGCGCACACAGAAGATTATACAGTTAGATTAAAAAATAGAGTAAAAACAAATGAAAGACTGGGTATAATTACATTCTTGGATTCTCCTCACAAATACTAAACACCACTTTGGAAAATTTTAATCTCCATTATCTCCATAGAAACATTTAATATCCTTTTTTAATAAGAGTTATGAGTAATTCTGACCAGCTCCTGTTGCCTAGATTTTCTTTAATTCCCTTCTGACACTTGGTTATTTAGCCCCCTGGAGAATAGATACTCAGCTAGATACTCTAACCAGTCCTTCAGCTTATTAACGCTGATAACAGTGGTTTATAGGATGGATTAATCAAACTTGTTTTTATCATGAGGTTTTTTATTAATGGTTCTAAAACAGAAGCGTGGAGCGCTGCAGGGGTGTTACAAAGATGTAGGTAATGGACTGTCTCTCTAATGCTCTTCAGAGAGGATAGGGTCCAAGTGTAAATTTCTTCCAAACAGCTGAGGCACTCAGAGGATCATTTAAGTAAAAGCCTTTCTTTTTCAGGGCTGCAGAGTCAGAGTTAAGACATTTGTGATTCAGCTGCTGAGGGTTCAATGGGGCAGATCTGGATTTTGTAGCTGCCTGTGTTTTCTTGTAATTTATCTAAGTTGACAGACTGAATTCTAAACGGTCCCTGTAGTGTTTGGGTTACTTGCAAAGTATTTCTGGACAGCAAGAGAGTTCAATTTCGTTTCAGTTAAACGTCCTTTGAACTGAAGGAGGTATTAAGACTGATGATGTCTAATATTTTACTGGTTGAAGCCTCCCGCACAAACTAAAATTCACAGTATTTCTTGATTTCTATACATGCTATATAAATCACAGCTCTCTATCTGATGTTGAGTTAAATTATGTCCAAATAAGTCAAAGTAGCAAACTCGGACTGAACTTGTCTAAAACTTTTCTAACTTTACAAATGCTGCGAAGGAAGTAAATGTACGTTAACCATCTAACCCGAGAGGTTTCTATAGATATATTAATCTAAGTGTAAACTTTGCACATCATTTATTGTTTTAAAGACTTTATATCACAGAAGTTTATCTTAATAAATCACAGCAGTTCACTACGAAGAAACAGGACCTATCGTTACAAGTCAAACTTCTGCTCTTCACTAAGTCACGCAGTGAGTCCGGACGACAGTTATGGTGTCTTTGAGGAAGCTAAAAATCGAACCTGAGCAGTGAAAGAGGAGAAAAATGACAGTTTAATACCTGAAAAGGTGAAAATATGTACATACCTTTGATATTGTTATGTCCGCTGCTCCCTTCTTCTTCTGCTGCTTCTTTCTCGTTCTCCGCGGAGCTTCTTCTTCTTTTGTATCATTTAAGGGAGAAAACAAGGGGACTTTAAACTTTTGGTGAAGACGCGCCACCTGCTGGACTGAAATATTAACAGCAACAAATAGACTGATGTTCTTACTGTAATGTCTTCCCCGGAGATCTTTTGGTTAAATAACATTATAAGATGTTTCCATCGCTCAATTTATTGACGTGTATGTGTAATGTGATTTTTTTTTTATCTGTGGTAAAGCATTCAAGGTATTTTATATGATTTTGGGAACATTTTTTTATATTATTCAGAGGCCATATGATGAGACATGCGCTATAACTTCAAGTTCCTGTTGTACCAAACTAGAGTACAAATCGAATTTTTATTTAGACTTGTTTTATCATGACACAAAAAAGTGATAAATCTGAATCTGTTGTCATCAGATCAGACAAAGGCGGAGAATATTCCCATTTAATTCATTATTATCGTTGGCCTTCAAGTTAGCGGGTGTCAAGTTTTTTTTAATCTGCTGCTTTTGTAAATCACTGCAGCTTCCTGAGACACTCTAAACTGATTTTTAATTTGATACTTCTGTTCAGTTATTAGATTTGCATGCACTGTACCTACAGCAGCTTCCATGGGTGCTTCAAAATGTCAGATTCTGTATCACTTAACCTGAATACTATACAGTTTTCTAGATTGTCAAGAAAGTTTGTTCACTTTTAAAAGTTTCTGCACCCAAAAAACATTCACACACTTCTAAATAAAAGAGAAAGTAGATTTGGGTTTGGGTCATTCACAGAGAGCACACTCTAATTTGTTCTTGTACTTTGGAAACCTCTTTAGAAACATATCAAAAGGTGTGGTCTCTGTCTTTGTATCTTTGAATCAGCTCATGAGACTTTTATTCATTTATTATTTTTACAGATTACTGAATTGGTTTATTTTACTGGAATGTTATGAATTACTAGGGGTGAGCGATACATGGGGATCAGATAACATTTATCAAGGAAATACAGAGAATATTTATTCATGTTTTCTTTAATATCTGTGATCATGACCACAAACTGTGAGATCAGCGCAGACAAATTCTATTTTTAGTCTTTTTTATTTTGGAAAACAGCCTCCTGTTTCTATTAGCTGATCTGGATCACATGATTACTGTTGTGCTATCTGATTGGCTAATCTTTACAGAACCACTGAACTGAACTGAAATCTGCTGCTGAATTTGTTTATGGGGTAGATTTTACATCAAACATAGTATTTATGATCATTTGTATTTGTTTATCTAATTATTTTCCAACTGTGAAGGCTTAAACTGCTTTAATTTCTCGGTTAACATAGCTGCTATTCATATGTCCGATACAACTGCTCTTGGTTTTAAGTTACTGGAAGTTTTGGGGGGGAGATTTAGTGTCATGCCTCTCTAATCTTTCTCGTCTTCCAGCTGCTTGGCAGCTCTTTAAATATTGACACCGGTGTCCGCCTCCAGCAGCAGTAGCAGCAGTAGTCCACAGGCCGGGCCGTGCTACCGTGGGGTATCCAGCCTCTAGTTACACCGGCCGGCTGCAGCTTCTCTGCTGTCCTGCAGGGGGCGGTGCAGCGGGGCTACTGTCCATGGTGCTGGAGATCCGGCTGGCTCTGTCCGGGGTGCTGAACAGACTCCGGGGGTGCTGGGCTCACTCTGAGGCTTCTGTCGGACCCGTTCAGTCCACTCCTGCCCGGTTCCGGTCGTGTATTTCGGGGTTGTGGTCGCTCCAGGGGGTTAAAGTGAATATTCCAGCCCCGGAGATGTCGGAGCGGAGGGGGAGGGGAGGGCAGTAGACTGAGCGGAAGGTAAGGCTTTATGTCTCCGTGACAAAGAGCGTGAAGCTCACTTATTTGTTGGTATTTTCTGAAGTCTATGAGAGCTTAACAGTGGTTTTGTCTCAACGCTGGGGGGACGGGATGGATCGGTATGTGGGTTGTTGTTCTTTGGATGTCAGCGGGATATCTGTCGGGTTTTTTTTTTCTTCCGCTGAAAATAATTCTGCTCGGTGTGAATGAGCGTACAGTCAGTTTTTAAACCGATTATTATTGATAGTAGTTGTTCCCGGCGGCTACAATGGCGTCTAAGTGTTTTTCCAGTCTATTTCTGACTCTTAATGTCAGTGTTTAACGCCGCTGGCCTTTGTATGTTTGTTTTTTTGTCACTGTGCCAGTTTTGGAGAGGAGAAAGGCCTCGTCCTGGCAGCAGCCCGGCCTACATCTCTACTCTCACCGACACAAACCTTTTGACGCTTTGAAAATGATACTCCTATTTTGCTTTGGCTTTATCCCGTTAAATGTTTCCGCTATGAAAAGTTTCAAACATTTAAACTTATTTAAGGTCCTTCCTTTCAGGAGTAAAGTCACTCTAAGCCGGTTGTGTTTGGTAAATGTGTCAAAGATCTCCAAACTGTCATGAGCACCGCTGCCTGCTGTCAAACTGTCACGTACACATACCTCTGTATGCGCTCCAGTACAGAGGAATCTACCCATATAAACACTCTTATATCTCTCATTTATAAGTTTATTTCACTGAATTTAAACAATTAGTCTATAATTTAAACATACTGTGTATATTTTTGAACGATTTGAAAATAGTAAAAAGTTCATTTAGCTACCATAAGTTAAGGTGTCTTATGCTATGGTGTATGACAATAAAACATGATGGTAAGGTTGTGGTAGTACGATCCGATTATGATAGGATAGGACTAAATAAAACAAATTACATAAATATGTTAAAGAAATTATGATTCATTATGGAGAGTAGTTACATACAATTCAACGCAATGCCACGAAATACATTAAGATAGGACACGATATAATGACAAATTAAACATTTTTATGTGATAGGAGACACAACATTTTGAGGTTATACTACGATATGATATTCTGGAGTAACAATACGATTAACTGCGCACTAACAAAAGTACGATATGACGATATGCTATGACAAGTTAGGTTACAATACGCTATGCTAAACTTCACTGTGTTTCAAATCAATACACTAAGTTAGGATGTGATACCTAATGTTACATTACGATATGATATTCTAGAGTAACAATATCATAAACTGCGCACAAACAAAATTACGATATGACGTAGGATAGGCTACGCTATGACAAGCTAGGTTACAATACGCTATGCTAAACTTCACTATGCTTCAAATCAACACTCTGAGTTATCATGTGATACTTAATGTAACACTACATTTTGCTATGATAATCCGTTCTAGAATACCTTATGTTATAACTTGCCACCCTATAATATGCTATGCTACAATAGCCTATGCTAGGAAATACTATGCTAAAACAAGCTTTGCTTCTATACTGTACTGAACATAACGTATCCTACTTATTTACTACGATATTATAAATACAGCACAATAGTATCAGGTTGTGTGTTGATGTAAAGTACTGTCAATAGCGAACGATATGACGCAATACAACACACAGAATGTGTTAGGATGAACACAATACCATGCATTATTAAAAGTAAGTTATGATACAATATGATATATGACATGATACCCCCAAACTATGTTGAGTTTTCTTACACTTAAGAGCTGTGCACATTTTGCTTAAAACATATTATTGAAAACCACAAACAACATATTATGCATTACTTATATTGCACATTTTCCACATTAAACACACCATCCAGACATATGGGGTCCAATGTGCTCTACAGTACAATAACAACGAGATATTCAGAAATCTTGAAATTAAATTTAAAAGGTAAAAGCAGGACAACAGAAACATTTGTTCTTCTGTTTTTGAGTGTAAGCTTTGGTTCAAAAATAAAGGAGGGAAGTGATAGAACATTAAGTTCGGTGCAGTTAAGTCAAGTAGAAGTAAGTTAAAGTTTGAAACTTTGAGAAGTAAAGTATACTAAAATCAAGTTGAATAACGTAAAATCAAATGAAGTGATTAAATGAAGGAAAAGTAAAGTCCCTTCAAGAAAAGGAAAAAGTGTTAAGTTAAAGAATGCATATTTCTATCAACTTACTGCTATATTAAATGCATTATAGAATGTACCATATATATATATACAGTATATATGTGTATAAATATATATATATACTGACAAAACTCCTTTTAATGTTGAAGTTTTTTTTTTTTTAAGTCATCTTCCAGAAGGGCAAAGGTACACAGTGTAACTGCTAGATTTTCTAATCTTCTGACAGAAGTAAACTTAATGTATCACATTTTGGGGACAGAAATCACAAAACTCTTTGAGGACTGGTGAATACTGAAGCCTTACTTTTGACCCTGGCTGTTTTGTTTTCAGAAACTTAAGTGGTGTTTTTGTCTTATCTTAGCCAGAAAATGAGTTCAAAGGTCAAACACTGAGACAACGGAGGACCAGGGGAGAGTCAACCAACAAGAGAAAGGACGAGCCTCAGCATCAAAGTATCTATCTATCTATCTATCTATCTATCTATCTATCTATCTATCTATCCATCCATCCATCCATCCATCCATCTATCCATCCATCCATCCATCGTACTGATTTTACTTCTGTTCCTCAGATGAGCCAAGAAACAACAGAGACACGAACAAGGACCCGCTCTAAAGCCATCCGAGGTCAGTACACACGCACGCACACACACACACACACACACACACACACACACACACACACACACACACACACACACACACACACACACACACACAGAACGCGATGTCAAATGACGCTGATGTGACCTTTCCTGTTGTATATTTATGGAATACACTTGGGGGCAACAATGAGCTGTTTGCCTCACGTGATCCTCAAATACAGACACTATAACACTCAGGCATCAAAACACAAGGTGCCAAAAAACACCAGGCTTGATTGGGTTTAACTATTCAAATTTCTCACTTTCATATGTCAAACTTAAGTTGCTGTTAATTAAAATGTTGCCACAGGGTTCATTTGTCCTCAACAGTGGTAGATTTTTGAAGCACGATTTTCATCCTGTAATTAAAGCAGCATTTTCAAGCTCAGGAATTCAAGCCCAGTTGCAAACATTTGTGAATCTGCATTCACTTTTTATAACTGGGTATAAAAAGGGTAGTCAAGAGAGGCTCTGTCTCTCAGAAGGGTAGATGGGAAGAGGTTAACCACTTTATTAGAGAGTGCATGAACAAATGGCATTAACAGCGTAAAACTGCAAAGAATGAGTGGATTTCATCATTAAAAGATTCAGAGAATCTGGACCCCAGGTGTCTCTGCACTAACAAACAGACAGGACTCTGTAGTTGAAATCACTGCATTGGCTCAGAATTACCTCCAAAAGCCATCGTCTTTAAACACAGTTCACTGCATCCACAAATGCTGGTTAAAAGTGAACCATGCAATTGGGGACCCATGTCAATTATAGACATGATCCAGAAACACAGAAAAGGTAGAATGGAAACCTGTCTTGTGCTCTTTATTGACAGCACTCTAAAGAATAGAGGGACCTCATGGCATCCCTCAAAGTCAGCATCCCTGATGGTATGGGGATCATCAGAATCTATGTCATAGCTTCGACATCTGTGAAAACTCCATTAATGCTGAACAATATCTACAAGTTTAGGAGCAACATCTGCTGCCATCCAGACAATGACTTTTTCAGGATAGACCTCCATGTTTCAGGAAGACAATGACAAACCACATTCTGCAGGGATTACAACAGCATGGCTCTGTAGTAGAAGAGTCCTGCTGATGACCTGGTCTGCCTGCAGTCCTGACTTGTCCCCTATTGAAAACATTTGGAGCATCATGACATCAAAATAGGACAAAGGAGATCCTGAACTGTTGGGCAGCTGAAATTCTCTCTCAGACAAGAATGGGACAACATTTCACTTTAAAACACCAGAAACTGGTCTGTTGGGTTCACTAACATTTACAGAGAGTTGGGAAAAGATGAAACAGGATGGTAAAAATGTCCCTGTACCAACAAATAGCTGGCTTTTAATTTAAAATGAGTGTATGAATAAAAACATCTGTTTCAACATTTGATGTTTTCTTAACACTAGTGGCTTTAAATGATTTGCGAACTTCAAAAAGTGGTTTTACATCCTATCCCACCTTATTTGGATTTGTACTTTGCACTTCTGTTTCGTTAAAGGGATGAGGAACAAACTCATCATAAAATCCTAACAAACTTCAGTATACAAACTTGCAAAAATATGTTTATTGGCAACATTTCTGTACTAAAAATTCATCAGGAAACACTGGCATTCCTTGATGACGGTCGAGAACAGAAACGTTGCCAGAAAATATGCTTTTGAAAGTTAAAGAGCAGGAGTTTGTTTGCATGAGAGTTTTTCAAAATGTTTTCATAAACAGAGGAAACATATTTTGGCAGACTGTTATTTTCTTAAGCGGACTTGATGCTGCTGTGAGTCAAGTTGATTGAGGTTAATGCCTTCAAAATTTTTGTACATGACTCACGTGCAGAAAAGACTATATGGTAAGTTAATTTTGATATTTATAGTTCACACGAGGCTTTTATTTTTGTATCTCCTGCTTCCTTTCCTCACAGCAGAGCTTGCAGGACAAGACATGAAGCAGGAGCTAAGGTGAGTTTATCTGTTTTTAAGTAGATATCAAAATAAATAAAGTCAGTTTTGTGTGAATGAAGTCTTGATTTGTCGTGTTGTTTGTCTGCAGCAGCTGCCCCACCCCTGGATGTGACGGAAAAGGTCATGTGAGTGGACGATATTCACGGCACAGGAGGTAAGATTCCGATTATAACATCACACTTTATGCAGACTAATAGAACCTTCTTACGAGAGAAGACATTGAGGAAGAAACACTTGCATTTATATCATAAAACATGTACATGAAAGATAGTGCGATGATTAAAAGGAGGGCTTCGTCTTTCATCTGTGTTAGTACTAGGATTTTTGGTATGTAAGAAGCATTTCTCACTGATCCTTTGAAACAACTGAACAAGCTGTGGGTTTTGCCATTTTGTGTCAGCTTGTTTAATGTCAGCATGTTCACACACACACACACACACACACACACACACACACACACACACACACACACACACACACACACACACACACACACACACACTCACACTCCTCCTGCTCTCCTCAGCGCTCTGGGATGCCCACTTGTAAAGAAAAGGAAGCTGGAGGAGGCCGAGGCAGAGGAGAACCAGTCTGCTCCCAAAAGGAGGAACCAGTCTACAAAAGAGGCGGTCGATGAAGGCCTCAACGCTGAAAGTGACGCAGCAGAGGAGGAGGAGGAGCAAAAAGAGGAGGAGGAGGAAGAAGAAGAGGAAGGAGGAGACCTGAAAGAGAAGAAGAAAAACAAAACAAAAGGATGGCCTGAATCAACAAAAAGTGAGTGAAACTAAACCAGAGAAGCCAGATAAAAAGTTTTAGTCAGAGTGAGCTGGATCTTACCGCACAGGTTTCATTTCAAAGACACTTAGTAGTTGGGTCACAAAGTGAGATTCTGTGACCATCCTCTGGCAAGGATGTTTTGACGATTGATTTGACCTCTATGGACCCTTTAGAAAAGATTTAGCCCCCAGGTCCCTCGCAAAAATCCCGGCATTTTTTGCAAGACAGCCAAATTCAAGATGGCGGCCGGCGCCATCTCTTAAAATTAACTTTTGATCTGGATGACCTAGAATCATGTATGAAGGCACTTTTCCATACAAGTCAAGCATGAGGATTCCAAATCTGACATAGTTTTAATCATACAACTTTGTTTTGACCGCGATATTCAAGATGGCTGCCATCTAGTACTGTAATTCTCAACCTTTTCAGGACTTGACCCCCCCAAAAACAATCATATTTGAAATGGGTAACCCCTAATTTGTTTGACTCTGTTCCACATATAGATATTGTGAAAATAGCCGCTCTACAAACCCGTAACACCTTGTATTGTGAGGCGTGTGAGCTTGTAGATTGGCTATATTCACAATTTTTGCCTTTTTCTTATATCATTTGACAATTTGGCCAATGGTTTAGCATTGTTTGTTGATTACTTTGGATGCAGTGATGATCTTTTTCTTTGAGGATCTTACAAGTCCTAACATTATAATTTCACTGTCATCTGGGGGTACGCCACCAACCAATGATCAAGTACAGAGAAAACTTAACTTAACAACAACATAAAGGCCAGTGAATATTGCACTCAAACTATCCAGTATGCTTGATTCATGTCAGCAGCAGTACTTAACTCAGGCAATTTGATTGGCTGTCCCTTCATGTCAGGGATCATCTTTGGGTCGACTTAATGGTATATGTGGCTTCATTACACAGACTACCACACTGGAGAATACATGACTGTCTGTCTGTCCTGGTTGGTATATTATTTTCTTCCATATTCAAGCAGCCATGTATTCTGCATGCACACTGTCTTTACAGATCAAATGTGTAGCTCCTCTAACTGTGGACTCAAAAGAATGACTGAGGCAACATTTAGGAAAGCAGCAGCACTAAACAAGCAGCATGTGCTAACATGCCCTGACATGAAGGGACAAGAGGGTGGAGGGTGGCGGACCCCGCACAGTTGTATTTTCGTCTGGCGGAGCCCGGCATACAGCCAGTTTGGTATTATCATGGACATTTTCGTGCTCGCCAATGGCGTGTAAAGTGCACTGAAAGCTCGCCGATTCAAACCTGGTCAGCTTTCAGCGCAGGCAGAGCACAGCTGGTCTAGTGGTATTATGGTAGACCAGCGGCGTATCGGCATACATCACCGATGCCTCACCGGCAGGTTTCCACAGTGTCAGGCACATTTCAGTGCAATAAATAATCATCAATAACTATTAATCTGAGTCAGCACATACATTTAGATCTATATCGATATATTCTGATCTATATCTGATCTGATGAGCGCGTTTGGCACGCATTTGGACACACAACCGGATTGAATCAACACAGCTGAAACCGCATTAAATTAAATTAAATATCTAGTAAATAAACACACATGATGAAGTTAATAAGATATTTAATTCGTCTCCCTCCTTTTCATTCTTCCTCTTCCTCTTATTTCTCGTGCAGCTCGACCTAGACATGTGTCTGTGTCCTCTCTCTGTCCTGCTGCAGCTGAACAGATGATTTGTTTCAGTGCTCAGATGAGTTATTTACTTCAAGCCGACATACGGATATTATAATATTCAGTTTTGTGAGCCAAATTTACTTTATATGCCAACATCTATGAAAGAAAGAGCCAGGCCACAGAGCGCGATGCGTCATCTACGCACAGATGGTTCCGATTTTAATGCCATTTTTGGAGTTTATATTGTGATCTGTGCGCTCAACCCACCTTTGTCACGTGAGGTTTGAATATATGCAACTTTATGTGAGTGTCTTTATTAGTGGAAAAGGGTGTTTGTCTTACCAGTGGGTCCAACATTACACACACCAAATCCGTCTGTGCTCACATGAGAGAGTGTGGAGGACGCCAAATGCAGCGCTTACAGTGGCACTTGTTGAGGAGCTGCCTTCTGTCACCATCGTGTGGCATTGCTGTCTTCAGACATCTCTTGATCTCTTTGACTACTTCACGAAAATAGTAATACGCCTCGCCAGTGGTGGATTTAAAGGCAAGGAGAAGAGCCTGTAGTGATTTGAAATGAGCCTCACACGGGGCACCAAAATATATGTAGTGATTTGAAATGAGCCTCACAAGGCCGCACCAAAATAATACTTGGCGATTGGAATTTATAATAAATGTCTGAAGATTAATAATCTCAAATTATGACATTTATGCACTCGTTGAAAGGGGCACCACCCACCCTTAATGGTGGGAAAATAAAGAAAACAAAAGTTTAATTCAGAAATCAAACATCAAGTCAGTTTTAATTAATCAGTCTTAATTAATCAGTCTTAATTAATCAGTCTCATATCTTAAGTCGAAATTCTAATTTCAGGGACTCCACTTCTGGAAGAACACTAACAGACCAGAACTTAGAAAAATAATTATCTGTTTATTACAGGATAAATGATGGTACAACACACATGCAATAAATGATGATAAGATAATGAAGATAAATAATAATAGGTGAATAAATCAAGATTCTGAGTCAGGCTAGGAGCACTAAAGTTAATGATAGTGAGTGAATATGCGCTAACATATTAACCTACACTAACTTTGGTGTCGAGATAAACTCGGGTGTAGATTTGGAGGAATCTAAGATCACCAGAAATAGGTGGATATCTGAGTTATGAACGCGTGAGACAGCATCAGCCCTGTCTGGAGCTCTGGAGGTTTGCATACTTAAGTGAGACTGGTCCTTGGAGAAGATGGAGCAGGTTCCGAAGGTCCGGGGCTACTGGCGGTTCGAGCGGTTCAGCTCAGAAGACGACTGAAGTCAGCCGAAGGATGAGCCAGGAGTTGCAGCACTCAGGCCCGAAGCAAAAACCAGCGCCTGTGGATCCTGTGGATGCTCGTTTGGGTACTTCTTTAGTCTCACTCAAAAACTCTGGCACAGAGGATGACCTGGGCCTGTTGGATTGCGTTCGGAGGTGACTTTGAAATCACGCAGAAAACTCAGAAAAACGAGGCTCGAAGAGCAGAGAAAACTTTCAAAAATGGCTTCGCAAAATTAAAGAAAATCAATCAAAGGCTTAATCTTGAATTGCTATGTGCACAAAAAGTTGAAGTTTCAAAACTTGAACTAAGACGATATTAAAGAAAAATCAACGTGAATCAACACGTGGTGTAAAACTTAGAAGACTAAGAAAAAGTTCTAAGAGAAAACAAAGAAACACACCACAGAAGGGTGTGGGCAGAAGAGAAGGGGCATAAGAGCCGGGGACAAGAGAGTCCGCAGAAGAGAGATAAGAGGAGCATAAGAGGAATAAGAGCTAAGAGAGAGAGCGAGCAACCCCACTCCACTGGTTTTATCTTCTCACACTGGGAGTGTCTGAGGAGAAAGAGGAGGGGTCATCGGGTCTCTGATTATTTGATCTAACTTATTCTTTTGGCTGATAAAAGAGTCAGATCTGATACTCACTCACTATGATTAATATCATTGAATGCTTGGTTTCATGATAAATAATTTGATACTAAACACATATGAATGAAGTGTAGGATCACATCAAACATTCTCATTATGTTTTAAGTATCACATTGAACATGCTAAATTACTCTGAAATGAAACAGATAGTAACACATAGAAACTGTGAACAACAAACGAGTAAACACATGTGAATGAACGTCATCATGATTAATAATGGATTCTAAATACTCACATTCAGATTATTCAGTGACATTATAACCACCTAATGGTTAAAAATACTAAATAAACGATTAAAATATAGAACAAACATTTCTAAACCATTTCTGTTAATTAGAGCTAAGTTATGAGTCACAATCAATAAATTTAACTCTTAAAAGTTCATGAAACAGTCTGAAAAGCTGTTGGTCTAAAGATATCCGGAGTGATAATTTGGCTTCTGAAGCACATAGAAAAACGGGAAACATCTCATTTTAACACAAATTTCATGATTAGACAGATTAGTACATTGCTGAATGCATAAGATGTCAGGATCAGTCATTTGTATTCTTTCACCAAAGGAATGTAGTCTTTATCAGTGCATGGTCGAGCAGGGTTTTACGACCGAGGTCTGGAGGTCAGTGTCCCCCCTTTTCCTAGGGTCCGTATGTTCACACACTTTAAGACACTAAATCTCAAATGGGAGATCTGGGTTGAGACGTTAATGTTTATTTAGATGGTCAGCAAATGGAGTCAGTTTGAAAGGTAATAAAACTCTGTCTCTGTTCTCCGAATTGACCAATCGTGAAGAGTCGGAGGTTTAGTCAACCTCCTGTTGGGTCACTTATTTAACCTGAAAGGGCAAACACGTCTGGAAAGATTTATATCCTGTTTCCTGGGACCAGATAAGGAAGCTTTCCTGTGAGGAATGTGTGGGTTTCACATCCAGGGTTGTCTTGATTGCTACAAGCCTATGTGATTGGTGAAAACAGGTCTCAGCTGTGTTAAACCCACTCCATGCCCTCTCTCCTCCCTCGCTACGACTTTCGCCGCTGGGAGGAGCTGAGTTAAGGAGGGGGGATACTTACGCTGGGCTGCGTCGCTCACCAAAATTCCAAATTGTGCTTGGGAATGCCTTGTCGGCGCGGCGGACCTGACTTACGCTGCGCCTGCAGCACGTCTCCAGCGAGGCACGAAATAGAGCCCCATGTGTTACGGGCTTGTAGATCGGCTATTTTCACAATATCTAATGTGGAACAGAGTCAAACAAATTGGGTTTACCCAGTTCAAATATGATTGTTTTGGGGGGTCAAGTCCTGAAGGTTGAGAATCACAGTACTAGATGGCAGCCATCTTGAATATCGCGGTCAAAACAAAGTTGTATGATTAAAACTATGTCAGATTTGGAATCCTCATGCTTGACTTGTATGGAAAAGTGCCTTCATACATGACTCTAGGTCATCCAGATCAAAAGTTAATTTTAAGAGATGGCGCCTGCCGCCATCTTGAATTTAGCTGTCTAGCAAAAAATGCCGGGATTTTTACGAGAGACCTGGGGGCTAAATCTTTTCTAAAGGGTCCATAGAAGTCAAATCAATCGTCAAAACATCCTTGCCAGAGGATGGTCACAGAATCTCACTTTGTGACCCAACTATAGATAACTTAAGGAATAAATGAAAAAGCGAAGGCTTCTGTTACTTCAAATGACCACTGCTTCTGTTTTCACAGTTTTTATCAGTCTACAGACATGCTGGTAGCTCAGTGATGCTGTTCTTAAGCTCAGTAGCTTTTTTTCATTCTAAGTGAGGATAATTTTTTCATTAACTCTCAGATTTTCCTGTTTCAACATGTGATATGTTGTCTTTGCTCTTTTGCATGAATTATGTTTAAAAAAAACTTGCAAATCATCGAACTCTGTTTTCAGTACCATTTTACACAGCGGTCCAACTGTTTTGGAACAGGTTATAGCTGATCTCAGGTCATCTGAAGACACACAGTGTTCAGGATACTGTTTGGGTTGCTTGGCAACAACAATCCAGTTTTACTGAAGTTGCAGAGCTTGCTGGGTTGGTGGAGCAAAAAATAGTCATCTTTTGGTAATTTTTGCTGCTTTTACAAGCACTGTTTGCAAAAGTGTTGCAATGAAAGCAGTATCATACAGCTGCAGCCCTGTCCTTGGGACTAAATCCCAGGAGTGCAGATTTCAGCGCATCTCTCTCTCTCTCTCTGTTTCTCTCTCTCTCTCTCTGGTGTTTCTGTGGCTTTTAAAAAGTTAACAGTTAATCTTAGTGTTAATGGTATCCAACTATTGAATTTCCCTTCAGGGATTAATAAAGTTCTTCTTATTCTTATTCTGTTCTTTGTATCCACAGCAGACTCCTCACTGGTGACAACAGAGGACCAAGAACAAGCCGAGACAGAAGCTTGTCTTCCTGCTGAAGATGTTAAGAATGAAAGCGTACCCTCAGAGACTGAGAATCTAACTGAGAACAACACTGAAAGTGAGAAAACAAGCGAGGAAGAGCAGCCGGCGATCCTCACTGAAGACCATCAGCAGGATGACACAGAGACGAAAGAGGTGGAGGAGGAGGAGGAAGAGGTGGTTGTAAGTCAGCAGGTGATAGAGGAGCAGCCAGAAGAGCAAGCTGAAGAAGAAAAAGAGGTAACAGAGGTGAAAGAGATAGAGGAAGAAGAGGAAGAGGAGGTAGCAGAAGAGGAGGAAGATGAGGAAAAGGTGGAGGAGGAGCAGCAAGAAAGGCGAGAGACTATTGTGGAAGAGCGTCACATGATGAGCCAGGAAAACTCTGACCACCAGTATTCCAGCGGAGATTACAACCATCAGGCCAAAGAACCAGCAGAAGAGAGGAGGAAGAGGGAGGAACAGGAGGATGAAGAAGAGGAAGAGGATGAGGAAGAAGAGGATGAGCAAGAAGAGGAGGAAGAGGGGGTAGATGAGAGGGAGGTACACCAAGAGGTCGACACTCTTTACACTTTGAGTCCACACACTCAGGGATCTGAAGCAGAAGATTCAATACAGGAAGAGAAGGTCAGCACTCCCATGACCGAGGAAGAGGAGGAGGATGAAGAGCAGGAGGAAGAGGAGCGAGAAGAAGAGGAGGACGAGAGGCAGGGGAAGGAAGAAGGGGAGGTGCTGGTGGAGGAGGAAGAGGAGGACAGAGAGTCCAGCAAAGGCTCCCCGACAACAGTGGTCATAGAGGTCCGCTCTGAGGAGGACGATGATGAAGATGACGAAGAGGAGGAGGAAGAGGAAGAAGAGGAGGAAGAGGAGGAGGAAGGAGAGGAGGAGCAGGATCGTGTTTCGGAAGGCTCAGGGGTCACAGACGATTCAGAGAACTGGGATATGACTCGGGGGAACCTGGGGTTGCTGGAGCAGGCCATCGCTCTGAAGGCTGAGGAGGTGAAGGGGGGTCAGGAGTCCCAGAGCTCCCCGGAGTACCACCCATACAGCTCCTCCAGCAAGAGCTCCGAGCCCACCACCGCACCGCGACGCCCCTCTCACTACAGCAAAGGTACGCTTAACAAAACGGAACATATCCCCAGATCAGTGAGCTGTCCTGTTTGTCATATGAACACATCACATTTCACTAAAAACACCACAGGCTTCAGAGACAGCTGGAAAGTTTCCACCAGACTATCATTTTGCGTGACCACAAAGATCTTTTATGTTGTATTCACTCTTGTTTGTGCACAGGAAACCATTGCAGCTAAATCCCAGCACAATATGTAGAGGTTGGAGCTAAGAAATGTTCCTAAAGAAATACAAACCAAAGCCCCAAAATAGGACAGAATGAACAAAATATAAAGATGACATTAGCGATATAACCTTCTGATGTGCAACCTTTGATTTTAACCCATGTGTTGTTAAATGATTATCAGGGGTTAGTAGAGAGAAAAGACTAGTTAGACACTATCAGTTTGAATGTTTCACTTTTAAAAGTATTGACACACACATTTTGATTAATTATTCCCTTTCTCCCATCCAGAAAAGAAGGAAGTGAAGTGTCCGACCCCGGGCTGTGATGGGACGGGTCATGTGACTGGTCTGTACCCTCACCATCGCAGTCTGTCTGGATGTCCTCACAAAGACAGGATCCCTCCAGAGAGTGAGTACATGTTACCTTTTAAACCACCATGTGATCAGTAGAGGTTAAATCTGATCCTCCTGACTTTTATTCTATCTTTTTCAGACATTTTTGTTCAGGTAATCAAAACAACGTGGGAGCTTTGAGATCCAAGGCCCAGTTCCCTTTTGTTTTTATCACTACCAGCACAATAATTACTAATATTAGCTCTGCTTCTTTCCTCTTTTACAGAATTAACTACTAATACTTTGATAAACACTCTGGCTGAGCTGACTCTTAACCTCTCTGTTTGTTTCTCTAAATAATATGACTTCTGAATGACTGAACCCTGCTGCTGAGTGTTTGTTTCTTCGTCAGTACTCTCACTAATGCCGATCTGATTTAAACTAAATAGTCTGATCTGAGTTTGTGTGTCTGTTGTGTGTCTGTAGTTCTGGCCATGCATGAGAACGTCCTGAAGTGTCCGACTCCTGGCTGCACGGGCCAGGGCCACGTCAACAGCAACCGCAACACACATCGCAGGTTAATGATGACATAAGCAGATACATGAGTGTGAACAACACCCACTTATATATGAACTACAGAAAGGTTGTTATCGTCTGTATTGCTGTTTTTAACTATTTGTGGAAGGGACAATTCGTGACAAAAGGTCTTGATGTTTAATAGTCGCCTGTTTCAGCAACTTAGAAAATAGAAAATAAAGAATTTACCATTGTGATAGGAAGCATCGGTCAAAATTTTGGGATAGTTATGGCATGATAATGAGATAACATGTCATGCTTATAGAAAAAATGTCTTTATAAGAAAATAAAGATTCACAATTATGAGATTAATAAACTAAATTTGAGGTAAAAAAAAAAAAAAAAAAAAGGTCATGATCATATATCAGGAAATAAAAACCCTTAGATCCAAACCTATATTTTCAGATTTTAAGAGTCAAAATAAGAGATTAAAATCAGAGATATGAGATAGTAAGTCAAAATACTAGTAAAACAAGTCAAAATTTGAGATCTCATAGGGGTAAATTTGAGTTAAAAAGTTTAATTTGTACAAAGTCAAAACGTTGAGATTAAAAGTTTAAGTATTAGGTCAAATTTGGTTCGTATGAGATGGTCACATGTAAGTCATAAATACAACAATGAAAAGTCTGGATTTTTAGATTTAAAGTAGTACTATTGAAATAGAAAGTCAAAGAATAGATAGCGTCTTACTTTAGAGAATGAGAGACAAACTTGTGAGAAGAAAGGTTCAAATTTTTAGATTTAAGTTGAGTAGTCATGAGATAAAAAGTCAGATAAGGTTCGTAATTATGGGAAATTTAGTCAAATATTTGAATAAAAAGTAAAAATGTTAAGATTAAAAGAGGTTTAAATACAGTAAAAAAAAATCTGAGGTTTGGGTCATAAAGATGAGCAAGCTAATCAAGTAGTAGGATAGAAAGTCAAAATTTTTAAAGTGTTAAAATTGAGATAAAATGTTTAAAAAAAATTTAAAAGTATTCTTACTGGTTTGAGTCTGTATTGCTCTAAATCTGGATGTGTCTCTGCTCTCAGTCTGTCTGGCTGCCCCATTGCTGCAGCAGCTAAGCTGAACAAAAACCAGGACAAGCAGGTTCATCTTCAGGCTTCATCCAGCGAACCCTCTTCCAACTCTGACAGAGTGCTCAGGTCAGACATCAGCGCTGCTTTGGACTTGATTCACACACCTGTGTCCACATCATTGTGACTGTGTGGATAATGAACTCCAGTGTCTTTCCTTCCAGGCCCATGTGTTTCGTGAAACAGCTGGAGATCCCTCAGTACGGCAGCTACCGGCCCAACACAGTGACGACCACGCCCCGCGCTAACCTGGCCAAGGAGCTGGAGAAATACTCAAAGGTGTCTTTCGACTATGCAAGCTTTGATGTCCAGGTGTTTGGAAAGCAAATGCTCATTCCAAAGACACCCAGCAGCACTGAAACATCACCCAAAGCCTTCAAAAGTAAGAGTCACGCACATCCACTCCATGATCTGTTCTTGGATTTAGGTTCAACCTGCAACGACTTGATTTGATTGCAATGACTACTTTGAAAGGTCTTCTTGGGTCTTATGCAGGTCTTATGTTTGTGACTTCAGAAGGAAGTTCAGTATGTTTGAGCCTTAAATACCTTCAAAAGGACGTTTAATGCTCTGATCCAACATGCACTAATACTAATCTATATTTAAGAGCAAAAATGAGTCATCCTTGTGCAGTATTTATAAACCCAGCATGTAGAAATGAGTCATTTGTGCGCATCCTCTAATCATTTTTGTGTAGCAGTCAACCTTTTGTTCAAACAAATGATTTTTTTTTGTTTTTCCCCACCTGCTTGTCGTGGCCCGTCAAATACTCTGTGATCAACTACGCAGATAAGCACAGACAAAGACACAGTTTCTGCAGAGCACAACAGCAACTTTAGACCTGATTCACAAGGGGGTTGCACAATTTTTACATCAGCTAAACCTCTGCAAGGGAGACAGTAAAGACAATCCACAAAGCACAAGCAAAGGAGCGGAGTAAATGCTCCACAAACTTTACTGAAGAGCAAAACGTGCCTCTGATGGCTTGTACTAATTCCACTTATTTATACGAACCATCAAGCATGCATTTGGGGCTTGATTGTCACAATTCTAAGTAACTGAACCTCATCACAAAAACAGTCTGACTGACACAAACAGCCACAAACCGCAAGTGTAAAAGTTTTACCACCTGCAGAGAGGTGGTGGTAGTTGCACAGCAGTATTTAAATGTACAGTGTCAAAAAATATAGTTGCATGTAGCACAACAGACTTGAGAAATAAATAAAAATTAGTGTAAAATCACCAAAATAATGAATGAATTTTGTTTACGTTGACTTCAAATGAGCGTTTTATATCTACATAGCTGCAGGTCCCCTTGCATGAAGGCTGCCATCTTGCATGCTGTGTTTCTGCAGTAGTACAGCACAGACAAAGAAATGACAGATGCCTTTTTGTATCTATGAAGTGGTCATGCAAATTGCAGCAGTTGAAGGCGACAAAGTAGAGGGTACTTGCTGTTGTGTGTACAAGAATTAGAACAAGAAAGAGCTGCTCTTGCTGTCCCAACAAAGTAAATTTTATAATAAATGATAAATTAGTTTCAATCCATGAGTGATCGGCTTCCAAATGAAGAGATCTGCTCGTCATTTGTATGTGGATGGATTTAAGCTCCATCAGGGTTAGAGTGCACGGTGCAGCAAAGAGTGGTGATTCCGACAGCTCATCCTCACAATCAGACACGTAACAGGAGCAACTTTATTTGTCATGTTTTCACTTGTCATGTGTCATGTGTGCAATGTGAGTCAGACTTCAAGACGAACTGATTGTGGGCAAAATTATCCCGTTTCTTAGTGCTATTCACAGCTGCATCTATTCTTAGTGTATTCCTCCCTGAATGGAAAAAACAAACATGATGGCACTCATATTCACCATCAGCTTACTGAACTGAATAGTCTCTGGCTGCACATTTTTCCTGCTTTTATTCCATGAATTCTTTCTGTCTCTGTCCCACACAGCTAAATCATTCCCTAAGGCCTCCTCCCCCAGTCACAGCGTGTCAGGAGGCTTTCCGAAGAGCGCCTCATCTTCCTCCTCTGGTTATGACTACAGCCAAGACGCAGAGGCAGCTCACATGGCAGCGACAGCTATCCTCAACCTGTCCACACGCTGCTGGGAGAGACCCGAGAGCCTCAGCACCAAGCCCAGGGAACCCTGCACCAAGGTAAGGACACTGAGTCCTTGCAGGATTTATTTGGACCGGAGCGCTTTCATTTATCACCTCCTTACATCCAGTGGAGATTTGCAAAAGAGGAGAATTAATGTGAAGGTTCCCTCTGACCCCTGCAGGAGTCGGACATCGAAGTGGACGAGAACGGCACCTTGGACCTCAGTATGAAGAAGACAAAGAGGGAGGGTATGCTGCCCCCAGAACCTTCACCCTCCTCGTCTTCATCCTCCCAACTTGTCACAGCCACCTTGTCTCAGGGCCATGCTCAGCCAGAGTGGGAGGGGCCGCTGGACTTCACTAAACCCAGTGGAGTCAAAGAGGAGGACCATGAAGAGGTACCGTACACACTAAGTCTGTCTCTCCGTACGTTTATGATGTTCAAATTTGATTAATTTCATCAGTTAGACTAAAACTGCAATTTTAGAACTCATGTAAGCTTGTTAATCAAACTGATTGATTTTCATTTGCATGTATTTAATCACCTTAAAGTAGCTTGACCTATTTGTGCAGATAAACACACAATCACTCACCTTACATCTTTGGATTTTGTTTAGGTAGAGTATGCGGCTCCCTCGTACACCTCATCTGACTGTGAGGAGGAGGACCAGGAGAACCTAGAGGACAGAAAGTACCCTGGAGAAGTCACCACCAGCAGCTTCAAGGTCAAATTTCAGCCCAAAGACAACAAAAAGGAGATTCTGGTGTAAGTTTTCCAAATTTGACATAAATATTTTCATCAGTATCTCTGTAAGAACAGATTAAATTTACAAATCTTACCTCTGGAAAAACAAATAGGACCTCCTTGAAAATGAGATGATCCCTCTCAAGGGGCTAACCCTCTAAATAAACAAATGAATAGCCAATCATAGTTAATGATACTGGTGACCAAAGGGAGATCCATGTGGCCATCCCTCTGGATCTGCACCTCTATGGTTTTCTTCTGCACAATCTACTCTGCAGCACAAACTATTAGGGTATCTGGATTTTTGTTGAAAAGCATTAGGTTCAGTTTTGTGTTTACGAGTGTAAACACAACCTTTAAAGACTGATGTGTGTTTGCATATCTTTGCTGTAGATGTCCCACCCCAGGTTGCGACGGCAGCGGACACATCACTGGTAACTACGCGTCACATCGCAGGTCAGTCTCTTTACACATTTATGCTGTGATAGAGGGAACAGAAGATAATTTATGGCAACATTTTTTTTTTATTCTGTTCCTTGAATCCATTGACAGTGATGTTTTGGTAAGGAAAAGGTATTTTAGAACATGATAAATCTGACTTATTTTCACAAATTTTTTCATATTTTTAAAGCATGTAAATCAAGGTGGTTGATTAAAGCTCCAGTCAGGAGCTTTTAGTTGGTTTCGAAACCAACTGAAATTTAAATTTGTGTTTCTTGGTGAAATGCAGTAAACACAGTCATCAGGAAGAGTGACTGCTTCTATGAAGTTAATTGTACCATCTGAAACCGCTCGTGGGGGTAGATGTCAGACCAGTAACGTTCCTCACAGGTGCTTTAATTTGACAATTTTGAGCTCCTTGTTCTACCTACATGTTGAAAGATAATCTAAAGCCATTTTCAGACATGCACTCTGGAAAATTTCCCAAAAACTTAAGGAACTTTAACTTGGAGTTTATTTGACTTAGGAGACTAATCAGGATGTCAAAGAAAGGCTGCTGTAGTCTAGATGTAATCTTTCCAATCCTATACAAGATTAAACCGCTGATCTTTTAAAGCTCCTGTGAGGAGGTTTTTGATGTTTGTATAAACAGACTGAAGTTCATGCTGATGTTTTTTTAATGACATACAAAAGTGAACCATCAGCAACAAGACTGGCTGTTTTTTACTGTAATTGTTAATGCCTTGATCTACTGCAAGGGGGTAGGTGTCAACTGAGCATCTGAGGAAACAGCCCTGTTTCTACAACTTGGACATAAAATATATACAATGAATGATACATTTGACTGGGAAAAGTCATCTGGATGAGATTATTGGTCAAAAGACACTTCTTGAGCATGCAAAGGACAAGATGAGCTTTGCCAATAGGTGGCGCCAAAATTGACACAACCAAAAGTTCCTCACAGGAGCTTTAATGTTATTCCTCCATAAGTTTTTATCTACTTTCAGTCTTACTCTCTTTGTTTTTGTTTCCATCTCAACCCCTGGAAGATGTGTCTGTTCATTAATCCACCACTGTGTCAATGTCAAAGACACGTATGCTTTAGCAACTGTTTTTGACCTTTCTACGAACATGACAAGCAATTGAAAGTATCAAAAGATAAGTGTGATGAACATACTGGAGAGGAGAGGCGAGTATATGGCCATTTTAATACCTTTTACATTATTTTTATCCCATTACATGCCGCTCTTCCAAGTTCAGAGTGCTGTCATAGTTGAAGGCTACTCTGCACATGTGTCAGCCTTGTCACCCGTGGGACCCCAGCCTGACACCAGGGGTCTGGCAGCGGAGTTAAATTTGTCAAGAAATTTCAATTTAGTTTTAGTTGTTTTTTTAAGAATATTGGAGTTGATTTCAGTCATATTTTGGTCTTTGTGTCTTGTGTTATTTCAGTCAAGATTTAGTCAGAGGAACCCAGGTTTCTCGGGCCAGTGTTAATTTTTATTTTATTTTATTCTAACTTTCTCTGAAAGTTTAATGATAATTTAAAGAAAGATGTTTCTCCTGGTTGTAAAAATCTGAGTATGAAGACAGAATGTCCCACTGTGTTGGATGAGCTTTACCTCATTGTTTCAATTTAGTCATAAAAAATTAGCACCTCAACGAATACCTATGCTCATCTTTTTTTGTTATTTTGAAAAAAAGCATTTTCATTCTCATCATCACTTTCACTGACAAAATTAATCTTGTCTGGCAGGAGATATTCTGGGTGAAAAACTTGGCTGTTTGTGTTCTCCCATACAGCTCCCCCACAGGGTAATGTCAGGAAATTTTCAGGAATTTTGTGCATGGCTGAAATGGGCTGAAGTAAAAGTTTTGTAAAGTTTAAGTACATTCTGTATGAAAGCCGAGAACGGCCATGGGTTTTCTTTTTTTTTAATGCGCTGTTATCTCATGATAACGACTTATCTTGTTATCTTAACATAACAAAGATCGTGTATCATGATAACGGAAATGGCGTTTTAGCCAACCTCAATGGTAACTTTTAAAAAATGCCCTCCAGATAAGGATATTTCTGAAATGCCACAACTGCCATTGTCGACAGCAAGTCAGGGTTTTCAATGAAAACGCTGACGGCACGCTCCATTCTGCGCATGTGCGTTAGACTTTCAACGATTCGCGCATGAGAGTTAAATGCTACCATGTTGAAAGTGTAATGCGCATGCACAAAATGGAGTGTGCCTTTAGCGTTTCAAAGAAAACCCCAACTCGCCGTCGACAACAGTGGCTGAAGTGTTCAGAAATATCCTAATCTGAGGAAAACAATCTGTTATGCCGAGATAATGAAAAAAAAAGTTAAAAAAAAAAAAAAAAAACTTTATCTTGAGATAATGAGATAATAAGTCGTTATCATGAGATAACAGTGCATGAAAAAAAGAAAAGTCCATGGCTGTTCTCAGCTTCCATAGTTTTGGCATTTGAAACTCCGTGATTTTGGCGTCCATGGTGAATCAGGCTGTAGCACTTGATTATCTACTACTTTTAAATACAAAACAAACAAAAAAAATCAAATGAAATCAAAATCAAGACAAAGATTATTTGCTGCAAAAGGAAGTTTAGCCCTTGAGGATAAGAAAGAAACATCTTATGCAATAAAGACAGGTCTGTTTGATGCCCAAAGATGTCATTGCCCAAACTGGTCTCACTGGATCTTTTTCCATAGCTGCTTGAAGTCCTACTTCCTGAAAAGACTCACAAATCTGATTCCAGCTTGTCAAAATGAGAATGAATCTCAACAGGTCTCGCAGATACAGAGTACTGCCTCTGTTAAATATCACCGCCTGTCATTTAGTCCTGCCTCTTTTTCTATAATGTGTCATTGCTGTAAGTATTGGGTCAAAAAGACATTTTTTTAAAGTATAAATGAATGTTTTAGTCCTCAGCAGGTTTAGGATCTCGTCTTGCTCTTCTGATTTAGTTGAAGAGGATTCATCTTCTGAACTCACACATCCTTCATTCATTTTTTGTCCTATCCAACTTTTTCACTCCTCTAAAGTTCAGACAAAACAAGATAACTCCTGTCCCCCTGTGTGTCTTCTATCCAGTCCTGTCCTGGCTCTGTAGTACTGGTCCAGGTTTAGGTTCAGGCTCTTTTCTTCACTCATACTCGGACATCCTGTTCTCAGTCTGGTTTTCTGACGCTCTCTCTCTGACCTATCTTCCAGTCTGTCAGGCTGTCCTCTTGCTGATAAATCACTTCGGACCCTCATGGCTGCCCACACAGCTGAACTAAAGTATGTCTGCTTTCTCCTGTCTCTCACCTCCAACATGTTCACTGAGCACTCAGTCTGCAGCTACAGCTCTGTCCCTGCCCTCTTTTTAACACCAATATTTAAAGAAACAGTAAAAATTAAAACTAGTGTTGCAAATTCCAAACCAAAAACAATAAGTCCTGACTATATAGTGAGAAAGATCCAACAATGATGAAGGTATGTGGGTTCAAAGACTGCCTGTGTGTGTCTCAGGTGTCCAACTCCAGGTTGTGATGGATCAGGCCACATCACAGGGAACTATGCCTCACACAGAAGGTAAGAGCTCTTCACCTGTTCTCTCTGCCTGCTTGTTGTACCATTACATAGGACTGACGGACTTTAATCCTTCCTCTCTTTCAGTCTGTCTGGATGCCCCCGAGCCAAGAAAAGTGGGTTGAAAGTGATGCCCACCAAGGACGACAAGGAGGACTCAGAGCTGCTGAAGTAAGCAAAAGTAGCTTTTACCAGCCCAGTCTTGAGAAAAAATAACATGTTAACTCATTTCTTAATTAAACAAAGGAACAAAGTGCTTTACAGTGAAAATAGTACACACAATTTATGTAAAAACTGTAAAAAAAAAAAAACAGGACTAAATTATAAGACCAGAAATACTTTAAGGCGTGACATTGCGTATCTAAGTCCTCACGGTAGGACTTATTATCTGACATATCATATCATGTCATATCACATACCCAAATGTATTTTATGCTATCACATTGTATCATATAGTATCTCAATGTGTTGTACTATTTCCATTTTCTGAATCATGTTGTATCATCTCATATGGTTTTTACTGAACCACATAGAAAAGCAATGATGTTTGACTTCAAAATTTTAGCAGTCAAAGAATATAAAGATACAATACAATACAGTGCAATACAAGAACTTAATTTATCCCTTAAGGGAAAGATTTTCCTGGAATCTCAGATAAACTGCAGATAAACCAAGTTGTGATTTGACCTGCCCAGTGGTGGTAAGGCAGTGGCTCTGTAAGCTTCTTTGAAGTTGGCATACAGCAGGTCCAAGGTTTAGTTTTTTTCTGGTAGGACAGTTAAACTGTGTAAAGTCAGTCAGGTGAGAGGGGGACATGGTTGAAGTCTCCTGATATTATTACTAGTGCCTCAGGATGTTGAGTCTGTATCCTAGCAACAGTATCATGGAGAACATCACACGGAACTTCAGCTGTTGCCTTGGGTGGGATGTATAAAAGTATTGTGTGATGTGTGTCTGCTTTGACATATTGAATATCAAAATTAAATCTTGAGAAAGTATGACCAAAAATTGATCACTGAGAAATAACGCATCAAAGAATGCCAAAGTTATCCTCATGAAACGTTATGTTAATGTTTTATTAGGTTATTGACCTTTTACCTTTGAATGGAACTGATCAGAAATTACTCAGATCTAACAGACTAGTCCTCATGAAGTCAACTGGGTATAATTCTGCAAGTCAGATATTGAAAATTCTTTCAGTTTTGGTGCTTTGTGGTGCTTGCACAACCATCAGGACATTTATGCTTTGCAAACAAAGACATCTGATTACCCTTGAGGACACATTTCAGTGAAATACACATTCATGTTTTAGAAGAGAGAAATTCAGATGGCAGGAGATACAGATAAATTGCTCTTTTACCAAAGTGATATTTGGAGACATGACATTGGTCTCTCCTTATTTGACTTGTGAGTAATGTCTCTTCACTCCTCTTTTTGTCATCTCCAGGTGTCCAGTTCCTGGTTGTGACAGTCTGGGACACATCAGTGGGAAATACGCCACCCACCGCAGTGCCTATGGGTGTCCACTTGCAGCTCGCCGGCAGAAGGAAGGTCTCCTGAATGGTACTCCTTTCTCCTGGAAGGCCTTCAAAACCGAGGGCCCAACCTGCCCGACACCAGGCTGTGACGGCTCAGGACATGCAAATGGAAGCTTCCTCACACACCGCAGGTATCCTGTCTCACTGCGAATCCAAAGAGATTTACACACTAGAATGGCCAGGAACAAAATGATCCTGTGGGCCTCTATGAACCTTGATCCTGATCTGCTGCTATTCTCAGTCTCTCAGGTTGTCCAAGAGCTTCAGCGAACAAGAAGAGAGCCAAGTTACCCGGAGACGAGTATATCACTGCAAAGTTCAGGGCCAGTGATGGTAAGAGACAGTTTAAAAACCCTCTACACATACATTCTGGCTAAATCAGCTTCTTTCTGTTGACTGCAGTAATGACTGTAAATACATTTTATTAATGTTGTGCCGCTACTATCACTCAGTTCTGGACAATGACGAGGATATCAAGCAGCTCAACAAGGAGATCAATGAGCTGAGCGAGTCTAACAACGAGATGGAGGCTGACATGATGAACCTGCACACTCAGGTATTGCTCATAAGGCTGCAGGTTTGATCAGAGGAAACAACAACAAAGTGTAGAGATGAATAACTGTAACATGTTCTGTTTCAGATCTCTTCAATGGAGAAGAACCTGAAGAACATGGAGGAGGAGAACAAACAGATCGAGGAGAAAAATGAGGCCTTGTTTCTCGAGCTGTCCGGTCTGAGTCAGGCACTGATCCGCAGCCTGACCAACATCCGCCTGCCAACAATGGTGAGGATAAACGAAGGGCTTTAACTGGGATGATTGCCCCAGGGCTGCTTCCCTCCCACAATCGAAACTTTGAGCTCTCTGAGGTGCTAAAAAAGCAGGTAGAAAATAATCATTTTGCCAGGTCCTATTTGTGACCAAATCAGAAATCAAGATTTGGTCAAATCAGAAATTTGATTTGACCAAATCAAATCAAGTTTGACTAAAAGTTTTTGAGAACACAGAATTGTGACTGAACCCGTGCAATACTTGAGTTCAGGACAAATACCCTTAACCAGGAATATAGTGCATAACATATCCTATTGTATGTATCATATCATATTCCATCTGACTCCAAAGCTTTATTTGCTTATAAACTCTGTCTAAAAAACAGCTTTTATACTGTTAATGCAGTGAGCAATAGGTTGGATTTCAAGCTTGGGGGCACAGAGGTTTCTTTAAGTTTTTGAGTCATCCCACAATTTCCAGTCTTTGGTATGAACTGGGACACATTTCTTTAATTCATTGGCAAGGACTGTAATTTTGGGTTATGTTTTTATTCAGCAGGAGCCGCTGTCTGAGCAGAACTTCGACAGCTACATAGAGACCCTGACCCACATGTTTACCAATAAAGACTGCTACCAGAACCCCGAGAACCGGGCCTTGCTGGAGTCCATCAACCAGGCAGTGAAGGGCATTGAAGTGTGATGGACAGGAGGAGGAGGAGGAGAAGGAGAAGGGGGGGGGCTTCACAGTTACAACTCCAATCTTTTCTTTCCAAACCCTTTAGATACTGTATGTAATTAATTCTCCTCATTTGGATCTTAATCATCTGTTCTTTGCATTTGTTTGCATGTTGCTTTTTTGATGGTATGTGTGACGAGTCGAGGGCGTGGGTGTATAGCGTGCGGTGGCACACTGGAATCAAACCGTTACTGTGAGTGAGCGAGGGTGTAAACAGAACAAAATCAGGAGTGCAGTATACAGCCTTAGCTGAGCAGATCCTCTTAGTTAGTGAACATGTCCCATCTCCACTCAATAATGTTGATAGTATTCTATATGAGCATAGTGATGTTGCACCTCCAGGACTAGTTTGTAGATTCATTCTTACTATTGCTGTGTAACTATTTAAGTCCTTTGCAAATGTTGGTTTACTATCTTATTCATTCATGTCTGCTGTATTTATTTTTTATTCTTTGGCCTATTTATTATTCATTATCTATTTATTAACTTTTGTGTTATTTAAAATCGCTACCTGAGAAGATTTTAAAACCAAGAGACAGGAATCATTTCCTCTGCATTGTTGAACAAAGGGGAGATATTTTAAGATATCAACTATGAATTGTTTTATATATCTTATTATTTATTTAAAATACTGGAATCTTTTTAAGTGCAAATATTTTGTAACTGAAAGTTTTTTAATAATTTTCTAAAGATTTTTGGTTGTTTATTTGGTTCTTATGTTTATATGATTTTTCCTTTTTATTTTCACAAACTATTTTGAGTACATTGCAATACACTGGGAATAATGAGCTGCACATATTTGGTATTTATTTGGTGATGAAGAACAAAGTGATGGTGAATATTTATTTTGTATTGTCCATGTGTTAATGATGGCTGTGTATGGATTAGTCTTTAAGTTGCTCTTGAAATAAAGGTTAACCCGCAGTAAATGTGGATTGGACTGGCAGTGAGTTTGTGATTCCTTTATGGTACGTTCATTCTTTGATACTGGACTCTGTAAGCCTTTCCAAAGATTGTGCAGGGTATGAAATCGGACTTTATTAGTTTTTTAAAGATTAGAGCTTGTCCATAAATCTCTGTCGGTTTTCACATTCTATTTTTGCAGCTCTGTGTCCATGCGTGGACCAGTTATGTCCACCCACGTGAGGACCGGGAGGCTGTCCCATTATGCACCCTTTCTCACACTTACTTAGAGTGCACATTCATGTGCTTAGTGTCAGTGTTCAAGTGTCTCACTCCTCCAACAATCAAATGTGCACTTTATCTGTACTTACTTTGAAACTGCAGCTGAGCACTGCAAGTCCCACAATGCATTATGTCAGTGTTTATTCCCATTGAATTCTGTGCCACAAGTGCCACTATGTACCACTGAGGAAGTAATGATGCAAGAAGAAAATGTAACTATACATGAGCTAATAATAGCTTTCCAATAATAAATGGTGGTGATGTACCTATTACTACATGTATCTTTAAACACAAAGATGCTGAGAAATCAATTGTATTAGTTGTTTGTATTTTTTTTAACCATGCCCACACAGCATGGTTGATCGAGCTGAAAACTTCACAGTGAGCACGCATAAGAAAACAGGATAGTGTGAAAAACAAATGTAAGCCATAACTACATCATCACTGTTATTTCTTACAGTATAAAATACATTCCTACAATGATGCCGGAACAAGCAGATTCTGTCTTAACCTTATCTTTTTAGTCTCCTGCATGATGAAGACAGGAGTCAGTAAGTGTTTCAACTACTTCTAAAAATTCCTGCACTCTTCACCACATCATACATGCATACACACAAAAGGCAAAAAGTCACTTAAGTGTGTCACTATGCACACACAGTACTGAGTGGAGATTTGGGACTGGGCCCAACTCTCGAGTCCCAGTCAAGCCTGACTAGTCAGAGTGCAAGTCAAAGTCAAGTCCTCATTAAAGCTGCCATTAGTAACTTGATCTGTTAGTTTGTGTTGATTTTTTGGCACCCTTGTGGAGAAAGTCAAACCCCTGATGGCTTGTCCTGTACTTGTGAAAGTAGTCATTTGTCTTTCTAGAGTGAAATGTATCACTCTGAGTATTTGCTGTGGGTAATGTCAAAAAAGGCTGTTTTTTTTAAACCTGCTGTCAATCAACTGCTCTGACATCTACCCCCTCAGTGTTTTTCCTGCATTCATGGGATTATCAATCACTTTGCTCAAGCATCAGTTTTCATCCAAAAACACCTCACTGTGCCTTCAATATAATTTTTCAAAAACACTGTTTCACTACTGACTATTGACTGTTTCAACAATTTTTATAATATTTATATATTTTACTAACTTAATGTTGCACCACTGGGCGAACAGATTTTTGTGTTTTTCAAAGATTTAAAAAGTCTATCAAAAAGCGCAGCACACAAGCTGCTGTAAAGGACTCCAGGAACCCTGTAGCAGTCATCAGGTTGCAGCTCTAACTATGCTTCATGAACATATTTGCATGAAAGTGCAGCGATCAATCTGACTGTTCTTCAGGGCTTCTCAGAAACCTGGTTTAGACGTGCACAAGAAAGGAGGTCTTCAGTGAGACAGAGATCAGTGAAACAATGTCATTTACTCATTTTAATGGTTAAAAAAATACTTCTTTGCGCAAAGAGACAACAATACGTCCCTGTTCACTGAGGAGACAAGGGACCAAAACAATGATGGCCACCAAATGATGACAGGTGGAGCGAGATAAGATGAGGTAAATGTTTTTTGAGGAGAGAAAACAAAAAAAAGGCACAATTTACAATCAATCATGCCCCAAATTCACAATAATTATAACAACAACAATAATAATAATAACAATAATAATAATATATCAATACAGCTAAAAAAAATCTGAAAATCTGCAACAACGAAAAATACAGACCAAATATATCATACAAGGCAAGTCCTGCCTGTCAGGCTCCTCCTGTACACTCTGAGCCCCCCAGTCCTGCTGCTGATGCTGTACAGATCGCAGTCCTACAGTGCACGGGGACGCCAACATACTATCTGACCACCAGACACGACACGCACAGTTTGGAGGGCCCGATGCAATCGTCATGGCAGAAGGCACCGCAGCCTTGGCACATGATCATGGCTTTGAGGCGGCACGAGCACTTGAGCGCCACCTCCTCCGCCGTACTGTCAGTAAAGGCCTGGATGCTGAGGGTGGCCTGGGTGGAGGTCAGGCGAGGGCGCAGCTGAAGAACACTGTCAGCCATGCTGCGGGAGAAACTGCCGTTGTCCATCACTGACACGTTGGCCGTGTAGCTGACTCCTCCGCCTTTATTCGGAAGCTTCCCGTACAGCTGGAAGGGAAGGGAGGAGGAGGGTGATGGGGAGGAAGAGGAGCAGGGGGAGCCAGAGGAGTAGGGAGCTTTGTTGTGCTCCTTCTTTGCCATCCTGGCGAAAGTCATCTCCATGTTAAGGAGTCCCTCCATCGCCCCTCCGCTCAGGTAGCCGTCAGAGCTGCCGGGCTCCTTTTTGGTAATACTGAGGGGTTTAGTAGGGGAGGATTTGGCCAGGGCCTGGCAAGATGGCCGAACACCCACTTCATTCTTCACAGAGGACGCAGGAGACAGCTGCTGTGTGTGAGAGAGGGGGAGCTGAGACTGTGTGGGGCGCCAGTTGATCTTGATAGTCGGCACCACCTCTGTGGGACATGGGTCTGCATGGGTAGGAGAGGGACCGTTCTGCAGGGTGCGGTGGGAGTTGTTTAGCCTGTCTGGAGTTGCCCCCTGTGAGGGCTGAGGGCCGTGAGAGTCTTTGATGACTGCAGACTCCACAGTGCCCTGAAAGCTGAGGTTGGCTTTACTTCTATAGATAGAACTGGAGGAGGAGGAGGAGGAGGAAGAGGGGGGCAGAGAGGTGATGACAGGGACTGCTCCAGGGGCCTGCTGGGATTGATACTGTGACACAGCTGGTGTCTCCATTAAACAGGACACAGGGCGACCTGGTGGAGACTTGTGGTTTTGAGAAGCCGCAATCAGATCTGGACTGGAGGACTGTGCTGAGATCTCTAGCCTGCCTTGTGGACCTGGGGTTCTGATCATAGGTGATCTGGGATGGGGTCCCGGCAGCCGGCTGATCTCTAGCCTGTTACCAGAGTGTGCGGGCAGGACTTTCTCCAGGGGCAGGCTTCCCTGTAGGAGCTGAGTGACCAAAGGGTTGTTGGCCTCCACGCTGGATACTGGTCTGGCTGAGCTGGGCGGTCTCTTGGCAGCAGCAGAAGAACCCTGGTGAGGAACAGAAGGCTTCAAACCTCCACGGCACTCATCTTCAGCAGAGCTCTGTTTGGACACCCGACAGTCCTCTCCAGGCTCAATTTTGACCACAACATTGCCGTCTCTTGTGGGGAGGGCCTGGTGGTCCTTAGAGTAGGAGCGGCCGTGATGGGGGTGGGGTAGACCGTTGGGAAAGCAGGGCTGGATAACAGTCTGACCTTGGCGGCTGGATACGTGGGCATGGATGACTGGCTGCTGGTTCTGAGGTGGAGGGGGAGGGCTGCAGATAACCAGCTGACCATTTCTTGGAGTTCTGAGCTGGGGGCACCAGTCCTGGTCTGGGTGTTGGTCATCCTCCTGACTCTCGTTCTCACAGTCTGAGGCGGTTTCTGTGGAATCGCTGTGTGTCCCGGCCTCATCGTCTTTCTCAGAAGAGTCCATGTGTCGGGGTGAGGATGCATTCATCTGCTTTCTCTCTGCAGCTGAGCGAGAAAACACCTCCTGGGGCTCCAGGTGATGGGAACCATGCTGGATGACCCCACCCAGCCCAGCCTCCTTGCTTTTGACCTGCTCTTTGGGATGACAGGAGCTAGCGAGTGTCTGGATAACATCCACACCCTGAGCCCCAAACCTGGGCAGGGAATCTGGGATGGAGGTTGGGACCAGTGGGGGTTTTTCATAACCCTGGTTGGCCTTCTCAGAGGGAGCAGCGGCAGGGACTTGGTTCTGCCTGCCTGAATGGGTGGCAGAGGACTTCGATACAGCATCAGGCTCTGGAGAGGACGACTCAGAAGCCTTCTCTGCGAGCCCATTAGAGGAAGTCTGCATGCTGGTCGCTGTAGCCTCTACTTCCTCTCCAGCTTCTGGTCCCCCAGCGATCTCCTCCAGAGGAGGGCTCGGGGTCTGAGGGGGGTCCAGGGACATGGAGGTGGAGGTTGTGGAAAGAGAAGGAGACGGCTGGGGCACAGGCTCTACATTATGAAGCTGTAGTTGTGTTCCAGACGAATTAGCGCCCGCAGACGATCCCTGCTCCTCCATCCCACCACTTCCCCTTCTTCCACCTCCACTTCCTCCTCCTCCTCCTCCTCCTCCTCCTCCTCCTCCTCCGGGCTCGATAGGTCCTGGATGCTCTCGCGCTCGTCGTCCATTGCTGCTATCCGGTAGCCCAGCAGCAGGCCGCAGCCGGACCCCGTCCGTCCCTGTCCCGTCGCCAGTGGCTGCAACAGCAGCAGCGGCCTCGCGCTGGGCGCGGGCTTGCTGGGCGCGGGCTTTGATGTCCGCCAAGGTGCGCGCGCCCCCCGTCCCCGACCGCCGCGAGCCCTCGCCGGGGGGCACGATCCGTGGACAGATCTGGTAGGTGGGGTGGCCTTTGACCCAGGGAGGTTTGATTCGGGACAGTTGAATCTGGAGCGGAGACACAGAAACAGTGATTAAGTTAACGCCTACAACAAATCATAACTTACAAGGACTCCCGCTAAGAGGCTCAGGTTTCTTAATTTAAAACTTACCCGGATAGGCGGCACCTTGGGCTCTTCTGTTGTCGGCTGCGGCTTCTCCGTACGGACACCGTCAATTGTGGTACGAAAGGACTGACGGTCATCCAGCCGCGGCCTCTTTTCGGGAAAGCTGGAAAAGGCCTGGGTCTCGTCGGTCCTCCTCTTCTCCTTGAGCTGGGAGCTGGGGACGGGGGTGGTGGCTGGGCTGGCTGAGGGGCTGCTCTCACGGCTGCTGGTGGCGGTGCCCCCTGTGATGGAGGTGACCACGGAGGCGGTGTCATCCAGGGGATCGGCTGCAACTGCAGCGCTGGATGACGCTGAGGAGGATGAAGAGGAGTCCAAGCCTGCTGCAAAAGCTCCCTGTCTGTCTGAAGGTGAGGAGGGTGAGGAGGCTGGTGAAGATGCAGAAGAAGAGGAGGAGGACGAGGAGGAGGGGGAGGAAGTGGAGGCCAGGACAGGTGCAGCCTCCTCTGGGAGCAGGCGAGGTGTGACTTCCGGCTCTTCGTTGGCACTGGTGGAAGCGGGACTGGGACTGGGGCTTGGAGTTGGTGTTGGTGTTGGTGTTGGGGTAGGCGTGGGAGTGGGGGCTGGTACTGTGACAGGCTCTGGAGCAGGAGAGGCTTTCGGCTCAATGGTGGTGCTTTCAGCTGGGAGCTCCACGCCACACTCAGCCTGCAGCACCACCTCACCCTGAACCACTGTGTTGTCGGACATGGGGGAGCCGATGGAGACTGCAGAGATGTCCAGCGCAGCGGTGGCCTCTGGTGTCTCTGCGGCCTGCAGGGCTGGTGGAGTGGCCTTGCAGAGGGTACGGCGAGCCCTGCGGCGCAGATCAGCTCGTGTGCGTCTCCTCATCCGCCCATCTCTCCTTCTCCGGCCAACACTGCGTCGCTTCGGTGTTGCAACCACAGCTACATCACTATCCAGCACAGTGGCTGCAACTTCACTGGCTTCAGCCGCCATCAGCTTCAGGGATTCTTCCTTTGTCAGGCCAGACCTGCAGGAAGCAAAACAAGAGTTCAGCTCATTATGAAAGTTTTCCCCATATCAAAGTAACACCATCAGTGAGTAAGCTCATACTTGAAGACAAAACTAAAGAAAGACAGCTTAGCAAAGAAATATGATTACTTTTGGATCAATATTTTAGAAAAAGAAGGTTATTGTGTGAGGTATTAATTCAAATGTGAATAAAATAAGGTTGCTCTTACTTCTGCCCGTGGTACTCCTCAAAGAACTTCTCCTTCCATGCTTCAACCTTCTTCTCTTTCTCCATTTCTTGCCGGAATCGCACCTGCATCTCGTGGGTGAACTCACCTGAACCAAACACATCAAGTTTGAAAAGGAGCTCAATAACACAGCCATTTTCGCATTGAAACCTGCATAGTTGTTTATGATAGCTGCTATTATTCACTTGCGTTAAGGTATGGAAACGCTCCTGGAAAATGGCACCATTACATCTAGATACTGCAGTCTCTGAATCACGTCCCCGATGGGCCTTGCAGAAACATTTTATCACTTTGAACTGCCACATATAAAAAGTACTGCAACCTTTTGGCAAATTAGACGGCCACCATTTCTAAATTATTCCATGGCAGCTTGTCTGGTGACGTACCCTCTGCCAGCCTCTCTTTCCAGCTCTGGGAGGCGTGGGTGAAGAACTCATTGTTGAGAGCTGAACTGCTCAGTCGGGCCATACCATCAGATCCGACCTGCAAGGAGAGACATTTTTTAAAACCTGCAGTACAAATAGGTTAACACATTGGAGTGACCTCTGAAACATAATGTTGTGCTGAAAGTATGTGGTAACTGCTTTGCCATTTAAGTTTAAAATGTCACAGTCGCAAACAGCAGCTAAGCTGATTTTCTGAAATGGACATTAGTTCAGTTTTCCACAGACTCCAAAACAAAAATCTGAGCTGGACAAATATCTCCTCTGTGGCAGATAGAAAGAGCTTCTGGAAAAGTCTTCAGTAAAAACAAAATACAACAAGATGCTGGGAAGATTTCTCTTGTTATGAAGTCAGTGCATGTCAGTAAATTAATTTGCCGGCTGTCGGATTGCCAACACTAACCAGACAAAGGCTGCTGTTGTTGCTGTTTAACTTTGAATTCGTGCACACAGTTCCCTCCATCAAATGCTTGGCTACTGTATGCACTATTTATCTTACTGGAGGACACCACAAAAGAGATCACCAGAGAGCTCCAGCTGTATGCAACAACAGGTAAAGATGAGGTATGGTAGAAGTGACTGAGGTTACTGTGATGTCAATACTTGGTCCCAGTGGACGAGAAGTGATTAATTCCTGAGGCAGTTCAGGACGCAACATCGCTGCCACTCCAGTATTTCCAAAGTTTTCCTCTGTGCCTGGACTTGTATCAATTTAGTTCTGCAACAGCTAATACAGCTGAACTCATCCCTCATCAGGTAGACTGTTGACTTGGTCCATCAGTCTGTCTTTAAAACTTCCTGCCACTGTTTCCCCTGCTGCTGTGTTGTCTGTCACATCCCCTCCATCACTACACTACCTTTTATGTGCGTGTCGAATCTTGCATCCAGTTTTATTGACTTCTAAAGATTCACTTCTGGCCTTTCACCAATTAGCCACTGGGATGTTACACAACACAATGTAACAGCTCTAACAAAATCGTTCTTTCAGGAAAGCTTCCACATTCTCAGATTTTAATACCATAATCAGAGAGATACTAAAAACTGATTGGGATGATTGTGTCTAACCTGCAATATTTTACATAGAGGTCTTTTTTTAAATTCTGCATTTAATATTTATATCAAAGTAAGTATTGACACTAGAAATATCAAAGCTAAAAGCTTAACATACCAGTCTGTCCACCTCCGGCAGCAGCTGCAGCAGTTGCTGTTGTGAATGTGCAGGAAAGGCAGAGAAGGTTCGCACGTTGATCAGAGCTCTGATGTTGGTGTTGACCAGGATAGATCCCGGTGTTTCAAAGTCTACATCCACACCTCCTCGACTCCTTTTCATGGGCCCTGCCACAGAAACACAAAAATTCAACACCACAGATTCAACAAGAACATCCAACTTGAAGCTCAAGCATTCTGAACCTCCTGAATTTTGACTTTCTTTTGTTGTCTCTGCAAATACAACGATTCTCACCTGAGGGGACATGCTCGCCGTTCACTTTCAGAGGAGTGAGGACAACCCGAGGCATCATGACAGCTTTCTTCCTCTGCCTTCCTGACTGTAAAGCACAGTTATAAAGTCAGTACAACTGATAGAAATGTTTACCTGAAAATCCTGACAACCACCTGCCACATGAGCCCCCTATAGGTCTCTAAAGTCCTGGATGGGTTCATTATTATAATTTCAAGTATTGTGACCATGGAGTGACCTGTGGCTTCCTGCGGTTTGCTGACCTGTCTCGAGCGGCTCAGTCTGGTCTGAGCGTGTGGAGCATGCTGGGTCTGCTGCGTGTCTGTACGTCCCTGCTGTCCTGCTGACCTGCTGAGGCGGGTTTGTGGCTGGTTGATTGGAGGCTGCGGCTCGGTGGAGCAGGAGGCGCTGGATGAGCTTTCATCCACTGAGGCTTCAAAGCAGAAATAAGAAATGCATTTACAACTCCACTCTGACACAAACACTGATAAAACATCAGAGACCCTCTAATAGCGTTTACAAAATGATCCGGCAGGATTCAGCACATTTCATGTTGTCAGCATTTAACGTGAGGAAGAAAGAGTTAGATATCTGCTGAAAACATACATTCTGCCTCTCAGGGAGCTTACCTCCATACTTCACAGCTAACGGGCAAACACTGCAGCTGGAATGACTACAAAAAAACAACACTTCCTAACAAAGCAGCTTTCATGAGACAGCAGCTTCTATCTGGGCTGAAGCTGCTTTCCAAAACTGCTGTTAGACATCGATGTAAAGCCAGTTCTACAGGGGCAGTTTCAGCAAATCTGTACCAGAAGCATCTTGCAGGTTCATTCTCGTCAAGTCAACTGCTCTTACCCACCCATCTTTTCAGAGTATGAAACAACTGACATGTATCATTACCATCATTGTCTCCGCTTGCAGCAGCAGTGGTCTCAGTGGAGTCGCAGCTCTCCTGCTCGGTGGCTTCAGCGGGTCCGGCAGAGGCTACAGCCGAGCCTGCCGCGGGAGTGCTGCTGCTTGAAGCTGGAGCAGAGGAACTTCCGGTGGCCTCTGTTGGCGTCTCTGTCTCTGGTGTGTTCTTTGTCCACTGGAGGGCGTTCTTCTACAGATCGTGAAGAATACATATAAGACTTTTGTGCATTGAATCTACTGCTACTCTTAAGTATTTAAAGTTAAATTTGATTGAACTATGTGAAGAGTGTCAAGAATGTAAATGGTCACATTTTTTAAGTACCTTGAGGGTGAACAGGCTCATCCGTCCAGGCAACTTGAAGAAGATGCTGTTTTTGACTCTGTCTCCTCTCACCTGGGAGTGCAGCATGGTGACCAGGCAGGCCAGAGGAGCTGTACCACTGCACACAAATACACAGTTTTAGTACGCTTTAATGCCCTGTGACTTCTCCGGTATAATATCATTCCATCTGTTACAGCTGTAGCTGGTTAGAGGCGCTCAGACATGGTTGCGGGTGGTAAAGGTTTTTGCAGTTGAGGATGCATCACCAGTGTTTACCACACAAAGAGGACAATTGAGCGTCCTTTCCAAGTACATTTGCAATCCCTTTGATTTATCTGCATTAGATCACCATCAACTATCAGTAAACTAGCAGGTGATCTCTCTTTTTCTCCTCGCAGTTTTGGAGGTATTCAATAAAGTATGCAATACAGGTACTTCAACTTACCTCCTGTTCAGATCAGCAGCAGGTCAAGTGGCCCATGAAAGATGAAATTCATGTGAAACGAAATGAAAAAGTTCAGTTAGAGACACAGTGATTGACATGTTCCTCAAGCATGTGCCGCTAAGTGATCAGCTCACTGACTGCTACAGACACAAGAAAGAGAAATAAAAATCCTGGTTATCCACACCTGACATGGCAGAGTTCCTCAAAGGTAACCTCGATCACTTACTAACAGTGCACCTTAACTTTACCAAAAAAGCATTAACTAGAGAAATGAGTTATATTTAACGTGATGATACACTAAGGATGGAGTCAATAACAGATAAAGCCTACAGTGTGACCACACCTTCTTTTGTTTGTTCTGTTTTTTTACACTGCATATACAGCTGTGCTATATCAGACACTGTTACTACAATCAGGTCAAGAGGAAAGCTGCAGGTGCTGGTAACAGCAGCAGCTGATGCTTTTACAGTCAACTGGGATGTGCATATGCATGTGTTTGCATGTGAGGCTGTGACTTCTTACCGCATCTCCTTCAGCCCCTTAGTCTGGATGACATGGAGGATTTGTTTGGGAGTCATGGGTGCGTCAGAGAAGTTCTCCAACACCTGAAACAAAATACAGACTCCTTTTAACACGCAGACGGAGACATACAAAGACAGATCAACCCAGAGAGACAGCGCCTTGGAGAGGGAGATCAGCAGATTCCCATCAACAGTGAAACAATCAAAAATGTGTTTCTATTATCTTTTTGGACCTTTGCAAAGATTAAGAACAAGACTGCACAGTTTTGGACAAACGTGCAGTTTCACTGTCTGCTCTGTGTTCAGCAGAAGATACCTGTCATGCAAAAAATTAACGAGGATTCAAATTTTGAAAAACCTCATTTAACTAATCAGGCAACTCCATGAACATTTGATCTTAAAACGGTGTCACAACTGTCTTTCAGAAGAAGCTACAATTCACAGAGAACATTTTAATCCGTCTCTGGCTGCCCTTTTGGTCTTTATTCATGCCATGTGTAGGTATGCAGGACTTCAACTTCAACTGCAATCAACTTAACCTCAGTGAAATAATCGATAAAACTTATAGTTAACTTGAACAGCTACAGAAAAAATATATGCAAACTGAGATGGGAAACGTTGTTTGCAGGACTTTCAAAATGACCTTTTATTCACTGACATTTTATACTTTCTTTTTTATTCTTGATTACATCTATTAAAATTCACTAAGAGCTGCTAAATTGACAGATTTCTTTCCTTGTTCTCTCGTTGCCTCTTTTTTCTGTAATGCAATGGTGACATTTGACGAATCTTTATGAAAATAATAGTTAAAGATTGATGTTAAAAAGTAATCAGACTATTTGTAGATGTACTAGAAATGAAAACAGCCTTAGAAGAGCACTTAGACATGTTTAAGACAAAATTCCAACACACTGGAAAATAAATGACTTTTTATCTGATGCAATGTAAATCTACTTTCAGGAGGCTTCATAATATTTAGTTTGTAATCAGGCAATTATCTTCTCTTTTTATGCAATACTGAAAAAACCTTGTGAGCGGTGGTGGTGGTGTACAAGTGTGTGTAGTATTCAAAAGGTGTTACTCATATTTTGCCATTTAATTAACAAAACATGAAGGGAGCAAAGTATGAGGAACATCTTATTTTTCAACATATTGCACCCAGGTGCATCACCAACACCCACTACATCATCAAAATTGAATCTAAGGAACACAATTCTCCTGTCAAGCCATGTCAAGAAAAATCAAAAACATACGTGCCTCGTAAAGGTGAGAGCTGTAGTTTTAGGTTGCATTAGATTGCTCAGGTGTTCATAATGTTATTAATGATCTAAATAAAAGGCTCAGTCTTTATATTGTGAAGTGCAGCTACGGATTCAATCAGAGGAAGCCCCACGAAACTGCTTCCTGTCACGCACATCCTCTGCAGCTGCTAAATTTGGGCCTGATAGGTTTTTGTAAATGTGCAGGTATTCCTTTGGCTTTTGGCAAAGCTCAAATGTTATGTATCAGTTTATGTTGCAGATTATTTCTCTATCATTTAGTCATTTTTAACATCCTCATATATCAAACCACAAATCTGGAACAAACTCCAAAAAAGGTGCAGGTCTCTAGAGGCTGTTTTAAAATTTGGAATTCAGACTCACCAAGTACAGCTGCCTTTTGTTAAACTGTTCGAACAGTTTTTTTTCCTCTGATTTTTCTTGGCTTGTTTTACTCGATTTTAAATATCTTTTTTCTGGCCTCAGTCATAATGGTTCACTGTCTTTTATGGCATAGATTGTTAGTAAATGCTGAAATATATCAGTTAAGCATCTGTGTCTGTCAGTTTTGACACACAATCACAGTGGATCACGATGTGCCATGCACCAATGTCAGTAACTGATGTTTATTCTTAACTCACAGCAGCTTTTCCACATAAGTCTCATGCTGGGATTCTAGTTAACCTGCTAATCCAAGGATGAGAGGTTTTCTTGGACAGAAAAGTCCTGTTTTGGACATACTGATTTGTTTTAGTGGTCAAATATAAGAGAAAACATCAGCTGTGTGGGAGTATTATCTGGTCTTTGAGATAGACCAGCGACATGCAGTTTTCAAGACCCATTCCTGTCACATCAAAAACACAAAAAGCTACGAGCAACATCTGAATTACATCAAATCTCAGCGCTCATTTGAAAAAGGACAAAGAAATAAAAGAAATTATGAAATGCGAAACACAGGTATCTGAATTGACTATTAGCTGAACAATCATGTCGAACCTGGTTTTCAGTATCTGCCCTGAATTTCACTATGGATGCATCTCTTAAAATACTTCTATCAATACATTAAAAATTGGTCCATATTGTTTTTTGAACATTTGTTAGTTTCAGGTTTGTACCAGTAAGGATTTGCTGCATTGCTCTGGCTTTATGATAGTAACTACAGAGTCTTTGGGTTCTGAACTGTTGAAAGAACAAAAGGAGATATTTCAGGATACTCCTGTAGGCCTCTGCGAAAAACAAGTACATGTATATATGTTTTAACTTTATAATTTATCTGTACAAACCCTACTTAAAGTTGGATGTGAATCCTGTTTATCTAAAGAATTTTTGTTAATTCAGGTTTTATCTTTGTTCCCTGTAGCTGACCATAAACGTCTATTTAAGTGAAGAGCTCATGGACCTTACTGGCAAAAACAGAGAAACAGAGCAAAGTAGCTGTGAATCCTCTGCCCTTGACTTGAGCCACAACACTGGAGAAAAGCACACTTTATTTCTACATACGTTTTACTTTAGCCCAACATGATAGATCAGATGCAGCCTATAATCAAATCCATAATATCTGACATGAAATTAACCCTCCATGATCCAGCTTGCTTTAAGTGTTTAACGTTTGTTTTCAAGGTCACATGTGATGCTCATATAACTTTTTGTATTAACATTTCTGGCAACACCAAAATCTCATCTTATGTGCAGCTCTTATTTTGGCTCGTATGTTGAAGATGATGGAAACTAGGTCTTGATCCCAAACCACTTAATGTAGATTTGCCAGAACTGAACTGTTTTTGAGTCTACAGACTTTTCAAACAGGGTTTCGTGACAGTGAAATCTTCACTTTATTTGTGAAAATGCAAAAACTAGCAATTTTACCTCTCCTTTTACGTAAGACTACCAGAGGACAGCACCTAGTCTTCTCAGATGTGGCCTAAATTATTTCAGAGAGGATCCAGACCTTTGAAACTTCTGTTTCAGATTAATAAAACCTTTGTTCTATTTGTGAAATCACAGCATAGATTTCTACAAAAAGAATAAAGGTTTCGTGAAGCTGAAATTGAGTTTTGACAAGTCTGTAGCCTGTCTGGCATAATCTAGTCCAGGTCTTTGAAGCCTGGGTGTTGTGGTCCTAAATTAAAATCCGGTCCAATGTGGCTGAGGCTGGAAAGACGGGTAAAATCACAGCTTATGATTCCCCAAACTTTCTTTTTATTTGAGAATAGGCAACAAGGGGGGTGATGGCAGATGTTATAAAGGTTTCACAAATCTGAAACGTGTTGTGAAGAGCCTGTAGCCTCTCTGAAACCATCTGGTCCAGATCTGGGGTTTTGGATCAGGAACGACCCCAAAGAAGTCAGCACTGGACAAAGCAGTGAAAACACATTTTTTTGCATATTCACAAAGATAGGAAAGGCTTCATAAATCTAAAACTGTGTTTAAAGTAGTCTGTGGTCTTTCCAGAATCTCCGAGTCCAGATCTGAGAGATGTGGTCTCAGAGATTTTGGATCAGAATCTTGCTCCCTAACCTTCCTCCTAACAACCAAATCAGGGGTTAGGGATAAAATACCGACTTTAAATATTTCTGCTTGGTGATATTTGGACAGACAGGGTGGATAAAGACCGTCAGCAGGTCTGCTTTGATACTGAACAGAATAATGTGGACTCAAAGACAGCTGAGCTAGCTGTTAGCTCTGCTAACACCAGCTAGCTTCATGTTCAACAACATTAGCTACTACAATAAAAAAGACTGGCCTTTCTTTTACGATACGAGTACAGAAGACAGCATTTTACTGTCTAGGTGATTCACATCAAATGTGTACCACTGTAGCGGTGTTAGCTTCACTCAGAGGCTACTTATAGTGCTCGTATGGGGATTAGCATTCAGCTAGCAGGCTCGGAGCCTAGCAAACAAAGAGCTTAAAATAGGAGAGGTGGGAGCTAGCATGCTAACCAGTGTTAGCCTGCTCTGTGCGCAGTGTCTTCATTTAACAGTTAGGGGGGCGTCTATATGATGGACAATGAGCACCGTTGAGTATGTTTGAGGTTAAATTCAACATTTGCTGCTTGCTGGGTATGTTAGCGTGAGCTAGCGGTAGTCCAAGCAGAGTCCAGGCTGTGGTCGTGAGTTGAATTTCCAAACACAACAACACATCTGGATCCATCCTTCACACTTCACACACACACACACGGTCATTTACATGCAGCTAATGAAAGGCTTGAATCAGACTGTTTACCATGCGGGCCGCCTCAGCCCAGGTCCGCTCCTTCTTTCTCTTTTGTTTGTCCTTCATTTCCTCTGCTCTGGTGTCTGCGGACAGTCTGCTGCTGCTGCTGCCGAGGGTCTACAAAGCAAAACGGTTTAGCTGCTTAGCAAAATGGCTAACTGCGCTCCAGGTTCACTGTGTAGAGCCAAAACAAGCCGTTCCTTCAGCTCGGGACGGTGCTATGGCGTCTGCTGGTCTCTGTTAACTGTCTCTACTGAGTGCAGTGCCGTTTCTGGACTAGCTCAGCACATATCGTCTCTGTGGAGCTCAGGAGCAGAGTGAGTGCAGGGCTGGTGAGGAGCTGCTGCAGGACAAGCCTCTATGGAATGCAACAACCAGGTCAAAGGTCAAACCCTCTGCAGGAATGCAACAAAACAACGGCCAGCCCTCTGCATGCAAATGTGGCTCATTTGAGCAGATGCTGCATGCACATGAAGATATTTGATATGAAAAGGACAGTTTTGATTGAGCTTTTCTCCCCCCGAACAATCAAGCTTTACACCAGCCGTCTGAAACCGTATTTACAGACGAGTCTGTGCGAGGTTAAGAATGAAATCTAGCCAAGGGTAAGGGATATATATTGTTGAGCTTATATTTGAATAGGTACACGTCAAAATTCATGGTGAGATATTACAACACACAAGAAACATATAATTTCTTTAAATTATAACCATTTGTGAATCTTTATACATGATATCAAGAAAGACAGAGATAAGGATTTATATTTTTGAAAATTGTGGTGCATTTATTCAATATTTTTTCTCATATTTTAGGACATGAGTAAGAGAGAGAAGAAATTTCTCTGAAAAGGGAATAGTCAGATTAAATATAGATCAGACATTTTCATATCATCAAAATGTATTTTTCAAAACTGAGAAGTCTGTATACCCACATTTACACAGCTACACTGGATTATCCCCTATGTCTCTTTATTAAATATAACTTAGCATGTATGATTTTAATCAGTGTAAGGATTTGCTAGACTTATATTGGGTACAACCCCAATTCCGGAAAAGTTGCAAAGCTGTGCAATATGTAAATAAATACAGGTTTGATGGTTTACAAATCTTTAAAAAAATTAAATTAAAACCGCAAAAGATTGGAGACAGAGTTGAGTGTAAAACCAAAATAGCAAACAACCAGACAAAAACTAGAGGAGCATCCACAAACAAATTAGATTAATTTTCCACAGGTCATTAACATGATAAACTAAAATATTTCTGAGAGTAAAACTGTGAAGGATTTGAGATTTTCCGCATCTACAACACATACTATTGTTAATGACTCAGAGGATGTGGAGAAATCTCTGTAAAAGGGACAAGGACAAAAACAAACACTTGGATGTTCCTGATCTGCAGGCCCCCAGGAAGCACTGCATTAAAAACAGACATGGCTCTACAGTGGTCATACAGTATTAACTAAATACTAAAAGAAAAAAAAACTTTTTGTGCTGATCCCGCTGCAAATATTGATCTGACATTTAAAACAAAGCAGGTGTTTTTTTTTTTTTTTTTTTCCAAAAAAACACAAGTTACACATCTATAGGGCAAGATATAGCTACAGATTAAAAGAAACATATAACCATAGTTTTAAAACCTCCTTTGATTGCTATCGAGCAACTTTTACACTTTGTGTTGTCTTACATTATGGATTATTTTGCTTGGTATTGTTTCTTTAGTTTAATATGTTTTTTAATTTGCTTTTGAAAAGCACATTTAGTTGCTTTTATGTGATTTATGTTTTGATATAAATAAACTTACCTTTCACTATATGTGCAGTAAAAATGTCAGCTGTGTATGAAACAAATGATAATGCAAAATAAAACAAGTTCATATAAATTTTTAGGCCAACATGTTACTGATTTCTTTTTTTAGAGAGAGTTAAAAACAACTGGTGCAATAATCTTGATTCTTAGCCCCTATGTGGTTAAGCACGCTCTAAATCTGCTTTTCATAGTGCTTTTGGGGAAATGTTTAACTACCATCAATGCAATTAAACTTTCAGGGGGACTTTTCTTGGTAGCAGGTCAGGTGATCATCAAATCAGTTCTTCACAAAGATAAGTAAGAAGCACCTGCACAGGAGTAAGATAACATGAGAAAAGACATGAATCCAAGCATGCAAAGATGTTTAAGTAAAGAAAACTTTGGTTCGTGTTTTTTTTTTTTTTAAATTATTATTTTGTCTGAAAATTTGTTTACTTATGCTCTAGTATTTTGGATAAAGTTTTACTTTTTTTTAATTGAAAGAAAAAATAATGTAACTCAACATTGTATTAAACTGAATCTGAGATACAAAATCTTGGTTGGAGAACAGATTGTTCCAGACCAATTGAGAACCCATCTTCAGGTGAGGCCAGTCAGGGTTAATATACTGACAGGTAATCAGTCTCACAGAGTTTGCACATTCAACAAACTCAAAGGTTTTGGTCCATCCATATGGACACAATGCAGGCTACAATTGAGAGTTATTTTTTTATATTGCACTTTATTAATTTATTGATTGGTGAGAAATACAGTTTCTCTATTCCTGCTTTTTGGTTTTCATTTAAATAAAATATTCTGGCTTGTTCATTTATGTATCAATGAATTTTCTTATTTCATTTTATTTAATTTCATCTTAATTTTTATCTTAGTTCATTTGAACTTATTACATTTTGTTGTCTTTATTTTGATTTTTTTATATGCATTTTATATTTAGAGTTTTTTTATTTTTTAAATTAAATTTGACTTATTTGATTAATGTTATTTTGCCCTGGCTTTTGCTCTTATCTTTAGATTATCTTTAGAGTTAAATGTATTTATTTATTAATATTTAATTATCATATCTTTTTTTTTTTTTCACATTTCAAATTTTTTCATTATTTCATTGGCTCAAATTTTTCGATAAAAATGGTCAAATATAGTAAAATTTAATTCGTAATTTTTTTTCTATTTTATTAAATTTTACTTGGCTTTAGGTGTTTTAAATCTTTTTGCTCCGGTTTCTGCTGGAGTTCCTCTGAGCCCGAGGCGTGACGTCACTCTCCCAGAATGCATGGCTTCCAGCGCGGCGCCCAGCAGTCCAGGCCCGGACTCTGAGAAACATCTCTAAAAACTTGACCCAAAATGCTGATGTGGAAGCGGAATGGAGGCTGGACGGAGAACTGGACGGAGGCACAGTCGGTAAGTTGGTGAAACGTTGAGTTTGTGTCCGTGAACTCGAGCTGCAGTTGATCTCCGCTCGGTAAAAACATGGAGGAGTTAGTTAGTTAGCTCCCCGCAAGACAAACTCCGATACAACTTCGTGAAGCGCTCATCTTTTGTTTTTTAACCACCATGCTGACCCGGTTAACTCTCTAACTTCACTAAAGGCTTTTCTAACTCTACCCAGAGGCGTTACTCGATATATGACCCATTGATCACAGCGCAAACCTCCAAGAATTTAACCTTATTTGGCCTCCACCGCCGAAATAAGTGAGCACAGCCTGGCTAGCAGTCCAAATTAGCCCCGGTGTGGTAATGACCCCGTCCCACTACTCTCCACTAGCTTACACGTCGTGTCCTAGCTCAAAATCCCTTTAGATATTGTGCAAATAGTGAAATACTTTTTCTAAATCCAGCATTGGACGCATTCCCACAGTTAGCTAAACTTTCTTTGCAAAGTTGAAGCAGAAAAAGTGAGGGGATGAGAGCTTCATGGCAGCTCCATGTCGAGGACCCACAAGATGGCACTACCAGCTCCCATCACCTCACTGCTCATGTGGGCTCGGATTGAGTTTTCTTATCATTTCCACTGCTCTCAGTATATTTATTATGACTTTAAAGACTGTCGTTAAGTTAGAAATGAACGGGAAACAGAAACACCTTTCTCAGATATAAAAACTAACATAGAAAAAACACAATTTTAAGATAAGTTGCATGACGAGCTTCGATTTCTAACTGTGGAAACGCAGGCGAATTACATTTTCCAGATTTCAGGAGCTGTGCTGCGTTCACAGGTATGAAGTATTTGTTAAAGTTGTGCAATACCGCAAAGGTGTCTCTGCCCTGAACCTGTTTTGTAAAAAAAAATGTATTTGTAAAGCACCTGATGATAGCTCTCTGAGCTGCCCTTCACATCTATCCTCATGTCAACATAATGCAGTCCGTAAATGTTTTTTTAAGACTTAATTCAGCAATAATCAGAAAGAATAATATAAAATAAAAAACATGATGAGAATTTGAATCTGTTCTGAAATACGAGTGAAGTACTGTGATTTTGCAACTGCGTCTTGAATTATGTCGTCTAAATGTAAAAAACAAATCGACTGAAATCATAATGCAAACTTACAACAGAAGAAATACTTTCTTCAGGAGAGGTGCATGATAGATTTAAATATTTTTGAAGTTACTGTCAAGGCGGCCACACTACTAAAATTGCAGGGGATGCAATTTGCTGACAAAAAGTCAATAAAATATCTATTCGTAGTCAAACTACTGAGTAAAAACTGAAATAACATCACAATTTAAAAGCCTTTATTTTTATGTGTTTATGTTTAATATCTGGACAGTGCCAGTCACTAAGCAGCCATGCATCCATACATTGTAAGTAGAGATAGACTAATTAATAGGGCCGATCAATGTTATTTTCAAATAATCAACATCGTTCTGTATCTGGGCTCACAAGGTCAATTTTAAATATGAACAAATCATGTCTGCAGACACTGCGATAACCCTTTCAGTGAAGCTGTAGTCAAGCAAAGCTGTCCCCTGAAATTATGGCTCGTTAAATGACAGCAAATCAATTTATTACTGACAAGTGTTAGATGTGTATTCTGTCATGATTTATAGAAAAATGAAGTTAGATATTTCCACTGGCTTAAATATGTCCTGTTCTGACATCTGTAACTTAGCACAGTGCATTACATTTTTCATTCCCTGACTTCATTCACACTGGCACATATTTTCTTGGGTATGACAACCATAGATATATGACGGTCAAGTGCATGGAATAGTGTCTTTTTTATTGAAGTTAAATCATATATTGTGAAATAAAAACAAAACAAAACAAAAAAACACCAAGAATGTAATATCAGCATTAAGTATCCGCCAACCTGCTCTGAGACTGTTGATATTGGCTTTTAAAAGCTCATATCGTCCAATCGCTAATTGTTACTTAACATCAATTTCATGTGTTTTCTTAATATCTTGACATAATATCACAGATGATCGTAGAGGCAGAAACAAAACTAAAAAGAGAAAAAGTAAAGACGCAGGTGTAACATACTATGATAGTTTGGACAGTGTTTGTTTTATAATCCATTTACTGGGTTATGTCTGTCCTTTTAATACGATGATACAAAAATCAAACTATATGTGTGAAAATGATCCTTTTTAAGATAGTGATGCAGGTGTTCACTCCTGTCAAAGACAGATTCCCAATTCTGAGGGATGGTCCTGCACAGAGTGTTAATTATTGATGGATTGCTGGTCTCAACCCTGGCAGGTTTAAATACTTCATGTACACTCTTGAGTGGTTTAAAATAGAGGACATCATTTATTTATAAGCTCAGTTTATGTTTTGTCTGTCAAATCAATTAGACTTCTGCAGCCAGAAATCACAAGTGTGTGTGGCGGTGCACTTAAAACACCAAATGAAGTGTTCCGGCATCAGGTATTTTTTGTTGTATCCGTTGTCTTTCCATTCATTGGCTTCTTTTGAACATGGGTTTAATCGGCTCAAATAAGCCAGGACTAGCTTGCTGATTAATGTTATGGATGTTATGGCAAAGATCATCATCACAATTATTTTGATTGATTATTGAAAATGATAACCATGATTTGACATCTACAGCACTCTCATTTAAATAACTTCAAAGCTCTTTAAAACTTCTACTGTCTGAATACAAGTGGTCAAATAAACAGATTTGATCAAGTTTTTGGTTTCCTAAAGCATGTCTGTCAGTCTAACTAGATTAGATAAAAATCATATGTACTACTTCTGAAAGCAACCATGCATCGCTTTATCGTTTTGACTTATTGTGGTGATAATACTCACTGAATTAAATACCAGATTTCACTTGTAAAGTATTTTAACACTGTGTCATAAAAAATGGAAAGATTTGAGCCTCTTATACTGCTAAGGTAAGGCTGCAGATTTAAAATCATTCAGTGTTTCAAAGCTTTTATTTATCTCCATTTATATAATTCAGACTTCAGCTTTTAGTTAATTATGATTCTGAACGATGTCCTTCACTTATCAGCTTGGCAGTTGTTGGCTTGCTAGTGCTTGTGATCATTACAGTCTCTTTCTCATTATGCTCATTGTGCCCTTTGGCTTTTCAGACACACACAGATACATGCGCACCTGTCTCCCCTTGCTCCTCTCCCTGCTCTCCTCTTTCCTTTTCCTGCTCCTTTCCCTGCTCTCCCCTCTCCACCTGTGGCTGCCTGATAGTTTGCACTGCTGTAGCACACCGTGTTGGAAGATACAGTGGTCTACTATTTATCTTAGTGAACCCCTGTATCTTGGTGGGGGTTGGGGTGGCGGCTAAGTAATCAACTGTGTGATCACAGATGACAACTGGCCAAAGCTAAAACTTGGTGTGCGCGCCCTGTGGTGCAGCATATACTGATACTGAATCCGAGGTGGTGCCACTTAAACAACCCCCCATAATTTTAAGGTGTGGCAGCTATTATTTAGCCGTGGCGGTGCGCTGTGATAAATTACATTTAGGGGAAACCCTGTATTAATAGAGTTGACTGCTTTTTGTATGTGCTGATCTAAAATAAAATGTTATGCATGAATGTTCCCATACAATATAGATATGGGCTATCGGTCTCATATCAGCAAAAAAAATGAACATGGGATTATAACGGCCTGCATCTAAAATACTGATATCAGCACTCCTATACAAGCAGCCCATTCCAGACTCCACTCAAGCACTGCTATCTATCGTGCCTTAATCCAGCAAGCTGAGCCCACAGAATCACAACAACAGTGTGTACTAAGGTACTAACAAAGTAGCAAGGAGTAAGAATGATGTCGGCCTTGTGGCAGTATTTTTCATTTAAGTCCGAAAAAGACGTTGCAGCTGAGTGCAAAACTTGTCATGTACAATTTTGTGCCAATATCAGATCAGTATTGGTATCCACTAATACTGATGGCTACAATATCTGTATCGTATTGGAGGTAAAAAAGTTGTATCAGGACACCCCTAGTTATGCAAGTCATCCAATCAGAAATAAAACAAATCTGAATCTAAGATGAATAAAGTAATGAACTTTTTGAATGACATGCTTCTAAGTTAAGACAGCACAGGAGTAACTTTTTAGCTCGACTACCTCACAACAGATTTCAGATTTGAATACCAACAGTCTTAAAACTAAAGGCTAATGTTGACAACTTGATTGTCAGTCAAAGGTTAGAGAAAAAAACAAACAAGAAAGACAAAGCAGGGATTGGTTTTGTATAAGTTGTTCCTCATTTTCCTTGATTTTTAAATATAATTATTTAGCCCGACTCTGAATGCTACAGAAAATCACAGCAAGAGAATTTCTGATGCACTTCAGTATTGTAAAGTCTAGTGTTTATTCAAGTTGCTTTGCTTTCCCTCCAACAACCACAACATTTAGAAACTTAATGTTTGTTTGTAGATATGATTTAATATTAAATAATACAACAGCTATTCTGGTATGGTATTAAAAACACTAAGTGAGAGCTGTGACCTTTAACTGAAGCATATTAAGAGAAGAGATACCCATTGCTTGAATGAGTTAACTGATATGCTGTAGTTGTCAGACTCTTTTTGTCCATCCTGCATGCTTCCTACTGTGCCTTTCTATTGATGACAGCGAGTATCATTTGCTCAAAGTGACAGTTTTTCTTTGTGTTTGCAGGTCTGTAAAGATGTTGATCTGCCTCTGTGATTCAGCTGCTGTTTCTGTGGCGTTCAGGGCCGCTGAATACTAAAATAGACTGCAGGCCAACACAAGAGCTCTTCTCAGGGAACACACAGACCCAGTCACTGCTTCCAAAGCTCCTCATCACCGCAGCCCTTTTGGGGTTGCTATGGCAGCTGCTGTCACAGAGACCAAGTGCTGGACACAGGCTTGCCCCAGTAAGGCAGGACAGACCACTAGTCATTGCAGCAAGAGACCATCAAACAGTCAACAAACAGCACTTAGCATTAATTCTAGCACTCTAAGTTAACAAAACGACCAGAGGTCTGCAGGCTGATGGTCCGCTCTCTGGAGAATCCTCATGAGTCTTGTCTGTGTCTGCTCCGGCTCTTGGCCAGAGTCCCCGTGCACCAGCAGAGCCAGTACTGTTCCTTCTGTTAGACCATGTTCCACCAGCAGGACCATCTGAAGAGCCAGCTGCAGGAGAGCCACCCAGCCAGCAGACAGCTCTTCCACTGTCAGGAGTGTGGGAAGCAGTACAACACCCAGCTGGGTTATAGACGCCACCTGGTGGCAGCCCACAGCGCCTCAGCTAACCTGCCCTGTCCAGAGGGGGCGCCTTCCCTGCTGGAGCACCTGGGCAGCCATATTGACCGGCCTCCACCGTCAGAGGGAAACACTAACGCTGCTGTTCCGGTGAGAGAGAGGAAATACTCATGTGAGCGATGCGACCGCCGCTTTTATACCCGTAAGGATGTCAGACGTCACGCAGTGGTGCACACCGGGCGCCGTGACTTCCTTTGCCCGCGCTGTGCACAGCGTTTTGGCCGCAGAGACCACCTGACCCGCCACCTGAAGAAGAGTCATGCTCAGGAGTCAGGGGTGATACCACCTTGTGCGCCCAGCACTCCTGTGGCTACGCCCACCCCTGCTGCTCAGTGCCCGGTGAAGGAGGAGCCCAGCCCTGTGACCTCTGACATGGGTGCCGTCTCCAAGGAGCACATGGAGAATTACTCCAGGGACATGTACAACTCCTACCCCATAGCCAATCCTGTCCCCGGGTTGGGGCACCCTCATGGCCTCATGCAAGGCTCCTTGCCCTCGAGCATGGGTGTGAGTCGCCACATGTCCCCGCAGCCCTCTCACCCGCACCACCACCACCTGCAGCCCCCGGTGGCTCCACAGCAGCAGCCCTACGGCAACATGGCCAGGTACCAGCATGGATCTACCTCATATCCTCGCGCCGACGTGGACAGCTTCCTGCTGGATCTGCAGAGCGCCCCCCCACCTCACCTGAGTGTGGCCAACTCCTCTACCTCTACTTCTGCCTCTCCTCAGAGGGAGGTTCTGGGTGAAGGGGTGGGTGCCAGTGGCGACCCCCACCTACTGTCCAGGAGTCCGGCTATCTCCTCGACCGAGCTGTCCTGCACCACTAACATGGACCTCGGGCCTCTCCTGGGTTTTCTTCCTTTCAGCCTGCCGCCCTACAGCCCCCACATGGGCATGGGAGGGCTAGTGATGAGCTATCCACCCGCCACCACCGCCACTTCCTCTCCATCCTCTTCCACAGGGCTGTCCTCTCAGGCCCCAGGGCCTTTCTCCTTCTTCCAGCCTCCCCAGGCCCACGTACCCCAGGGCCCCGGAGCCCACAACCACAGCCAGCTACCTCAGGCATACAGCAGTTCTGCTATGAGCACTTCCAGCTCCCTACCTCACTACTACCAGGCCTTTCAGCAGTAAGCAGCTCTGTCCCCATTAAAGTTGCCTTCAAGTAAGCTCATGGATTTTTCAAGAAAAAGGGTAAAACATGAGAACGGCATTTTTATTTGTAAAACAAGTGTGTAACTTTAGCCTGTCAGTGCTAATGATGCTAATCTTAGTTGTTTTTGTTTTGTTAAACACAACAAATCACCTCATCAGTATTACCTCATTATTTAAAAAAGGAAGCTTGAACCTTTGTGGAAATGTAGATAATCTCACTTCAACCAAAATAGAGTAGTACCTTTTTTTGTTAGACCTGTTACCTTCAGTGGACACACTTAAAATTCATCACAGATGCTGCACAATGCTGAACTCCAACACTTTTATGATATCATGAAATTCCACAGTGTTGGGAAATTTTTTTTATCCAGTTTTGTGTCATTTTTAAAAAAAACTCACCTTGCTTTTCTTTTAAAAAAAATACTGGACCACAAACAGCCTTACAAAAAAAGACAAAGAGATGGTGTTGTAGATGCACTCAGCTTTGTTGAGTGCATGCAAAAGGACTGAAAATGCAATCTCAGTAGCATTGTAAACTCATTTTAAATATGCAGACATGCAGCAATGCTTCAGCTGATGTGTGATCACACATGAGTAGTCAGCTATTCAAAATGTTATTCTCAACAATGCTCAAAAATTGAGTAAATTAAACCCTTTCCTGAAGAATCCAGGACCAGGCCCTGTTAGAGTATAGACTATTTTAAGTCTCTACGGTGGGCAATAACAATTACAGTTAATACCTGTTATGTCAGGCTGCATTTACTGAATCTTAAAGATACTGTAAGCTGTATAGGATACTGTAAACCCCTTTATTCAAACTATTATGAACTTAAAAGGCATTTAAGTAACATCAGAATCTGAAAATCTGATGTCCCTCTTTGGAAAAAGATAACGGCACAGCTCTTGTTGCCAGAAATCTATATTTGAATCCCTTAGGATATTTAGTTGGTGACAAGCTCTAATGCTACTTTTATCCTCTTTTTATTGCTGTATTAGGTAGCATTACTAGATTAAAAGGCACTTATGTTTCATTTCCAACATGGCAGGGGATGCCAAATCACATGAAGCTTTTGCAGTAGTCACCGCTCTGCTGCTCTCCATGAGTGAAAACGTTTGTTGGCTAGAATATGTGATGCCGTTCAGACAGATCAGTGTTGCATAAAAAAGTGTTTTTGATCTGTGCTCAGTTTTGACAGACTCTACATAGATATATGTATCACTCAAAACAAAAAACCTTTAACTTTGATTTGTCATAACTCATCCGTTTCTCCTCACGTAGCATCCTCTAAGCCTCGTGCCTTTCTGTCTGAACGGGACCACAGGGAGCAGTTAGCAGCTGTTTTTTGATGTATGATCCTTGAAATCCACTTTGTCACAAGGTCATAAAGAAATGCTCAGATGCCCTCTCTGTGTGAAAACCAGGTCACTGATCTCAGGGCTGCCACTTGCCCCCTAGAAGTACACGCACTTGTCCTTTAATTTAGTCGAAGGAATAAGACATTCCACAGAAACTATGCTCAGACACCCGTAAAATTTGTCATGACGAAATCGGCAACATTTTTTGTTTGGGCAAAGCTGTATTTGATGGAGGAGAAAGAAAATAAACGAATCTATTCTGACTTGTAATGTTTCAGCAGTGATGCTAACACTTTGGCCCACTCCCAGTTCCCTTCTTTTGTCCTTGCCCTTCCACTTTGCGCTCTGCTGCACAGAACAGAGTCCTGTCATCAGGGCGTTTGGTAAATGTGGCCACAAAGTTCTCCAGATGGCCTCTGATATGCAGCATTTTTTAGATCTGGACCCGAAACAAAGTGGTAGAAGAAAACTCGGAATGCAACCTGACAAGAATCCAGTGAGAAAAAGATCACCACTACCAGTACAGAGATAGAAGCTCTTTTTTTCTAGATAATCATGTTGACTTTTTCAGTTTAACCACTAACTACCAGTACAGGCACATCAAATTTGATCCAGATCATGAAACAACTCTTTTAAAGAGGTTCTTTTTACCTTAAAAACGGAGCTCTGAGAAAAAACTGATTTTTAACTGACAGGATAGTTAATTACGTTCAGGCTTGATGAATCTGAAGGAACTCAACCAGCTGTGTCCTGTTTACTAAGAACAATGTTCACAACATAGTCCAATTTACTTCAGAGGCAGAGGTAGAAACGTCCCTGGAAGATTGCTAATTGGCACGTGTACTCAGTCCTGGACCAGGCATTTGATTGATATGTTAAATTACAAAATTTAGGTGTGCAATTAAAGTTGTTTTTACACATGCACTCAAGAAAATTCTAGATGTTTTCAAGAGCTCTGTCCCTTGAAAATGTCAAAATTTGCTTTATAAAACACATTCTGCTAATGGTGTGAGGGAACCGCTGTCAGATATGGAGGGGTGGTTGGCTGAGGAGGATGGGACCCTTGCTAGATTTGACAGTGAAAGCATGTCGTTAAGGCCCTAGTTCAATATTTATGTCTGTGGTGACAGTTTTTGCATTTATATCAATGCACAGATTTGCAGACATTTCTGCTGCTCTTGGCTTGTTCTTCGTTTTTAATGAACTGGATCTGCTCTCAGCAATTTTACCAGCAAGCAGGCAGGAAAAAATCTGGTTAAAGTCAGGTTTAAGTTTTTAGCTGCTTGTGTTTTTAAACGTGCCCACCCCAAAGATCAGAAAAAAATCACAACTTTTGTGCATGTGTGAATACAGTTTCGATGGACCTTGCAGTACCTTAAACTTGGTTCAAGAGAAATTCAACAAATTATTAGCTAAGTTAAACTACCCACATAGGTATTTCTACAGCTTCTGTACCTGAAAAGGCTTCCTACTTACTTAAAACCCATCCCTCCACACAAGATATGTATCTTTATCAGTCTGCATTCTCCTCCATCTCTGCATTTTGGGCTTTGTCAGGTGGCAACCCTGGCTTAATGATGTGACCTGAGCGACACATGAAGATTTTTGATTTAGGCTCATAATCTTTTACCTGTTACCTGTTTTGACCTTCTCAAACTGGACCACTGGATCTGAGCATTTTCTTACTGTGACCTGCTAGCTGTGAATTTCTGACTTTTTCCTACTAAATAGAAAGCACCATCAATTTTCCAAAGGCCTTGCAGAGCACTTCTATCCCCTTTTCTTCTCAGTGTAACTAAATGCCGCTGTTGGTATTGACACCCATTCCTTTAAGGCTCTGGTGTTGTTGGATGTCAAGAGTTTCTGATGAAATTAGGACTTAAAAAAAGCGCCCCCAATCCCTGCTCCCTACCTTCCCTCTCATCCTGGCCTCCTCTGCTCAAAGCCAGGGATGGAGAGGAGTTAAGGAACTATTGATCAAGGTTCCCTCAACAGAGTCACTCTGCAGCATGACACGAGAATTGGATCTTACCCAGCAGCCTTCCAATAATGGACGCTCCACTCAAGAAATTGGTCAAGTGTAGTGGAGATGGAGGAGCCCTAAAGCTGGATAATGTGAGTGAGTGATTTGATGTTGGAAAGAAGATATTCAGAAAAAGAGAATCGGATGATTCTCCATCTTCTGCCTTAATTCCATGAACTGTTTGTTGAAGGACTTCTCTCGCTAGCATAGAAACCAGCCTCCAAGTGTTGCACCAATGTCTTAAAATGCTACTGTTGTGCCTCTCTAAGAGTGTCTAACTCTCGACTGGGTTTAAGCACTTATAACATTTTCTAGAAAAGGATGAATTTGATCTGTACCTCAAACACGCAGAACTGTGGGTTTCTGTTTTTATTTGTTTTTGCTTTTAGTTTTTTTTTGGCTCCTACTTGTGCCATTAGATTGAAACTATAAAAGGTAGATTTTATGAATCTAAACTCTTTATCTAGCAGCAGACATTGACATTATAATTCAGTCAAACTTTCTACCTCTCTACCTTGTCATATATCTTTCTGCAAAAAAAAAAAAAATCATTAAGATAGTTTTAACCTGTAACAATTTGGCAGTTTCACCACGTTTGAACATGGGGATGTGTTCAATAGTTCAACTTTGAAGGGACCAGGTACGCATGAGTCCTGGTGGTGTATTCCAGAGTCAAACATTGTTCTATTCTTGCCTTTAATGATATTTCTACTTATTTACTACCTCAGAGAAGAGACAGGCAACTGTCCATCTAACTGCAGAGAAAATGTCTGTGTAGAGTTTTATTTTTGTCAGAGGAAGCACATGTACTTTGTAGCTCCATAGTTTTTTACTGAGATTAGCTCACAGCCGGATGATGTGTCTAGCGCAACAAGTACCAGTTACACTGCATTTGTGATGTTATAACACTGTGTCTCTGCCTCTTCAGTCTGGAATGCTAACTGTTTATGAATCAGGGCCTCTCTCTGGAAAAACTTCCCAGTTGTGTGCTGGAATGTGTAGAAAACACTTTGGTATCCTGGATATTCAACTGGGGCTGAGTCCACCAGCTGGCTGTACTTCTAGACATGAAACCTACGGCTGGCTTACACTTCAGCCCTAACCATTTAAAACATTCCGTACTGATCTTCATGAAACCGCTCTGCTGTGCTTTAGTCAAATATGATATAGATTAAGCAGCTGTTGGATCCAGCTCTTTTGTTTCTTTCATCTTTATGACTTCAGAAGGAGTGCAGATGGTCAGAGATGGACCATTTACAGAGATCAGGGTTGTTTAATTTTACATTTTGTGTTTTTTTTTTTCATTTTTTCCCACTGTTTTTGTTACACAGGTGGTGTCCCCACTTCAAACAGAGCATGAGTTTGTACAATAAGACTGTGTGTCTTGTCTGCAGCTTCATTAATACAGTGAAATTAAGCTAAGAGAGAGTCCCAAATTCTATCAACTATATTTTACTCATTTCGGTTTCATGTCCTGAATTCAACTCTGGGACTGCCTGTGTCTCACCACCAGTATTTTGCCTTTTGGTTCACCTCCCGTAGATAATATGGTGGTGAGGACAGTGTATAGCAGTGTGAAACTTGGAATTCACCCCTCTGCAAACATTCACATGGATAGTCATGATATACCCTTACACAGGTTTGACTGGTCAGGCTTGATGTACTTGGTGCAAGTTCAAGTCAAAGAGCCGTTTGTTGTCAAGTCCAGTTAAAGAGAAGTCTTGTTTACACCCAGTCGGTGCGCTCTGTCCCTGAAAACAACATCGTCTTATTTACTTCAACATAAATGCCCAACTCTCTCTGGTATCAGCCCCTCACTGACATGATTTTTTTAAACTTTTGTGAGTGAATTTTTCTACAAAAAAAGCACATGGAGCATTTCACTTTAAGCTCTGGAAATGATGCTTATCATTTCTTATACTTGACTGACATTTTAAAAACTGTTTTAGCACTTGAAAAAATAACCTGGCAGGAGGGTTTACCTGTAGCACTCCGGGCATCATGTTTACATAGACTTGATACCTGCAGGTGAATCCAGGATTTGTAGTTGAAAGACAAGATCATGGGTGGGATTACAGCTGTGGTGAAGAGTTTGATTTCCCATTTTTATGTTGTTTAGCACATGGAACTGGTGTGAAGGGGTAGAAGTCATACCAGAGGATTGATAGATTTAGAGAAATGTGATATTGGAGGTCTTTTTCTGTGTCGAACCTTCAGTATTGGTTTGAGCCATTATCACCATCTCTACCCAGACGTAAATATGCAAATGTTAGCTGTTTATGAACCAAACCTGAAATGACAGAAGTAATTTCAGTCTCTTTTATGCTGTATGTTTAATTTGTTTTGGTTTGCTGACAAAATACTTCTCATTAAAGAAAAAAAAGAAGTGTTTTCAATACCAGCAAACCCAGTAAATAAGTCCCCCAGTTGGTTGTCCAGGCCAAGGTTTGACTGATTCTGCCTTAAGGATTTTTAAAATGAGGCTGTTTTCCTTGAACACAACATATCTTGAAGCATCCCAGGCTGAATGCAGAGGCACAGAAGATATCAGGATTCATTTCACTAAGTAATCGGTCAGTACTGTGTCGCCTGCATTTAGGTTGGCTCTGAGAACCACTACAATGCAGGCTTCGCCACCTTTTAATTTAGATAAGTTTTGCATTAGGTGTTTGTATTATCACTTAATAGGTTAGAAGACAGTTGAAAGAAAAGGAGTTGTCATTTTCTGATTGTCTGAACATAAAGTAATACAAAATAAAGAAATCTTTAGATTTACCCTGTGTCTGTGTTTACTTTGAATGAGCTTACAACTTACTGATGTTTAATTTACTCAAGTTTGGTGACACTGAGCTATAGACTGAAACTGGTTTGATTCATGGCTGCAGGTGTTAAACAGGTCATGATTTTGATAGAACTCAAAGATGACGATGCAAAGTAGTGAGTAACCAGGTGTAGGACAGCGTAAAATCATAACAGTCTAAATTTATGTCCAAAGCATACTGAAAAATATTCAATTAAAGTCACTTAAATCTTGCAGAAAGAGAAAAACAAAGATACTTGTTTGAGACGAATGATAAGCAGCTCTTATAGTCAGCTTTGAGACATTGTATAAAATAGAAATTCAGACCCTGTGACCTTGATAATGGACTTTTCTAAAAACAGATTTGTCTGTTTTCAGTTTATGCTGTCTTTGCACTGTTCTTAACACAGCAGATGGCAAGATTTGCTACCATTCAAAATCTGTTTAAATCAACATCTTACCCTGCCTCACAGTTCAGGGGTATTTTTTTTTAACGCATTATGTAGTAAAGATCAAGGATCAAGATTTTTTATTTAAATTCTGTGTTTTGTGGGTCTGAATTATTTACACAATCAGGGAAATTGATTCAAAATGATAAGATAGCAGATATGACTTTCCCAAGGGGTTGATTTGTACATTAATAATACTTGTTCAAGGAATAAAATACAAGAAAGCAAAATCCATCCTGTCTGTTCCCATCCTCTACACAATCAGTTCAGTTTCTTCAGTCTGGTTCATTGATCAGAGTTCCTCTTGCTAAAACTAACAGATATAAACATTCGTTCATACCTTCTCCCTTCTCAAGTCATGGAGGAAAAAGTAGCTGCCTGTGGTGTTCTGTGTAATTGTATTTTCGATTTTATGTTTTTCTAGTCATGTTTTTCTTGATTTTGATTATTATGCTTAGGCCTAAGTGTTTTTTATGCTCCCTCTGTTGCACAACCACTTGGCCCATTGGGGACAAATAAAGTTATTTATATTTTGATTGATAAATATTGCTTAATGTTTAAGTTAATATGCGTTCGAATCAAATGAATCTATGTAAGTAGACTTCATTTTGAGACGGTTGTTTGTGATCACCTGAGAAACAAAGGAACTCCAGGGTGGGGTTCATATCACCGCCAGTAGGTGGCAGCATTGCCACTACACGAACATAGTGACGTAAGCACGCATCACGTGACTCCTGGCGAGGGAACCAGGGAACAGCCGCGATACTTTTACTTTGAAAGGTCGAGTCGTCTCATGCGCAACATCTCGGGAGACGCCAGAGCAGCTAATAACGTGCGGAAAGGAAACACTGGATCACATATTTTGACGTTTATTTGGATTTTTATCAGAATTGCAAGCACTGCCTGACACTTACAGGGTAAAACAGGGTTAATGTAACCTCTGCGCACGTTTTAAACAGCTAGTTACGCCCCCTTTACCTAGCCCGGACAGCTAACGTTAACAGCCTGTCGAGTAGTACAATAGCCTGTGAGCCTTGAAGAGATTTCCAAAGCCGAGGGTCCAGGATGCGAGAGGATTATTTTTGAGGAACGACCCCCATCCACGGTAAGTCACGGAACCTGAAGAGTTGACAGTCTGTGAATCAGCGGGTCTCTGTTCTTGCTATGCTAACGCTAGCTGCTTTCTCCAGTTAAAGACAGTATGGGGCTAATTAGCTTCAAAGTTAGCACGAATACCCCCACCTGTCTCATGGTAACGCAGAAGCTAAGACAGTTGTGAGCTTTGAATGTTGATACAATAAGACAGCCTATAATAGAAGACAATTTAAGCAACATGAACAGTGTAACATTAGTTGGTTGTATTAATAAAGGCTGTAGCCTGTAATGCTGCTGTGCTAATATGTGAGCTAATATAACAACGTGTTTCTTGTCCGAGCTTTTTCGATTGGGTCTGTATTGCCTTTTGTGAATATATAGGCGTTGAAAAGGGTAGGATGAGACATTCAATGAATGCCTACAGTATTTTACCCTTAACTGTGTGAAAGGTCACAGGGGGGTAGTGGGTCCTCTCTATCTGACCCACATCTGAGTCTGTTAAACATTCACCCCCTGATATAGAGACTGTCAGACTACAAACCTCGGTTACACACTGTCTGAATGAAGTCTTTATTACACCATGATAAGGCTGCTGCAGTGTCTCTGCATGGGGAGTTATTGCAAGTCATTTGTGTTAGATTGTCCACTATGTTCACTTAAAATATCATTCCTAACATAGTGAATGAAATTCAGACTTTCACAATTTGTATATTTCTCAAATACTCATACCTTAATAATAATGACATTGCAAATCGCTGATACCAGAACACTGAGGTTTGGAAATGAACAGTGGATTTTTCCAAAGGTAATTAGTAATCTGTAAAGGACAACAAGAATTTGAGTAATGTGGTCAGTTTTAGTAGGGCAGGTTTAGAGCTGGATAGCAGGCCTGTGAATTTACTGATACTGGAGTGTGTTGTGTTACAGTAACCAACCCTAGAGGTTAATGAAGGCCTTGCCTGAATCTGAAAATGAAAGGAGTGTTCAAGGATGGAAATCAGTCTTTAGAAGCTGATGCAACCAAAACTGGAAAGTACTCCAAGGTTTTCATCCTCGTCTGAAACTTAGCAATACAATGGGGTTCAAAACAGACATAAAGACATATACATGGCATACCGAACTCGTCATCTCAAGAGTGATCATACATGTACTGGGACAATACCGGACAATATTGCAACAGGGCGCAATGAAATAATAGGATGCAGAAAACAGCAGGTGATTGAGGTGCAATCTTTATTAAGGTTCATGAATCAATGTGAACATGTATGGAACTGGTCATGCAGACTTTAGATAGATAGATAGATAGATAGAATTATGCTGTTTTGTCAGACATAATTATAATCTTACCTTCCATAAACAAATATCTGGAGCCCATTGCTGATCCCCTGTTTACCTGTTTTGTCAAGCCACGTGGATCCTTGTAGTTAAAGAGACTTTCTAAAAACGTGTTAATCCCTCTCTTAAATCAGTAGTAACTTACATGCGAGATAAATTTATCTGCCTAATTCACACAGCAGGAAATTTAACCACACATGGGATCAGTCAGGCTAAGCCTCTGACTGAAGAGTTTTCTGTCAGGTCAGGTGTAAGCAGTGCTTCTTGAGTGCAGATTAAAGTGCAGTCCTGGAACTACTGGCTGTTATATCAGGGACATCGTTACACTACATTTGTTGTCCACACATGCACAAGAGAAGGCAAACAATGTGAGCCTCCCAGAACAGTGTGAGAAATCTTCACAAAGACTCCTGACATTAGGATCTGCATGTGATGAACTCAGAGAAAATGTTGAGAATGCTTTTGACATTAACACTTAGGGAGGAAAGAAGTGTCAGGAAGTGTTCTTCCTCCAAGTTTTTTAATTTTTTTTTTTTATCATATTCAGATTGCAGATTGTCTGTGAGGCCAATGAAACACTAAGATCTAAGAAGGTTGTCAGTGTCTTTTAAAAACTGAGTATTCAGAAACCAAGTGAACAGAAAACATCCTTTATTATCCAAGTTTCAGCTAATCCACATGCTCATGCTAGATTACCTCTGAGAACTCCATCCAACAAATGCCCCTGCGTGCATCAGAGCAGTTTACTGCGACTCATATTTACATTAAAACTGATTTTTCTCTCTGTAATCCCCCATTATTCAAACATGAAGATTACATAACTGCATTTAAGCCAAAGGCCAAATCTAGTTTTACACTTAACATGGATCGTCTTAATCCAGGGGTTGGGTTGGATAAAGTCATCTGGCTGTAACCTGGATATCCCGACTCTTACAGGGAGAGCTTAAAGGGTTACAAAATCACCCAGTACTGTACTCAAAAAACCTCTGCTGCAGAAGTTGGTGTCCCGTGTTGTTTAAGTTAAGAGGAACTTCAGAGACACCCATGGGTGATCATAGACTCATTTCTGTCTTCCTTACAGTGCCATGTCTCTGGTTTTCACACGACCCAACACCAACCCAGTCCACGGCAAGAAGGATAAGAGACTGATGGCGGAAGTGAACGCGTCACCGCTCAAACACTTTGTCACGGCAAAGAAGAAGATCAATGGGATCTTTGAACAGCTGGGGGCCTACATCAAGGAGAGTGCTTTATTTCTAGAAGGTATTGTGCAACCTGTCTTTTGCCCTTTTGGAGATAAGCACCCATTTATCAGGACACTCAGCGTGTATGTCTAAATGAACTGCCTGAAGGTCACTTTGCCTAAATCATGGTGGCAGCCTCAGTAGGTCAGACTTATCACATTTCAGTTTCACTTTTCATGCAGTGGAGAGATGGCCAGAGTACACAGCTTATTCCTCCTATAAACATCATTGCTATTAAGTCATGATCCAGACCTTCATCTCATAATATAATCTGATTGTAATCCCAACCACAATCTTATAATGTGAAACTATATAGTTGCACAAAAAGCTGTGATTTTCAGTGAAAGTAAATGTCTGTAAATGTTGCACAGAACAGAAAGGAACACTGTGCAAAACCTGCAGAGTTAAAGCTGCAGCGTTGCATGGCAACACAACCAGTTAGAGTCAACACCTGAGGAGTGCCACCACCTTTGCACTGGAGAAGAATACCTGTGTAAAGTTTAGACTTGAGCTGTCTCTGTTAGCTCTTTGCAGAAATGTCCTCATTTTGTAAGAGTACCTTATAAAATTAAGGTTTTAAAGAAATGCTTCTAGACTTACAGAAGTATCACATTTCTAATCTCTTCACATTTCTGAGGAATACATTTATTTTCAAGAGCAAAAATACAAATGAATTTAATCTTTAATTTTAAAAACCAGTTCTGTACAAGCCTTCATTTATTTCAAAAATCCAAAATGTTGATTTTAAATGACTTGATTGTGTTGACCTCTGTCCAGCAACAAAATGTGAAAAACCAGCCTGAATAATAACTAAATGAAACTGCAAACTAGGGCTCATCATTTAGGGATCTTTTATGTTTGGCTTTATAAAGCATGCAGCCAAATTTTCTGTGAAATTCAAATGTTGAAAAGAAAAGATGTTGAAAATTATCTGTCAAACTCAAATATTTTAGACTGCCAGACTAGTTCAAAGACATTGAAAACTTGACTGGTATTGTGAATTGACATGTTTCTGCTGATTTTTTGTGTGTTAGATACCTACAAAAATGAAGAACTGGACCCGGTCACTACAGAGGAGCAGGTCCAGGAGGTCCGAGGTTACCTCAACAAGGTGGCAGGGATTGGAGAAGTGCTCGCTCGCAGGCACATGAAGGTGGTCTTCTTTGGGAGGTATTTATGTTTTTTTTCTCTCTTCAGTTATTTTTTTAATTGATTTTCAGTCAGAATTACTTTATTTAATGTTTCCACCTTTTGCTTCATAGTTTCATCCATACAACTAGTTTTAATTCATTCCAGTGTTGCTGTTGACATCAAATGTTAAATTCGACCTAAAACCACATGCGTATCATTTACTCTACAGGACGAGTAATGGAAAGAGCTCCGTGATCAACGCCATGCTCTGCGACAAGGTGCTGCCTTCTGGAATCGGACACACCACCAACTGCTTCCTGAGGGTGGAGGGCACTGATGGCAACGAGGCCTTCATCCTCACTGAAGGATCTGAAGAGAGGAAGAGCATAAAGGTCAGAGCAACACGTCTTTAATTTGTACAACCTCTGTGTTAAAAGAAGTGTCTGTAAACCGGGCTCACGCTGATGTTTTTTGTGTTTAAAGACAGTGAACCAGTTGGCCCACGCTCTCCACCAGGACGAGGACCTGGACGCTGGCAGTTTGGTGTGTGTCATGTGGCCTAAAGCCAAGTGCGCTCTTCTCAGGGATGATCTGGTGTTGGTGGACAGGTGAGACACAAACTAACAGTGTTAAATCAACAAATTAATTCCCACACCTTTTAATCAGAAGAGCGATTTTTTTTTTTCGAGCAAAGCTGGATTTTGTGAGCTATTTAGACACTTTAAGCTGTTCAAACTCTTTAAACCCCTCCTGACTGTGTCTGAATTTGCCCTTTTACACATGTAACACACAGTAGGAGGCGCTTTCTTGATTAGTGAAACAAACTGTCTGGTTTAAAGAAAGGGTGGTGCTTGAAGAAAGTGTGCAAGAGAAGGACGACTGGTCTGTGATGGTGAATGTGTTTATTATTGCTCCGAAACAAAGATGTATCCACAGTGGAAACACAGGAGTCAAAAACAGCAGATAAGAGGAACACCTCAATGTTATTGCAGGAGTGCTTTGCATGTTCAAAAGGCGCTTTTCTTTGGTTGGTTTCATAACGTTGGAGCCAGTTTTAACATGTTTTTTGTTAGTCTAGCAGCACGCTGTATTTAGAAGATTTTTAGCACTTACATTTTCCTCAGACTGCCACTTTGTTCTTACTCTGTTCAAAGATGCAAGACATACATGAGCCTTCACCTGCAATAAATCACTGTCAGCTTGGCTTTTACTGAGGACCCAGGTTCATCTTATTTTGTTAAAAATTCAAGAAACAAGTGTTAAACATTTTCAAACTGACTCAGTAACATCTGCAGGTTTTTTATTTCAGCTCAGCTTTAACAAGGATTACGTTTCTGTCGGGTTAAACCATGATGTGAAGTTTTGACTCTAAATGTGATTCTGATGTTGCACATCTGATGGAGTATAATTTAGATGCATACTTGTGCAAGTGTTAAATAGTGTACCTGAGAATATTTGCCCCTTATCGTTCGAAGTATTCACAGTCATTCTTTGATCACATTTTTTTCAAAAAGCTTAAATACTTGAACAAACATTTAAATTTCAACCACAACAGAGGAGCTTAATAACCTTTCAGTGTAAAAGCTTTTTCTGTAAATATTCTTTTTGTATGAATTAAACTCACTCTAATTCAGTGAACATGGATAAATCTGTAGTTTTGTTAGGATCTGGGTCTTGGATCAAATTCCTTCTTAAGGGTGCAGTCCAGCCACTGAAATACAGAGGACGTTTTAGTTTTAGTTTTTTTTAGTGATACGTGCGTGTAGAAAGAAGGAAAAATCACTGTGTGTTTAAATTTCAGTTTTCTTATCCTCTTTTATGTCTCGTCTCCAGTCCAGGTATTGATGTCACCACAGAGCTAGACAGCTGGATCGACAAGTTCTGCCTGGATGCTGATGTGTTTGTGTTGGTGGCGAACTCTGAGTCCACGCTGATGCAGACAGTAAGACTTAAAGTTATTCTAAGGACCACAATTTCAGCTATTTTCATGTTCACATAGATTTTCAGTTACTTTGAAATATCAGAGTGTGATGGATCTCAAGAAAATGTCAGAAATGTCTGGTTTTGTCCGTTACTCAAAATATTCAGTTTGAGGACATAGAAAAGGAAAGGAATAAGAAAATCTGATTATATGTTCAGCTGATGTCTTGTTAAATCATTTGAAATGATTTCTCTCTCCCCAGGAAAAGTCCTTCTTTCACAAAGTCAATGAGCGACTCTCCAGCCCAAACATCTTCATCTTAAACAACCGCTGGGACGCCTCAGCCTCGGAGCCTGAATACATGGAGGAGGTTTGTCAGAGTCCCTGTCTTTTAATGGAAATGTCTAGATCGAGTATTTGTTTCCCTTTAAACTGGATTCATTAGTTTCCCCACAGCTAGACCTGCCCTCTCACTGCTAAAAGAAACATCTTCTGCTCACTGTACTCTGTTCACCCCAGATCCCCGATAAAGAGGATGTACTGTCATAGTGACTTCTTATGTGTCTGTGTGTGACCTTACACTTGGTTCCCTTTGACTCTCTCTTGATTCAGCTGCAGACTAAGATTAGGCTGGTGAACGGTTTAACCTGTATTACCACCTCTGATACTTAATCTAGTCTGCTGGGTGTGACCTGAGGATCACCTCCTGCTCTCTCCTCTCCTCTTCCTGCCTGATACGACCTGAGTCAAAGTTTAAAGTCTCCTCAGTTACCCTCAGTGTTATCGAGCCGTGTGGATACTCTTGTGAGGTTTTATTTGCTCTGGTTGTGAAATGACTCCGGTTGCGACATGACGTCAAGAGAAGTCTTTGTGTTTTACTCACAGTTGAGACACGTAAAGTGCAGTAGATGAAGTATGTTTAAATAGTTCCTTTAAATAAAAGTCTAAACCAGCAACTTTGCAGCAGAGTTTTCACAATTTTAGCACTTTTTAAAGAAGGGTTACTGCTGGGTCTTAAAAAGTCTGAAAACATGTAAAATCCACTAATTTGAATTTAAGGCCTTAAAATAGCTAAAATTCCCTTAAAACCTCATAAAATGTCTTAAATACAAAGTTGAAAGGTCTTAAAAATGTTTTGATGTTACTTACAAATGAAGATTTATTAGAAGTTAGTTTAAAATGTTCCAGTTTCCCTTCATGTCTTTTGTACTTTTTTGCCAGTATGGATGTAAAATGGATCTTAAATTGTTTTCATTATGGTTTTAAAAAAGTCTTAAAGAGTCTTAAATTTGACATGTTGAAACCTGCAGAAACCCTGTTAAAGACAGCCTTTGACATAGGTGATTTTTCCTCCTTTTCCCTCATCCTGTGTGAAGTCCTATTTTGTCCAGTACCCAGCAGACACATTATGGTTATCTGAATCAATACAATGCCAAAAATTGACAAACTGACAGCTGTCCTAATAAGAAGCTGCTCCCTTGTTGCATTGCTTGTTGTTATTCACACTCAACAAAGGCTGTTTTTGCTCCATCAGGTCCGCAGGCAGCATATGGACCGCTGCACCAACTTCCTTGTAGATGAGCTGGGCGTGGTGGACCGAGGCCAGGCCAGCGATCGCATTTTCTTCGTCTCTGCCAAGGAAGTGCTCCAGGCTCGTGTGCAGAAGGCTCAAGGAATGCCTGAAGCAGGTGAGGGGCCTGACAGAAGAAATAGTTCCATGAAGTAAAAGCAAGAGGAGCCACATTTAAAAATTATGTCCTCCAATCTGAAGATTAAGAAAGTGAAAAATTTTTCTGTTAAAAAAAAAAATTCACACATAAACGTGCAATAAATGAGACAATGCCAGCTCAAAAAGAGTTTTCCCTTGTTTTAAGTGGGAAATCAGTTCTGATGAAACACTCAGCAGGTATCAGCAGTCTTACATTTAGTTTTTGTGTTTCAGGTGGAGCTCTTGCAGAAGGTTTTCAAGCCAGGATGTTCGAGTTTCAAAACTTTGAGAGGCGATTTGAGGTGAGATCCTGATGCATGTAAAACAAAATATATGGTTTCATTGGGCCACAACTTTTGGTACTTGCCTCAATTTACTAGGAAAGACTGTTTCTCGGTTCCTGATGTGATTGTTTATTCATTCCTTATTACTCAGACTAAACCTGTGCTCATTCAGGTACAGTCCATGTATAACAGATACTAAAAAGTTAGCTCCAGCTTTACTCTGGATAGGGATGCACACTCTTAAATCTGTGTTGCTGATCCGTCTGCATCTGTACACAGGAGTGTATCTCACAGTCAGCAGTGAAGACCAAGTTTGAGCAGCACACAGTGAGAGCCAAACAGATCTCTGAGGCCCTGCGTCGCATCATGGATTCAGTTCACATTGCTGCACAGGAGCAGAGGTGAGTCAGGTTTTAAAAGGACGGCAGTGAGCGTGAAAATGAAGAGAACTTTGTAAGTGATGGTTTTTGTGTTTGTGGTGGACAGGGTCTACTGCCTGGAGACCAAAGAGGACAGACAGGACAGATTGGAGTTCATAGACAAGCAGTTGGACCTGCTGACGATGGACTGCAAGGCCAAGATCAAGAAGATCACAGAGGAGGTGGAGAGACAGGTGAAGCACATATGATGTCCTTTCCTACCCGCTCCTGCAGCTGCAAGAAAACAGCTTCTTTTCCTCCCGAATCTCTACAGAGATTTAATCATTTACCTCTATCACATCCTCACCTCTTCTCTCTGCCCATGTTCAGGTGTCTAATGCGATGGCGGAGGAGATTAGGAAGCTCCACGTGCTGGTGGACGACTTCCACATGGATTTCCATCCATCACAAGTGGTGCTCAAGGTCTACAAGAATGTAAGTACTCAGCAGAAGTCTTTGTCCTGGCTGTGAGCCCCACAGGGAGGGGCTGGATGGAGGCTAAGCCTTCTGTCTGTCTGTGCATGTTTTGTTTTCACAGGTGTGTACACAGCCTCTGTAACTGTTCTCTTGGATAAATCGGTATGTGGACCAATTCCAGCTCAAATGGGTGTTTCAGCATTCAGCAGATCTGGGTGTGGTATAATTGAAGTCATTCTGTCAGAAATGAATTAGGACAGAGTATTTTTGTGTGGAGATCTGTGACAGTCACTTGCTTGGCCTCTTAAATGAAACAGCATGAAGAAATTTTATTTGCTCTGCACCTTTTTATACCAGAACCATAAATAAAAGTTCTTTTCAGTATGAAAATTACTTGCGGGATAGAAGGAAAATCAAACTCAACGTTGAGTGTTGGTAGGAATCCTGTCCCAGTTGTTTCTGTGGGGTCTCCCCTTTGTCGAGGAAGGGTAATACATGACAGGTAGCGTCTGTCCTCATTGAAAGCTCTCCTGCCACACAGGAGCAAAATGCTTCTGCACGTCAGCAGTTAGCTGTCTGTCAGCTGTTGTTGTATTTGTTGTGATCAGCTGATCTGTGTCAGCACTAGTCGTCCTGGTTAACCCTTGTGTTACGTCAGAAAGGCTTTCACTAACACTTGCACACCAGCTCATCTGTAAATCTTTGTACAGATCAGTTGCTAAATACCAAACACAGCCCTTCCCATGCAGCAGTTTAGAATTTCCAGATTTCCCCAGGTTAGTATTTTGTTTCCTCTTCACCCCTGAGCTGGTCTGACATTCATATCAGGGCACATAATGGCCATATCTGAGTTAAGGCTGGACTAAGCTAGAATACTGAATGTGAACATGATATTTTGAGTGTGTATGCTGAAATAGTCCTGCTCCCAATAGAAGCATTTTCCAGTCTCCTACATCTGAGTTAGTCGGTTTGTACGTGCAGCACAGTGGAAAAGCTCATCCGGGCCTCCTGCTGGCTCACTGAACCTGTATAAAGCCTCCATAATCTGTGTTACGTAACAGCACTGCAGACTGAGTAATGGTGGACTCGTTCAACCTCAACCTCACTGGATGAGCACAGAGTCCAAAAGTGCTGCTCCTGCTTAATCCTCGCTATTCACATCTGCAGAGCGCGTAAGCACAGACCAGGACACAGCCCTCCTTTTACTTAGAAAAGCCCAAAGTCCTAAACCTCTAACCTCATTGAGAACCACATCCACATGGCTTGATGCCCCGCAGTTAAGAAGGACTAACTCAGGTTTCAGGATGCGGAAGTGCTGCAATGTGTCAGTTCTTTTGTAAGCAGGACAAGTACATTTCTCCAGCTTTTGCCTCTTTTAATGATTTACATGATCTTCTCTTGTTTATTTGCTTTTGTTTGTTAGTGGGATTGATATTAATCTGTTTTACTGATAAATATAAACAGAATAAAGAAGCTCAGATATACTGTTTGTCTTATTTTTAAAGTTGAGGGAAGATTATGAAATTTCACTTTGATAAAAACAAGCCCCACCCTGGTTTTAGCCTGTATTCTGCTTTGATTCGGCTTCATTGATTATTGATTTTGAACTCTTTTAGTATCAGTGTACTTTCCACTCTACCTATCCTTTTTAGAAAAACTACCAGCAACCTCAGTTTCACACTCTGCACTTAGAGTAGTAGGGTTGTCAAAGTACCAGAATTTTGAGCTTTTATACCACACTAGCAAAAATCCAACAATACCAATACCTGTTTTGATCCCATAGAGATAAAATAACCTACTTCTGGACACCAAAAGTTGTCTATTTTTCTTATTCAAAAAGCATTGGTATAGAAAAACTCAAGACAATCAAAATCAAATGTTCTGTTTGTGGTAAAAAAAAAAAGGCTGAATAAAAGGAATTTTCTTTTGCATAGTTACTGAAATATTCCCTCAGTCATCACTTTCAATCTTTTTTTCTGCTCTGTGGATCTGCACTCTGCACTTTTTTTAAGAGTTGATGCTCTAAATTCTATTGAATGAAATTTGAATGAGGTAGTCTTTCAAAGTATTAAAGCACCAAAAAGCAGTCAAAAAAGTCAGTGAGTTGGGCATCCAAAATGTAAAGGATTCAGTCAGCTAACTGTGGTTCCTCAGACTTAAAGGAACCCTGACATACAGGAGAATGTGCCTCTCCAATTTCACAATCTTTGAGCATTGAGCTTTTTTACAGGCGTGTTCTTTCTAAAGAGATGATTGTACTGGTGATGTGAAGGTGAGAAAGAGAGCAGACTGTCCAGGAAGAAGCATGTCCAAGGCCAGGGGCCTCAGTAAAGTGGGGTTACAGCACTGGCTGTGACATGTAATGTCCTATCCAGTCTGACTGCTGTGCTTTGTTGCTTTGCTTATTTACCCTTGACAGACACAACCGATTGGCTGATTTGTTGAGAAACTAAGTGAGTAGGAGTTTTGTTTTCTGACTTGTTTTGTCCTCATTTTGTTTCTAGGAGCTGCATCGACACATAGAGGAGGGTCTGGGCAAGAACATGTCTGAAAGGTGCTCCACGTCCATCACTGGCGCCCTGCAGGGCACACAGACTGACATGATAGGTAAAGCCCCCATTGTTTATGCTTTCCACTGGTTGCTGCGCCCTAATGGGCTTTAATGAACTGCTCGCTGTACTCAAATGGCCACACAGATTGGAAATATGTTGAATCCTGGTGTAAATATGAAGTGGTGCACACGTTTAAATTGTTGATAATTCACACTGACTGTACCATCCTGATCCAGAGATGCACACTGACCGTTTTTCTGTCTGTGTTGTTTCCAGAGGGTCTTAAGCCCCTGCTGCCCAGCCCGGTCAGAGAGCAGGTGGACAAGCTGGTTCCTCGTCAGTGTTTTAGCCTCAGCTATGACCTGGCCTGTGATAAGCTCTGCAGCGACTTCCAGGAGGACATCAGCTTCCACTTCTCTCTGGGCTGGACCATGTTGGTCAACCGTTTCCTGGGACCCAAGAACACCAAGCGGGCTCTGATGGGCTACAACGACCAGGTAATACTTAAAGATGATGACCCACATCTTTCAGTGTTCCCAAAGTCTGTAGAGCCCCTTACATGATGGGATTTTTCATCTTACTTTTGTTGTTCTAGATATTTTAATATGAGCAGATTACAGTAAAACCAAGAGGTTTTGATGTCCTCTGTGCTTGCACATTACTGCCACCTGCTGATCAGAGGAAGAGAGTGAAATCATAGATAGGGATCTTGTAGCATCACTTTTGTAAACATTAGCACCCTTGTGCTTGATTGGAGGGATGAAACTTTAAAGATAACGCCTCTGAAATCACAGAGCACCTCCTCTCTCACTTTTGGCCTTTTTATGGGACTCAAATCTCACGCCTGCTTCACTCCTGGACTAGTTGACACTTCAAATAAAGTTTGTATGTGAGTTAGCTAGTCAAAAAAAATGTGTCTGTTCATGTTAAGTGACTCCCTGTGTTAGTGTTTGTTAGGATTTCTTCCACTTCATGTCCACTACTCTGCTGATCCAGTAAAGAGTTCAGCAGAAGCTGCATTTGTCAACAGAGCTTCTCAGTGATATGCTCTTTTTAGGGTCAAAAAACTAAAAGAGGAAGCAAGGGTCAAAAGTTACAGCCTGTTTGTGTATTTCCTACAGGGACACGATGAAAATCAGAACCAAAAGGTAACTGGCTGTAGTGTCGTAGGCTGTGACCCTGCTCCTGTAAAATCTTTTAGTCTGTGACTGAAATTTCTGTAGATGTGAAGGGATATCAGACTTAATCTGTCTAAAAATCCTGCTTTGTTAGCTTAATAAACTGCAGAGGTAGTAATACATTTGTAAACCTTGATAGTGGAGGAACCCTGATATGTAGTATTTTGTGCATTTTAGTCATCCTGTAGAAAAATCGGTTCACTCTCCATGCAGTAAATCACTCATATCAGCAGCCCTCAGACTGTATTAATGCATTTATATTCTCACCTGAAAGTAAAAGATGCAACATGTAGTTCTGGCATTTTTACATAAAGCACACACTCCGCAGTATCACCCCCCCTTAACATGCTGTCAGCCCAGGATCAGGACTCTCGCAGTCTTACCCCGTGTCTCTGAATAATCAGCTGTTCTCTCCCTGCAGGTCCCTCGGCCCATGGCTCTGACTCCCGTCAGCACCAGCATGCCTCCATTCCCACAGAGCTCCATGACCCAGGAAGAGCTGATGGTCTCCATGGTGACCGGCCTGGCCTCCCTTACCTCTCGCACGTCCATGGGTGTCCTTGTGGTTGGCGGCGTGGTGAGAAAACACACATGATGATTTGTTCAGAAGGGAAAAAAAAATTAAATCAAGCTAAACAGTTAGAATGTCTATTGGTTAACATAATAATAATGATGATAACAACAATAATAATAATTTTATTGATATAGCATGTTAAAAAGACAAGTTACAAAGTGCTTAACATTTAGAAACAGTTGATAAATGAGATTTAAAAAACAAAACAAAACAGTTTATGGCTTTAGTTGTAGAACGTCACATACCAACAAATTAGGTTTAAGATGTAAACAAATAACTTATCTAAACAAAAAAGTAAAATGTTTATGTCAAATTCTTGCAAAAATTTCCTGTTTAATAGTTTCATCCTTTCTAGAATGAGAATGACACACTTTTTGTCTCAAAATGTAACAGTTTGATATTTTCAGGCTGTTTGAACACAAATGTTTTAAGGCGACACTTCATGCAAAAAAATGTCTTCCTTTTTTTGTCAGTTCATTTGAATATATATCAACAGATTCATGACTAAAGGCGCAAAAAATCATTGTTGGTCACTTTAGTAGCTATAAGCTTTTTAATTTCTGTGAGGAAAACCTCATAAGTTTTTTCGACCATGTTCTTGTAGCTTATAAGCAGCAAAAAAGAGTTAGGGATTCAACTATAAGGAAGACTGAAACAATTCCATCAAAAAATCAAGAAAAAAAATCACAAATGTTTAACTCAGATCTAAATCTGTGTCTGTCTGTGTGTGCAGATCTGGAAGGCAGTGGGCTGGCGTCTGATCGCCCTCTCAGTGGGTCTGTACGGACTCCTCTACATCTATGAGAGGCTCACCTGGACCACCAAGGCCAAAGAGAGAGCCTTCAAGAGACAGTTTGTGGACTACGCCAGTGAGAAGCTGCAGCTCATCGTCAGCTACACCGGCTCAAACTGCAGCCACCAAGTCCAGCAGTGAGCATGTTACCTGTTTACACAATCATTACTTTTTTACCTCAGAGCTGCTGTAGTGACGCACATAGTTATATTTTTATGGTGAATCATTGAAGAACTGTATGTGTTGTTTTTTTAGTGAGTGTCTTAACTCTGTTTGTGTCCTGCTGTCTGTGGTGTTCAGGGAGTTGGCAGGTGTGTTTGCTCAGCTCTGCCAGCAGGTAGACGTCACCCGCCAGAACCTTGAGGATGAGATTGCTGACATGAACAGCAAGATCGAGCTGTTGGACAGTCTGCAGAGCAAGGCTAAGCTGCTGCGGTAAGAACCACACACACACCAACAGCCAGACGTGTGTGTCTGATGTTGAAAAGTTCAAATACTCTTGCATTAGGTTTAGTAATAAATATCTGAGGACTAGTCTTGCAAGAAGAAACAAATCATCAGTTTGTAACACATATCCACGTCATCTTCATGATTTGAAAATGCAACAGAAAAAAACAGGCTTTGTCCATGAAACAAGTCCTGATATTTAGCAATATCCGCATTAAACAGCACTATTGTTTTATATTCTGTTTACTTCAGATTAGAGTTATCTAAAAATGATGGTCAGTATTCACAAAATAAGTGAAGTGCAGTACAGCGATTAGGGATACCTGAGCTCTTTCCTCTCAAAGCCAAATGTTGACAACTAACACTGCAGCAGGATTTACATCTCCATCACAACAGGATTACCTGCTTAAAGGTGCTGCTTCAACAGATGACTGTGTTGTCATGAGTCTGATTTGATTTAAAGAAGTGGGTTGCAGCTGTTACTCACAGTCAAACTGGTGAGCATCACTCCGAGCTCTGCTAAAGCTCTGTTAATTAACTGTAAACGCCTTTGACTTCTGGGACGTTTTTCACAATAAAAGTCCTGCCATCATGTTGTTCAAATACCTGTATACTGAGACAACCATGCAGGGAATGGCATATTTTCAGCAGCAGTAATTTAACACAACTCCAAGAGTTAGATCAAGAACATTTATTAAACACAAACAGGGAAGCCGGAAGAAACAAAGATCCAGATCACACAGATTTAGGCTGAAGAGCTGAACGATGTCGTCTTTCTCTAGTCTCAGGCATAGACATTACTTGTTTGAGGGGGTGAGAGTCGTAGCAATGAAACATATTTGATCTTTTGTCATTTTTGTTACACCATGATATAATAATGTGACTGCAAAAAGCAAAATAACACCATTGAATACATTTTTTGCCCACCCCTTATATGTATCCCTGCCCCTGTTGGAATTACAAATCAGCCAAACTAGACTCAAAATAAAGAAAATTAGTGTGCAGAGGATGTGTGATCAATAGGGGACATTTTATTGTGTTTTAGCTCTCTCACATATTCAGTATTTAAAATTAGGCTGCAGCTACAAGTGCAAGAATCCTGCGGTATATAGAGGGCCTTGGTTGAAGCCTAGAATACCGTTTTGTGTTGGACCTATTGCTGTAACAAACCCCATGGATTCAGTTGCCATAGTTTCTCATGAACAAAAAAGAAGGGAACAAATTGTGACCAGAAACCTGTGGTATGACGAGCACAGACATTGCACTGCCAACTAGCACTAAGACAGAGTATTGCAGAGTGACGCAGACACACCAACACAGATGAATGTTGTGCATATGATGGCATCTGTTGGATCAAAATAACATGAACTAAAAACATATATTGTAAATAATCAGCACTGGCATGATGCTGCCATCAAACATGGCTGCAGTTATGCTTAATCCAGAGATTCATTTTATCCCATAACTTTCCAAACGAAGTCCTAATTATAGGCTGCAAGTTTAAAATTAATTTCTTAATTAATTTAAGACTAGTATATAAACTTAAAAGTTATAAAGCAAACTTTTAAACAGCGTATTTATAGACTGGGATGCAATGTGATGTGTTAGCTTGGTTGAATAAGTAAATATGAATGTGTTTTGTGTGCCATTTAGGAACAAGGCGGGCTGGCTGGACAGCGAGCTCAACATGTTCACGCAGCAGTACCTTCACCACAGCAAGTAAACCTGACAGAGCGTCCGCCCGAGAGACTGAACACTTCCAGAGGAACATGTGGTACCTAACATTGTCAAAAAGAAGGGAAAAGGGGGGGAAAGGGGAGATCACCTTTGAGGGGTTGATTTTAAATCAGCTGAGTGAAGGGCAGAGTCCCGTGGTCAGCTGATGAGCTGCCACACAAAACTGAAAGGAACTAGACGCCAAATCGTAAAAGCAAACAAAAAAAAGGCTGTAGAGCTGAATTCTAGATAAATTATTACTCTGTTAGGCACTGTCATGTGCAGTTATGATGAAACACAAGTGAGCATGAACCTGAAGTCTCTATAGACGGCTGATAGATCCGACTCCAGAGCAGAAACACAGTCTGAGCTCTCCTGAATCCTTAAAAAACACTGTGTGACTTAAAGAGCTTCTGTCTGAAACTTCCCAGCTCACTCTGCCACTCTGACCTTGTATATTTAATTTTGTACATACACTCTGGACACGTGCCATGCTTTAGGAAAAGGCAGTCCACATGAGGGAACTGAAAGAAAGTGGCTTATTTAAAAGAGGAAAAAACTGAAGAAATGCTCAAAGGTTTCCTCTTCGTATTGTTGAATAATATTTGATAGAGGTAGTGTTCATGTCTGAAAATGGTGCAGAGAAGGAGGACAGTTTGAGACAGAAACGGCACATGAGAGACTTAATTTATCAACGTGTGATTTATTTAACAATCCAGTTTGAAGCATATTAACTCTATAACCTGTTCACCTCTCTGTACATTAGCCCGACCTTTTCTTCTATCCAGTGCTTGTCCTGTCCTGTTCCTTCTGAGAGTGAATATAAGTCCTAATTTCTGCAGGAGAAATCCAGCAACAGTGATTTAACTGCATTAATTTGTGCGAATATCATGCAGCAGAAATAATAGTCAGAAAAACAGAGACTGCTGTTGGTCAACTTGGAGGGAAAAATCTTGTGTAATTCCACATTTTTGTCGGTCTGATAATTTGCAAATCCAAACCAACAGTGAATGAAAACATGAACAGGTAGAGTCGAGGGGTTGTTCCCACAACTTATTCCAGAATAAACAGCACTTTCACAGGTTAATACTTTCCCTGGGTGGCATGTCTTTGCAAAGTTGGCATGTTGGAAACACTGAGCTCACTATTTTTCAATATGCCGATGTTATTTTTCAAACGTTAATCAAACAGGAAGTGGTGCTGCGTTTGTTCTTTGATTCAGAGGTATCTGCGATGTCAGGCTGTGATACACATAATACTTCTTATGAGATATACTCGCTGTTGGTTTGGGTCTGCACATTAGATCTGTTGACAAAACTTATGTTGAATCTCACAAGGGTGATTTTTATCTTGGTAATAATGATTTTAATTGGTATGATAGAAGATCAAGACCACAAACAATGATACTCCACAAAGTTCAGACCTTATTTAAGCTCCACGTGTTGACCATTTTCCTGAATTTAAACTGAAATGACACCCTGGAAAGTCTCTCCGATGAATCAGCCAATAACTTCTTCTCTCAAACTATTAAAATAACACGTCAACTATTAAAATAAAAACATAGAAAAAATGCCAAAGAGACGTTTGAGCTTGTTTCTAGAGTCTCCGCTGCAGAGCTCATCCACCAGAGAGCACTAAAGTTTATGTTTAAATGTGATCTTGAGCATTTACATGAGCACTTACAACCCAAACTGAGAGAGACAGAAGAATAAATAAGGGACCTTTTCTTCATTAAGTAATAAGTATTTGTGCCAGACATAAACCAAGTGGCTAAAAAGTCATGTTACGGTTGAATTTGGTTTGATGTGGACACTAAAACAAAACCAGGGTGTTGCTTCTCTTCCTGCTTCTCTCTAATCCAGCTCTGAATCCAGACTTTTAAGTTATTTTCTCATTCTCACACTTTTCTTCAGATTTCTGCGGCCGGTTTCTTTACATATCTAATAAACATGTTTTAGAGAAAGAAGTTTTTAACATGAGGCATTGGCACTGTTGCTGCCGCCCTCAGTGTCAAGTGTATCTTAATGAGTTTCACTTTATTGTCTTGCACTGAACGCGTACAGTATGTAAGCTGGGCTCTGTGACTGCAGAGATGTAAACCTGCTCTTTTTTGCTTCTATCAGCAAATACTTGACTCCCAACGTGGAAATCTGGACTCAAATCTGTTACTGGGTGCGTGAGGGGGTAACCTCTGGTTACTTTCTCGCTGTTTTCAAATGAAATTTTACATTTGGTTACTAAAGTGTGTGTTTAATGTAACTTAATAATCTGCCTTTGGATTGGGACCCAGAAGAAAATGCCCAAAGAGACGAAACCACATCTGAGTGGATGTGCCTGGATTTACTGAAGCGTGAAAAAGCCGTGGTTATTCGACCATATTGTAAATTAGAGCTTTTCACTGTGTGTTGCCAAGTGAGCAGGATGGCTGCCGTACGACACTTCCTTCAGAGTGAAGACTTGCACTTTATAAACTTGCTGCTTTTTTTTTGTTTTGTGATTTCTTTGGATTTCTTGTTTTTTCCTCCTAAAATGTAAAAACCACAGAGTCGCTGTGTTTGACTTCAGGAAGCTGAAAGTACCTGCATGCTGTGGCTGTTGTAGTTTATTGTCCTGTTGAAATGTTCACGCATATGTATGTATGTAAAAACAAATAAAATAAAGGTGACACAATAATTAAAGAAAAGTTGACTCATTGTATTTTGAACATTTGCGGAGCATTACCAAAAGTGGCCTGAAAGGTCAAAATAAAAACCATTCTGCAAAAAGATCAAAAACAATGAAACACAAACCGTTGATGGATCGAAATCATTTCAGAAGAAGCCAAAATATTTCAACCAGAAGAAAACACATAATGAGATCCAAAAATATTGCAAGGCACACGCATGAAAACATGTCACTTAACCCCTAAAATAGTTCACTAAATGCCAAAAACATCAAATCAAACACATTTAAAAAAAAAAAAAAACACTTAATGAAATGGAAGAGAAAAACAACTTACTATTAGGAATATTTGAAAAAAAAAAAAAAAAATTCTTGAATGATCAAAATCTACAAAATAAAAATTTTCGAAAAAAATATTTAGAACTGTTTCCTCTCATTTTTGCCAAACTCTTACAATGAGACAGAAACCATCGATTCTGCCACAATGTTTCCCAGTTCAGAATCCTGTGAGAGAAGCATTTTTGCCACCGTGTCAACAGGCAGAGCTGAAACGTGTAGGACTCCTCTACCAGGACTGACTTCATTTTATGTGTGATGCGATTGATGCTTTAGTATTAGAATTGATCACTGTTGCTGTAGGACATCAACCAATCAGAATAGAGTATTTAACACAGCTGGGTAACAATAACTGGTAAACAGTAAAGGGACATGCACTCATACAGCTCTTGTCTAGTCTTCCCAAGCACTCAAACTGCTTTCTCACTTCTAGTCACATTCATCTATTTACACCACCATAACACACAGATGGCAGAGGATGCTGTAAGAGGGGGCCATCAGTTTTTCCCACACATTCACTATGTAGGATAAAAGATATATTCCCGTTCTCTACCAGAGAACGTTTACCTGCCACATTTGTAATTTTATCGCTTGTCCAGCAGATGGCAGTATAAGATACCTGCACAAACTGGTCATAACTTCAACTCAAGTCCCCTGTGTGACAGTCAAACTGATATCAGCTGAAACTATTTCTTTGAAAGGGATTTAAAAGAAGTTGAACTGCCGTATGGTTTTTCATGGAAAGAATCGTGTAATTCTGACTAAATAGGGTTAAAAAGTAAAACCCCTGACATTATTATCCTACAGCTGAAATATGTTTATAAGAAACCACTGCAAAGGAAACGCTTCGATGATACACAAATTAAGTGGGAGAGAACATCTGACCTCTTCGTGACGCAGTTAAACCTTATTTATGAAAGAACAATGACATGTGTCCTCATTGAACTCCAATTCATAACCAGCATTTTATACAACTTGTATTTTGAATATTTCCTTTGGCGCTGAGTTTTTAGTTGAAAGTAAAAATATTTACAAGAATTTACTCCCAGAAATGCTGCAATTTTTACTCTACTTTCTAAATCTGGGACTTTTGCTCCATTAGAAGTTGAACTATATAAGAGAATATTAAAGCTCCAATAAGTATTTATTTTTTATTTATTTATTTATTTTTTTTGCTGGTTATGAAACAAACTAATGGGTACCAAATAAGGGATAATGTAGTTTGCCAATGGTGAGAACAAAGTGAGTTCTAACAGACAAAAAATGGAGACATAACCCTGACTCAAAGGATCAGGGTCATGTCTCTATAGGGTCAGGTCTTCATCATATTTGTTTACCTTGAATCAGGTCTAAAGAGTAGGACAAAGGAGGTATTATTATTAAATGTCCTTCTGTTTTATTACCCTTCTGTGTAAAATACTCCAATTGGTTAAAACTCCTAACAATGCCTATGAAAGTAAAAGGAACAACAATTAAGTTACTTGTGAGGACAAACCTCTTATTGCAGTAGAACAACCAAACAGTTAAAGTGACAAGCTAACTAGTTTTAACTTCTGGTTTTACGTGGACCTTACTCCATAAGGGACTAAGGAACAATATAGCTCCAATTCTTGCTAAGGAAAGGTTTGAACTTAAGGAAATAGACCCAAGACAGGCTTTTAAATCAGAATTTGCCGGTGTTTTTGCCTACTCATAAGAAAGGAACCTCAACCAACAAATGTATAAGGCCAACGAGTAAGTAAGGGCTCACAGATATGTAATAAACTGCCATAAATAATATCAGCGAAGGCTAGTAACTGCTCTGTTCGAGGGAATAAACCACTTTAAATGGATTAAATCATCATTAGATTTAGTATTAATGTCACCCTGTTTAGGGCAGACCAGGTTTTAGCTAACCCCTTGAAAATGTATGATAACTTTCTCTTTTTTTACATTATCGGTCACATCACATTTGTGTGTATTTTGCTTTTTCCTAGTAAAGTCTTGTTGGTATGTTTTGATGCTGTTGTATAACCAGATGAACAGACTGACTCCCCTCCATGGAAAAATCCAGACTCTTAAGTGATTCAGTTACATGACTTCGACTGAAACTGACTGAGTGATTTATGGAGCGTAGTTTGTACTTATGCCACATTTTTCATACATTCTTATCATTTTCCAGCAGACGTTCGCTTGATTTTATTAAGCATAAAGTATGACTGAAAGGGATCAACTTTTAGTTTGACGTGTGTAAGATTTCTCGTGTAGATAAATGATAATTTCCCCTCATTACTGAAATCTCATGAAAGATGCAGATCATCAGGTTTGGGGTTGAGTAAATATTTGTCTTGAGTGATTTTTCCCTCTGTGCTTATCAGTGTGGTGGTGTTATTGGATTAACTTGCTGCACCACCAAATTCTGTTGCTCAGTCTGGGTTTTATTGACGACAGCAGACAAACTGGACTCTGTAGTGGTCTTTCACGGCCTCCATGTCCCCTCATTCCATTTTTAACTGTACAAAGAGCCCCATTGACGCACACAGTCAGAGATCAGGGTGACAGTCCACTTTAATGTCTTGAATCAGTTTCATTACAAGCTTTTTAAACGGCACTTACCCAGTTTAGGCTCTTGTGTCAATTTTCTTCAGGGCCTATACTTGATAGAACTGAATTTAACATGAATTTGATGGATGGATGGATGATTTGCTAGATTATGAAACACTTATTTGTCTTGTTGTTGTAACAGAGAGAGAGAGGAACATTTGGACTGCGTCTGAAGTCAAATGCACTCAGTAGCTTTAAAACACGAGAAAGTTTTTTTTATTTTGCAGACCAATAGTGCAGTTTACAACCCACATTACTGGATTTATTTAACATTTTCCCCCAAAGTACTTTAGATTAACCCTCATATTCCTCACACAGTAACATGATAAAGTTACTACATAAAGGCAGTGAGCAGTCGTGCAAACCCAAAAGGAGAAATTAAAGGTTTTGTACAGCTGCATATGATCCATATTAGATAGTCTAGCAGTTTGTCATTTTTTTTCCAATCTAAATGAAAATACTGGTACTATCAAGTTTTCTGGTTGCTTTTTTGTGCCTCATATTACTTCAGCTAATAGTTTTGTAGTAGTGGATCTGATTTAATATACAACCTTTTTAAAATGTCTGCAGGCTTGTTTGCTTCAATCTTTAATGAAAAAAAGAAACACCACCAGATTTAGATAGTTTCTCTGAATTTTCTAAAAAGCTTTGGAGATTTATCATCCTAAATCTTGTTGCTGTGAAAATTTTGGACATATTTTCACACTTGTGTTAAGTGCGGTTTAAAACCCTGCCAAAAGAGAACAATGTTCATGTCTTACCTAATTTCTGATATTTTTACTCACTTGGTTTATTTTTAACTTGAATCAGTCATGGTTTTAATATTTCTGCCAACTCCATAATTCATTTTCTTTTCACCCGAAGAGTGCCATGGTTTGTTCTACTCTGAGGTCCTGATGTGTCAAATTACCTTTCAGATGAAGCTAACACAGTTAGCCACATCATTACTACAAGGCCCAAGGCCCTGAATGAGTCCAAAGTGAATTCAAACTCCACACATACAATGGATTAAACCAATTTGAGGACAAATCGAAGCTTTTTTAACCTTTGAATCTGACCTCTGCTCAGTGCAATGCTCCATAAACCTCTAAAAGGGGGTGCATAAGAAGGCCCTAATTATTAATATTTCAGCTAAAACTCCGCCAGTGGTCCAGACCTTATTTCAACTTTGTCACAAACAACATGAAAAACCCCCACAAAGATCATCATTTGAACCATCATAATACAAACTTTGTACCAAATGTACAAAAAGGATCTCGTGCAGATCAGAAATGTTATTCAACCACTCGGCATCATCATCATCATCACGCTATCCACTTTTACTCCTGTGAAAAATTGCCTGATGAATGGGCGCTTTAGAAGACAATTTAGCAAACGAAATGCATCTTGCATGGTGGATCTGCGTTGCTTGATCAACAAAATGGCAACATTGATCCCTTGAGGTTGCTCTGAGCCTCATGAAGGTCTCATGCTCTTCAGCTCTGTGAGCTTGTCTTGTTCTTGTCGTAAACAGTGTGAAAAAACATGTTAGCGATGCTTTCGACGGAGCCATAACGCGCCCGCAAACAGCAGAAAATACCCAACCATAAGAAATTAGCTATGTTTCCAGCTAATTTTAACCTCAACATTTGGAAATTTTGGACCTTGTTTTTGTGCCTCTCTCTGTGCTCAGCCTGACTGATGGGCTTCTCCCTCTCTTTAGTGCTGCTTAATACAGTTACTTCCGAAAAGTGGGGATGAAATGAGGTGGACCCGCAGCTCTGAACACGTTTACTCTTCACTTCCGTTCCCCTGATGCCTCGTAACCTCTGAGTTTTCCTGCAGGACGATCTGCTGCTGTCGTCAGAGCTTTTTATGCTGCTGAGGGCCTTCAGGGCCTGATGAGATGTTATCTGAAGAGGCAGAAATCTGTGATGTTTGACCCAAATGGAGCTCCGACATATGAACTCAGACTGTGCCAGATCAGTCAAAGTTTCAACATTAATGTCAGCCACACATCAGGCTTTGTTTGGACTCTGAGACCCAAAGTCTGTGTAAAACCAACAACTTAAACACCATGTCTCTGTGGCAAATGCTCGCTCATAATCTCGATTTCTGAGGTTTGGCTCTGGTGTTCTGAATAGCTAGTGCCCCACAACACCACAGCTCGAAAATGGATGTTTAGGCTGTATGGAAATTATTGCCTCCATTTGAAAATGGATTAGTGTTTGAGCTAACGTTTGTGTTTCACTTGTTTAGTGAGACCTCCATGCTTTCTGATGCAGAGGCAAAAAGACAGCAGCTAATCTATCAGCAACTTTTACACTTATCATTAAAAGTCCAGTAAAAACCCTCAAGATGAAGCAAAGAGGAGGAAAGTAAACAGAATGATATCTCAGTTTTGGGGATTTAGCTCGATCCACTCGTAGATAAGATTTACAGCTATCTGCCGAGTGAATGACACTGATTTCTATTCACCTGTCACAGGGTGGGATTCATTTGTGATGCAGCAGGTGAACATTTTGTCCTTTAACCTGAAGTCCTGGAAGCAGAAAACATCTGAGCTGAAAGGTTTGAGCAACTTAGACAAAAACAAATTGGGGTGGCTTGATGCCGGGTTTAGAGCATCCCCAAAACTGCAGCTCTTGTGGGGTCATCAGGAGTCATTACAGTGGCTGGTTAAAAAAAAAAAAGAACTTGATGTCAGTGATCAGATATCCGCTCAGAATATACCAAGATTGATCTTTTAATATTTTCTCTGTCCTATAGATTACCCTTCATCTTGCAAAGATAAAGACTGGCTATGAGAGAGGCTGGTGCTTCAAAACAAACATGGCAGGATGTGAAGCTGCTCTACTAAAGGAACTGACTGACCCTAAAGCACAAACTCGCAGACAGAGAGGAGCCGGACAAAAAAAGGCCAACAGATCTGCAACATGGAGGTAAAGAGTTAAAGAAATGCTGCAAACCTTAATGTTTCTGATGATGCATCCAGTTACAAGGTTCCCTGTGCAATTAATAGCATCAGTATTTTTTATTAATTGAAATGCATCAAAACTAATCAGATCAAAATCAATCCAGTTGAATTACATTGAATCAAAGCAGACAGAATTGGATCAGAATTGATTTAGAAATCAGGGCTCATACCTAGCCCTTGTCAGTACCTACCCGGATTGGTTTAAACCCCCAATACTAAGACAGGAGCCATGAACGACTGTGCTCATGGGTGACTACTACTAGAGCTCAACCTGCTGAAAAGGCAAATCCTGGTTCTGATAGAAAGGTGCCAGAACACACAGTGTATCACAGTTTGTTTGTGTATGACTTTTTGTAGCTGCACACCATTCAGGGTGACTATGTAAACCCATGTCTACTGTGGAAAGTGCCTATAACTAACACATGAGCATGTAAGAATGTTGCCTCCAGTTTCCCCAGATCTCAATTCAGTTGAGCTTCGGTGAGATGTTATAAACCAAGTCTGGTCCACAGAGGCCCAAACTCACAACTTAAAGGACTTGTAGACCTGCTGCAGATGTCTCAGTGTCAGATACTGCAGCACACCTTCAAGAGTCTAAAAGAGCCCAAGTCTTATGAGGTAGTGGCTGACACAATATCAGGGCAGTGAGTTATAATATTTCAACTTTAGTTCTCTGCACCAACTTTGTACTTTGACTCAAAACAAAAACAAGATAAACTTTTATTATTTTAGTGTTGCATCTACCTCTGTGAATTCCTCGTGGAGGCCTATTTGGAGATGGATCATCAGAGTCTCTCCCTTAGCTGTTTAATATTTAGGAAATCATAGTTTTGCAGTTCATTCACAGAAAAATCTGTTTGTGCATGTGTATAAGATTATGAGATTATGATGCCTCAAATGTTTTCAAGGAGGGATAAGTCAGGACTCCAGGCGGGGGTGTCAACACAGTCATTTTTGGAAGTGACTTTGAACCAGCGCAGTGATTTCCACTACAGAGTCCTGTCTGTTTTTAATGCAGTGCTGCCTGAGGGCCTAAAGATCAGGACCATCCAGTCTTGGTTTTGGTCCTCGTCCCTTTAGTACAGACATTTCTCCAGACTCTCTGAATCTTTTAATGTTATTATGTTCTGTAGATGATAAAATCCACTTATTCTCTCACATTTGACACTTAGGAACATTATTCTGAAACTGTTGAACTCACAGAGTGGTGAACCTCTTCCCATCTTTCCTTCTGAGAGACTCTTAAATTCATTTTTATATCCAGTCATGTTACTAACCTGTTGGACATTAACCTCATTAGTTGGAGATGTTTGTCCAGCTGTTTGTTTTTTTTTCACATATATTTTTGTAATACATATTTTTTTTTACCAGTTTGGTTGTGTCTGAACCAACAGTTTTCAAACATGTTGTTGACATTAAAATACAAAATAAGCATTTTTTCTCTAACCATCCAACATGTCATTTTAGACATGTTGTCTTTGCACTATTTCGTGTTAAACATGGTTTAAATAATTTGCAACACCAAAATCTGTTTTCAGCAAGTTTCACACAATGTCCTAATTTTTCTGGAGTCAGGCTTGTAATTGTAGGACAAATTGTTCAAAGAGCGGAGGAACACACAGTTAAGAGGGGCCCCTTTTTGCCTCAGGGGCCCCTCGCAGGTTTATTCTGCTGTGATTTTTCATCAGACGATGCCACATTTAGCCCCAAATTCCCCTGACCTTGAGGGATGTCATGTGGCGACATATTTAGCAGTGTATTCTTTTGTTTAATCCTAAAGAACATGCAGAGACCCTATGTAAAAAACATAAAGAGGGATGTTTAAGACATGTTTCTGGAACAGTCAGGCCTGGGACTCTCGCTCTTCCTGAACTGGAGCATTCATGGCTTGGTCACCCAGATCAATTAAGTGAAACCAATCCACACCCTCCGTGGTTAATGGGGGCTGCTACTTTCATGTGGCTCACACAGACTCTTTTCTCTTTTGGCATTTGTAAATCCAAGCCTGATCTAACTGATTAACAGGAAAACAAGCAACCCGGCCATCACATGATATGCAGGCTGCAGGACAGAGCGTGTCAGTGGAGGACATGTTGGACAGATGGAACTCCGGTGTCGCCACAAACTCAACGGTTGCCATTCGGAGTAACTGAGTATATCAGATGATGAGCCCAACCAGAGCATGACACTGCGGGACATCTGAGGCTAGATTTTACGTACCATTACTAAAACACTGCTGTTCTGGTTGTGTGTTTCCAACATAGAATCTGTAGTTGTAGTAGTAGTAGTGGTGGTGGTGGTAGTAGTAATTGCGGCGCCAGATTTCAATCTTTTTTTTGTTGTTGTTGGAGGTTTTCAGATTTTTGGCTCCTTGAATTCGTCTTGTGAATCACTCTCAGTCATGGATCATTATAAGAGGCTGAAAGAGGTGAAACTTTAGCGTAATCAACTAAAAAAGCACAGATAAAAGCAACACCAGGAAGTCCAAATTTCATGCTTTTAGGTAGATTTCCTTTTAACATCTTAAAAGTTGTCCTTAAACCCTCAGCCTGATCTCGTGGCTTGTTTGAGGATCTCCCCAGAAAAAAAATATAAACAACTTAGGTGCGGCATTCAGATTTGTAGTAATGTCGTCAAAGGCCTGAACTGCCAGAGGACTTCACTTAGTTCCTCTCTCTTTATTTGTTGTCTTCGTGAATGTTTTTCTCTAACCTAATAACTGCTCGGGAGTTTTTGAGCCTCTTTGTCTTGCAGCCGTGGCCGTTTAGGACAGCCGGTTGCTCTTCACAAAGTCAGTTTTTTTTGCACAAATTTGCATTAGTAAATGTTTCCATTTTTTTTTTTTTTTACATTAACCCTTTTTTTTAAAATTTTTTTTAAGATTTTGAGCAAAAGTAATTTGGTTATGAACATATTTTCTGGACCATTGACCTCCTTCATCCAAATCAACTAAAAGGGATAGAACACAAAGCATGCACCAACACTAAGATGAATGGGGGGGAAATGAACCAAATTATGTGAGGAAGTTAAATTTGAAATAGAAGAAATGAAAAAAAAAATAGACCTTTTTCTCTGGAGCAATGGGCAACTGTGCAGGGCTCCTGGTTATGAGGGATGACAGACTACTGGTGAGGTCTTCTTCTCTGCATGCTGGCATCATTTATTTTGAGAAAATGTCTCTGAGCGGATTGTTAGCTGCACTTGCATGCAAGTATTTGTTCACAGACATCAATTCAAGTTCAGTGAGATCAGAAATATCAGATTTCAGCTCTTGGGATTTAGCAGATTGCGCTCTCCTTTTCCTCTTCACTTGGACTGTTTTCCTCTATTTGACTGGTTGTGGGAACTACTTATACTATTAACAGAAACCAGACCAGTTTGAAACACAAAATGATACATTTATCAAGTCGTTTGTATATCATCTTTACATTAAGTGGCTATTTTAACAGTAAGATTAGTAGGGTTTCTCTTTTAAAGATACAAATGGCTTTAGAAAGAAATCTTGTAGGATTAGAGCTGTAATTTTGCCTGAGATGTTAAATTAGTGCTGGAAAGAATCCCTCTGTCATAGCAAGTTCAAATGTTTGCACACCTTTCTTAGATTTAAAGTCTTACTCTGTGACAAGCTGTTCTTACATCCTGTCTTCAGCTCAGGCCTTACCTTTTTCTGGTGTTCGCAGTTTCTGCAGCCTTCTGTTGAGTTCATCTTTTAGGTCAAAGTAAAGGTGACCTTTGTTCATTCTGTGAAGGACAATTAGTCTTTCAAGCAGTAGTAATTAAAAAATAACAATAAAAACCTTACAAATAATAACATTTTCACCCAAACAGTGACAATAGCTAAAACTAGAAGAGATGTATGTCCATGGATTAAAACTACAATAAAGTAAGGACTAGGTCAGTCATTTAAAGACCCTGTGGCAGCTGGGACAGGTGAGTTTCTGAATCTCTCAGTCCTGCATAATGTCAGGTTGTACCTGCAGCCTGGAGGCAGAAGCTTGAACTCTTTAGGATCAGCTAGGACGGACTGGACCCTCTTTAGTGTCCTGCCTCTGTACAGGTCTACCTGCAGCTTTTTATACCTCCTTTTAATTCTGTGCCTACTTGAACCGTTTACTCTTTATTCATTTGTTATATTTTAGACTCTCTGACGCACCCAAGAGATGGCGCTGAGCACGCTCTCTGCCTTAAAGAAAAAGACTGAATTTACTGTCTTCCAGACTAATGCTGTGAAGATCGATTAGAGTCAAAATGAGAAAAAAACAAACCCTCTAACTAAAAGTGATCTTTGTTTTTCTTGTACATTTGCTGGTTTTAGCTCCAATAGTAGAAAACATAGTAATCAAAAGGACTGGCCTAATATAAACTGCCCTGTTTGTGCTGTGTGTTGGTGTATTATGGGTACTTGATGTGCCTCCAGTATTCACACTCTGCACTGTAAATACAGTACAGTGAATATTTGTAATAAAAAATCAACTGTAGCAGATTTTTTAATGTAATGATATTTATAATAAATATACTTTGTTATTTCTGTCAATATCAGTATGTGTCTGAAGGTGGTGCTGGTGAAAGAAGCAGCACACTTGATAGAACAGTGACAATACATTTCTTTTATTTGCACTGCATTAATATCAGGAAATGTGTCTAACGTCTGTCCTCTGTTCAATTTCAAATTTATGTATAAATAACATAGAACACTGTATGACAGATTAGCGGTGTAGATGAAGTATAAAAAGTCTGAGAGGAATAAAGACATTTAATTATTATGGTAGCAAAACAAACAAACATATAAACCAACTTCCAGATTACCCTGTGTTATATACCTGTATCTATTTGACTCAATTAAAACTACATTTTTATTCATTTCTATGAAAATTTAGCAGCAAAGTTTAGCTCTGTGGTTAAATCATATGTGACGCACAGAGACTAGAGTTTAAACCTAACCTGCTGTCTTTTACTGCACGTCATTTGATCTTGTTTTCAGTAGAGGGCACGGTTCAACCTGCATACTGACCCCATCTTATTAATTTGTTGTTTACTTTATTTCATATCCTGATATTGCATTCTATCTCTGTTTTACTGAGCGATACCCTTAGATTACTGAGTTCAGTCTTCACTGTAACAAGTTTTGTCCTGTGTGTTCATGTAAAATGAGGCCTGCCTACTCATCATATGTTAACATCATTAAATCTATCTACATGTACAAATACAGTAACCTTAATTCTTAATTCTTCCTCACTCCATCTTTTCCTCTTAAAGGCATAAAAAGCCTAAAAACTAACCCTGGGAGCAAATAACAATCTTGACTATCAGGATATAATTGTTAACCAAAGAGTCGAATATCTCGTGTAGAAATGCACCTTAGTTATGTATTAATGCATCAACAGTGTGTCTTTTAAGTCACAGAGCAGATCACAGATTTTGCATTATCAGATTGAAACGTGAAAATTCAATGGTGCAGATGCATTCAAACACACACAGTATTACTTTAAGGTAAATGGTCATTACATCCGGAACCATCATGTCCTCTGTTAGTTTGAATCAATATTAATCTGTTGAGAGTCTTTCAGAAGTGTCCGCAGCTCTCCCTGCCTCCCTGATTCTGACTCTGTCTGCAGATCTTCATCTCAAGTCTGAGCAAGAAGAGCCTGCAGGCCTTCACATTCCCAGATAATGTCCATAAGTGTTGGTCCATTATTATGCTATTGTATCGCCGCCATATACCTACATTAATTACATGAATCTGGCCTACTTTCCTTGTTCATAGTTTCAGTTAAACCTCATATTCTTTTAATGTTCTTATTCAAAATCTGTTAAATATTTTTCAAACCCATAAATGCACTAAAATGCTCTTTTAGTAAAACTGTATAAATGTGGACCATGCAACCACAAATACTGCATCTTTTGTATGTGTATTTAGGTCTGTAGTAGTCAAATTCTTTGTATATTTACATGCATACATGTAAAAAAATGCTGATTCTGATCCAGTACACCAACATATTTGACTTACTGCTTACTCTGCTTTTATTTTGCTTTTTGATTCTTACCTACCCTACCATTTATTTGCTTTTAATGCATTTTTATTTCTTCCTTTTCGGCCTGCAAATCCAAACTATTACTCTCCTTTCTTATTTCAGTAATCAGAGGGATACTGCAGCATCATCCAAGATGCAAAACCTGGTGAAACAAAAGCCATTTGTGGTCCTTCTTATTCAAGTCCTTGTCTTTGGAGGTAAATCATCTTTTTAGACTTTATTTTTAAACATTTTTTAATTCTTTCATATGATTCATGACAGAAAGAGAGGATTCAGAGGCTGAATCAAAGGGAGAGAGTACAGATTGTGCTGTATTGAGTTATGTTTGCATTATTTGAAGCTGTTTTGTTTGTTTCCAGCTGCAGACAGTCACAGAAGAAAAAAAGTGTCCGCTCTGTGTCAGTGTGAACAAACCTCCGCAGTAGCCTGTAGCTGTGTGTTGCAGAGTTATTGCATTGGGTTGCATTATATTTGACAGGTGTTTTTGTTTTGGTGTCCAGCCTGTGTGATGTGCAGGCGGATGTGATGTTTCACCGTGAGCGTATTCCCTGTGTGTGCATGTGTGATTGTGTTTATGTGCGTGTGTGTGCGTCCTCATCTCTCCGCTCCCATTGGCTGCTGAAACTTGTTGGAGCTTTTCCCTCTCGAATAAGAGAAAACCCCAAGAACCTATCGGTGCTCGCGACCCGTCCCCCCTCCGCTCGAGCCCGCCTGGTCCAGACTTGTCCGGGAACAGAGACAGCCAAAGTAGTCCCTCACTGACACGGGTTCAATAAGCTCATGTCAGAGACAGAGGAGAGGTGTGTTTGAGCGCATTAACAGTGTGAGGACCGAACCAAACCCAGACCAGACCGCTTCTTTTTTGTCTTCTTTTTAGCGTTTAATCATTTTTTTCTGCTCCGAGACCACCACAAAACCCGGACCGGTCAGACCTCTTTACCCCAAATACACTCCAACCTGAACTGGACATCAAGAAACTCCGCGTCTTTTCTTTCCTCTATTCGCTTTTTTGTTCTTATTTTTATTTTTCATTTTTTATTTTTTTGATGGTACAATGTCATCTCTGCCAGGAACTGTACCGCGGATGATGCGCCCGGCTCCCGGACAGAACTATCCACGCACCGGATTCCCTCTGGAAGGTAGGAGCAGACAGCCTGTCGGGCCTGGAGGTTTGTGAGGAGGCTGAAATTGTAAAAGAAATTAAAACACCTTAAAAACAACCAGGGCCTGGACTACAGGCCTACATCAGCCCACTGTAGTTGGATTTTTTTATTCCAGAAAGGACGCGCAAATGTGCCACAAATTTTGAGTACCTTTGTTTGACTAAAGAGAGTTAATGTTATAAAGATAGATAAATATTTATCATCTTAGGTGATCTTAAATTTGATTAATAATCAGGTTACAATTATGCAAACAAATTTCCAACGAGTCTAAATCCTCAGACAAGCTCCATCTACACAAGTGTGGGATTTCTTCAAGTGTCCTGGAAGCGCCTGGAAATTCAAATCAAATCCTGAACAAGGAGCAGAAGAAGCAGAGGATTACATCAATATTTGGACATCGTGATGGTGAATAATGAAGACGGACAGCAGGGGCTCTTCACTTGATCTCCAGACTCGGATGGAGCTGTGAAGTGCCACTCCAGTTATTAATGGAACAGCAGCAGCAACGAAATTTGTTTACATGAATTTTACGCGTAAATGCGCACAGAGAAAAAAACCCACTGAGGCCTTTATTTTACTTTGTACAAATGCATTTTAAAAAATTCTATGGATTCATTTTGGAGTCAGAAAATACTCCACGCTGCTGCTGCTGCTGATGCTGAGTGTGACCTCCTTGTGTCTCCCCTCACAGTGTCCACTCCTCTGGGCCAGGGGCGGGTCAACCAGCTCGGAGGGGTCTTCATTAACGGCCGGCCGCTGCCCAACCACATCCGGCACAAAATCGTGGAGATGGCCCACCACGGGATCCGACCTTGCGTTATCTCCAGACAGCTGCGGGTCTCCCACGGCTGCGTGTCCAAAATCCTCTGCCGCTACCAGGAGACCGGCTCCATCCGGCCCGGAGCTATCGGAGGCAGCAAACCCAGGGTGAGCCGGGCCAGACAGGGACCCCAAAATATTATAAATACTTATAACAATTTTATCAGCCTGTACTTGCTGTTTAACATTTTATTTTTGGTGCCTTTACGAGAAATTCCTGATTATTCTAAGGCCTTGACAATAAAGCAGCTCGCACTCACTCCCTCGTGTCCTCGCGCTGTCCCACCTGCAGCAGGTAGCCACGCCGGACGTGGAGAAGCGGATAGAGGAGTACAAACGGGACAACCCCGGCATGTTCAGCTGGGAGATCCGGGATAAGCTGCTGAAGGACGGCGTGTGTGACAGAAGCACAGTCCCTTCAGGTGAGGCCTCCTCTGGTAAGCCACTTTTAATTTAATCCACTCATTCTCTGCGTGTTTTTATATCTTTTTTTTTTTTTGAGAGGTGAAATGAAGCTGAAAATAAGGGAGGAGTTCGTATTATACTCTGATTGTTATTTACATCTTTTCTCTGGTTGCTGAACCTGCCTATATTTCCACAGTGAGCTCCATCAGTCGCGTACTTCGAGCGCGTTTTGGGAAAAAAGACGACGAGGACGATTGTGACAAAAAGGATGAAGATGGAGAGAAGAAAACCAAACACAGCATCGACGGCATCCTCGGCGACAAAGGTAGGCCCGAGCAGACTCTCACAGCCTCCTCTCAGCTCCTGTTGACAGCTGCTACTCTCTCTTTTTTTTGGACTCTATACCGCCGATGATTTGTCGACAAATTGGTCCTAAACGAGCGTTTAGTCGCTCCGCTCTCCTCTGAGATCTGCTCTCCCTGCAGACGCGGAGCCGCTTAATTATTTATGATGGAGCGCTGGAGTGGATCGCGCTCCTGTGGCGCTGCTTAAACGCTCCCCTGAAAGCAGCGCTGACAGATGACCGATGTGCCAGTCAATATCAATTACTGAGGGGGCCTAACGGGGGCCACGCTCACCCACGGGGGGCCGTGGAGGAGCGCGGGGTCCAGCGGCCTGAAGTGCACACCAAAACAAACCTGATGTGTAGAGGAGGAGCAGTCGAACAGATCAGGAAATACAATTAAAACTAAAAGGAAATATCGATATGATATTTAAATGTATTGAACTCATGATAAAAAAAATCCCAAAAATGAGATTATATGAAGATTATGAATAATCTTGTAAATCATGCATGGTGTACAGCAACACTATTGAGCATGATCCCACATATTCTCAGTGTATCTGATCTTTGAGTATTTTAAGAGGGAATTTGAAAACATTTTTCTGAGAGTTCATTTATTATAATGACATTTATTTTAATAATAAGAGCAGTTTTAGCAAAGTTCTTAGTATTTATATAACTGTGTAAATAAATGACATTTTAAATGAAAAGAAGGCTCACATTGACTCTTGTCCGTGACGCCAAAAGCCAGGAGTTATTCATAAACTGAGAAAAATATTTTGCATTTTTTAGTTATTCTTAGAAATAAAGGAATAGATTTATATAATTGGTTGATTGATTGTTAGAGTTATTCTTGCTTATAATTTACAAAGCTCCTACCTAAAGGACAGGTGGAAATATATTGTCAAATTTCTTCTATAAAAATGTTTAGATGTTGCTTTTAAGTACAACCTCTATGAGAATATTTAACCTTTTTTTCCAAACTTGAAGAGTTAAATCTGCTAAAGGTTTGAATTTGTGATAAAATTTAATTGTAAGGCCAATAAAAAAGAAATAGTGCATGGATGTATTTGTTTATATTCAAAGAGAAATGACACTGAGAGATCATGATTTACACAGAAACAGTCAGTTAACATCAGAAAATCCATCTTGTATGGGAGACCAGGTGTGACAGTGAAAAAAAAAAAGAACATTTAAAATTGTAACGCTTTTGCATTTACTAATCCTGCTCACAGAAAACAGGAAGGCAGCCTCACTGTACGGTGGCCCTGAAGGTCAAATACTCAATAATTCATTGACCACAGAGAAACTCCAAAAACATTTCATTGAATGTCAGAAAAATTTAATAGACATCAACATTTGTCATGGAGTGCAAAAACATCTCACAAAATACAAAAATATTTTACTCCACAAAATTGAGATATTTCATCAATAAGCAGCATTTTAAAAACATTTCACAAAATTCTGGTTAGGGTTAGCCAAAACAAACAAAAAAACAAATGAACAAAAATAAACAAATAAAATAAATTAAAATATGAAAAATGGAATGAAAAAGCATTTTGTATTAAATGTTATATTTCTTTGTATTGCACATTATTTTGCATTTCATCAAAGATTTTTAGGATTTGTTGAAGAATTTCACATTTCATGGAGTCTGTTTTTATGTTGAATGAAATGTTGTTGTGAAATGTTTGTGCAGTTGACCTTCAGGGCCACCATATCACTGCCTCATGTCAGAAAAAAAAAAGATATTTAAACCCTTTTCTCAAAGTGGTCATGTGCAGCTGATAGTCCAATTTTCAGTGTTTTCTGTTGTTTAAAATAAGAGGAAAAAGTACACGCTGGGTTAGTTTCCATCTCTGCTCTCCTCAGAAAACCAAACTCCTATAAACCCCCTCCTCTGCCTTGCTGTGATTGGATCACTTTTGTCACAATCACTGATGAAGTGAGCGACTCTGGCGTCCTGTAGCTCTCCATGTTTCCTGACCACCGCCTCCTCTGCTGACACCTCTCTCCGTAACGCTCTCGTCTGTCGTCCTTTTCATGTTGTTGAGCAGATCAGCCTCTCTGTGTGTCTCTGTCATCCCGGCCTGCCGTTTAATAATTTGAAGACTTAGCCTATTACAGCTGGTAATGAAACCGGTGTCTTGTTGAATAGGCGTCTGTGTTGGAGAGGGGTGTAATAGCCTGGAGGCATGGTAAGAAATATATTTATCCCCTATCAGCCCTCACTCTCACAGTCCCAGGCTCATGCATTCTGTTGAAGGAGCTTTAAAGCAGATTAAATTGAGCCTTTTATTTCTTTTCACTTTCATCTCTCAGCCGCTCACTTCGTGGTGTGGAGCCTGCGGCGCAAATTCATGAGATTTTAAGGTTTTTCCTCTCGTGTTGTTTAGATTGTATTTTTAAATATTCATTTCATTTGCTTTTAGAGGATTGTGTTTTTTGGTGGCAGGTTGGCAGAGAGTCAGGGCGAGCCGTGCAGAGTTTCTGCAGCTGAATGAAAGAGGTGCAACTGAGACAAACGCATGCACGTGGACCCTTTACAGGCAGTTTTCACCTGATAAAAGTCTGTTTCTGCACCTGATAAGACAGCAGAGAGTACAATATGCAACACCTGCAGACTGGCACAAAATAATCAAGTTTACGTCTCATAAAAACATAAAAACAAAGGTTGACAGAGTAAAATCTGCCTTCACTGCGGTGACAGCAAATTATGTTTCATTTACTACATGGTCCTTTTTGCTAAATAGTATAAATACAATCAATCTCTAAATTCTCTCTTATGAATAAATGAAGCAACAACATCAAGAGCTGAAAATAAAAACATTAACAAGCTGTTATCATAACACTTTTACCCTGTTTTCTCTACATGCTTTTTTAACTTGATATTTGCATATATATATTTTCACATGTGCCTCTTTTGTATAACATTACCTCTCTTTACATGATATGAATGCATGTTTTTTTTTTCTCTTTTTCTCTTTTGCATGCAGGCAGCGAAAAAAAAAAGAAACAAGGTAATTTTGTGGAGAAGGCAAAGATGCAAATGTGCATTGCCTCCTAGGGTGCCCTATAAGTCTATGATAAATGCATGATATAAATACAGCCTCCACAAAATGGAAATAAACCTAATTAAATTTGAATTTTCTTGAAAAACATCACAGATACACACTATTAATATTTGCAGTTAAGTTGACTTAATTTCTCCCAAAGACCTTCACAGTGTGAGCAGAAAAAACAGTGTCAGTTTGGAGTCCAGAATAATCTGTTTGAAAGAAAAAAAAAAGGTCGGCAGTGAGGATGGGGCGAGCACTTCAAACAAATCCAGTGGAAGTGACGGGAAGCAGCTTTGCAGAGGCTGTGTGGGAAGTTCTGCTGCAGCTATTAATAACACTTTTCCCCGGGCGTCCGCACTCACACTCCTCTCCATCTGCACTTTCTCGCAGCTATTCTGCCGGGTTGAAATTGAGGGAGACCCAAATGTTGGCTGGAGATAACACAATCATCACAGCCTCGGTCCTGGGCTGAGCATCAGTGTATTAAACTGGGATTAACCTCCCCTCTCCCCCGCCGCCGCCTCGCACCCAAAACTCACACTTTAAGGGACATGTAGGAAAAAAAACTGAGGAGGCTGGAAGCCATCATGCAACACAGAGGAATAAAATCAACAGGAAAAATCATCATATTGATCATCTTGAAATACACTTATCTCTTTTGCTAATTGATTGATAGTTGAAGAAATTCATGGGGTGAAAATGTCTCTTTTTTTTCTCCAATATGAGCTTTTGGTGCCCCTCTAATGAGTAAACAAATTATTCAAAAATCTGATTTTTTTTAAACCGAATTTAGTGCTGCTTTTAAACACATCTCTGTTCAAACTGAATGACAGTAGAGTTGAATTCAAAATTAAAAGAAGAGATTAAAAAAAGAATTTAATTTGCCACTCAGAAGTCAAAAAAAATACTCTGATACCTGCTGCTAAAAAAGAAAAATAATAAAAAACAGAAAGCCAGTTTTCTTTCAGTTAAATGTAATAAAAAATCCAACTTAATGTAAAAATAAGGAAGAATAGAATTAAAAAGAGCCATGTACAATCAATGCAAAATATTGCACATTATGTGGACAGTGCAAAAAGTACGAACATCTATCATAGCGTCGTCTTATGAATAAGATAAATGCCTTATTTTGTTTTGCATTTGCATTTATTTTTATCAAACTGAGAGGTGATAGTAAAAACACAAACTTAATATCAAGTAATGTCATGGATGAGTTCCACAAATATTAAAAGCAAACATAACTCAATAAAATTGTTCATATTTTACAACAAGCTCATCAAGCAATCGCCCTCAGCTCTGTCTCTTTGAAAGACAAATCGTGCAGAAGTCATAATCACTCTCCTCTGGCCTCCTGCTCTTAAAGGGATTTAGTCGTCTTTGCTCTGGACAGAGATGAAGGCTGCCCAGAGCAAGATTAAGTTTGTTCTATGCAATCATCACTTCACCTGCACAACTCTTGGGTGCAATGTTTTTTACACTTCAGTAAGAACTTTAATCACTCAGACCAAGATAAGAAAAAACATGGACCCCTTTAATGAATCCTCAGCAGTCAATTTTAAATGATTTATAATGACACCTTTCTGCTTTTAATCAGTGTCACTCAATCACTGTTGATCAAGTTTCCCTTAAGGGTCAATGAGCTCTGAGTTAAACTGAGCTGATAGAAAAATGAAAAAGCTTGTTGAAGCCTAAATAGGTTGGAAATGATGGTTAGATACAGTAGACAGTCGTGACCACATAGGTTAAACTCTGTTGCTGTCAAATAAAACTAGAAATAGAGTTTATAGTATTGATAGAGAAAATCAGTGATGTGCTCTGATTTTAATGAGAATAAACTGAGATTTGTTTCTCCTCTCATGAAGAGGTGGTTGCAAAATTAAAAATTAAACTACAGCTGTCCTTCAAAATAAAAGTTGCTCTACTTCTGGTGTGAAATTAAAATGCCTCAAACAGACTCACTACTTTAGACCGTTTCTTGTGTGCACTCTGTGTGCATTTATAACATCCTGTGAGAATGAATGAATTTGCTGACTTATAGTTCAAATGTCGCTCTGCTGCAGGTCAGACTCCCTCTGAGCGAGTGTGTGAGGTCTCTCTCCTCTTTAGGACATAAACTGAAAGGGTTAATGTTTGGATGGTTGGAGGAGGCTGTGCAGGCTGGTAGAGACGCCATTAAAGATCTCCCTGATCCCTGTTGGGAAACTGGGTCACTGTGACAGCAGCACTCAGAGACAGGAGGGGAGAAAGTTACACAAGACTTTGACTGGAGGAGAGAAGAATGAGGAAATAACAAGAGAGGGCGTGAAACAAGCTGTATTTTTTATTTAGTGCAGGTGTACTTAAAAGAAATAGTCATGAATGGTGTTGTAGTCGTGCATCTAGCACTTATAATAACATAAAAGGTCCTTGTTTGGTTGGATGGGAAGAATTAGGGGGCCACTATAAATTTAGTTAAGTTCGTTGGTTTACACTCATACAAGTAATACAGATTATCGTACACTGAGACAGTAACAGATGTGATGGAGAGGTGCGAAAAGCCCTCTAAGGGAACACAACTAACGTCAGTCTCTGAAATAGCAGAGGAATCATTATGTTTTTCTCATAGTCATCTTCATTTTTATAGCCTCAGCATCACACTTAAGACACAGTTCAGATTTATTCTGATTCTCCATTTCATGTCTGAGCTGAGTGACCTGCAGACGGAGTAGTCCTCTAAACTGACATCTAAACGGAAATGTTGTTGACAAACCAGGTGGCCTCATCGGAGTCTGAAGTAAATGGTTTTTAAATCAAACTCTGACCCTCCTGATTACATTGAAGTTTAATGATAATAGCAGGAAAAATAGGTGAATCACATGCTTATATCTGATGATTCAGCTCATGGTTTATTTATGATAAAACTAAAAATAAGAAAAGGGAAGGAAACCCAACCCAAATCTCTTCAGTGTTTTGTATTATTTCTTATGAAATGTCTTACTCTGCTTAATTTATGCTACAGTCACCTGACAGGGCCAACTAACTCTCTTATTTCGGAATATTTTACCCCAAGACAAGACTTGACTTGCTTTCAGGAGTAATAACATCTGCTGATGGAATTAAATATAAAGATCATAAACTATGGCATTTACTTTTTTGACAAACTTAACTGCTATTCATTTCATTTTAAAACTTGAGTTTCAAAGTTTTCATATTTAATGATAGATTACTTTTTTTTAAGTTTAAGAAATGTAGGTCCTATTTTGACGTGTAAAACTGTGAAATAAGACATTTTTCCTAAATTAAGACAAAAATACTGTATAAGATTGAATTTTTTGCTGCGTAGTGAAAAAAAGTGATAAATATTGAGGTGTCAAATGCAGGCGAAAGTGTCTTCAAACCAAAAACATTTCAGATGTCCATTTGCTTTGGAAACAGGAACATTTGTTTTAATAACCAGCTGCTACCGTAAAGTCAGACCTTGTTGCCTTCTGCACACATATTGTCCTTTTTCAGTCATCTTTGTCATTGTTTGGACCCATCTGTTGACTCATTCAGTCTAATTAAAGTCTCCTGAACTGCAGCTCTGTGTGGCGCCTCGTTGTAAAGCTTAAAATCATCACAGTTAAATTGTTGTAAATAGATCTGAGCATGCAGGAGGCTAATTGTCTGGTTTCTTCCCTCCTCTGCAGTGTCCATTAGCATTTCTGTCGGGGCTGACCTACTTGTTGATTTTCCTTTATTTCTTTGGAGCTCTCTGGACTTGTCAATGATGTCTTTGAGAAAACAAATATATATAAAGGGGGAGCTGCTGGACTGGGAGGGGGGCTTTGAATGGGAGAATAGCAGCCCACTTCTTTGCCATGGAGTGTTCAGTAGCCGTCCCTTAATCCTCCTTTCATTTCGCCGACAAATGCCAAGAATCTTGTCTGGCGACCCGATGGGAAGCTGATCAGCCAACAAAAGGGGAGCGGGGCACAAAGAGCAAACAGGCAGGACGGGCGGAGGGCAGGCAGGAGCCTAGAGCAGCACATTAACACCACAGTTTTCAGAGGAAACACTCAGGACAAACAGGGAAAACAGCAACAATGCAAAGACAACAAATTAATTTAATGTCAGAGCTTTGCTTGGTCTTTAACCAAGCCTGTGGTGAGGCTTCAGGAGAGTTGGAGAGCTCCTGTGCTGCTGCTGCTGCACTGCAAAAACACAAATCTAACCCAGTGGATTTGTCTGATTTGTGGCCAGAAAACCATGAAACCATTACACCTCACTGAAGCCACAGAGACCCAACAAATCCATATATTATATATCATTTCAAAATATTAAAAGCCAAAAGTAGGGTGTGTAAGAGTGACCTGCAGGTCGCTTCTCTACATTAACACATAATTTAAGAACTGTCATAATGATCATACCAAAGGTACAGAGTTGTCAAGTTGTCAATGTTTCATTTTTTTGCATTTAACCCAATTGACTCTTGCTAATATGTGTGTCAATTGTTTTTGTACGTAACATTAAAGATCACCTAGGATATAGCCCAACGGTAACAAGCTAAGAGGGAGCATGTCGCCATCTACAGTGGTGAAGTGGACAAACTCTTGTCAGTACATTGACTCTTGCCTTGTGTTTCTAGACTAGGTTAAGAACAGTATCCTAACAGAGGTATAAATATAGCTTGACTTAAAGCTCCTGTGAGAGTTTCTTTATGCTTGTTAAAAAGCTTTTTTATGATCAACAAACAAACAAACAAACAAACAATAAATAAAAGTATCTACAACAATAATGACCTAATCCTGAGTTTTTCAAGTCTAACACTGGTGCGAGGGGGGTAGGTGTCAGCCAAGCAAGTAAGAAATAGCCACGCTTTTACAACTTAAACATCAAATATTCACTATGAACAATACAGTACACAGTCAAATATCATCATTATAAGAATTTAGTGTGTAGAGGACAAGATAAACAATAGCTGCTTTGTCCACAGGGGGCGCCAAAATCAACAAACCCAAAGTTTCTTAGTGAAGCTTTAACTGTAAATGTAAACGTTCTGGCCTAAAGCTTCATTGAAATAAAATAGAAGTCCAGTTTTCCATGCATACGAAACATATTTAGGCTATCAGTATTTTTATTTTGTACAGGTAATTTTGGGGGGAATTTATACCTTATAACAGCCAAAGAGGGACAAGATAAGAGTCAAGGATGAAATGCAGTAGACTGTATGTGTACTATACAATGCAGATATGAAGGCAAGCCTACTTAGGATATAAAAACTAAAATTTTCAAAAAAGAAAGGTCTGTAGGACTGATGTTTTTATCTATGTTTTTCAATCTAAAAATGACTGGAAATATGCAAAAGAGAAGTTCAAAATATAAACTTGATGTCTCGACGTGGACAGTCTGAAAATTTGGCTGAAAAACATCTTCTGAAAAATATCTCCTGCTGCTGTCCAGCAAATACATGACCCTCTGAGCACTGCAGATATTAGGTATAGACTCTTCTTCTTCTTCTTCTTCTTCTTCTTCTTCTTCTTCTTCTTCTTCTTCTTCTTCTCCTCCTCCTCCTTGGCTGGCTGCAGGATCAAACAGCGCTGCCTTTAAAGACACATCGTCCCTGACAAAACCAATCCTGCCTCCAAAGACAATGAAGTCTTTGAAGCTTTATTCTTTCATCATCTACCACTGAATCTATTTTTACACACCGGAAACAAAAAGTCTGTGTCTCTTAAATTAAATACCGGATAAGATCATCTGCAGATTCTCACTTCTGCACTAGATTAAACGTCCTATTATCTTGTTGTCACTTGCTTTTTAACACAGAGTGGTGTTTGATCCTTGAAAAGATGCTCCAGCAGATGAGAATCAGACAAAAAATTGGTCACGATTGGGACAGAAATGCAGAAATCAGAGCTGTAGGCTGGATAACAGAAACACTCAGGTCATGGATTCATCTCTAAGACGATTGACAACAATCTGAATTATTGCATCAGGTTAAATCTGCAGGAATAAATGCTGCTTAGGCTTCCAAATGTTTTAAGAAAAGAAAAACAACAGAAGTGATACACATGGAGATGATTTAAAACAGATAAGATGAAGCAGAAGGTGTGAAAATAAAGCTGAAGTGTGTGAAACTGATTATTCATATGAGCCGTGGATGCAAAGATGCTCAAATAATTGTGTGAATATTTGTTTTCAGTCATTGAAATCCACACATACAGGAGTGTGTGTATGTGTGTTTGAGTGTGTGTGCATGTGTGTGTTCTGGGATCTATTAGGTGGCTTATTCATGGTTTTCTCATCAATCCGAGGAGGAAATCACATTCACAGAACGCATCCATCCGCTGTAATTGGTTAGAAAATGACCTTAAATATACAGAGATTACTGAGGCATAAAGAAAGGCCCAGCAAATTTCAGGGGGGTGTGTGTGCAGTAAGTGTTCATGCTACTGAGAGGTATGAAAAAGGATTAATGGCCATTTCTCTGTCACTGCATTCAGATAATTTGAGTCGCATTTTAACATGTTAAAGCAGGAAAAGGAGGAAGTTTGGTTCAAACTGTGTCCTCATAGAAACGGATCATCAGCCTCAGTCTGTGCAGAGTGAACAGTGAAAAGTTAGGATCACTTAAACATTTTCATTTATTTCCTCATGCATTTGCAAAAAAAGATTTTTTTTTTTTAATTTTTTTTTTCATGATGTCCAAAATCAAACATGACCATCAGCGACACGCACAAATTATTCTAATGTTTTTACAGTTTACATATAATATATTAACATCAAGTGAAACATTTGACTGTGAAAAGTCAACAGGGTGAGATTTTTTGTCAGAAGGCACTACTCAAGAGGACAAGATAAAGGCAGCTTTGTCCACAGCAGGTAACACAAAGGTTTCTCACAGGCGCTTTAATGCCGCTAAAGCATCATTGCAAAAACTCAAATCTTAGCTAGTGATCCTGTGACTTTCTGCAGCAAAATATGTCTTTCAGGGTTAATTAAAACAAAATCCACCCAACAAGTCCAGAAAAAAATCCCATTTCAAAACTGACATCTTAAAAAATGAGACATGAACTTCATTGAAAGGGTGAAAATTAAGATTTGCAGGGGTGTGCATGGACTCTCGGGGTCTAATTGTGTCCCGTATATGCAGGTGGCCAAGATTACCCCACCCCCACCCTCCGCCCCACCAGCATTTCCTGATTTATTCACTGTTCTGTCCTCTGTCAGAAGAAGCTTTGTAAATAAAATAAACATGATGTATCTCAAAACAGTAAATATAATTAGTTGAAAAGAAAAATCTCATTAAAAATTAAATAATTAAATAAAATAAGATCTTAAAAAATAAAATTTTATTGCACTTCAACATAAAAAGAAATCTCAACACTAACTAAAATAAATCCAGATAAAAATGTATATCTCAATAAAACTAAATACCCCCCATAAATAAATAAATAAAATGTAATGAAAAACAAATAAATTAAAATAAAACAAAATCTTAATAATTTAAAATGAAGTATAATCTCAAAAATAAAATCAGAAAAATCTCCTATGAAATAAGATATAACGAATTATTCATGTAAATTAAATAATACAAAAAAATTAATAAAAAAAAATAAAATTTCAATAAAAAACAAATAAAATCTCAAATAAAATTGAATGACATAAAATCGAAAACATAAAGTGAAAAAAATTATAAAAATGGTGAGCAGAATAAGAAAATAAATAACTTTTGTGGTTTTATAGTTTAAATAAGAAAATGTTCTGTTTTAAAATTGTGATGAGAATTTTCTTTTCTATCCAGGTAAAATAACTCAATATAAGTACATTTTTAAATCTACAGTTTCTGCTGTTTCCATGTTAAAACTTAAAGCCACTGTGAGGAACTTTTAGTTTGTGGTTGTTTTGGCGCCCCTGGTGGACAAACTAATACCTGTTGTTTCTTTTTCTTTGTATATGAAAATTAAAAACAGGATTTAGCTTGAAGCTTAACCTGTCTTAAAAACTCTGGTCTTAAAGCCAGTATTTTTTGAGCATGGTTAGCTCTTTTTAAGCAGCTACAGACAGCAAACAATCCACCTCACACTAACATTTGCTAATGTGTAAATAAAAAAGTGGACCAAGAGGCCAGTCTGTTTCTGAGTGGCTGCATTTCCCACTGCAGCAGCAGCAGCAGCAGCAGTTGATGAACTCCTCCAAGTTTATTAAAGAAAAGGAAACATGAAGCAAAGGCTGGAGGCAGGCAGGCTGACAGTTTATAAAGTGGGGGCCATTGTGGCCTGCAGGCAGATGCTTGAATACCTCTGAATAGACTCCCTCAAAGTGACACGATTGAGCTAGACAAGAGCAAAACGCTGAAAGGAAAAGCTTCTCCTGTGCAGCGCCGAGCTGATCGGCATTTCTAATGTTCCTGCTCTGAATGAACGTGCATCTGCAGAGAGCTGGGGTCTACTCTCTGCACTCTTTCACTGCTGTTTGTGCTTCAGACAGGCACAGAAACACACAGGTGTCATTAGACGACAAAAACTCTGTGATTTTATTGATTTTTGCCAAGTTTATGTTCAAACATGGAAATGGACATAGAGCTGCAGCAGATCCAGCAGCAGCTGCAAGAGGTGACTGTCAAGTTTAAGTCTGACAGTGAAAAAAAGCAAAATCCTGAAACTTGCTACCTGATCATAAAAACTTATTGTGAACTTCACTACTTTTAAAAGCCACCAAATCCTTAGTTACAAAACTCATATACTCATGTCTGATTTTTTGTTCAGACATCACGATACAATACAATACATTACAAGAACTGTATTGATCCCCAAAGAGAAATTTATTCGTCTTGAGTCTCATGTCTCATGTCATCTACTATTTATAGAAGAAAGTCTATGTAGTCTGGTCTTTTTGGTACTCATGCTAGCTTTGGCTGTTTCCCCAGAGCATCTCTGTGGTGCTGACGACTATTTCAGAAGATGACAGATTTCTTGTTTTAAGACTTGAGGATTATTCTCCTTCTCTTGCAGCACATATTTAGCAACATGCAGTCATGTCATCCTCCTCTAAAAAGGTGACGAACATCTTCACCTGTGACGCCATTTCTACTCTCTCCTCAGTTTGATTGCAGACAAACCCCTCCTGTGTTTGAATGTACAGGAAATGTAAACGTGCAAATAAAAGCAACCTTTATCAGCTGTTTTTATCAGATGAAATCTGACTAATAACTAATGATGAAATATTCTAATTGCCTGTTAATTTATCAGACCAATATGTATTGTAAATCCTTGAAGTTAATGCAACAAAGCGTAAAGTAAAAAAAAACAGACTTTCCCTCTTCAATTTACAGCACATGACTTTAACAGCTCATTGAAACATCAACCTGGAGGACAGACAAATGTCTTTCTAGAAGTGTTTAGTACCTGACCAATCAGCCATCATTAAAAGTGAACTACAAGAACAACTTACAACTTACAAGAACAACCATGGGCAAGACTTTTGCTTTCAATGTGATGGCAACAAATTTGCTAACTAGATTTGGGAATTGCTGAAATAATCATAAAATGTATTCTACCTCTACAGACGTAGATTTTTCTGACACTTGTGGCCATTTTATGTGACGACTATCATGACAAGAGAGGTCTGAGGACATTCAGAGCATTTCAACATCCTTTAGTCAAGTGTGGGCCTGAGATAGCTGAGAGTTTAGTGTGAAAACTGCTGAGAGTGAAGGTCCATGGTCTGTGTGTGTGGTTTGGGTGCTGATGTGTTAGAGAGGACCAATATGCCCTCTTCTTCTCTCTTTGTAACCCTGTTTAGAGTCAAACTGCATCAGGCAGACTTCAGCACACCAAAGGTTTCTCATCCTGATTTGGACTGTACTCTTTTTCTTCATCCTAAAAATTTCAGGACTCACACTCACTTATTCTCTAACAGTGTTACCTACTGTGTATGCAGGTCAGGTTGTATTTCAGATGCACCTTTTGCACACTGTCACCTTGCTATGAAGATGACTTCTTTGTGTTTCGGTGCCATTGATACTCCAACAAATGGGTGTACAATAAGAATTAAAAATACATATTTTCTCTGTTTTTTTTTCTCTCATCAGACGTGTTTTAGTTACAGTTTTGCCTCCTGTTTCTGATGTTTGGTGTTTACTTTCACACGCCAGACTTTGCTGTTTCTTCCTCTTTGAGCCCACTGCAGAAAAGCACAGTGTTGATTTTGGGCTGACTCTAGTCTGTCATAATCTGGGCATGACATGGGCATGTGACGCCTAAATTTCAAGCCTGATTAGCAGTCACCACTCTGGCTGGAAGAGCTCAAAACCACCATCACCCTGTGCCTCTTATGGCCATAAAATCTCCCATTTTCTGCTCTTTAGCCTCTTTATCCTGGAATACTTCTCACTGCCTTATTTGTGTGTTTTTGCCCACATACACAAAGGCAATAAACATGTCCTCAGAGTGTTTCTAATCAGAAATGTGCCCACCCCCACCCCGCTCCACCAGCTGGGAGAGTGGTGGCCAGCGCTGAGTGCAGCCATTTTGGGGCAGCCAGCTGTGAGGGGAGCGCTCGGTTTCAGACAGCAGGGTTTATTCTGCTCCAGAAACAGGCTGTACAGCTACTACAACCATCTACAGTCTCTGTTTTACCTCTTCATCCAATAACATGAGGTCTGAGGAAACCCCTCTAATCACAAGATTAATAGACTCAGGTTTGACAAGCTGTTTCATATCAAAAACATGACATTATAGCAGGCCCAAAGATTGTATAAGGTGGATAAAAAACAAAAATCATGATGACAGCTCATACTTTTCAGAATTTCACAATTCTGCAGCAGCTGCTGGTTTTAAATGTGCACATATTTGCAGCTGAAAGTACCAACTTCAGTTTTTGGTTGAAATCTGGAGTGTTTATCTGAGTCTGAAATACAGACTCTTTTAAACTCTCTTTCCTTTGTTTAGGGCCACTTTATGCAGGATGCAGAATGATAATGTAGAAAGTTTTTTTGTATCTGTGCAGCTGGAGACACAAGAAGGTATTAAGACTTTATGTAAACAGAACAAGTTTATGCAAGTGATAGACATCCAGGTCGAAAGACTACACTAAAGTGTTAAACATGCTCCTATATCAACATGACGGTAGTTAACTTTGATTAAAGCCCTGTAGATTCATCCGCCCCAAAAAGTAGTCCCAAGGTAATGCACTGTCTTCTTCCTTTGTTTTTTAAGTGTGTTTTTTGCCTTTTTTATTGATATTATTGGGGAGATATAGAGAGGGGGGAGGACATGCAGCATGTGGTCAGGGCCGGACTCGAGCTTGCGACTGCTGCAGGGACCACGGTCCTCATACATGGGGCATGCTAACCCACTCAGCCATTTGCGCTCCCCCTCTTCCTTTGTTTTTCAAATAAAAATGCAACACAACTGACCTATTAGTGCTTTGATTTCAAAGCTCCTGTGTCTAACTTTTGATTTAAGTTGATTTTGGTGCCCCCTGTGGACAAAGTGGTACATTTCATCCCATTTTTTGAGCAGCGTAATTTAAGGGAAAAGTTGCTTTTGTTGCTCATCATAAATCTTGACATGCAAAATCTAAAAAGAGTCTCTTTAATGCTGCATTAGTCACTTCATTTGCTTTTATGAGTCGTACAGTGGCATCAGCATTAATCTCTTATGCTTCTAGATTTATTCTTCAATAATTTATTTCTTATCTTTTAGCTGCTAGTTTCTAAATATATCAATAAAGTCATTTAAAATAATGTCAGAATTAAAAGCTTCCTCTTTCGCTCACACATGCGTTTGTCTCTGACTAAACAGAGTGCGGTTTTTCTCACATGAGATAGGCCCTGAAATAGCAGAGGCTGGCCTGGATTGTCTTAAAAAGTGACACCAGCAGGAGGATTTTCTCTTCTCTGTGGAGTGACACTCAGAGGATGAAGAGCTCACCTATCCCTCCATCTCTTACAAACATATCAGTGCATTTCTCTCGCTTTTTAGCCACGATCTGTAAAAGAGAGTCAACAAGCACAGATCATTTTCGTTTTCCCTGCTCTGATTGTTAATCTACTTTCTTCTGAAATAAGATTATTCTATTTCCCTTTAAAACTTTCTGCGATTGCTTCCTCTAAGCCTGCAGCTGTCCACTGAGGGCTTTGCTGTGTCGAGTATATCTTAAGAGGGCCTCTTATTATTATATTTGCTCCCAGCTCTAATCTTTATCACTGTTTATATATTGACAGTCTGCAATTTTTTGTTTATGGCTATTTTTTATCTGCTAAATAAAGACACATGCATGCCAGTGCCCGCGGAGGAAAGAAGATAAAGACTTTGCATTAATAGCAGTTTGCTAAGACATAATGCCCTGATAAAGGCAGCATCTTTGTGTGGGCTGGATTGAGTTCAGTGCCAGTTTTATGTTGCCTTTACTGAGACCGAGTGCGCTGAAGCTGCTCCTATAGCTCCTCTCTGTGAGATGTTTGTGGCTGCACTGAAGTTTTATTTTACGGTGAAACAACAAAAGTTTGGGTTTTTACTCTTTCTTTTCTGCACAGAGAGGGAAAGTGTGCAGACAGAGTTCCTAAATCTTTTGGCAAATATTTTACTCATCATTGTAAAACTGCCTACGTTGCACACACACTTCACTCCTGCTGCTTACTGTACACTTTTGCAGCATTTGTTGTGACTAAATACCATTGTGTTGGAGCTGTATTGGAACAAAGGCGCGAACAATGCTGCGGCGTGTGAATGGGAGCGTGCTGCAGAGGCAGCGGCGGCACGGCGCTGGTCTCGGCTGCAGCTCAGTTTTGCCCACTTGGGTTTGAATATGAGGCATTTGTTGACGGAGTGGCTCCCCGTGCCAACTGGCAGATTATATTTCACTTTCTTTTGTCTCCTTTGAATAATTTTTTAAAACTTTTGGCTTCGGCCTCAATTAGTCGAGTGTTCAGACCTTCAGCTGGAAGCCCTGTATTGTTGGTGCGGGCAGGAAAATCTGCAAGTCAAATGAAAATATGCATTTGAAGCAAAAGTTATACAAACCTGCAGCTGATATTTCACTAAGCTGTGTTACAAATTGCAGATTTATTGAATAAAAACCTGCAGAAGCAACAGAGTTGTTTGTCTGTTGAAAACATTTTGTAGAGTTGCGATAAATTTGGTTAAAATCCTTTTTCAAAAGGTGAGAAAAACACTCTTTAACGGGATATCTGCCTTGGCAGGCAAAGTGCGTTTCTGCTAATAGAGATTTATAAGTTTGGAAATGTCTCAGGTGTGCTCATGCAGCTTTTAAAACTTTACTTCATTCTGCTGATGAGCGCTGAGTAGTGTGATTATGCTAAAATGATACCTAAATATAAAGAAATCTTGCTCATGTTGCAGCTTCCTCCCCCCTCCATCAGCTCCATGTCATGCCTCGGCACCATTTGACCTCTTTAATTCTTAAATATGCGGCGGCACTTTGCTCGGCTGCTTGGCTTTACTGACTCATTCTGGATGTGTTTACTGAAGTCCTGCAGGGGATGGCGGGGCTGCTTGTGCTCTTTCATGCCTGCGGCCCCCCTGAGGAGCGGCTTCTATTGGCACTGAAAGGCCATGAGAGGCTCCGGGGCCTCCGTTGTTTAAGGTGAGCTCACTTTGTCAGTGAGGCAGCTGAGCAGAAAGAGGCATCCAAAGAGTTTTCAGAGCCAAGACGAGGTGGCGAAAAGAGCCGCAGGCAGCAGCACCTCTCTGCTTCTCTCTGAGCTCAACTATTCACACGCCTGCAGCCAAAACTCCTCCACTGCTGAGGAGGGCAGGAGAGGACCCTGTGATTGTACTTCTGCTGCCGGGAGTTTGCAGCCTTTTCTGTCTAATTGGTGTGTTTGACTTGGGCTTTGTAAATGCAAGGACCAAAGGAGAATATGTTGAAAGAGTTAAAGGGCTAATTCAACCGATCCAAAAGAAGAAAAAACAAACTCGGGTTCAACTTCTTAAAGAGTGAGATCTGCCTCATCCTTAATATTGTAAGCTTTAACAGTTTAGTCAGTTCATATATTTCGGTTTATTACGGTTCACTGTATTTAAGTTAAGCTAAAAAATTGTGTTTGTAATATTCACACAGAGAACTATTCACAAAGTGTTGACATGTTCATATTTACATATTTACAAGTTTAAATGCTTTTCTCTGCAGCCGCTTGTGAGGGTGAGCAGATCATGCAGAATGTGTTTCTGAGGTTCATCCACATTTACTTTGAGTTCCTGGCCTCTGATTCATAAGTGCAGTGACGTGATCAGGGTTGTCCAGGATGTTACGTTGTTGGTTATGTTGTGGTTATGACAAGATGGCTGAACAGTAAAAGTGCTGTTAAGAAAGTTATCCATCTCCATTCTGCTGTTCCTCATCATTAGAGTTATCCAACCACATTACATCGAACCTTCACGTTACAGTATGATGGTAGAAATTAAAACTGAGTTTTGGAGCCTGCGCTTTTCTCCTCTTACACTTTTCATCAAAATATAGTTTCCAAAATATCAAGTATGTCTTTAAAAAGTAGCTTGTTATGTTCGTGCAAAAATATTTGGTTGTCACACTTCTGAATGCTGAAGCCACATTAACCTTTTCTTTTTATCACCAGACTCCAACTGTTGCTGCTTGTACACTATAAGTCTGCAAAAGTGCTGTGACTGATCTCTGCTTTCAGGCCTTGGTGCTCGGACATATTATCCATACTGGTGTAATGTTTGCAATGTGTGGTGGGTACACATTGTACGACTTGTAAACAAGGATCATATTCAGTTGAAAATGGTTTTGTTTTGACTGTTTCAGGGTTTTTGATGACTGAAAACATTGGTAATGAGACTTCAGAGTGAAAACCTTTGAAAACACCATCCCCTCTGTCACCATGTTCAGTGCACAGTCAGTGGTGTTTCTTTGTAGAGTTGTACAGGCTGGTTTGCATACTCAAGCTTTTTGGTTGTTTTTGCAAATGCCTGTGGACTTCAATCATTGTTACAGAGTTGTCAAGTATAAATGCAGATTTTTGAAAAATGAAGGTGTTTGACAAACTCTCATTGTGTAAAACCCAGATAATCTGCAGTAAGAAAGGCAGGCAGATGGTTAAAGCTGCCTTCAGATACCACAGAAAGAGATCCTCATTGGAGACATCACTACAGCTGTATTCAAGCACAAAACTATGTAAATCTTTTACAGTGAGCTGCATGTGTGAGCACAAACCAAAGCTTTCAACCTGACTTTGCATGGACTTTTTCCAGCCTGAAGTTAGGGTGAGCCAGTGTGAGAATTCAACAGGATATACTTATACTAATATCATGCAAATCGTGAACACCCAGATGACAGACATGGATGAATATAAACATCTGAGATCAAAAACAGAGACTTATTTTCAAGACAAAGTCTGCACATTTATTAGTTTGCATAGGTCTCTGTTTCTTTAGCCTCCATCATGTCGTAGACCCTACACTGTGGCATGTCAAGCCTCCTCAGACTCCTTTCCCTGTCCTCCATTCTCATCATCCAATGGGAGATTTCACATTGTAAAGGGACATGGGTGAAGAAACAAATTTGGAAATTCTTAGGTGCAGAGTTCCTGAAAACTTCTCAAAAATTTCAGGATTGAGAGAGGCCTGAAAAGAGTGAAGAAACCGAGCAGCTGCAGCTGAAGTGAAGCATCAACAGGCTTTTTTTTCTGAGAGCCACACGGTTCTGCTCTAATAAATTCATCATTTGTTGAGCCAGTGTATTCTGTCCGACTGGTCCAAGCCCACAGAGAGACACAGAAAGCAGATCCTGAGTGTAATTATACTGGAACTAATATGATTTTCAAAATGACCCATAATTAGTTTCATGCAGCTCTCCAGAGCTCTGTCACTCTTTGTCCCTATGTCTTCATAAAACCCGGAAACAGTATTGTTGGTTTTCTCCGCCAGAACACACAGTTTGCACATGTCAGTCTGACCCAGGACAGACTTGAGCCATCCTTTAGTGTGATAACTGAAGGTTTCCTGTCCCGTCCACCAACATCAGGACAGTTTTGTTGCCCAAACGTACAAAGGCTATCACTTTTTTCCTGCTGTTTGTTGAGGAAAACTTTCAGACTCTTGAGGATGAAAAAGGTGCCTAAGAAAGTTCTTTTAACTCTATTGGGTCCTCACAGGACACACCGTCTGGCACTAAGAGAATCAGGGAGCAAATTTTTATCTGCTGTCACCGTTTTGGTTCAGACCGGTATCTTTCACACCTTATACTAGTGCAGCCAGAAGTGGTGTATTTAGACCAAGTTTAGGCCATACCTCTGAATTCCCCCCCGCTGCAGCCAATAAAGCCTCTTTAAATTCAAATGTCTTAGAAACCTGCAGAAGCTTTCCCCTCAAAATTTCCCAAAGTCATTCTTTCACATATGTATGAAGGTAGTGAAGCTTTTGTTATTGCTGTGCACACATGGGAGTGTTGCACACGTAGTATATGGTAAGTTATGTAATATGAAACATCTGTATGTTATGTCAAACTAAAGGCCATGTTTCTTGCTTTTTGGGCTGCTACATTGCTAAGGGGAGCATGTGCACTAGGCCCAGCTGCTGACTGGCCTGCACTCATATTTTTCTAGCTGAAATGGTGCCTGAGCATAATAACCCTTTTGCGAATATGTCATTAAGTTGTAATATAACACTCATGACTTCAAATCCTCATGTAGTGTCCTTAGTTTGCAAAAGTGCAGTCTCAGAGTCAGCGTAAACAATGGCACAAACAACCTGGCTGCAGCTTTACTCACTCGGGGGCTGATGTGGGGTCACTTTGGTCAGATGTGGCTCTGAAAATGATTGTTGAATATTGGTTGTTAAATCTACATTGCATTCCTGTGCACCATGCTGAAGTCCACTTCTTCTGCTCCAGGCCTGAGGTGCATACTGAGCCATGTATGGTACAAGTACACCTGTCAAACAAACTGGACTACAGGGGTTAAACATGCTTGGGCACAGTGTAGATGGACCAATAAGAGTGCACCCTTACAGTGCACAGCTCACCATGAACTGATGCTTATATCAACAGCATTTTTGGTCCTAAACCGCCCCTCAGAAAATTTAAATGAGCTTGAAGGTGCCAGACTAATTCTTATTTGTGAACTGTCTGCTGATGCCGGGATAGATAGTGTCATTGAAGCAAACAACACCACATCTCTCGATGTCTTAAGGCCATCTATTACAAAGAAAGCAAGCAATCTCATATTAATGCAAAGAAGGCAGAAAATACAAGAAAACAAACTCCTGTCTAACAGCGTTTCAGAGCATGATCTGGTTCTGCTGATTCATATCAAACAAATGCAGATGTTGCCTTACCCCTGCAAAAAAAAAAGAATATCCTGCTGCTGATTTAAGCTGATTTTGTACACTGACTCTAGTATTTGAAGACTCAGTGTGTATCGGTCTTTAGCATTCAGGTTGCCACTTGTATCTTGAGAAAGCTCCGACAAACCAGGCCCACATGTACCCTCTGGGAGTTTATGCATTCACTGCCAAAAAACTCATTTAATCACAATCACAGACTTTGTTCTGGCTGATTCAGTTTCAGATTGATTTCCCAGCTCTTTAAAAAAAATGAAATAAAAGCAGGTTTCTATCTTTGGGCTCAGAGGGACACAGCTCACACACTCTGATCTCAGTGCACGTCGTGGCTTTCATAATTGGGTATTAATTTGGTGATAAATCAGTCTCCCTGCAACAGGGGAATGGATTTACAGCCATCATTATTAAGTAATTATAACGTCCCATTTTACATCAACAATGAACATCAAATGGCTTTGGATGGAGCTGGACCATAATTGTTTAATTAGATTTGTTTTTATTAGAGAAAGGCTGGGTGTGTGTGGGAGTGTGTGAGTCTGTGTGTGTGTGTGTGTGTGTGTATGAGTGTGTTTGCAGTAGGTGCATATAAATCCAGTGATCTGATCAAATAATAGAGGAAGGATGTGTTTCTATTCTAATCGTATTCTCTGTGTAACAACAAGCAGGCTGTTGAGTGGATGCAAAGTGTACAGTTTGTTATTTATACTGCAGCACATTTGCACACCATGCAAGTGTGTGTGAGGAGCCGCACTGTGCTCTATTTTCCTGATAAGACATAGCATGCCAATTGAGGGATCTGGTGGAGACAAAGATGAAGTCCAGGTTTAGCCCCTCTATCGGCTCTAGGCGTCTGTCTCATTAGCATAATCTCTGCTTTCCATTATCAGCTGGAGAGAGGAGCTGACCCTCCTGATCCACCGGCCTGTCAAACTTTATTCTCCTCCATCCCTGGGATCCGTATTGTGCTGCCGTCCACAGCGAGCGAGGAGCTGCTGCAGGCGTGCAAAACCACAAAAAAAAAGCAGCCGAGCAGTTCAGGTTGTCAGAGCGGAGACGGCCGCTCGGACACTCGTGACGCTGTGGACATGTGACGTGCACTTTCATTTACATGTCCAATCACAGAGAGCTCTGCTTCTCAGCTCTGCTTCTCAAATCCGCTCTCAGATGACCCAGTTTTGACAAAGTCTCTTCTCTGCAGAGGGAAACTCAAAAGAAAAACATAAAATATTCCAGTTCAAATGGAATTTTACAGGTTGAACACGGACATGAGGCTGTTTCTTGAGCTGATGTTGGCTCTGGATGTGAGGCTTCTTCTTCAACCATCTACTCAAAGCTAAAACTGAATGTTTTCTAAGTTTGTAAGCGTCATCTGTGCTTTGACAGTGTATCACCTTGTTGTAAATGGTGGTCTGGAGATGTCACACTCAGGATAGGAAGCTCAAATGCTGTTTCTGCTTTGCAGCAGGTTCTAAGTAACGCAAATATACACTCAGAAGTATTTCAATGGTCAAAATCTCCCAACTTAGCCTGTCATGACATCAGACTATCACCTGATGACTGGAGCAGCTATAAAATATCAGGATAGTAATAATATTGCAATATTTACATTGGTTTTGGAGCCACACTAAATCTAGAAATGACAGTTTTGAAAACTAGCGTATCATTTCTCAGAGGGATGCTACAGCTAGCCAGCTAGCATCTGCTGCTTCTTTGTCTATCATCTGTTTTATGAAGTGTGGCAGCCATCAACTTTTAAACCTTAGGTAAATTATGAATTTTACATCAAATCACTTTAGCCACAACAGCCAACATGCACTCTCACACTCCTGCAGAGTCTGTTAATGAACCCTCCTTTGCCAAGATCCAGGACCAGGTTTTGGTTATTTGAAAGTCTGGTGTTTTTGAAAGTGATGCCTAGTCTGAACGTTATGTTCTTCAACTGCTGGAGTGGACTCATTGCAAATGTTGGTTTTGCAGTTGGAGTTGCTGTAAAACAAATACTTTGCAGTTCAGGCAAGGTTAAGCCAGTCCATATTTCACTTTAACATAGACAAGATCTTTCTTTTAGAAGCGGTCTGAATGTTTTGAACATCACTCCTTTGGTGAACTGTTCTGATCAGTATTGTGCATTTTGAAACTCTTGAGTTCATGCATACTGTGTGTTTGATTCATGTGGGCTGGTCGGGTTGGGGGTCACTCGGAGGTTGCCTGCCGTATGGTTTTGGTCTGGGGGGCTGCTTTTTTGACAAGACCGGGTGTGCAGCCTGCTGGAAATTCAAAAAGAAGACTTCTACCAAAGCATGGATTGAAACACATGAGAGGAATAAACGCACTTCATAAACATGACTCCTAAACTGCTAAAGTAGAAGTTCTTCTAAGTTATGTCACTCATATTGGGTGAGATTACTTACTGTATATATATTGAAGATACTACTTAATTCAGTTCAAAATACTCCTTGTCATTATGTTACGTTTTCAGCAGGAAACCATCAAAGCAGGGGATGAATGTTAAAACAAAGGTACAGGTGATGCTTCAGTCAAATATTTCAACTTGATGTGATCAAATTAGACTAAATAGAAACATGGAGCATAAAGGGAAATGCAAACAAATGCACAGTAGCCCATTTAAAGTTTTTTTGTATCATGGGAACAGCATAAAGGCTGCAAAACCCTCAAAAGTCCTACATTTAAAAGAAAGGTGACGATTGGTTTGAGAAAAACAGATACAATATGAAAATGCTCTTTTTCATCACTTTATCCTGCAGTGGTTGTAAAATGTCAGATGATTTCATCTAATCTTGACTCGCAGTAGGTGTAAATATGATCTTTCGTAAGGTGACTGCTTTTGTTGTGAGGTGATTGAAAATTAAAGAACATAATAGACAAACAAAAAACAGCAAGCCTCACAGCCGTTTGTCTCAGTCTGAGGCCAAATCCATCCAGTGTGAGCGAGGAGAAGCAAAGAAGCCTTGTTGTGTCCTCCATCCCTCCCTCTCTCCCTTTTCTCCCACCTCTGCCCCTCTCCTCCTTTAAATCCAGCAGCATGTGGAGGGAAAACAAATAGAGTCCATCCCGTCACAGCAGCACCCGCAGGACTCGAGGTGCCTTTTGGAAAGTGATCCCAGCCCACTGCAGCGGCCTCAAGTGTTGTCACGCCGAGTTAGTGCCAAATTGCTTTGCAGCTACCCCCCCAACCTCTCTCCTCTCCCATCCCTCCCCCAGTGTAACAGCAACAAACAACACATGTACTGTATGGAGGCTTCCTCCAAAGATGTGCATGTGTATAAAACTACATATTCTTCTTACCTTGGTTTTTAGGAAAACAAATCTTTGCAGGGACTAAACGGTAGAAGAATTGATTTAATTAATGCAGCAGCATGTCCTGCGGCCACATGTAATCCTTTGAGAGTTCTCTAGCGGGAGCTTTTTTGGAGGGGGGACAGCCAAGGGGGAATACAAAAAGATATTCTCGCTGAGACTCTTCCAGTGGCCTGTAATGGGAGCTGCGCACTAATCCCATAATTCCTTGTTTAATTAAACTACAGAGCCGACCCTGTAGTTGTCTAAGCCAGTCTGATGGGCCTTTTCTCTCTTACTTCTTAAGAACACGATGAAGTTGCGCAAACAATGAATACACTGAAACAAACAAACCAATAAACAGGAGAAAAATAAACATGTCAGTCAGAGCCAACATGCAGAATTTACTGTTTTTTTTTTTACCTTTTCTTTTAAAAACCCCATGAGGAGTCCAGTTTCTGGAGTTTGGAAGTGTAATGTTGTCCCATTCTTGCCTAATAGAGGATATTAGCTGCTCAACAGTTCAGGGTCTCCTTTGTCCTATTTTCAGTGTCATGATGCTCCAAATGTTTTCCATGGGGACAAGTCAGGACTGCAGGCAGACAATTTTATCAGCAGGACTCTTCTACTACAGAGCCATGCTGTTGTAATTCCTGTTGGTATTTTGGTGAGCCGCGCAGCCCGGCGTAAGTATCCCCCCTCCCTAACTCAGCTCCTCCCGGCAGCATAAGTCATAGACGGGGAGGAGAGAGGGCGTGGAGTCGGTTTAACACAGCCGAGAACTGTTTTCACCAATCAAATAAGCTCCTCTCCTTGCCTTTAAATCCGCCACCGGCGAGGCGTATTACTATTTTCATGAAGTAGTCAAAGAGATCAAGAGATGTCTGAAGACAGTTATGCCACACGATGGCGACAGAGGGCAGCTGCTCAACAAGTGTCCTCCACACTCTCTCATCTGAGCACAGATGGATTTGGTGTGCGTAATGTTGGACCCACTGGTAAGACAAACACCCTTTTCCACAAATAAAGACACTCACATAAAGTTGCATATATTCAAACCTCACGTGACAAAGGTGGGTTGAGCGCACAGATCACAACATAAACTCCAAAAATGGCATTAAAATCAGAACCATCTGTGCGTAAATGATGCATCGCGCTCCGTGGCCTGGCTCTTTCTTTCATAGATGTTGGCATATAAAATAAATTTGGCGCACAAAACTGAATATTATAATATCCGTATGTCGGCTTAAAGTAGATAACGCATCTGAGCACTGAAACAAATCATCTGTTCAGCCGCAGCAGCTGCAGCAAGACGGACAGAGGACACGGAGACGTGTCGATACAGTGACGTATGTCGATACGCCGCCGGTCTACCAAAATACTACTAGACCAGCTGCGTTCCGCCTTGCGCTGAAAGCTGACCAGGTTTGAATCGGCGAGCTTTCAGCGCACGTTACACGCCGGTGGTGAGCACGAAAATGTCACTGCGCCAGCTGATTCTGTCAACACCTCCCCCTGCCACGCCACCACGCCCAGCTTGGCGGATCTCGGCTCGCCTCCGTGCGACTCAGTCCACGAAAATACCAAACTCGCCTTACGCCGGGCTCCGCCAGACGAAAATACAACTGCGCGGGGCTCGCCGCCCTCCGCCGCCTCACCGGCGCGAACGAAAATAGAGCCCTTTGTCTGGATGTCAGCAGATGTTGCTCCCAAACCTGTAGATATTGTTCAGCATTAATGGAGCCTTTGCAGATGTAGAAGATACCCATGACATGGACTCTGATGATCCCCATACCATCAGGGAGGCTGTCTTTGAACCGGGAGTTGAGAACAAGCGAAGTGATCCCTGTACTCTTGAGAGAGCAGGGTGCAGTGTCCATGATTTCCACAAAGAATGTCACATTATGGTTCTGCTGCTGTTTTTGAATTATGTTTCTACCTGGTTTCCTCTTTGCATGGTTCAGTTTGAAGCTCATTTGTGGACGCAGCGATGAACTGTGTCCACACAGTGTTTTTTGGAGGTGATTTGCAGTCCATGCAGTTATTTCCACTCCAGAGTCATGTCTGTTTAAATGCAGTGCCACAGTCTTGATTTTGGTCCTCGGCCCTTTAGTACAGAGATTTCTCCAGATTCTCTGAATCTTTTAATATTTTGTTCTGTAGATGATGAAATCCACTCATTCTTTCACATTTGACACTCAGGAACATTATTCTGAAACTGTTGAACTATTAGCTCACACAGTCTCTCACAGAGTAGAGAACCTCTTCCCATCTTTCCTTCTGAGAGACTCAGCCTCTCTGAATGTCCTTTTTATATCAAGTCATGTTACTAACCTGTGGGACATTAACGTCAATAATTAGAGATGTTTCTCCAGCTCTTTTTTTTTGTTTTTGTTTTTAGCATTACACAAACGTTTCAGTGTTTTGTTGTCCCTGTCTAAACTTTTTTGAATTAGCCCGTTTGCATCAAATTTAAATTGAACTTATATTTTTTGTAAAGCAACATCTTTTTCAGTTTAAACATTTCATAAGCTGCCTTTGTATTATTTTCAGTGAGATACAGGGTTAGGGTTTGGCAGACAGCTTTGTGTTGTATCTGACAGTTGATGTAATTGACTTACAGTTGACCTTCAGAAAGTTTAGCAGCTGTTTTTTCCCCTTTTCATCCTGTTCAACTTTTCATTTTTTTAGCAGTATGTTTATTTTTTTGCATATTTATATGTGTTTTTGAATTTACCTCTCTTCTTTTGAGCAAAAACTCAGTCCAAAAGGCAGACAAATAACAAATCCCCAACAGTGTCTGCTGCAGTACCTTGGGTTGTTTTTTTAACCTCTGGGCGCCGGGTTGGATTTAATTTGCCTGAAATAAAACAGAGGTGTTTTGAGGTCAGTCTGCAGCTCTCTGTTTGGGATTTCACTCTCTTACTGTCAGGAGGGGGTGAAGTGAAAAAATGAACAACTCTTTAGCCTGCACCATGTTGTATCACCCTGGATAGAGATTGACAAAACTATGTGTTTTACTGCAATAACCAACTTTTATCAGATTTTTTTAAATATTAAAATGCAAAAAAGTCCTGTAATGAAACAGATGATTTTCCCCACTATTATTTTTGCTGAATTATCTTTTTGGCATTTCTTGTGAGTTTTCCCTTTTCAAATGAAACCCAATAATGCAAAATTAGGATCATATGGAGCAGGTTTGGATGTTTTTGTTTAGAAAAAGTGAAAATGTCTTTGGTGTACTTGATTACTACTCTGCATCACTTGGCACAATGAATTGATTTAATTGCAAAAACAACAATTCATAAGATTTAAAGTTAGAAGTTTACAGTTAAAGTTGTTGTCTACATATGTATTTCTCTTAACGCACAGTAGTTCATTTAACTTATTCTCTTTTTACTTTTTATTTCTCAGTATCTTTCAAGATTTGTATTTCAAGATCTATAAAACCCGAATTCCAGCACTTACTTGTATTTTATTATTATTATTTTTTTAGATTTATGTACTTATTCATTTTTTTATTTTTATTTTTTTTTGTTATAGCTCCAGATTTTTTTTATTTAAACAAAGTAATAGGAATATCCAGCTGTAGACGGGGTTTTGAGGGAAAGGGGTTGTTTGTAATGTTTCTCCTATGTATATCTGAATAAAACCAATAAAAATATTGTTGAATCAACAGTTAAAATTGAAAAAAGAAGAGGACAGTGGCAGTAGAAGCTAAGTTTAGAGCCATTTGTAGATAATTCTATGAGTAATAATGTGTATTGCATTGCATGAAAATTTTCCTAATAAAGATGTGGTTTGCAACCTGACTACCAAAATGATGCCAGTTAAAGGCATGACATGCAGTATATTTAAAGTACATTTATTGCACACAGACACGTGCATTAGTTCAGGCAGAGTTATCCTGCTTTATTGATCCCAGATTGAAATTTTGAAGCTGATGAGACAGGAATGTTTTGTGTCTTTACCTTTAAAAATAACTGACAAAAATCATCCACGTACCACCTGCTGTGTTTTAGCCTGGACTCTCTTCCTGGTCTGAAGCAGATATCTTCATGCATCAGATAATCCAGCTTCTCTCTGCACAGCAGCCTGGACTCATTGTGTGATGAGTGAAATCAGCTGCACAATAAATATTTTGGGATATTTTCAGCCTGCTGTTGTGTGTTTGTCTGCTCCGCCCTGAGGCCCACAGACAAAGAATGAAGCTACACACATCACCAAGGTGGTCTGGAGAGATTAGCACCCCTTGTTACACCCAAACTCTCTCACCCTGCCCCGAGGGATGCTGGGATATGCAGATTCTGAATGTAGAAATATATATGGTATCACAAGCACATGAATATTGTTTTGCCTCATAAATAATCATACAGAGAAATTCTTGGAGGCCGAGCTATTTGAAGCATCAAACATCCCTCCTTACTCTGCATCTCTCTCTTGGTTTGCGGGGAGCTGTGCTGCACTTTTTGTTGCTGGTGCACGATGATGCAATCTGTCAGTAATGGAAAAAAAAGACTGAAACACATACACGTTATGAAACAGACAGATTTGATTTATTTTTGGGTAACCAGGAGAAATCACAGCAGCTACATTGAGGTGACTCTGTTGTTTCCCCTGTTTTGTGTCTGTCCAGGCAGCCGGATGGACGAGGTGTCGGACGTGGAGTCAGAGCCAGACCTCCCCCTGAAAAGGAAGCAGCGCAGAAGTCGGACCACGTTCACGGCGGAGCAGCTGGAGGAACTGGAGAAAGCCTTCGAGAGGACCCACTACCCCGACATCTACACCAGAGAGGAGCTTGCTCAGAGGACCAAACTCACCGAGGCCAGGGTCCAGGTAAGACACTCACCTGTACAACCGTGCACTCAGTCTTTTTTTGAAAATCCTAACAGTTTGTGCCAGGCCTTGATTTGCTGCCCCAACTTTCATCATCCTTTATCTTGATCCTTGATTTTGTTGAAACAGCTCCCAGTTTCACACCATATATTGTTTATCTCACTCATATCTGACAGACTCATGACTTCTGATTTCTTTATCACACTCACACAGATCTCTCTCTGTCTATTACTGAAGTGTACTCTCAAAACCAGATTTCAAATTCACACACTGAATCTGACTAAAATTCACACACAGACTCAGTAAAACTCCTCAGACTCTGCCAGCTGTTCTGGTCTCAGCTGAGGAACCTGTCTCTGGTCTGGTTTGACAGCTCCTCAGAGGAAATTCAGCAGAGGTCTGACAACAGCTGTGAGGTGTTCAGTGGTGGTGGTGAGGGGGGCTGCATTCCTCCTGCATGTCTCACTGCCCAACATCTTGGCTGGAATCTGTGTTTCCCACCACTTTCAAGCCCACCACTCATTGTAAAACTCACAGAAGATCACAGGCAGACCCGGCTGTCTCACGGGGGCTTTAATCCTCCACAGATACGTGGGTCAATCAAGACTCAGGAAGATCCAAAGAGAGGGACAGGAACCAGTCTGGCATGAAAACCAGTCAACCTAGCTCTCACCCCTGCAGATGTAAGAATCACCAGAAAACCTCCACTGGATATGATAAAATCAACTTTATTTTCATTTAATTCAAAGTTTTAATTAGACATTTGACCAAAGTTCACCATGTTCACTCTTCAGCTGTCAAAAACAATCTGTCAGCACTAGGATTATAAAGTTTGAACATCTGTTCTGCCCGACAAAGAAGGTCAAGAGAGAAACAATTTACAGTTTTCCAGCCAGACGAGTAACTGTGAAACAAAAAGAACCTTTTAAATCATTATAAATCACCTATAATGACTGATTATTCAACATCCAAAACAAGGATGTTTGATTAATGATGCTGTCCAATTAAAAAACCCAAAATAATAAACCCCGGCCCTGCTGTAGTGGGGAGTAAATAGCAGGTGGAGAACATGCAGCAAAGGGTGGTGGCTGTTTTTGTAGTAATTGTTGTTGTGAGGACCATAGCCTGTATCTGTGGGGACTTGAGACCTCTAGGCTACTGGTGCCACAAAAGCAAGGTTTTTTATGCTCGTAAATGATTACTCTTGTTTCAAAAAATTATATAAGACCATAGTTTTGGACATCAGAAGATGTCCTGAATCTATTATGTGTGAAGTTTAATGAGTATTAGGTCTGACTTCACTACTATAAGGTCTAATATTTTGACCATTTATGATTTCAATCAACAACTGAAGTATGCAAAATTATTTATCTACCAGTAAGAGTCACAGTATGTCATGTCTTTGTGGTTTAGGGGTTAAACTTATATTTTGAAATCTTAGTCTAGCTCAGGCAAACATACATAATACCAGAGCTGACCCTGCTAATGTATACAAGACAAAACTCCCTCTGCATTCCTGAGACACGATCACAAATCAGCTGCTGTACACCTGATGGTATTTATACACTTAATTTGTGGTAAGAAAAGGGATGTGATGAAATTTAATTGACAGCTCTGTTAAAATCCTGTTAGTATTTTAGTGATTTAAGTCAAAGCTGTCATCACTGGCTGGTGAAGGTCCAATAATCTTGATGGTTTTCTGCTTTTTGACAGTAGATGAAGAGGTTTTATTGTACTGCTAAAATGTTTGGACAAGAGAAGCTTGTCACTTTGGGTGACCATTTTTAATAGCTGAAAATTTTAATTTCTAGCTGGGTTGTAATTCATTGAATGTTTTGACTGGCAGTTATTGAAATCTATTAACATTTTTAATCATTCTAAGTTCAGTAGAGTGCTTTTTCATCTTTTTCCTGTATGCGAACTTGAAATTCATACACTTGAAATTCATGTTTGACTTAGCACCTGGTGGCACGGGTATTTTTCCATGAATGTGCACATACAAGGGTGCATGCATGAAATAACACTTGCAGGGTTCCTGTCTCCTGTCGATGTGGTCAGCTGGAGGTCTCCCTTGTCCACACTCCTGTCTCCGCTCTGCAGGAGTTGAACCGTTAGAGTTGATCAGTCGCTCTCTTCTTCTTCTTCTTCTTCTGCTCCTCTTGCAGTAGTTCCTCGGGGCGACAACACCTGTTCTAATTATTTGAGTCTCCTCTTCAGAAATAGGAGACCAAATGATCAGCTCCACTTGAAAGGCATGTTTTCATTTTGCACCAAATGAAAAAGGAGGATTCCTGGAGAAAGTGGGCGGGTGGGAGGCTGGAGGCGATATATGGATTCCTGCTGCAGCCCTGCATGTGTGTGTGTGTGTGTGTGTGTGTGCATGTGTGTGTGTGTCTCTGCTTGTATTAACTCATGTGAGCAGTATTGTGTGGTTTGATTTGAGGGTTACAAATGATGAAAATGCAGCTACCTGTGTGTGAGTATGTGTGTTTTCCTGCACGTGTGTGTGTGTAAGACTCAGACATTGCAGCAGGCGCAGACTGAGGCTCTGAGTGTGTGAGTGTGTGTGTGTGTCGTGCAGAGCGGCAGGCTTGTACTCGCTCTGAGCTTCTGTCTTTAAGTTGCTTTAATTAAGAACTTTGAAATTGGTGCCCCGCCGAGTTGAAAAAGAGAAACAGTTTAGCTTTTGGCGAAACACCCCCCTTTGTCATTTCACAATCTGCCTGATTGTGCAGGAGCAGTAAGAAATAGGTGTGTGTGTTGAACCTGGCCCCGTGTTTGACATCTTTTTAAACCCTTAAGAAATAACAAAGCAGCTTTAAAAACAAGATGATTGGGACCTTAATGCACTTTTAGTTTATATGCGTTACCTTCAAATATCTAAAAAGCTGCTGGGGGGTTTACTTTTATGATATTTTGTGTGTTATGAATCTTCGGTGAGGACACTGCATTAAATTTTAACTAATCTCAACAAGAAGCATGCCAAACAGTATGTCAGATTTAGCTTTAAGATCATTCTGAGATGGTTACTTTGTGTTTTAAGTTCAAGGTGCTGTGTGTTAAGGTTTTCTGGGTCTCTTGGCAGATCTTCTTTGTAATTTGATAACATTTATATTATGATTTATAGATAATGTTTATTGTAATATTCTACATCTGTTTCTTATAACTGAATTGGCATCAGTTGTCTGTCACGGCTGCAGTCCATGACTTTTACTTTTGGATTTTTCATAGATGAGCCACCTCAGATCAGCTCACATGATGCTAGCATAAAAAGAAAAACCTGTGCCCCTGTTTTGTTGTTTGCAGCAGTTTAAAACACCAAAGATTGGGGTTAATGCCTGTGATGTTGGGTTAATGTTACCTTAAACTAACTATACGTCTAATAAGAAGACGCAAAATTAAGTGAAGCTTCCTTCATTTACGCTGTATATCAATTAGTGCTGTTGCAATACACTGGTATTGATTATAACAGTCTTTTTAAAAAATAAAGTATTAATAATTTGTTGAAAATAAGCATATACTTTAACTTTATATAAGTGATGATTAATACTGTTGCCACATGTCATAAAACATAGAGTAGACAAAGAAGAAACAGCAGCTGTTAGCGAGCTACTTTTAGCAACTCTCTGAGACATGATGGTAGACACTTTGAAAAAAACTACTTTGGGGGATTTATTGTGAATCCGAAAACAACCTCAGAGCTTGTGCCTCTTCAGGTTGCAAATAAATTGTATATGTATTCCTACTTTGTGACTCTTTTTTTAACTATTGTCAGTCAAATGTGTTACTTATGATTGACAGGAAGTAGCTTATATTTTAAAACTAGAGACATAGTTTAACGCTTTTGGAAATGAAGTAACCTGAACACCAGAGGAATGTCAAATCCAGTTTTCTCCAAAGAAGTTTTGACGCTAGTTTTATCAAAGTTCAACACACTCATGCATTCACTCTCTCTCAGATCAAGTTTCTAGATTAAATTAAAACTATTGTGCCTCCAGGTTTTAAATCCTCTAAACTGAGTGTAAAACCTGGAGGCTGGGAGTGTGTTGGTCACTTTGATCGGTCATGTGAGCAGTGTTTAGCTGAGCGACGTTGACGCCTCCTCTCCCTCCTCTTTTGGCTCCATTCATCCTTTTGAGTCTGAATTCAGCCAACTGGAGTCAATGAGGAACAACGCATGATTAAACACACACACTCACTCCATTTGCACATAATAAAGAGCACACACACTCCACTGACACACAGTTTACTTTCTCTTCCGTGCCAAAGATCAATCAGCTCTTTTTCTTTTCCTTCCCTGACCCTCAGAAGAGGTGATGATTTTGGTTGGTGCTCTCTTTTTAGGTGTGGTTCAGCAATCGGAGAGCAAGGTGGCGAAAACAAGCCGGAGCCAATCAGCTAGCAGCATTTAACCACCTGTTGCCGGGTGGATTTCCTCCCACGGGGATGCCAACACTTCCTACGTACCAGCTGCCAGAGTCCAGCTACACGACCAACACTCTGCCCCAAGGTAAAGCTGATACCAGTTTCCACCCACTGCGCACATTTTATTACACTCATTTACTTAGTGCCATTTTGACCCTGCAGTTAATTCTCTATTACTTACAAAGTTTGTGTTATTAAGAAATCCTTTCCAGAACAGTTCACATCAGGAGGTGAATTCAAGAGTTCAACTCAACTCAACTCAACTTTATTTGTAAAGCACTTTAAAACAACCACAGCTGAACAAAGTGCTGTACATAAATAGACAAAACATGCAGATGTAAAAAAACAATCAAAAAACAATTAAAACAATAGATAAAATAAAAGCAGAATTGAAAAGTAAAATATAGTTTCAATGTTTTTAAAAACTAATTTAAAAACATAGAAACAAATAACTAAAAACAAACCATAAAACACTGAAACAGGAGCCGAGTCTCATGCAGGGTTAAAAGCCGATGAATAAAAATGGGTTTTAAGACGAGTTGTCAAATTAATTAATAATAAATAACTTTTGACATTAAGCAAACAGCCCATCCATAGACATTATTGCTCAAAAAAATCAATCACAGCATCTGTGACTTAGCAGTAGTTTGTCTGTGCATTAAGATATCATATGAAATGATACGAAACAATATGATACGATACATTATTGTTGATTCATATTTAAAGTACAGGTAAAGGTGTTTTCTTTCCTAAATGCTGCTGATCTGTGAGAGAACAATGAATGTAAAAGAAAAATTGTCGAAATAATTAGAAAACAAAAGCAAGAAGTAAATGGTAAACTACTTTAAATGTTGAACTTTTGAAATGCTGAGTCTGTTTTCCTTCACAGACGGTGGGGCTACGGTCCACCGCCCTCAGCCCTTACCTCCATCCACGATGCACCAGAGCAGTCTGTCCAGCACTGATAGCAGCTCAGCATACGGCCTGGCCTCCAACCGCCACAGCTTCACCAGCTACTCCGACACCTTCATGAGCTCTGCAGCACCCAGCAACCACGTCAACCCCGTCAGCAACGGCCTCTCCCCACAGGTAAGACCTGCTGGATGGACTTTAAAAGAGTTATGCCTTTAGTACTCAATGCTGAGCTGTAGTGTATTTTAGTATGACTTTGACATTTTGGATTGGCTTGTTTGCTGCCTGCTGTAAGTTAAAACCAGAGTACAAATCAGGGTCATTTTATGGTGAAACTGGTTATGTAGTGACAGTGCAGGTATTGATCTGTTGTGTTTTTGGTTTAGAAAGAGAGAAGATGCCTTCTGGTTATCGCAAAATGATCTCAATTTGAGACTGATAGCAGTCTCAAATTAGATGCGATTATGTCCTGAAGCTGTAGGAGGTTTCTGTGCCTTCAGAGGTGGAGGAGGCTTTTGTGTTTTTGAGTCTTTTTCTGATGTAGGTCAGCTGATTAATAAAAGCTGGTTTTCATATATGCTGCTGTATATTTTTAAGGATTCAGATCTGACAAATCTCAGTCACACTAAAGCATTTGAGAAGGAGTATCAGGAGCATAAAAGTCTGCTTGAGATTGCATACAGAGGTGAATTAATCATGTTAAATTCAAAGAAAACTATTAAACCAGGAGAGTCCAGGTCCAGTTTGCAAAGATAATGTTAGTGTGAATTATAGATTTGTGAGTTTTCTAAGATGAACAGCATCAGAACTTCAGGCCATTTCTTGCAGCTTGTCAGCCCTGCTCTGAATCCTGACTTTAAACTACTCATTGCTTGGTGTTTGCGCGGTTTGTCTCATTCAGAAAATAAAGAACTGTGTCAGCCCGTCTGTGTCCACACTGACAGAGAGAGGGAGAGAGGAGGGAGGGATTCCCCATGTTATCCTGTCTCTTAAACAATAACCATTTCAAATGAGACTGTATGTGATGAGGAGGGACTGTTGTCTGGCTTAAACCAACAAACACTCATCGCTGACAGACTAGAGGAGAAATTTGATTCACAAACACACCGGGCAGTCAAGCCCAAAAAAGAGAGACAAGATCCTCCCAAGAGCCAGAAAATAGCTGACATGGTGTCAATGAACTGGTCTGAAATGACTCTGAAATTCTTGATACATTATTGATGATGTTTTAATCAGAAATGCTTCAACAGATGGACTTTTCTTTTTCATTTTTCTTGGTAAACAAAGTGAGGGAGATGCCAGGATTAGATGGTTTAACAGAAGAGTGCAGCAGGTAGTTGCAGATAATGAAGGTATAAATATATGGCTTTGGTTGACAACATTAATAACATTCTTTGACCCAAACAACTACTTAGCAAATGATAGGCAGATTATTCAGAGTCCCCTCGTTGGCTTACTTATTGATTGGTTGCAACACCTGTCTACAGAAAGTGCATCACTCTGGTTTTCTCTGCCAACCAGATAAACATCAGTTGCATGTAGTCCCTGAACACTGGTCCACCTTGTAAAAGGAGGCAAGGACTCCCTTACAATCTCATTGGCTGTTCCTAATGCCACCCAAAACTCCTTAACTATTATCAGCCCTGTCAGAGGCAGAGCTTGTGTTGTAATTAAGTAGTATGGATTGTGCCAGAACAGGCTGTTGTAAATTTTGTTGGAGTTAAATAAAGTTTTTTTTTGCAAATGTCACTGAAGGTGTGAAGGTTGCTGCTGGAAACCATCTGCACAGACTTCACTGCTTTGTTTATCTATAAGCGCATACGCGTGTGTGTGACTTATGCGCTCCTCCTGCAAAGTCAACATTGCGGTTTGGCCACCCTGGTCCCAAAAGTCTATTCACACATTTTTCTGTGAAATCGTCATCTTTATTGATCACGGTTCTCATAACATCAAACATCATTGCTCTATCTTTTGTACGATTAGTGTCAACTTCAACTGAATCATGTGCATGTTAACAATTCAATGAATAAATACGAGAAAACAAAGTCATGCATTGCCAATGTGACAACATTTTCCAACACCTTTAGTCATGATAACATAATGTGTTTTTTTCTTCTTATGACAGGAGTGCTCTGCACAAAATTATACTTATAGTGCCTCCAATGAATCTATTTTTGACATGTTACCATGATCTAAAGAGTACCAGTAAAATGAACTCATGAAGGAAACAATGTGCACCCTGCTGGCCTATCAGAATTTGGTGCCAAAATACCAAAATGGCAGCAGAGAAAAGGCCACAAAACACCCCAAGGAGTGTATAGAATTAAAGCAGCTGTCAAGATCTGTTGGGAAATTTGACAGATAATTCAAGTGATTTGACGAGATTAAAAAGAGTCCGTCTAAATAGAGCTTTACACTTCCTTCATACGTCATGTGTATAGTTTGCGATTTTATGCTTTTATTTGCTTTAGATCTGAATTTTGCATCATCCTGGACAGCTTTCAGGTGTATTTATGAGCTTAAGGCATGACTGCTTTTACCACCAGCTGTTACTGTCCTATGTGAAAACCAACACATGAGGCGACTCTGCAGAGAGAAAATCCCATCAAATTTAAAGCCAAACAGCTCCAGTAAATTCATTTGATTGAAACATGAAATGCATCTGCTGCTGCATTCTGTGTTTATTGTCCTCGCGGCCTCATCGTGAACGGCAGCGAGAACCAGCTGAAGCTTTTCCATTATGAGTTCACTGTGTTTGACCCTTTCATCATGTTCCCAGGCATTAACATGAGATAACAATGTAGGGAGAATTTCCTAAGATCCCACTTCAAAATTGCAGAGAGACCATATGCTGCACATCTGACAGGCAATAATTCAATTTGAAGCAGCTATATTGCATTTGGAATGTAATTCACACGAGCCATTTCAGCGCCTCCTCTTCTGCGATTGAATGGGAAAGAATTAGAGGCTGACTTTCATGTGGAGATGGAGCGTGTGCAGCCAATTCCAAGTCTTATTGACAGGAAGACAAAGTGACAGTGAGAAACGACGTCCCTGTGACGGCACTGCATGTGTAAATAGAAACCTTTTTTCTCAGCTTCACCATCACGGTTAGAAAACCCCTCCCCCCTCTGAGAAATCTGCAAAATAACCTTTTTTAACCTCTTAAAAATGAGCTTCTTCTTTGGGTCTTTGCTTGAAAATTGCACGTAGAGTATATCCCTGCAACTGTAAGTCCAATTTGAATAATGGGAGTATCATAATAAAGGGAGCACTGGGATTTGTTTGGATGAATAAGACTAAATATATACAGTAAATGCTACTAGGTCAGAGAAAATGAAGATGGCACTCAGCATTAATGAAAGATTTTATGTCAGTTGCAGCTACAAATCTCCTGCAAACCATCTGAACAATAACTGTGCCAACAACTTTGATGCTAATAACGGAAAACAGAGACAAATGAGAAAGGTAATAGATCTTTGGAAATATTAACAATCAATTATGAATGACTATGTGGGTAGCATGTAGCATCACACACAATAACATAAACTAGGTGACCCAAGGATAATCTTCATATAAGGTCATTCACACAGCACACATAGCAGATTTAATTTTCCTAAAAAAAAACAATTTTAGCACGAATTTCTCTCTAGCAAACCATCTGAACATTACCTCTGCTAACTTTGATACTAATACAGTGAAACAAAGTGAAAAGAGAGGTTTTAGTACAGAGTATTCAGGCGGAGCTTCCTTAGTGTGTTAGCAGTGAAAAGATAAGCTAGGTGGTGCTGTGATGATTTCTTTTTATTTGCTCAGTGCTGTTGTGTCTGGTTTAAGTAATTTGAGCTTGTCGCCATGTCTCTTCTATTAAATCTAATGTGCTGCATGAATATGATTTCAAGTGATCAGTGGGCTGTTGGATGCTGTTTGTTGTGTAGCTCGCCCTGTTGGGCTCCACTCTCAAATTCCCATAAATCTATTTTATTTTGAGATGGTGAGGAGTGTTTTTTTCTCTCTCTCTCTCTCTCTCTCTCTCTCTGCTGGACCACTAATCCTTTTCTGTCAGGTCAGACAACTTAGTGACCTGCCACTTGAGATGAAACTATTACTTCCCACAGTGACCTCGACACTTCATCACATCACACGAGTAAAGAAGAAGAGCACTCTCTCTCTCTCCCTCTCTCTCTCTTTCTCGCCCGCGCTCTCATTTCCTCTCCGGTTTGTTGTGAGCGAGGGAAGATTTAGCCTGCTTTGGAATGGTGGAGCTCTCTGGCTCGCTATTTGATGTCGGGGTGAGAGATAGAGAGAGAGAGCGGGCGAGCGAGGATAGAATAGAGTGGGTTTCAGTGTTGGGGGATCAGAGCTGCTTTGGTTCTCCAGCTCTGTCTCTTTGATCCATATCCCCAGGCCTGCCTGCCTGCCTCGCTAACTCAGGCCTCTGCTCGTGATTCCTGACAACTGTCGGCCTGAGATAAGGAGGTGGGGTGGGGGTGGGGGTGGTGGGGGGGCCCTCTCCTACCCCCCACCACCTCTTTCCTCGCCCCCCTATCCTGCACACTGCTACCTCATACACTTCTTTTAACATTAAAAACCCACATTTAGGCCAGGAAATATATTCAAGAACCCCCTCCCTTTGAAAATACAAATACCCCCCTCCCTCCTCTACACCCCCACCTTCCTGCTCCAGTCCTCCTGCAGTTCACAATGTGTTGACACGGCTGCATGCACCTGAATGTCAATGAGTGCACTGCCTAATATTAGTCTCAGCTGCTATTAAAATTTGTAGTACTAAGCCCTTTGACTGGGCACGCTGTCAACTGGCACGCTCCCATGTCAACAAATCAAAAAGGATGAGCACATATATTTACATCATTCCCATAATGAGGAGCAGAGTGGGGGGGCACAGAAGGGGGAGGGATGTTAATTAGAAATCGCCTGAAAAACAGATGCAGCTTCAGTTTGGCACCAAGCAAAGCAAGGAGCTTTATGGCAAATAAATAAATAATAAGACAAGACCTACTCAAGAAAGCTGCCAGAAAAGCAGAGGAATTTAAATCATACCCACTGATGGAATGTTTGTAGGATATATTTTTCTTTATTTATCACTCAGAGTCTTCTCCTCTCCTCCTCCTCCTCCTCCCTCTGTGGAAACTAAACAGAGCCCAGGGTGCTGTCTGACTGACTGAGTGGGTAGAAAAGTGTTAAGCCCCTCTAGTTCCCGAGGTTCAGATGAACTGTAGGCGTTGACTGGCTGCACGAAGTCAGCAACTACAACCTCAAACTCTCATCTGCTCTTTAAAGAACTCGTACCATGACCACAGCCAATGCTTCGTTCTGATAGGCCAGGGGGGTGTGTATTATTCTCAGATAACTTCACATCCCTGATGTAGTGTGTTCTTCTGCTCTGCAAACATGTTGATGCAACCTCTTGAAAAAGACAAGCTAAAGTTGAGTCAAAAGACACCCTGAAGTCAGCTGTCAGGGTTCGGAATCAGGTCTTTTAGGTGAAAATGGCCCCATCAAAAACAGGACAATCTCAGGAAAAAATGACAAAATGTGAGACCAGTGTGCATGCATATGGAGCTGACAACACTAGACTTTGCATGCAAGGCCAACAGTCCGTAATATCATTTTGTTATGAAGCACCACTGAAGGACAACGCTGTGCACAAAGGTGTTCTTTAGCAGAGTGGTGAGTGGCACAAACACATTCTCCTTGGCTATTTGACTGGGAATGTACTCCTCATGTGCTGGTCAGTTATTGACCAAGTGATAATACTCAATAAAAGGGTGTGTCACTAACATTAATGATTGTTTTTTTTAAAATAAGAATTTGCCTATATATTGATCCTGTCTTTTTGAATCAATGCCCCCTTAGTAGTCCTCTGTGAAACAACATGCATTTTACTAAAGACAGTTTGAAACAGGAGTTGTGCATTTTATTTATTAGCGCCTTTCTTGACACTCTCTGCTTTAGTGCACGAGCATCTTTAAAGAAAGTATCTCCTCCTCACCAAACAGACATTTCTCCCTCTCTGTCTGTCTGAGTATCTGTGAGCGGTCCATCTCCCCGTGATGCATTCAGGGCCCAGCTGCCTGCTGTTTGCAGCAGCGCTCAGCCTGTCAGCCTCCAGCTGAGAGCCGTCACTCTGTTTATTTACATGTCATTATGGCGAGGAGGAGCAGATATTAAAGCTGTCAGCTGCTGTTTGACCTGACATCCCTCAGTGGGCCATCCTCCTGCTGTTTGAGCAAACAGCCTCTGTCTACTTCAGTCCTCTAACTCGACCCTAACACGCTCCATAAAGAGCCTCTTGACCTGAAATCAGTGAAGGTTTTCTGCTAGTTTGGAGTGATAGGAAAGGTGGTCCTAGAGGGAAAAGCAGTGGAATAAACGCACTCAATGCAGAGGCCGTGAACACTGAGCCAAACTTTTACAAGGAAAAACCCAAATATGGTTGATCCAAGTATCCGATAATGGCAAAATTGCATTTCCTTGATAGAAAATGTGTGGAAATGCTGAGAGCTGATGGTGCATCGAAATTCTGCAGAAAAAAAAATAGAAAATTAAAACGCAAGTAAAAGCTAGTCTAAGTAGAAGCAGGGTTAAAACAAGTGAAATAGCAGTGTAAGTGGTATTAGAAAATTACAAGCAAGCACAATTGTTACTAGCAGTTCAGGTAGTATTAGCATTAGTATAAGTATTAGTAAATGTATAAATTCAGCCCATCTGTGTGCATTTAAGAGGAAAAAAGTATGAAAACTTGAAAAACTTACGCTTTAAAAAGAGCTAGCAGGAGGACAGAGGATGAGCAGAGGAGTTAAAAAGAGAGGGAATAGGAGGAGAAAGGGTAAAAAAGGAGATTTAAAATGCAGGAAAGAAGAAAAAAAAGGTGAGAGCTAGGAAGCATTAAAAAAGTTATAGAAAATACAAGAAGCCTAGCAAGCTCGAATATTGTTGTTCCAAGTGTTTACATGGCTATAAAAGTTATAAGTAAAGGTGCAAGATAAAAGACCTGGTTAATGTTATACTGTATAAGAGCATTGACTGGAGATGGAAATACTTGTACAGTGTTCCTGCACCTGCAGGACAGACATCCTTGTCTTCACTTTGAGCAGCTACAGAAAGATTATCCAAACTTCAGAGCCATTTCTGTTTGTTAAAAGTAATTCAATGTTTACGTCTGTGTTGAAATTGTAGGATGAAGCTAGTTATTGAACTTAACACATTGTTATAAAGTTGCATTTAAGTTTGGGTCAGTAAAATGACTGTCAGGCCAGGTTAAATTAAATGTCATGCAAAAGCAAGACTCGATTTGTTGAAAACACGTAGCTGTTTCATTTTCCACCCAAAGAAGTTGGAGAAAGTATTGAAAGTGAACCTGGAAAGGCCTTGGATGGTTAAGGTGGCTGGATAATAATAATCAACATAAAATCTTAAGGATCCCCTCCCTTCAAACATGCTTGATTTGATCCAGCACTAAAAATTTACACTTGCTGAGAAACTTGTCAGTCTAATAAAGTTAAACGCCTGGGATTGAGATGACCTTGTAAACTTTTTTAATCCAGAGTCCATAAATGGTTTGCTGTAACTTGTAAAAGTTGTGTTAAACTTCCTTCTCTGATGTGAACTTTGATTTTTCACTTTCATTTGGGTGAAATATTCATTTTTTTCTATTAATCTCACTTAAGCAACTTTCAAGGACTCCGGCAGAACTTTCCATGTTTCATGGTGTTACTTGCCCCTCAGGTTACATCACAGGGACACACCGAGGTCAATGTTATTTGTCCCTGGATTCAGTTTATTTCATCAGAAAAGGTAAAATGAAAATCCACTCTCACTTCAGTCAGGTTCTGAGTGCTTTTGTTTGTGACTGCAGCTCTGAATGTTTTAATATCTCTTCTTCCTGACATTGAATTTGATTTCTTTTTCATCACTGATGGGGGAGTTGGGATTTTCAGGATTATGTCCTCTGACAAAAAACACATCTGCTTGTAGTAAAATAGCACAAGCTGATTGCATAATTACCTCTGATTGCATCAGATACTCAGCATTCAACAGTGACGTGCTCAATGCGCTTTGCAATTACTGTCTGTCTGATGATTCAATAGAAGATAGTGATAGATCGTGTCTGACACCAGCTACATGTCAACATCAGCCTTAATCCCAGCCGCTGTATCCGCCCACATCCGCAGCTCAACATGACACTGTGAGGTGAATCATAATGAAGCTACATATTATTTAAATGCAAATATCATACAGACGTATAGAGAAGTGAAAGTTAACATCAAGAATGACTTAATCCTGGATTGTCAAACATGGTACTATCTACCGCGCCACAGTACAGTCTGGTCTCAAAGATCGCTCTTTAACGTGGACTACAGCTGAAAACACGGAGCATAAATTTGGTGTGTGAAGAATGGTGAACATGACATGTTGTGAGTGGGTCGTCTACTCTTTGAAAAGTTGTCATGTCTCTTTGCTGCACAGCAAATCACACAATAAAGACTGGGTTTCTATTTCACATACAAAACATAGCCCTGCAATGACATGTCTTGTTTCCTTACAGCTGACATGTATGGTTACAGTAAATCTGTAGGTAGTTTAAAGAAAAATCTACCATTTAAACCTGAGCCCTGTTATTTTTAACATATTTTAAGGTCTTAAAGCCTGAAAATTATGTAAAGGGTTGGATAGGGTGACCATATGTCCTCTTTTACCCGGACACATCATCTTTTGTATGGAAGTTTTGAGTTTGTGTCTCGTGGACCTACTGAGTTAGAAGCGCATAAAAACACTCAACCCAACCCGAAAAATTCTCAAAATTTACTTTGCGTGACTCCACCCCACCTAGTCATGTCTCCTTTTTAGGGATTCAGAATATGGTCACATTAGGGTTGGAAATCATTAGGAGCACCGTGACCCCTAAAGACAGGTGTTCCATCAGCTTCAAGAGCAAAGTCCACAACATTGAGTTTTTGTGCAGCTCTGTCTTATATCATCTGTTTTACCATGTGGTGTCTAAAATCTCCTTACATACCTGTACAGTAGTTGAGATCAGCCTATGACCTCACCTGAAGTTCACCGGGGAGTAGCACCACCCTCACCACTTGTCACTTGGTGTCTTAAATTGGGAAGTCTTTTTGATTAGATCAGCCCCCCACATGTATTTGGCCTATAATTTAACGTTACCGAAACAGCTTTGTTCCTGCTGCTTTTATTGAAGTGAACAAGTTGTAGAGATCTTACACATAATTTTGCACAATTAGCACATACTGCGGAGGTATTATTCACTTACTTATTTATGTTGTTTTTAAACTTGTTTTTACCTTGGTTTGTATCTAGAGGTTGTTTATTTGGGTGATTTATTTGTATTTCTTTATGTATTGACATTTTTCTCCCTCTCTTATGTCTTGACTGGGGAGCCTTGGGGTGCTTTTATCATGTGTTCTGTTTTGTGATTGTTTTATATTTGTACTGTAACTTGTATAAATAGACGTCATCACTTTATTTCACTGCAGAACAAATCTACCTTCGGGTATTAATAAAGTAACCTGAACCTGAATTTGATATACTATGCAGCCAGTACATTAGTATAAAATTTTATCAGATGTCACTGTTGTGTTGTTGTTTGTGTCATGCAACCACTTTTCTTTATAAAGAAGGATACATCAAGTGGCAGAGGAGCCACTTCTTAATGCTTTTCTTGCTTATTAGGTCATTATCATTCATTTAGTGAAAATGGTTGTATTCTAGCAGAGTTGGTAAATACACCTTGCTGGTTTGATTGAAAAGACTCTAATGTAAGAGAGCAATCCTGACCTTTGGAGGTGGTGGCACAGGTCTTCTTAGATTAGATCCATCTGTGCTGCACAACTTTCAGTGCTACTCCAGGCAGGGCTCAGCCACAGTACAGGTATCAGGCAGGATGATGATAACAGAACAGATTAGATCTTTTACATATACCACCATTTTCATGTAAATGTTCATTACAGGAATTCTTTCAGGAATGTTTGAGGAGCTGAAAAGGATTCTGGGCCTAGGAAAAAAACACAGTCATTTCTGTTTGATACAATCCAATCATGTGCATGTGGGAGGCATTACAACATGTTTCATGGTTGTCAACTCCAGCAATGTTATGAAGCAATTCCCACCTCAGCACCAACCTTATAATTTCATTAGGAGTTTGTGGGGCCAAAAAACTGGCTGACACCGAGAGGTGAGAGAGAAATGAATTTCACCTGCAACAGAAACTGCTGTCAGTCAGTTCGCATGGACATTCGTGGAGTTGCATTCATTCGTTCTCTCAAAAAAGTGATGAGAGTAGATGTTAAGCGAATAATTAATCTGTTAAGTGTCTACTTGTACACCTCCACCAATCCCTGTTTAAAGCAGGCATGATTGATAAAAGTTACAGAAATTGTCACGAGATATTTCCAACCAATTCCAGCACAGGACAGGCGTGAAGGGAATCTGCTTCAGGTGGTTTTGTTAATCCAATAAGTACTTCCTTTGAAGAGCACTGTCACCTTTAGCCTTTCACATTCACCTGCACCCGACTCTGTTTTAGGGCCTTAAAATCCCGTTTTATCTCTCAGCTCGCTATTTTAAAACTCAGTTTGGTGTCAAGAAGCAAGCTGAGCTGCAGAAATGAATAAATGACAAAAAGCAGAGCGCTGAAATATTGAGGGAGAGATCTGAATGTAGGAGATGGTAATGTGGGGCGCAGAGATAACTCCTCCTCTCATCTCTTCATCTGCTAAAGACACCTCACACTGCAGGAGACGGAGACTTATCCACCATCTGTGTCTCTGTGGGTCTTAAGTTTCTCTATCTGTCATCCTTTGAGTGACCTTGGATCCGGTACAGTAAAGCTTTACTGCACTCTCTTGTGCTGTTCAGTGCATTTAGATGAATGAACATTTTTTGTTTAAGCGTGAGTTTATAGCTTTTTGGTTTTTTTTACCTTTATTTGGAGCGTTGGCCCAGTTAAATGTTTAGAGTTGATCCTCAGTAAAATCAAGACAACTCAATATGGGTCAAACAGAGGCTCAGTTCACACCGTAGACTGTATGCGCCCGTCTGTCAGCTAACTCAGCAAACTCATTGATTATTTTAATCAAAAAAGATGCATCCAGAGTAAAACTGTTCCCTGTAAAAGCCTGCAAACATATTGAGCTCTGCTTTAAAAGGCATTTTAATAGGCTCTAATGGGATCTCTGTCACTTTTGGAACTACCTCAAGTGGACACTCAAGGAACTGCAGATTTTTTTGAATTGTAGTTTTTTTATTTGGCTTCATTTTTCATGGTCTTGTGTACTTCATTTTTTTAAAGACACCTTTTTTAATTATTATTTGATTACTTCAAGATATTATATTTCAAAGCAGAAGGGCAGTAAAGAAAGGGCTCAACCTTGCCTTTATACTATCATGGGTGTGAGTGTGACAGTCAGTTGTCCATACAAATAGTAGAAGTTTATTATTATTTGTTTTTACAGTAATGAATTTGGGCAGCTGACTTCATAGTTTATACAGATACTTTTAAATACACTGTATAAATGCTTAAATTCTGCTCATCCAGTGGGAACATTTTTACATGAACAAAAAGGGAAAGCCAGGACTCTGAGAATGACTCCCAGAGTTGAATTCATTGATATCACATTTGGTGTCTGGTATGGATGATACAAACCTTTGATTTGCTGATATCTTGTGTTTGAAGCAGTATTATAAGAGCATTCTTTGTTGTTTTTTTTGCTCAATGTGGAGCCATTTTCCAGTCTTTATACTACAACTTACAGAGAATAATGTGTATAGTGCGTTTAGAGATGGTAAACAAACAACTAAAAGTATCAAAACCTGTTGTTCGGATTCTGGCTCTGGTTTCTGTTTGATCCAAAGGAATAGTGCCCAGAACCATAGAGGTATTAACCTAGTGGTTAAAACGAACTGGATTAACACACACTCAAGCTGTGAAAGTTCCTATTCAGTAATTATGTGCACACATTTTAACACACTGGTCACCTCCTGGATACTGTCTGAGTGAAATGCATGCTGGGACTGTTAAGGAGCCATGTATTAGCTCCTGGCTGCAGCGTCTGTAAGAAGCGCTGCTATCAGTGAGCTGCAGCTGCAGAAACAGTCTGAGCTCAGACACCAACAAAGAAGAGGGTTTCCTCTGACACGAGCAGAAACAAAACAAGGCTTCATTAAAACAGCCGAGGACATTTGAATAATAAAAAAGGAGGAAGTCTTTGTCTGGAATGATTATTTATCTGAAAGGAGGCATATTGTGTTCATTTACACTTCACTCTTCTCCATTTATTCCTGTTTTCTTAGAGGGTTGGAAAACACCTCATTTTACTGTCACACTTTTACAATGTTGGTATAAAGTCAGAGTTTTGATGAAGTTAATGACTCCTACAATTATTTTGATTGTTTGATGTGAAGGAATGACAAGTTTAAGACTCATGCATACTGAATATGAAAAAGTAGGATGCAGCTTTTTATGAGGACGTGGTAAATTTGCATGTTTATATGCAAATCCAGAAACCCCACTTGGGTCAGAATCTTTCGATTAGCCAAATAAAGAGGTAGACTTGGTCATGTGTGCAGAATACTGTAGCCTAGCTTGCAGGCCGGTTTCTCCAGCAGGTCTATAAAGTAGCTACATACTTTCTAGATTTAGCTGTTTACTTATGTTAAGTTTACTTATGGGTCTAAGCATAATTTAAAGGTAGTTATAATCTCGTCCTTACATCTAAATCACCATTTCTTATGTGCTGATATGAAGTTACAGGTTTCCTAGCTGTTTGTTTCAACTCTGAGGAATAAATCGCAAACAATTTGTTGCCTTTTATTAACCTGGTGGTCCTGTTGGTGTTGGCTCAGCTTCAGACAGAAAGTGGGGGATGGGGGGAGGAGAGGAAGGTTTGCAGAGAGACAGAGGTTGAAGAGTAGAGCCTCCAGGACCCCAGGAGATGTCAAAGCTCGACTTGAGCAAGGAGGTGAGGGGTTTCGAGCTGTCTGACACCTCCTTTCAGGGCAACAAGGAGGTGGCCTGTCACCGCAGAGCCGCCCTTTGTGGAACTTGAAAGTGGAAAATTATCCAAATCTTCATATTTAGCATAAACTCACTGACTTCAATTAAAGGTGCTTGGATTACTGGAGTGAAATATTTTGACAACGAATGCAAGAAAAATTCCTCCGAGTAGAGAAGAGACAGAAGGTTGTGAACTGAACGGTTGATTTTACTGCTACAAACTACAAACGTGCAATGTTCGCTTTCTTTAACACTTAATTTAGGGGCTTGTGTGGAAAGGACAGAATACACACAGAGTTTTCACATATTTTCATCATTCAGAGATAAGGCGAGTTAACACACAGTTGAGCAAATTTTAATTGTTTGTTAGGAGGCTGAAGAACCAGGTTAGGGAGTTGATAATGGCAGAGCACAAGCGGAGACCAGAAATCTCGTAGCTTTGCTGTAATGGGAGGATGTATTTGTCTGGTGACTGTGACAGTGATGCAGGCAAGTTGAAATTAGCAGAAAGATGTGCTTTAAAATGACAATTAAGCAATTAAGAAAATAAAGGCAATGTGGTTATGGGAATCAAAAGGGTTTATCCTCTGGGTAGAAGGTGTGTTAACTTGGGAAACCGCCTCTTTCATTATGTGTCTTAGGACATTTTAATGGGATCAAACATGATTCTGAGATGTCTACCAAAACCCCAAATGTTTCTGAGTATACTGTCCAGAAACAGCCTCTGAAAGCGTGTTGTTTTTCTCTGTGTTTGCAGGTGATGAGCATCCTCAGTAACCCCAGCGGCGTTTCCTCACAGCCACAACACGACTTCTCCATCTCGCCGCTCCACAGCGCCCTGGACTCCTCTCCGTCTAACACCATCTCAGCCAGCTGCAGCCAGCGTTCAGCCGAGGCGTCCATCAAGACGGTGGACAGCCTCCCATCGTCCCAGTCCTATTGCCCCCCCACATACAGCACCACCAGCTACAGCATGGACCCCGCCGTGGCTGCAGCAGGATACCAGTACAGTCAGTACGGCCAGAGTAAGTCCTGCTACATCAGATAGTCTCTTCTCTACACTCCTTAAATCCAGAGTTGTTTATTCTTTTACCTCCACTGTTGCTCATGGTTTGCATCATGGGCCCCTTTGGGGGAAGAAACGCTTAGTCACGCTGAGTCATGGAACAGCAGGCGCCCATGGTAGGGGACTTTGAGAACCATGCAAAAACCTGTGCCTCTGTCCAGCAAAATCTTATTTTTAGGGCCAACTTTCAAACAGATCAATTAAATGATCTCTATTAGGAGAAATAGGCAGCAAATTCAGAAACACATGCAGGAGTCTTTAATGAATGCAAAGATGGATAAATGTGCTGCAAAAAGAATGAATGACTACAACTGAAAAGGTGCTGTAATGACAATATATGCTAAATTTAAACAACACAAACTAAAAAAAAAAACTACAACGAAATAAGAAGACCTCCAGATTCTCACCAGCTCCAGGCCTGTAGGGGGCGCTCAGAGGAGCAGTTAGTTATTAACAGGAGAAAATGAAGAAAAAGTAGAAGCTAAATTTATTGGTTGTCAGATCTGCACTCCAGCAGTCCAGGTACTATGAGGAATTAGCTCTGATGTCTACTGGGGAAAAAATCAACATTTATTCCCCACAACTTTTCCTTTGGACTACTTTTATTTTTTAGCTCTGCTCAGTAAAGTAGCCTCTGCTTTAACTGGTTACAAGAGAGAGAAACCGATATCAGCAACAAGACCAACAGTTTCGTTATTGTAATTTTATTATGTCTGAAACTGCTTCCGGGGCATCAGGGTCAGTCTTTTACTTACAATTTCAACAGGAAGTTTTGACAAAAAATTAATTAATTTAACTGTTCAAAGATGGCAGGTGAGATCTGTACCTTACTATACACAGAACAAGATTAACAGGGCTATAAGATTGCCTGCAGGGGGCGCCAGAACTGTCAAAACTAAAAGTCTCCCACAGCATCTTCCAAGAGTTTTCACCAAGAAAATCAGTTCCCGTCACTTTTAACCTGATCAGTTAAGTGTAAAGGAGCTCTTTAGTGGTGATGTCTTTACTTGCAGTGTTTTCCCCTGGCTTACTATTGTCATCAAGTCAAATAAGCCTAAATAACAGAGCCAATGTTTAGCCCAGTCTTTACAATATTAACATGTTTGCTGATTTTGTTGGATGTTTTTGGCCTTCTGAAGCATGTGTCTTTATTTTAAACGTGTTAGATTTGGACTTCTGAATGTCTAGATGTGCTTCGTTTCTGTTATTGTAGCATATTTTTCTCTATAAAGATCGTCTGGGCTTTTTGCAGGATGGTAAGCCTTGTGTGTAAATCATGAGTTGTGGAGTGTGGATTTGGTGTGTAAGAAGGAGGCTGTCTTTAAGTTTTCTGCATGTTAATGTTGATTTCAGGTTTGTAAATGTTCTCTGCCTGATAAACACTTTCACTGCCAACATTGCAGCTATAAGATTCAGGTAATATGTGATTTCTTTACATATAGACTCGGTGATGCTGTAGGTGATCCTCAGTGATGTGACGTCCGTGGCCCTCCGCCTCCACCTCTCCCTCCTGCAGACAGATTTAAACGTTTACGTCAGACTTTTGACTCTTCTCTTGTTCTACTGCAGGAAGCTCCTGACAGATTAAAGTACATACTGTCAGGATAGCTGAGGTGTGTGAGCTTGTGTGTGCTACACCTGCGTATGTATGTGTATGTGTGTGTGTTATCTGATAGGCTCTATCTACGAGGCAGAGGACTCTCAGTGTGACTGCTCAACAGGGATTTAGGGTATAAACCTGGTTGACAGGAAAAACAGCTTCCTTTAGAGGGCCTCACTAAACCCTTGTGAAACACAAACACACACACTCACACACTTACACGCACACACCGCTCCCCCACTAGCTGTCTGGGTGACTGGCATCTTGGCAGACAGACCTGCCCACCCATAGGTGCTCTTCTTTCTCTCCTTCCTCAGCGCAGAGTGACAGCCTCCTTTCTATACACGCTAGCATCCTAACTGACATGCCTTACTTATCTCCCCCCACGATAGCCACAACACACACACACACACACACACACACACACACACACACACACACACACACACACACACACACACACACACACACACACACACACACACACCATGTCACATCACATCTGCTGTCAGCCCTCCTCTCTCCTGCCCCATAAAAGAGAAGTTATCAGCAGCTGAACCGGGGAGGGGCGACATGCAGCTCCGAGAGAGGAAATATGCTGAGCGTTAATGCCGGCTTTTTAACAGAAGCTCTTATTCTGGAGACTACCGACCCGTGTGTCTGTCTGTCTGTCTGCCTGTCTGTCTGTGATGACAAACTGTTGGCTGCTTTTTTCTGTCCGTCTGTCACACCCAGTGTTCAGTTGTGATTGGACATGAAACAGGCTGTCCTCAAACAAAACAAACACACATTAGAGGATGAGTCTGATGATTGTTTTTCTTCTTCTTCTTAACAAATCCTGTGAGCAGAGCCAACCACAGTGAAAGCTAACTTTCAAGAGCAGTTTTTGTGAAGCCATAACACACACTGACGACACTACTTAGAGTCCTTGAAACCACTCTTGTACTTTATATATTTGTACTTCAGATATGTTTTTCAGATCAACCCAAACTCCAAATTTTAAATCTGATGTTTAATTAGAAATAGTGCACAGAAAACATCAAATGGAGTCAAGGGGTCAAACCAGTCACTGCTGCAATGAGGACTATAGCCTCAGTACCTTGGGCAAATTGGACCACTTGGTCATCCGCGCCCCAGTCTTCCTTCAAAATAAAACGAGATATATCTTAAGATATGTTTTGTTGATATTAAGAGACACGTTCATGAAAAATAAAATGTTTTATTTCAAGAACTTGACCACTAAGTTTTTGTCATTGATTTTTGTGGTAAGATTTCTTTTTTTTTTTAATACTCTTGTTCTCCTTTACTCATTAAAAGCAAAAAAACCTTTTTCCTGGACTCAACAAAAACACTTGTAAAGATTTGAGTTTTGACAGTGCAGAAAGGCAGAAAACTTGGGCTCTTGGGCAGGTCTTTGGGCTCTCAGGAAACACAGCATTGAAAATAGACTTGACTCTGTAGTGGAAATCACTGCATGAGCTCAAAATCACTTTCAAAAACCAGACAACTGTACAGTCCATGGTCTTGCCTTGAGGATTTATTGATGCAGCTGTTCAGGAACATTTAAGCTGTATACTTGTTCTTAAAAATCTCAATGAAGTGCAAATACTTTTATTTAAAATCAAAATCAGCAAAAGTAGATGTTCTTCTGTCAGACCATCACTAACTCTCCTCTCGTCTCTCTCTCCAGCTGCCGTGGATTACCTGGCCAAGAACGTCAGTCTGTCCAGTCAGCGCAGGATGAAGCTGGCCGACCACTCGGCTGTTCTGGGACTGCTGCAGGTTGAGACCGGCCAGGCCTACTAGTACTCACCTAAACCACATGACACCTGGTCACCAGCACAACCCGCACCTCCAGCTATCATTCACACAAGTCTCCCAGAGAGAGAAAGAGAGAGAGTGAGTGTGTGTGTGTGTGATTCGTAGTCATACTTTGTTTAATATCTCTGCTCCTTGTGGGTTTCAGGACTGATTGATGCAGCTGTTTAAGCTTTAAACTTTCCTCTTGGGACCGACCAAATCTATAACACGTCATTCCACTTTTAGTCTTCATTTGTTAATGCTGCACCCCATTTCGACACTTTTATTTGGACGACTAAAACTGATCTGATTTCTGCTCATGGATGCTACCTCACAGTTTGTTTTCCTGATTGCAGCCGTGTGTGAGAAACTGAAGCAAGCAAAAACTACATTTCCAGCTGCTTTCATTAAGAAACCAACATTAAAAAGAAATCTTAGCTGAGGACTAAGAAATTTCAGGATTTGTTTTCCACCTTGAGACAAATAAAACATCGGGGCACCCCTGTCTACTTTCTACCTGTAGACTTACAAACTTCACAGATTCCACATATCAGCAGAAAATATTGGCAGCTCAGATATGAAGGTTACAGGTACCTCTGTGTGGATGTGTGAGTGTGAGTTTGTGAGGGAGATAAACACCTCTGGAGCAGACTGATATGGACTATTTCAGCCATTCCTGAAGAGATGTCTCTATTCTGACGGTGCAGCCCCTCTTATCAACAACAAGACCTCCTGAAGAGCTTTGCCAAGAGTTGGAGGTCAGACAAGCTCCTGACTGAGCAGCTGACTTTGAGCGAGACGATCGCTCCCCACGCGGTTGGAGATGGACGTTTCTCCAGGCAGCTTAGGACCACTTCTTTTTCCTTCAGATTCCACTTCATCTCATGCCTTTTTATTATCAATAAAAAAAACAGCCCAGGGTAACACTATGACAAACTAATGAAGAAACTGTTTATGATCGTATAACGGGTTTTATTTTCCAAATGCAGAGAAAAAAAAAGACATTTTTTTTTACTTCTTTAAAAGTTAAGTTTTAATTTGTGATTTTCCTTTTAAGTATATTTATTATAATAACATTTAAGTGAAGGAGCCTCCATTTCCTGATCCTCTTCTGTTTTCAACCCATTCTTACCGCAAACTTGTCAGATGTGGCAGCTTGGACAGTATCCCAAAATATTACGCTGTGGTTCCCTTGCAAAATTTCTGGACATTATTTTGACGTGCCACTGAAATCATGTGGCATATAGTAACTAATGCACCCTGACAGGTATGATATCAATATAAGCTTATTAGTGAGCCTTGTAACATCTTTTATTCGAACTATTTGTACCCTAAACAAAAGCTTTGACTGAGCCTACAATAACCAAACTGTTAGCCAAAAACAAGTAGATGATTGTTGCATTTCTTTACCTCACAAATCTCAAATGTTTCTCAAGTTTAACTCAACATTGTTGTCCTACAAAAGCTCCTTTACTGCTTTATTAGGAGTCTGGATATCTGCTGATGTTTATCGAAACCAGTCCTCTGTCTGTCCTTTAACCAGCAAACAAAAGTCACACAACTGAAAGAAATAACCGCTTAACTAAATTGCAGAGAGGATAATATTTACCTTGACATCTGAGAGGTCCTTCAGAGTGGAAAACAGTCCTAACTCTCTTCCTGTGCAACAGTTTTTATTACAGTTGATAAAGTCCACATCATGCAGTGTCTATGCAGATGAAACAACCCAAACCTCTTTCTGCATTTTACACTGGTATCCTGGCCCCTGTCAGAAGGCATACCTAAACTTTAACTGTCTTTATGTCCAAGAATTTCACAGTTTGGATACACAGATTGTCATGTTTTAAAGGATACTGTCTGGGCGGATTAATTTGACAAGTTGGAGGCGTGAACAAAAAGACTTTTCAAGTATGATAATGATATAAAATCAACACTAAACAGTCTTAAAAACACTCACTGTTTCCCATCAGACCTTTATATGAACACTGTATTTTTATTTGCTCTATACTTAATGAGTTGGAGTCCAACTGTGGATCAGAAATCGTTTACAATTCCAAAACCTTCCCCAAGGTTTCTTTAGACTAATTTTCCTCACTTTTTTTATCACCTCCGTCAACCAAAGGGAAGCTCCTTATCATTCCACTTCATCATGCTCTGGACAGGATCTTTTGAATATCTCTGGACAGGAGAAACATTTGTACCAGGACGCCTAAGGTTTATGTGCTGGGGAAGACCAAACAGAGGAATATTCCCCTTTTTATCATTCCATACATAAGAAATACTTAAACAATCAAAATATGCTTTTTCATATAAGTTCCTTTTCTTTCTTTGATTCTTTTTTTGTATTTAATGCCACGTCAGAGGTGCACTCATGAACTTAAAGATGAATCTGAACTGAGTTTAACTTCATCTTCATTCCCACTGGATGCTGGTGTCCATGTGTTTTACTGATGAAGGCAATCATCTCTGTCTGACGGAGGATTTTGAACTCCTCTGCACCTCCAGGAGAGCCATGTCCACTCTTTGGACGCTGGCTGTGTTACCTTCTACCTTGTGTACATATATTTTTTCAATGACATCGAACCAAGGGGAGCATCAAGGATCAAATGTACAGACTTGCTCCCTCAGCCACGCCCCTTCCTGTTTACCTCTTGGTCCTTTTCTCTGCTTGTTTTGTTCTGCTTTCTGTTTGGCATGTGTGTATGTTGCCATAGTATAATTTATTCTACCTGTAGAACGTATTAGACTAGTGAGAAATTTGTATTGGCATTTACTCCCCTCAGCCTCTTGCTGTGTCGACTGTAACACTGGCGTAACTGTCTGTTCATTAAAAGCTCTACAACTGGACCAAGAACGCTGACTCCTGCTGATCTTTATTATATGACTTTGTCCTCATCCAGCTCTACTTCCTTTAACAGCTTTTAATTTGAAAATAAGTAAACAGTATGGAAGTTAAAGGGATATTCCAGCGTAAAATTAAGTTAGGGTCAAACACACTGTAACACCGAGTTAGACACCCCCTCGAGAGATGAATGTTGCCGACCGCTTACTTCTCTAGTTATTCCAACTTTAGTAATGACTAAACAATAGCAATACATAGCGGTCTATGTCTCCACGCACAAACCTCAACCAAAACGCCACTCTATAGCCACAAATAATGCTCAGAACAGCACCTAACTTCATCAACAGTACATATAGGGTCCCAGCCATAGCACTAGCCACCAAACATCTTTTTAGCTTTGCCTGATTTCTTTAGCAAAGACACTAAACACAACTCACCTACTCTCCTCCAGCAGCAGCTTGTTTGTAGGGAAAGTTGTGTTTAGTCTCTTTGCTAAAGAAATAAGGCAAAGCTAAAAAGATGTTTGGTGGCTAGTGCTGTGGCTAAGACCCGATATGTAGTGGCTTTTGGTTGAGGTGTGCACGTGGATCCAAGGACCACTGTGTATTGCTATTGTGCGGGCATTACAGAAGTTGGTATAACTAGAGAAGCAAGCAGTCGGCAACATTTATCTCTCCACTTCTTATGTTGGTGTAGGAAGTGGAGAAAAATCGCTGGCTTTTCACTTTTAAATCCGTATACTGGCGGAAGGCGGAACCAAGCTGTCCATAGTATATACAGTCTTTGATTTTGACCAATCAGGATCAAGTGGTCAACTCAGCTAGGTGATAAATAGGAAAGTGAGGTAATACATGTTTTTCACATAAAATTGTATTTCTTTGTCCTTTTACTTCCTTTGTTAAAAAATCTGACAACTCTTCTTGAATCTATACAAGTGTTTATTTGTCCAAATGTGGAAATGTTTTCATAGACACAAAATCTGCAAACATTGTTCTTAACAGGACAGGACAGAGAGAAGTACTGCTCGAAATGGAAGACCATTCTCTGTATGAATTCATAATCATGGAGCTGATATGTGTTGGGTTGATGACATGGAGCAGCCAGTAAAGTTCTTTTTCTTTTCTATTTAATGACATAAACCCTAATCGTGATCTGAGCTCTCATTGATAATGTCCGGCTCTCCGGGCTCGGAGGCTCTGAGGATGACTGCTGCAGTGATTGAAGATAGGAGGAGTTCTTTGTGAGCGCTGAGCAGAGGGAAAGGAGACGTGTTAATAAAGAGAACAGTCTAAGCCCACAGTGCTGGCTGCTACCTGAAGGCCTGTGACCCAGACCTGACCACAACAGGCTATTTTTAAGTCAGGGCAAAGATCTGCTCAGGCCTGCTGGCTGGACAGTCTCTCAGAGAGGCAAAGAGGGGAGATTTAGAAGCAAACTGAAAAAAAAACATACACATAAAGCGAACAGAGCCTTAAAGCCGCTTGTGTTCCTATCATTTGACATATGACCAGTGAGCTTCTTGCTGATTGTTTTGGTTTGTGACTTCATGGGTTCAATAGTAGCAGTAAGCTATGGCATCACTGCTGCTGAAGCCCCTTTATGCCACAGTTTCTCCTCCACTTATTGTTGGCAGAATCATATCATATGTAGCGCTGAAATAAAGGCAAACAGTTTTCATCACCCTGTAAGACTCTGCTCCACCGCCATGTTGAACATCTTGTAAACATCACATCAAGACACAGCATCCTTTCAATACTTGCCTCCTGAGACGTGTGATAGGCAAGTGTGACTTTGGAAAAACTTTAAGTTTTCATCTGTTACACTCTACTACAGTGTAAGAGTGAAACTGTTTTTTTTTTTTTTTTTAACAGAAGTTGATGTCAATAAATTTTGATTTGTGCCCAAGTGCACATTGTCTGCAGAATGTCTAACAGATAAAAAAAAACAGTTTTGCACTTTTCTTTAATTCATACAAAGTTGCTTAATAATGTGCTGAATGCACAAGGTATTGAAGAATTATATCATATTTGTCCAGAATTCAACTTTTGTAGCCCCTATACAGATCAAATATTAATTGCATCTAGTGTGTATTGATAATTTTTCATGATTAGCAACACAAGAAGTTTTGGGATTCTCAAATGAAAGATGATGGAAAATCTGAATTTTCCAAATAAGAGTAGTATGATCATAGACTGTTGAGTTTAATCTAAAGTTTTTAATTTCAATTTTAGAATTCTGAAATGAATTCTCAGTTTTGGAATAAAAATAGGAATTCAGAAATTAAAGTCAGAATTCTAACACCAAGGTCAGGTTTCTGACTATAATCCTAGAATTTTTTGGATTAATCCAAAAATAAAAACTGTATTTCTAGATTTCTGATATAATCTACGACTTCTGAGATTAAAATCAAATTTTTGACTAACCTTTTTAAAAAAAAATCTTAAATTTTAGCATTTTTAAATTTGAATTTTGAATACTGACAACCAATTTATGAATCCTGAGATTATAGACAGTATTCTGACTTTAATCTGAATATTCCAACTTTAGGTATTCCTGAATTGAAAACTGGAATTCTGACTTCAAAATAAGATTTCTGACCTTAATCTCAGAATTCCAACATCAATCATAGAATTTTTAAACTCAAACCAGAATCTTAATTTTCTTTAACTACAGAGTTCTGATTTGAAAAACAGATTCCTGACTTTATACTCAAAGTTTTCAAATAATTTCAGAATTTAGAAATAAATCAGAATGCCAGAAATGAACCTATCTCTGCTTTATTCTTTTTGTAATTATTCCCTGCTGATCTGGCCACACGTTTAAAGTGTAAAAAGTTTTTTAAGTTTCTTATGATTGTGATTTGGGCAGGAGAAGAAAATATATATCATGTTTGAAATAACACTTAAGTAGCACAGGTACAATCAAATAACCAAAGAAGAAAACATACATTTTATGTTACCATGCAAGAGGTCTAAAAATAAAGAAAATGTAATCTAATAAGTAATTAACCCCAGCATCGAGATCAGAGAAGCTCGACTCTGACAGCGGTGATTATTATACTGCAGTCAGCACTAATGTTATCACTCTGACTGAAAGCTCAAAGTGTTACCAGGAATGCAGTGATTAAAGGACATGTCTGTAGAAGTCCGACCCCCCCTATCACAGCAGGCCCTGGGGTATTGTGCACCGGGAGTACCGCTGTGTCAAACACCCAACACTGTCACAATGAAAGCACTTACAAAGCCGAACATCTCTGCAAATCCCATAATTATTCCTGGATACATTATGTACCTGGGCCCCAGCTGTCTGATCACCACAGTGAGGGGATTGCACCTTCTACAATCAGCTTACACGAGACAGATTGTTATGATTGGCTAATAATATCAGCTTGTAAGTAGTGTGCTTAAGCAGTGTGAGACAGACACAAGAAATAAATTGTTAGCTCCCTCTCTCCCTCCTCTTCGGCTGCTGTTGTTCCATCTTTTATTTACCTCACAGATTTAATTTCCCCACACAACAAAAGAAAGTACGGTGCAGTTTTATCGACTGCAGCTGCTCCTATCACCGTCCTCGTCTTTCATTCAGTGACGAGGTTTTCCTCTAGTCTCATGTCTTTTATGTCTTATCACGGCAGACCCCCCCCTGAATGTACGATCACGGAGCTGCGCAGAAACCTCTGTTGTTCAGCAGCCGCTCTCACCCCCTGCCCCCTCACTCCCTCACCCCTCTCACTCTAATCTCCTCACTACAGTAGCACTTTGAAATTAAGCCGGGAGGAAGCTGGGTGTCTTACTAACCTCTCTGCTCCGACACCAGGCCCTCAATCAGCCTCATTGTGGTTAACAGACTTCAGCACGTCTGAGTCAACATGTCTGAGCTGACAGCTGCTCTGAAAACCTCCTGCTTTAGAGGCAACATGACTCACTGCTGCTGAACTGTCTGCACAGAGATAAAGAAAGGTGCAGGTGGATCGCTTATGAACATTTTTATTGACCATTGTGATTGATGCAAGTGTTGCTACCATTTTAGTAGAGCATAATGCCTGATATCACCCTCTGACCACTCTCAGTGTTGGAATTAAGATTCATATTTTTTCCATTCATGTGTTTATAAAGCTGCATTTTTTGATGATTGCTATGGATATTCATCTAAAATATTGATGCAGACTATACTTGTAACAGTGAACTGAATATTTGACTAGAGCTACCTGAGAAGTTCCATCAAAGTCCATCCAAAAAAGATTAATTGACACCCTCCAGCCAATCAGAATTGAGTATTCACCAAAACCACAGCATAGACACCAATTGATGGTCATAGTATAGGAAAACTTTGGTTTATTTGGAGCTCTGCTCACACAGTTTGGTTCATTTAAAAAAATCTCAGTATCTGTTTAAGACTCACTTTAGAGCTAACTGAACTCTTCGCCTCATGTGCATCAAACATGACTGTTGGCTGTAGGGATGGGTGTTAATGCAAATATCTGAAATGACATTTTTTGGATACCAACACTTATCTTTAAAATTGGAGATATTATTAGCATTATTTGGCACACAAAATTAACACATGGCATGAGAAGATGTGACAGATTCAGTCCTGCTTTCATTGAAGCTTCTGGCTGCAGAGATGGAAACTCTAACCTGCTGATATTACCAAGCTGCTGCTTGACTGAGTTATCTGGTGGTTTATTGTAAAATAAATTGGAAGTGTCTCAGTCTAAATCACAACAACTGCGTTTAACCTGTGACTTTAGTTTAGTTATTCCATCTGCAGCACTGCTATCGTAGGCTGCACAGAGAACATAGGAGCAGTAACAAGGCTCAGTTAAGAAATGGATTCAGTGTAGTTCAAATATGTTCAATTCATGCTATCAAACTATAAAATTCAAGGCTTGGGGAAACTAATCCACAAACAAATTGCCAACATAATTGTGGTGAAATCTACTTTTTCATTTTCTTTGATTAAGTTATATTTTTGGTAAAATAAGCTTCTCCCCATTTTCTATCAGGTTTCTA